GTTCCAGCTGATCACTTTGTGATGGTTTCCCAAAAAACCTATTTAGCACCAAAAGCACTTCCTTGAAAAAGCACCCCCCCACACACACCCCCCCCCCCCGTAAGTTGCTCACCAGATCAATTCAAATCAAGTGCAGAGTACCTGCCCGTGGGGTTGTAAACTGAAAAGACATGACGCAAAAGGGAAAAGGATAGAGACGAAGGAGCCGAAGAAGCCGGGAAAGCAGACTTGGGCCAGTCTCTGCCTCTCAGCCTAACCTACCTCACAAGGCTGTTTTAGGGATTAAATGAGGAGGGGGAGTACCATGCATGCCAGCTTGATCTCCTTGGAGAATGCAACAACAACAAGAAGAAGTTTCCCCGCCCTGCCTTAGCTACTTCAGAGCCTTAGAAAACAGGGTCCACTATTTTTTTAAAAAAATAAAGAAACAAAGAAACAAAGAATTGCCACAGTACAAATTATTGTTCAATTTAACATTTTTTTACATTTTCTTGGCAATGGGAAGGGATCAGTTCTATCCCATCCCCAAGTCCATCTACACATCAAAAGTTTAGAACTTTTGAGGGATGTGCAAGAGAGTGTGAAAGGATCCAAAAGTTCTGCTGGAGGCTGGCTTAACCATTTCTGCAAAGTTGCAGAGCGTCCCTTTTGTTAGGGAGATTGCCTCATTGTTTTCAGTTGATGGCCTTTTGAACAGATTAGGAAATACCTAAAAAGGGCACCCTTCCTTCCCTCCCTCCCTCCCTCTCCCCCCCCCCTCTCACACACACACCCCTCCTTGCTGAAGATGCTCTGATCATGGTGTCTGCCAGCAAAGAGAAATTGCAGGTTTTGAATCAAAGACATAAGAACATAAAAAGAGCCTGTCTGCTAGATCTGGTCAATGGCCAATTCAGTCCAGCAACCTATTCTCGCAGTGGCCAGAAAGTTTCCCCACAATTAAATGCTTTTCTTTTGATCTGTTCAAGGTCACACCTGCAGTTTCTTAGTTCAGCCCAAAAGTGAAAGTATCTTCCCACGCCCAAGCTGAATCATAAAATTTCCCTTTTATCCTTTTAGCGCCCCCCCCCCAACAGTCCTTGCAAAACAGTAAGAACTCCAGCACCCAAGCTAGTGCCCAATGTACTGCTCTGCTTTCCTATGGACCACATCAGCAAGGCAGAGAGGGATATTGTGTTGTCTGGGCCACCCAGGACCGCCATATACATGTTCCAAGCTTGCGCTCTGGAGAAATCACTTTGGTGCTCCTAGTGCAGCGAAAACAGTGCTGGACGCAGCAGTTATGGGTTATAAGCCCAAGCTGATTGCTGTAAGGTACAAGTGCTACAGGTTTCCTTCGATGGAGAGATAATCATAACTTACTGATCAGCTACTACCCGTCTTAAACCAGGCAGCCCTTGGACAATAAATTGCTGAGCTGCCACTGTCCACCTGCTTCAATGGGTGCATGCACCAGGCAGAAAAGAAAATAAACAAACCTCTTGCACATAGCAAGCTGTAATGTCAGGACCATACGTCCTGGCTTGTTCTCCTGCAGATCAACAACAATGAGCTAAAAATGTTCAACAATGATGTTGCCACTTTGAAGGAGACCAGACTCACTTCAAATGGCTGCCTCCAAGAGAAAAACTACACCTTTTTCTGGCAAGGGGGACATCCAGAAGAACCATGTAGGCTTCACAATGAAGAACTCCCTTCTGTCAGTGATAGAACCGCCGACTGAGGGCTCAGAATACTTGCTTTTCCCCCGCCTCTCAACCACCTCCAATCCGGTTAACATCTTGAGTGTCTATGTTTCCACTGTGTGCTCTGACATACAAACCAAGGACAAGTTCTACAAGGAACTAGACTAGGCTGTCAGGAGGGTCTCAGGCTATGAACACCTATTTCTGCTGGGAGGTTTCAATGCCAGAGTTGGGGGCGATCATCACAAATGGGGCAACTACATAAGTCACTTTTGTATTGGCACCATGAACAAGAACAGACAAAGACTGCTTGAGCAGTGCTTGAATCACAGCCTCTGCGTCACGAACACTATCTTCTCTATCAAGGCAAAACACTGAATGTCCTGGATATGTCCCAGGTCAAGGCCACTGGCACCAGCTGGACTTGATAGTCACTAGGCGATCATTCACTCCCACTATGTTGATTGCTACACAGATCACTCCCTGGTGGTGAGCAAGATTCATCTCCAGCCAAAGAGGATAGATAGCACAAAGCAGAAAGTGCAGCCTCGAATCAACACTGCCAGAACAGTCGTACCTGAACTTTATGAACACTTCTATCTGATTCCATTCAACAAGGCATACTGAACTGCCCCAGAGATAGTGTCAAAGTAAGGTGGAACTACATCAAAGAGGTAACCTACAACACAGCTATGTCCTCCTTTGGCAAAAGAGAGCAGTAGATCCCCAACTGATTTGAGGCCAGCATGAAGAATGTGCGGCCTGATATCACTGCAAAACGTGAGGCTGTTGTGACCTTGCTTGCTGCACCAAGAAAGGCAAGAAATGATGCCCAGCAGATTGCCAGATGATGTGCCAATGACCACTGGCTAAAGCTGTGTCAGAACATTCAACTCGCTGCTGGCAATAGCAGCACTCACAAAATGTATGAAAGCATGAAGAAAGCCTTTGGCCCAACAGTCAGGAAAAGTAGAGAGATCATCACAGACCACAGAAAGCAGATGAAGCGATGGGCAGAGAATTATCAAGAAACTGTACTCATGGGAAAACATGACACAGGACTCAACAGTATCCAGACTCTGCCTGTTTTGGAAGAGCTGGAAGTCGTCTCCCCCCCCCCTCCCTTGATGAGTACCATCAACTTTCAGGTAAAGCCCCAGGACAGGATGGAATCCCAACAGAAGTGCCAAAAGCCAGATTCAATTCCTCCCTCATGATACACCGCCACAGCCTCTTCTTGCAGTGTTGGGAACAAGGATTCATGCCACAAAACACGCACAACTCCAGCATTGTGACCCTCTACAACAGAGTGATCCAATGTATGGCCAGAGGGCCTCAGCAACATTTGGCAACCCTCAGCAACATTTGACCCCCATCCACCCAGCCCTCCTGCTTGCCTTTCCAAAGCCAGGTAAGAGAGGTGCCGGGCTTTGGGAAGGAGGTATGAGGGCTCTGACAGGGTTCTCCCTCCTCCTTCCCAAAGTCTAGTGAGCACTTTCCCAGATTTGGGAAGGGGATGCAAGGGCTCTAGGACCCTGCCAGAGACTTATGCAGCCTTCCCAAAGCCCAGCACCTCACGTAGCTAGCTTTGGGAAAGCAACAAGAAGGCATCAAATTTTGGGCTCACTCCCCCAACCCACATGCAACAAAGCACTGTGCAGCCCACAGGTTTCATGTCCAAGGACTCTTGCGTCCCACTTGGTATGAAAAGTTGGACCACCCTGCTCTACAGGAACAAAGGTGACCACCATGACTGTAACAACTACCACTCGCAGGAAGTCCAAGTCACAATGCGACTTTAGCGCTCAGAGGTCAACAGCCACCACTATTTTCCCACTGTGTCATCTGCAATAGAAATGCTGGGAGCAGAGATACTCCTTGTACATCGCTTTCATAGACCTCACAAAGGCCCTTGACCTCATCAGTCAAGAAGGACTCTTCACACTGCTCAACAAGATAGGATGCCCACCTTAGCTCCATAAGATGATTCTGTCCGTCCACAAGGACAAGCCTGGCACCGTCCAATATGACGGCTCATCCTCAGGCACCTTCCCTATAAAGAGGAGTGGAAAACAGGGCTGTGTTTTTGCCCCAGCTCTCTTTGGCATATTCTTCTCCCTGTTGCTTTTAAACACCTTCACCTTGACTGAAGACGGTGTTGACATCCATGCAAGGAGTGATGGGGGTCTGTTCAAGCTGCCATGTCTCCGTGCCAAGACAAAAGTATGGCAGGTCCTCATCCGAGGGATGTTGTTTGCAGACAATGCAGCCTTGGCAGTGTGTTCTGGGGGAGCTCTACAGGTGATGCAGATCAATATCTTGGGACGGGACATCTCCAGCACTCCATGCATCAGCATTGGTGACCACATGCTTGAGGTGATAGACCATGGGTAGGCAAACTAAGGCCCAGGCCAGGGCCAGATCCGGCCCAATCGCCTTCTAAATCCAGCCCGTGGATGGTCTGGGAATCAGCATATTTTTACATGAGTAGAATGTTTTTATTTCAAATGCATCTCTGAGTTATTTGTGGGGCATAGGAATTTGTTCATTTTTTTTCTTCAAAATATAGTCTGCCCCCCCCCCCACAAGGTCTGAGGGACAGTGGACCGGCCCCCTGCTGAAAAAGTTTGCTGACCCCTGTGGTAGACAATTTTATCTACCTGGGCTCCATCATAACCAGCAACCTCTCCATCAACACTGAGCTGGACTGGTGTACAGGCACACAGGCACACACACACACACACACACACACACCAATTTACATGCATTCTACTTGCATGCGGCCACATATACGTGTGGTGCCTGGAAATAATTAAATAATTCAATTCATACCCAGAAATGGTGAGAGCTGGAGAGTCCTTGTGGCTTGTGAGGAGACCCTCCCCAGAACTCGAAGAGGATGTCACTGAGGGTGAAAGAAGCCCTGAAGAGACCTGGGGCACAGCGGGACTTTGTTTATGCTGCTCAGTCTCCCTGCCTAACAGCATAGCAGCCGCTTTCCTGTACATCCTACAGCCTCCTGTCAGCCCCTGAGCTTCAGTTCCAGTTGTGGCTATTTTCTGATACAGCTTTCTTTTGGTATGGATTGGAGAGAAAGTGGCAGAGAGGGCATTTAAAGTGTGTTTGGAAGGTACTCACTTTACAGAATTTCACTTATGCGTGGGGGAACCTGGTATGTAAACCCCGAGTAAGCGAGGAGTTGCCTGTATTAGCAAGGCCAAGAAAAAAGCACACCAAGAACTCGGGCCAATGTAAGTTTCAATAGTGGGAGTAGTCCCTACTCACAAATAAATAACCAATTTTAACAAAAACTGATCCATTCAAAAGTATGTATTCTGACAAGGATTACAAACTCAAATAGAGGATTACAAACTCAAATAGAGATTAATCTCTATTTGCGTTTGTAATCCTTGTCAGAATACATACTTTTGAATGGATCAGTTTTTGTTAAAATTGGTTATTTATTTGTGAGTAGGGACTACTCCCACTATTGAAACTTACATTGGCCTGAGTTCTTGGTGTGCTTTTTTCTTGGTATATTTAATAACAAAAACTCCAACTTATTTAACGTTTGTATTGGCAAGGCAGCTATGGCAATGGCTCACCTCTCCAAAAGGGTATGGGAGGATGTGATGCTGACATCCAATACTATTGAAGGTCTGCTAGGCTTAGTGTTGAGATGTGGCGGCAACTTACACAGGACAGGAGTGATGCGTCAACACCTTCCACATGTGCTGGGTCAGGAAGATTTTGGGCATCCCATAGCAGGACAAGTGCCTCAAACAAAATTGTGCTCTCCTAAGCCCACATTCCCATCACGAATCATGGAAATGGAAGGTACCCTGAGGGTCATCTAGTCCAACCCCAGGCAATTCAGGAATCTCAACTAAAGCATCCAATACAGTGTTGAAACAAGGAATGACCACTGGGAGGAGCACAGAGAGAAGAAAAGCCCTGGTGCATCTGCAGCGGCACAACCGGACACAACAAAGCATGCCTCTCTCATATCGGTCTCTACAGCCGCGACAGGCACTGCAACCTTCCAACAGTTTGACTTCATTCCCAAAGGTTCACTCTTCCCCAGTCTCCTAGGACAGATGAATGCCAACCAGCCAGATGCCTGTAAAAAGGTAAAAAGGTAAAGGGACCCCTGACCATTAGGTCCAGTTGTGGCCGACTCTGGGGTTGCAGTGCTCCTCTCACTTTATTGGCCAAGGGAGCCAGTGTACAGCTTCTGGGTCATGTGGCCAGCAGGACTAAGCCGCTTCTGGCGAACCAGAGCAGCGCACGGAAACGCCGTTTATCTTCCGCCCTATTTATCTACTTGCACTTTGACATGCTTTCGAACTGCTAGGTTGGCAGGAGCAGGGATCAAGCGACGGGAGCTCACCCTGTTGCGGGGATTCGAACCGCTGACCTTCTGATCGGCAAGTCCTAGGCTCTGTGGTTTAACCCATGGTGCTACCCGCGTCCCATTTAAACCCTAAATGAAACATTCTAAATGAAAAACCCCCAAATGTTGTAACTCCTTTTTCTTTTTTTTACACATTGGTATTGTCGACAGAGGGGAAGAGTAAGAGGGGAAGTCCCAAATGTTGTAACCTATCCTCATAAGAGAATAATAAACAACCAGGGAGCTAATATGGCATAGCAACTGAAGTGTCAAAGACCAAGACCTGGGAGAGACCAGGGTTCAAATCCCCACTTAGCCGTGAAGCTCACTGGGTGACCTTGGGCCAGTCACTGCCTTTTAGCCTAACCCACCTCACAGGGTTGTTCTGGAGATTAAATAATAATAATAATTTAATAATTTTTTATTTATACCCCGCCCTCCCCAGCCAAGGCCGGGCTCAGGGTGGTTAACAAGCAATAGTAAAAACAAGTTGAATGAATACAACTTAAAAACAAGATTAAAATACAACATTAAAATATTGAAACATTAAAATATTAAAATGCTGCCTCATCACAGGAGGAGAAAGGAAAAAGAAAGGGGAAGGGAATCAAACTGGCTCTGAGCCAAAGGCCAGGCGGAACAACTCTGTCTTACAGGCCCTGCGGAAAGAAATCAGATCCCGCAGGGCCCTGGTCTCATGAGGCAGAGCGTTCCACCAGGCCGGAGCCAGAGTTGAAAAGGCCCTGGCTCTGGTTGAAGCTAATCTAACTTCCTTAGGGCCCGGGACCACTAAATGAGGAGGGAGAGAACCATGTAGGCCACCTTGAGCTCCTTGGAGCAAAAGGTGGAGCAGATATGCAATCAATCAATCAATCACTAACTAACTAACTAACTAACTAACTAACTAACTAACTAACTAACTATGAACAAGTAGCAATCAAGGGGGGAGGGAACAAAGAGTCTTAATTCCTGAACTGCATTTTCTGCATTACAGTGGTACCTCGGGTTAAGTACTCAATTCGTTCCGGAGGTCTGTTCTTAACCTGAAACTGTTCTTAACCTGAAGCACCATTTTAGCTAATGGGGCCTCCCGCTGCCACCACGCCGCCGGACCACGATTTCTGTTCTTATCCTGAAGCAAAGTTCTTAACCTGAAGCACTATTTCTGGGTTAGCGGAGTCTGTAACCTGAAGCGTATGTAACCCGAGGTACCACTGTACTGGCGCCACCCCTATGGACACTCGAAAATATGTGCTGTCCTGCTCATGAGGAAGGGTGGAACGGATCAGAGAACCTGGGGAGTTTAGAAGGGACCTGGGCGACAGAGCCAGGAGATGGTTATCACCACACACAAAGTCAGGAAATTGATACAGTCACCGCTCAACTGGGAGGGTGCAGGATGAGGGCAGCAAACAGCAGACACTCCAGCTTTGGGAAGGAAGCAGGGCAGCTGTCACACTGCAGAGGGACTTCCTGCAGGGGCCTCTGGTGACCCAGGGGGAGGAGGCAACAGCTGCAGTCAAATGAGGATCTGAGAGCACGCTTTTTTCCTGACAGCCTGCAGCACCCTGGATCCAAGTTTGTGCCAGAGCTGAGCTCTGGCGGGAGGACTAGGATCCTGCCACACCTCCCATCGTAGGAACACAGAAGCTGCCTTGTATATCAAGACCACAGGTCCATCTGGCTCACTATTGCTTGACACTGACTGGCAGTGGATTTACAGGCTTTCAGGAGTTGCCTTTGCTGAGACGCTAGACCTCATACTTCTGGATGATGGGCTGGGTTAGCTAACAGAGGAAGCTGCCTTATACATGTCACATGTTAAGTCCACCTGGCTTAGTATTGTCAACAATGACCACCACTGGCTCTCTGGGTTTACAGACAGGGAGGTCTTTCCAAGTCCTACCTGGAGATGCCAGGGATCAAACCTGCATGCAAAGCAGGTACAGTGGTACCTCGGGTTAAGTACTTAATTCGTTCTGGAGGTCCGTTCTTAACCTGAAACTGTTCTTAACCTGAGGTACTACTTTAGCTAGTGGGGCCTCCCGCTGCCACTGCACGATTTCTGTTCTCATCCTGAAGCAAAGTTCTTAACCCGAGGTACTATTTCTGAGTTAGCGGAGTCTGTAACCTGAAGCGTCTGTAACCCGAGGTACCACTGTACTCTGCTCACTGAGCTATGGCCCCTTCCCCAAAGGAAAGGCAATCTGGTAGGCATTGTATACGTGTCAAAATGCTTTTGACAAAGTTCCTCAGGAAACTTTGCAGAAAGTTTAGCAGTTGTGGATGGCCCATTAAGTCCTGCATCCTGTTCTCTCAGTGGTCCACCAGACGCCTGTGGGAAACCTGCAAGCGGGACCCAAGCTCAACAACCCTCTCCTCTCCCGCTGTGGTTTCCAGCAACTGGGATTCAGAAGCATTGCCTCCAGCTGTGGAGGCAGATCATAGCCATCATGGCTAGTAGCCATTGATACCCCTTCTCCTTCCTCCTCCATGAGCTTGTCCTATCCTCTTTTAGAGCCAGCTAGGTGGCTGGCCATCACTGCCTCCGGTGGGAAGGAGTTCCATAGTTTAACTCTGTACTGCATGAAAAAGAACTTCATTTTATCAGTCCTGGATCTTCCAGCATTCAGTTTCATTGGATGTTGACCAGTACTAGTGTTAAGGTCCTGTTAAAGAACAGGAAGCAAAGAGAAAGAACTGAACTGGACAGTTCTCACAGTCAAAGGAGGTCAAACCCCATTCCTGCAACTCTAATTTGGTTTAACTGTTTTAAATACAGCACTGTTGTAACCCACCCTGGGACCTACAGCTGAAGAGTAGGTGTCTTTGTTTTAGTTGTTTTTTTAAAAAAAAATTGGCCCCCAAAAGAGCTCAATAAAATGGATGAATAGGCAACAAATTAAGAGTGCATAAAGACATATCAATGAATGTTGATGGGGGTCTGAGCCGCACAGATGTTTGGGTCACAGAAGATAACCCAATAAATAATGCAGTTTACCCGGCTGTGAAATGGACAGATTCCATGTTAGGGATCATCAGCAAAGGAACTGAAAACCTAAATGTAAATATTGTGATGGTGTGACTAACCAGACTTGGAACATGACAAAAAAATCCTGTGGCACCTTAAAGGCTAATGCGCCTGCTAACAGGCATAAGCTTTCATGGACTCAAGCCCACTTCTTTGGATAGGTGAAGTGAAATCTTAATAGGCAGGCATGCAGGAAAGAAGAGATGTAAGGTGCAAGTTGAATGGAAAGCAAGATCCGAACATTACAGTCGGTGTGATAAATGGAGGTGAAACGTGTGCTTAACATACACTGCCTTTACACTGGCAGATTAGTGATAATTTACTCAGCATGGCTGATAAGGTTGTACTCACTCATGTTATGGGAACCGTTCACCAAGAAAATATTCTGGCATTGGTAAGCTAATTCCCACATGCAGCACAAGAAGAAGAAGAAGAAGAAGAAGAAGAAGAAGAAGAAGAAGAAGAAGAAGAAGAAGAAGAAGAAGAAGAAGAAGAAGAAGAAGAAGAAGGAGAAGAAGGAGAAGAAGAAGAATTATTTTAAAAAATATGTTGTGTTAATTTAACTCACAGGTGGACTGGAGCAACTCCACTACAAGGAAAGCTAGCAACATTTGGGGCTTATCACTTTAGGGGGGAAATATAGGACCCCCCCTTCTATATATATATATATATATATATATATATATATATGAATGATGCAGGGTGTGGAGAAAGAACTCAACCCAGCTTTCTTGTGAGTAGAACCTATACACTGGGAAGCCAATTAATCTGTTAGAGCAGTCATTTAAAGATCGGAGAAGCTTCCCATTTTGAATTCCCTCTGTCCCTCAGTTTTCCTGCCTTAAGATCACTTTGCCACATTACTACATCAGTTTGCATTTTTTTAAAAAAGTCATCAGCATTTTAGTCTGCCTTATTCCTAACATACACCCATTTTGTCTGCAGTTTTGCCTAATGCACACCTATTAGCAAAACCATTTCCCTTACATAAGGCATGCTTGGGTCTTATTTTTCCCTAGCATAGTACAGATTTATATCTTATTTTTTGCTAATATGCATTTTGTACACCGTTTTTTATGTTCGTTTGGCGAAATTCGGAGAAGTGTGAATTTCAAAGGATAGCTGTGTTTTGGTTCACAGATCCTTTCGGAAAGTGAAAATTAGGGAGTTGCCCCTCAAAATGTAAATCACACCAGGTGTCTCCTCTTAAGCCTACTGTTCTTAGGCCACAATCTATTTTTAAAAAGCACTTTGTAGGCTCTGGAGAGTTATAGCCATTGAATGCAATGGAGCTTGGGGGGGGGCAGGGTACGGACAGGGTTGCATTCTTAGGATAATATATCCCGGAAGAAAATATTGGGAAATGTGAAGGATCTTGCCAACACAGAGCTAGCAGATGTGGTTAATAAAATAAAATAAAAAGCCATGGTCTTTCACCCCTCAAACTCTGCCTGGGAAGAGAGATTTTAAGACATCTTTGCTCTCCTTGGGGGAAACTGTCAAAATGACTTGATCGTCTAGAATGACATCTGGAAACAACAACAACACAAATATAGCTTCTCATTCATAAGGCCCCAATACTTAGCTGCTGGTAACAACTGCACAGAAGGATTTACACACCACAGCAGTTGGTTGGGAAGAAGTATATATTGTGCAGCCACAGTACGGGCCAGCAAATGGGTGGCTTTATAGAAGATTCTAGCTTCCTTAAATATGAATAAAGATGGGGAGCGTTGCACCCCCAGGGGGGCCAAAAGTCCTCAGAGTCAGCACACACTAGAAGCATTTCCAACACTTCCATGTAGGAAACTGTACATGCCTTGCACTCTCATAATGTGTGGGTGTAAGCCGCAACAGCCAGGAGTGCAAGCAGAGAGAATAGTCTCGCTCGGAAACAAAGGCAGTTTTGTAAAAGGGTATTCCCCTTGAAAACATGCTGTGCAACTTCACCAATTTTCCAGAGGGTATGGGAGACAAAAAAGTTTTCCCATTCAGAGTGAGTGTTTGCTCATTCTGAGTGTGGAGAAAATGTTTGCCCATTTAGAAATCAGCTCCTCACTCTGATTTGGATTTGTGATGTCAGCACACCCTAAAGAGGAAGACATCCCAGGAAGAATGTTGAGGTAGTGCCAAAATCTGCCCTCTAATTCCTCAAAAGTTTTCTTCCTCTGTAAAATAGTGGGTTTTTTATTACAGTATTTTCCTGTTTGCCATGCAATCATCTGAAACATTGCACAACACATTGTTCAGGGTGTTATGTTCAAGTTAGGATGAAGACAGGTGTGTACTGATGCTGCTTCAATGGTCCCCTCTGAGGAGCCCTTAGCTGCTTCTTCCCCTATAAGGGGAGTTTGGACTTTAGAGAAAAGACGAGTAAGAAGAAACATGACAGAAGTTTATAAAATTATGCAAGGCACAGACAAAGAGGATAGAGAAAAGTTCTTCTCCTTCTTTCACAACACTAGAAGTCATAGACATCCAATGCAGCTGAACATTGGAAGATTCAGGACATAGAAAACAAAGTACTTCTTCATGCAGCACATACTTAAAACTATGGAACTCACTCCCTCAGGCAGTAGTGATGTTTACCAACCTGGATGGCTTTCAAAGAGAATTAGACAAATTCGTGGAGAGGACTACTAGCCACAATGGCTATGTTCTGCTTCCATAGTCAGAGGCAATAAATGTTTCTGAATAGGGGTTGCTGGAAGCCACAAGAGAGAAGAGGGCTCTTGTACTCAGGTCCTGCTTGTGGATTTCCTGTTGTGGCATTTGGTTGGCCCTTGTGAGAACAAAATGCTGGACTAAGTGGGCCCACTTTGTCAGGATCCATCAAGACTCTTTTTATACCCAGCTAAGTTTTTGGAGTCCATGAGTCTCAGTTCCTTTGCTTGCAGCTTCCTATATCTCCAGGTTTTGAAAAGTCCTCAACAAAGAGCTCCAGAAAGTAACTCCATATCTTTTGGAAGTCTTGTTCTTTAATTCCCTCACTCTCTTGCCTCATGAACTGCTACTTGCAGGGTGTCTTGAATCCAGCTTTCTGCACTTGGTGTGGTCTGTGGTTTCCAGTGCCAGAGCTTTGTTACATACAATGGAATTTGAAGGAAAATGCAACTTAAGTTACTCTAGAAGAAAGTATTGGCGCACTCCAAATTGTTTGCCATGTACCTGCACAGAAAAAAGCAATACAAAGTAAATGATAATGATAATATTCCCTAGAGAATCACTTTCATTTTTATTTTAAAAAAATCTTTTTAAAGTTCTACCTGTGTTTGTTTGTTTGTTTGTTTCCAGGATCTGGACTCATCCCTTGAATAAATTTTTCATTTCTTGAGCCATTCTGGTGCCAACGCTTTTGCACCTGCTTGCCAAGCGGAGGGGAAGAGAGAAACGGAGGCGGATCGCTGGCTCCAGAGGCCCCTCCCCCTCCGAGGCCCCTCCCCCTCGCCCTCCGTCCACATGGCGAGGGCCTCACCTGAGAAGGGGAGCCAGGCGTCCGGGGAAGCGCGCACACTCTAGGTGGGTGGAGGGCTATCCGTGGATCGGGCCCTTTCAACCCACCCCCGACGGGGGCTCTGATCCCACCCAGGCTTCCCCGCTGGCCCGGCTTCCCCGCTGCTTGCTCCCGTCTCTCTCTCTCTCTCTTTTTCTCTCTCTCCAGAGAACCTTCCAGCCGTGCCAAAAAAGCCTGCTAGGTATTTGAATAGCACAAAGGAACCGCCGCGCCTCCATTGGCCGGCCGGTCCTCGGCGGGGCGGGCGCGGGCCGCCACTCGAGCCGAAAACCGTGCTCCCATAGGCCGGGGGGCGGTGCCGAAGAGAGTGCATAAATAGCGGGGGTCGGCTAAGCAAGGGCTTATTGCCCGCTGCATTCACCAAGCACGGCGGACGGTGGAGGGCGGAGAGCGAGCGAGCGAGCGCGAGAGAGAGAGCGCGCAAGGAGGGGTGCGGCTCTGCGCCTGCCCGGGGATGGTGAGCTGTGCGCCGGGCTGCTAAGACGGAGAGAGAGCCCCGCTCCAGGCCGGGCTCGGGGTGGATGTGGGCCCGGGGACGGGAATGGAGTGCGCCCTGGACGCCCAGAGCCTGATCAGCCTCTCGCTGCGCAAGATCCACAGCTCGCGGACGCAGCGCGGCGGCATCAAGCTGCACAAGAACCTCCTGGTCTCTTATGTGCTCCGCAACGCCCGGCAGCTCTACCTGAGCGAGCGCTACGCCGAGCTCTACCGCCGCCAGCAGAGCCACCACTACCACCACCCCCAGGAAGGCGGGCTGCTGGCCATGTCGCCCGTCGGAGGAGCAGGCACGCCCGCTTCGCTGGGCGAGATCGCGGCGGATTTCAGCCCTCTCCACTTGCCCGTCGAGGCAGCCGACGAGGCGGACGACGGTCTCCAGCACGGGCAGCTGCGGGGCTGCGCCTTGGCTAGAGGGGGCGGCGAGTCGGCGCTGGAGATGTCCGGGTGCGCCCAGGACGAGGAACCTTTGGCCGGACTGCCTTCGCTCATGCCGCCCGCTCAACCCCCGGCAACCCTCTCGGGGCTCTGCAGAGACTCTCCTCTGGCTTTCTACCACCGCGCCGCCACGCCGCCGGCGCCCGGGCTGCTTTACGCAGTGCCGGGGAGCTGCGACTTCTCCAGCGGAAGCAACAGCGCCAGCACAGGCTCTGCTGTGCCGTCGGGGCTGGTCCCGGCTCCGTCCCCCTCCGCCTCTCCGCACTGCTCCAGCCGCACCACTGTTTTGGACTTGGACACGCACGTGGTGACCACGGTGGAGAACGGCTACTTGCACCAGGACTGTTGCTCGCCCTGTCCTTGCGGCGGCGGCAGCAGCCCAGGCGCCGCGGTGATGGGCGTCCCCCCCAGCCCGGGCTACAAGCGCAAATACTACCCTGGTCACGAGGCCGTGGAGGAAGGAGAAGAAGCAGGAGGCGGTGGGAGACGAGGAGGAGGGGGGTCCGTCGTGGGGACGGCGACCCCCATTGGTGGTGTGGGCGGTGGCGGTCCCCCTCCTCCGTCTCACCCCGCCTTCGCTCCCTGCCCCAAGCGCGCCCGCTTCGAGGATTTCAGCGCGGAGCAGCCCCCGACGGCTCCTTCGCCGTCACCGCCGCCACTTCTGACGGCGCCCCCGACGGCGTCTCCTCCCCAGGACTCGTCCAACATCTCCAACTTGATTTCCATCTTCGGCTCCGGTTTTACCGGGCTGGTAAGCCGGCAGCAGCAACAGCACCCCTACCAAGCCCACCAGCAGCAGCAAACCCACCACCAGCAGACGCCCCAGCAAACGCCGCAGCCGGACCCCGAGCAGCCCTTGAACGGGCAACTGTGTAGCAAGCAGGCGCTGGCCAGCTTGGGGGCTTGGACGCGGGCAATCGTGGCCTTCTAGCCGGGACAGGGAAAGATCCGACGGGGCGGGAAGGAAGAAATGCCTGCTGCTTGGCTCTTTTGGTGGGGGTGGGGAGGTTGGGGAGACCCTGAAACAAAGACTGAAGTTGTGGGGAGGGGGGTGGCTTGGGGCAGTTGACAAGCCAAGCGAATGTTTGTTTTTTTTCTAAATTGTACCATAGAATTTACTTCGAAGATTCTTGCGCCTTTATTTTTCCAGAGATGATGAAGAAATAGTACCTATTTAAACAAAAAGCCCCAACAACAACAACAAGAGTTCTTTTGTGTCTTCCCCCCCACCCCTGGATGGTGTTGAGTTGTTTCGTTTTTTTATTTAACTCTTTCCAGGCTTTATTGTATTTCATTTTTATTTGCCCCCCAAAAACATTGGTGGGGAGGGGAGGAATGCAGGAGGTGAAAAGATGGATAAGGAGAATAAGCTGTGTGTGAGAGAAAAGAGTTTACACCCGAGGTTATAGTGCTTTAGGGAAAAGGTAGTTCTGGCCATTGAATTGTGACTCTCCAAAATTAGGGGAGAACTTAAATACCTGAAGCAACTCCTATCTCCCTCCCACAAGAAGTGTTGTAGAACTTGACACATTACCTTTTTCAACTGAGCCCAGAATAGTCTGCAGAACTATGGGCTGAATGGGGGGGCTTTTATGCATTATTATTATTTTTACTATTACTATTACTATTATTTAAAAAACATTTAAACCAGAAAACTGGCTGTGTTTCTTTAGCAATCTAAACTTTCCAAAATGCATTTTAAAAGGGGTGGGTTTCTATAGCTTTTCTTCTTCCTGTCCCCCAAAACAGACACATTTCTATGGGGCTGGGATGTTTCCCTGCGTAGTCGCTTGACTTCTTATAAGGGGAAGGTGGGGTGGTCCTTCCTAATTCCTGCTAGGGGTTCATAGGAGTTTTGGGATAGTGGAACAGACGGGGGTGGGGGGTGGACTCTCCTTCCTTGACCATCTGTCAAGGATGCTTTCGCTATGATTTCTGCATTGCAGGAGGTTGGAGTAGATGACCCTTGGGGTCCCTCCCAACTTTACAGTTCTATGAAACCCCCCCCCCCTAAATAATAATAAAAACTTGCTAACATAAAAAAACATAGTTGAAAACATCAACAGAGTGTACAACTTTTCCTAGTTGAAATCTGGATGATGTGATTAAGTATATGTAGCCTAATTTCATGTGAGGGTCTCTTTCCCCTTTTGTATTATTTGCCATTCCTTGAAGTATATAGTTCTGTCCAACACTGCTCTTTTTAAAAAAAAAGTTTGGGGGAGGAAAGGTGGGGAGTGATGAGATCTCAACTACTTTACCCATCATGCATAGCGCTCTCACAGGTCCTGCCTCCCTCCCTTCCCCCCAAATGTGTGTGTGTGTGAATGCCACAAGTAAATGTGTTAACACTATTTTCATGTCTTTAAATGTGGTGGGTGGTTTGTTTTTCCCCCTTCTCAAAATATTTTGAACTCTCCTGATGCAACCAGCAATTGTTTGGTCCTATGTGCAAAACAAGGTCTGTGTTTCTGTAACCCTATTCTTTTTTTCTTTCAAATAAACTTTGTGTTCTTTTTATTAAAGGGAGAAAATAAAGAACCTTTTGTTGTAAAAAGGTGGATTTTTCTGCTTTTGCCATCCAGCTTTCACATTAAAGCACTGTGTGTATTAAAGGACGCGTCCCTAAGCATTATTTTTCCCCTCTTTGTATTTCTGTATATTTTTGTGTGTGTGCATACTGAATTGTATATCACCGGGTAAAACTGTTCAGATTTGTTTAAATTTATAATCTTAATAAAAAGTCCAATTATAAAAAATGTTGAAGTGTGTGTACCTTCACAATCCTGAAAAAGACTGGCTATAGATGGCAATTTTTAAAGACCTGGTATCAAGCAGAGTTCGCAGCCAGATTCAAAACTCCCCTTCCCTCTTGGAGTTAGATCTCATTGGGGTTATATCCAGCTGAATTTTAACTGTGGGAAGACCCACTGAAATTAATGGACCAAGGGTATTCATGTTCATTGATTTCAGTGGGGCTACTCAAAGCAGAGCCAGCACTGAATCCAACCCACTAATTACAAAAGTGACTACTCTCAAGTAAATTTTCTTATTATACACATTTTTGGAGTGTCCGCTCCCTCGATCTGAGTTAAATAAGCATTGGGTCAGGATGTTAGGAGAGTATTCTTTGAGACTTCTAAATCCAATAACTGATTTGTGAAGATTTATTCCTGAAACATCTGTGATGTTAACTTTTTTTATACATTACACCTTTTGTGGAAAGACTCTGAACTTATCACAAGATACAGGCAAAATATTTGCTCACTCCAACTGCTTAACCACAGTTCCCTTGGGGTGGGAGAGTTTAATTCATCACCCAGTACTTTTTAACAGGGTCTCTCTTATTTGTAGGGGATCCATCAGCAGGGAAAGGGGACAGAGAACTGTAGAAAACTTTCTCAACACCAGGAGGAAAAACCCAGTCTGCTTTCCCTGATCCCAAACAAGTTTTCTCTCCCCCCCCCCCAAAAAAGCAAGCCACCAGCAAAGCAGCTTACTCCCAAGTAATCTCAAAGCTTGCTTTTTTTGTTTTAAAGATGAATATATTTGGGAAGTTAAATCAAGGCGTTTGCAGGGAAACCTTAAAATGCCATTTGCTCCCTTGTGTCTAAGATGTACTTCTGAAGTTTTAGGCATCCTGAGGTTTTGCTTTTTTTATAGCTGGTTAATCTCTGCTCTGTGCCACTTGGTGGTGTATATGAGTGTGTTCCACAGATACACGCGCACACCCCTCTTCCAACCAAATGAATGAAGGTAATAAAAATATTTTCTGACCACCTGCAGGCTGACCTCAGAATGATTTTGATTTTAATTTTATTTAAGCTCCGGCTTCCAGAGCAGCTTCATAGGATGGGAGGGTATTTCTGTTCTTCGGTTGCTCCAAATTTAAAGGTAAGAAATTGCTGCCTTACCTTGGGTGTGGGGTTTTTTTGCGGGGCGGGGGGCGCTTTTATTCTCCGTTGTTTTGCACCAGCCGCGTTTGCATTTGAAAGTCTGTTGTGAAGATCTTCCTACCTTGCGCACACACGCAATCGTTAAGGTGGAAAAAAGATCTTCCTTAAAACTGAGGTTTTCGTTTTTTACAAAAAATAACTTTATTATATAAAACCTCTAAATTGTAATAGGGTTGATTTTTATCACAACTAATCGCCTATTTTTGTTTTTTAAAGCAAGATTTGTAATTCCCTCTCCTTTTTTAAAAGTCGGGATTTATTTTTTAAAATAATAGTTTGTTTTTCTCCAACTAAAATCTGTTTCACAGCGGCGTGGGCTGGACGCCTCTAGGTGGTTGGCTTAACTAAGGTAGTTGCTAGAGCTCCTCCTAGCGTCCAGCTCTGGGAATGGCTGCAACTTGCTTTTTCAGGTAGAAAGGACCGGGGCGTTTTTTCCCCACCCCCAAAGCACATTTTTGCAGGAGGATGTTCGGGTGAGGTTGGGGGAAGCTGGAAGCAAACGGGATTTTCGCTTCAGTTAAGACTGGAGTGAATATGTTCAAAGTAAAAAGTTTACCCACCCCACCCACAAAATCTCTCATATAAGTTGCATTTTTTAAAAATAACAAAAAAACCGACTTTCCAGATCAAATGAATGAAAGTGGTCCGGGAGTTTGGATGAAACTTCTCTACAGCCCTGCAATTAGGAATTGGTTAGCACTCCCAGCACCCCTAACCATTGGCTGCTGAGAGTGACTGATAGCTGAAAGCCCATGGAGGGCAGCAAGTTGAGGAACACTGATTTAGGTGTCTCCCTTTCCCATATGTGCTAACACCTTTGAAGAATCATGAATAATATTTCGAGCAAGTATGCTGAGTGCCACAGTCATATATTTTGAGAAATTAAAGCACTTAGAATCAGAATCGTAGAGTTGGAAGGGATCCTGAGAGACATCTAGTCCACCCCCCTGCAATGCAGGAATCTCAACTAATGCATCCAACCTCTGCTTAAAGGTAAAGGGACCCCTGACCATTAGGTCCAGTCGTGGCCGACTCTGGGGTTGCGGCACTCATCTCGCTCTATAGGCCAAGGGAGCTGGTGTTTGTCCACAGACAGCTTCCGGGTCATGTGGCCAGCATGACTAAACCGCTTCTGGCAAACCAGAGCAGCGCACGAAAATGCCATTTACCTTCCCGCCGGAGCGGTACCTATTTAACTACTTGCACTTTGACGTGCTTTCAAACTGCTAGGTTGGCAGGAGAACCTCTGCTTAAAAACCTTCAAAGAAGGAGAGTCCATGAAATATACTCGGAGTCCTGTAGTGATTTCATGCTCTTCATTGTAGCTTGTAAAACAGTGATTGAATTGCCCCCCAAACCTCAGGCTTTTATATACATTATTTACACAATGAGTCCCGTCTGACTGGCTGATTCTGCTTCCCTCCTGGAGCCTGATTGGTCTTTTCCTGCAGGCCAATCAGTTGTTGCATTCTAGGATCCAAGCTTAGTACATTACACCCCTCCCCTCTAAGTTCCCGTTGCGCCCAGGTTAGCATTCGTAGTCGTTGAGGTATGCCAGTCGCCTACGTATGCGTTGTGGTCTCGGGTGTCTCTTGGTAGGGGTTACTGGTTCTGGCTCTTGTTCCAGGGCTGCCAGCTGTGACAGGGCCATTGAGTTGGGCGCTGCTGGTCTACTCAGTCATGGTTCTGGTTCCTGTGGCTGCTCGGCCTCGGGGGTCACTTCTGAACTTCCTAGTTCTGCCTCCCTTACCCGCTCCTCCTGCTCTATGGGCCTCACTCTTCTGCTATCCCCTTGGGATTCCTTTGTCCAGCCCTCCCTGGGTGTGTTTCGTGTAGGGCTGTGAGGACCTTTTGGCGCAGAGGCTGGGGAACGACCACCCTGCTTCCCTATAACAGGCACCCCTTGTGGGCTGACAGTTCATGTTTGCAGGTCTTATAGCCTGCAAATTCCAGCCCAGGTTTGCTACTGGGCCATCCTCGCAACTCCCAGTCCAGGACCTGGGAGATGACCCTGTCCTTCATGGAGTAGCATGCTACTTCTGGCGCCTGAATGGGACGGTCAGGAAGCTGTTCCAGGCTCATGACCTCATGTACAGGTGCTGGGTCGGGGCCGGTCTCAGGTAGTGGCAGTCTGCTGAGGGCATCCATGTGGCCCATTGCCTTCCCGGGCTCGTGGACCAGTGTATACTGGTAGCCGGTGAGGAAAATCAATCACCTGAAGATGCGGGGTGACAGTACTTGAGGGGTCTGCTTCTTGGGAGCGAATAGTCCAAGCAGTGGCTTGTGGTCGATCACAACGGTAAAGGGACACCCATACAAGAAATCATGAAATTTCTTTACTCCCTTCACGATTGCCAGGCCCTCTTTGTCTATTGCGAATAGTTCCTCTTGGCTGTGGAGAGGGTCTGGGGAAAGCAAGCCACCGGCACCTCTCTTCCATCCAGAAGTTGGTGGCCTAGTACGGCGCCAACACCACAGGGTGAGGTGTTGCATGCCAGCACCACCAGCAACCTCTTGTCAAAGTGTGCCAGGACTGAGTTCGAGATGAGCAGGTCTTTCACTGCTTGGAGCGCTGCCCCCACACCCACGGGGTCCACTTGTCTAACAGTCTGTGTAGGGGCTCCACTACCGCTGCCTTGTGCGGTAAGAAGGCATGGTAAAAGTTCAATAGTCCCAAGAAGGCCTGGAGTTCCGCCTTACCCTTAGGTGCTGGGGCATCACAAATAACCCGCACCTTGTTGCCGGTCAGGTGGACTCCATCTGCGTCCACTGTAAATCCTAGAAAATCTACCTGTTGCACTCCTAGCAGACACTTTTCCTGCTTCACCTTGAGGCCGGCCGTCTGGAAGCAGTGCAGGATGGTGCGGAGTCGGTCCCCAAATTCCCCCAGCGTGGTCCCAGCGATCAACACATCATCAAAGAAGGGGGTGATGCCAGGAATTCCTTTGAGGAGAGAGTCCATTAGATTTTGGAATATGCCTGGCGCCACGCTGACGCCAAATTGCAGCCGCTTGACACGGAACATGCCCCTGTGCGTTACAATTGTCTGTGCCTTGGCGGTGGCCTCGTCCACTGGCAACTGCTGATAGGCCTGGGCCAGGGCCAGCTTGCCAAAAATCTTAGACCCCGCCAAGGTGGCGAGGACATGGCTGACCACTGGCACTGGGTATGTATGAGCCATAAGGGCCTTGTTTATGGTACATTTGTAGTCTGCGCAGATGCGGACTGAGCCGTTGGGCTTGACAGGTGTGACGATTGGGGTTTCCCAGGGGGCGTTAGGCACCGGCTTGAGCACTCCTTGCTCCACGAGCCAGTCTAATTCCTCGTTGATCCGGGGTTTAAGGGCGAATGGGACCCAGTGGGCCTTGAACCTGATGGGTCGTACGGTGGTGTCTAGTTGTAGGCCAATGGGGGGGGGCTGTATATCATCCCAATGCCCCATCGAAAACCTCCGGAAACTCTTTGCAGATGGCATCCACATCCACGTGTGAGGTAGTGCGGTTCACCCCGGTGATGGCTAGCCCCAGTGGCCCAAACCACACCAACCCCAGTAAGCTAACGTAGGGCTCCTTGACCACGATCAAGTCCAATCACCGCTTCTGCCCTCGATATTGTACATTGAAGGTTCCCACCCCCATCATGGGGACCTTGCGTTTTTGGAAGTCCCAGAGGGTGAATGGGGCCGGCCTAAGCTTGGGGCCGCCACTGGGACACAATTTCCTTAATGTCCATGCCAAGATTATGGTCAGGGTTGAGCCTGTATCAAGCTCCATACAGCACGGGGCTCCCTCTATCTGTACCTTGATGTAATTTTTTTCCGCATTAGAATGAGGCAACTGGTATACCTGACAGTCTGTGATCTCCGTCGAGTTGCCTTGGTGTGTCAGACCACAGGGCCTGGGAGTCTTGGGTCGGCCATCTGGTTCAAGGTGTCGGGCACGGCACACCCGGGCAATGTGTCCCACTTTTCTGCATTGTTGGCATTCTGCGTTGCAGAAACAGCAAGTCCTCCACTCATGGCTCTCCCCGCAGCTTGCGCAGTTCCCCTCTTCCGGACGAGGCTGTCGGACGGGCATGCGGCTTGTGTGCGCTGCTGCACTCGGTGCACATCTTCCCGGTCGGATTCTGAGTCATCAGTGAGGTCCACATGGTGGACCCTCGGTTGGGAAGACATGTTTGACTGGAATCCTTGCGCTGACCTCTCGGAGGCTTCAGTTGCTAGAGCCTCCTCTAGAGTGACCTGGAACATCAGGTCCTTCTTGGCGTAGAGGTACCGCTGCAGCTTCTCATCCCTCAGGCCACCCACGAGGGGGTCACGGAGCATGTTCTCCAGCTCTGTGAAGTTGCAGAGCCGGGCAGCCTGGCAGAGGGAGGTCACATACCCGGTTATGGTTTCTCCTGGGGCCTACGCTTTGCGTAGACGGCGTTGCGACATGCTACCACTGAGGGCTGTGGCAAGAAGTGCCCCTTCAGCCATTCCATTATCATGTCGTAAGGAACAGTTGCAATATTTGTGGGAGCGAGGAGGGCTCGGGCGATCTCGAACGTTTCTTCTCCACAGACGCTGAAGAAGGTCGCCCTCTTCTTGGCTGCGTCAGTGACATCCTTTGCCTCCAGGAGGAACTGGAAGCGGGTGGCATATTCTTCCCAGTCTCCTGAGGCTGGGCTGAATGGCATGAAGCTGTTGTCTGTCGCCATTCTAGGTCCTTGGGTCCTGGAGCTGTAGCCTGGATGTGCAGTGCGGTGCTGTGTTGCCTGTGGCAGCTGTGTGCGGTGCGCAGCAGATAGCTCAGCAGGATCCCACCTTCGTCACCAGTGAAATATACTTGGAGTCCTGTAGTGATTTCATGCTCTTTATTGCAGCTTGTAAAACAGTGATTGAATTGCCCCCCAAACCTCAGGCTTTTATATACATTATTTACACAATGAGTCCTGTCTGATTGGCTGATTCTGCTTCCCTCCTGGAGCCTGATTGGTCTTTTCCTGCAGGCCAATCAGTTGTTGCATTCTACAATCCTACCAGCCTAATAGGCTGATTAACTTCCTCCTGGAGCCTGATTGGTCTTTTCCTGCAAGCCAATCAGTTGTTGCATTCTAGGATCCTACTTGCCTATTATTCTAGGTTCCAAGCTTAGTACATAACAGTCCACCACTTCCCGAGGGAGTCCATTCCACTGTTGAACAGCTCCTACTGTCAGAAAGTTCTTCCTGATGTTTAGTCGGAATCTCCTTTCTTGTAACTTGAAGCCAGTGGTTTGGGTCGTACCCTCTGGAGCAGGAGAAAACAAGCTGGCTCCATCTTTCACATGACAGCCCTTGAGATATTTGAAGATGGCTATCATGTCTCCTCTCAGTCTCCTCTTTTCCAGGCTAAATATACACAACTCTCTTAACTGTTCCTCATAAGGCTTGGTTTCCAGACCTTTTATCATCTTGGTTTCCCTCCTCTGCACACATTTCAGCCTGTCAATATCCTTCCCAAACTGTGGTGCCCAGAACTGGGCACAGGACTCCAAGTGTGGTCTACCCAAGGTAGAATAGAGCAGTACTATGACTTCCTTAGATTTGTTGAAGCAGCCTAGAATAGCATTAGCATTTTTTGCTGCTGCATCACACTGTTGACTCATGTTAAGCTTGTGTCCTACTAAGACCACTAGATCCTTTTCACTAGTACTGGCAGGCCAGGTGTCCCCCATCTTATATTTGTGCTGCCGGTTATTCCTGTTAAGTGTAAGGTAAAGGTAAAGGGACCCCTGACCATTAGGTCCAGTCGTGACCGACTCTGGGGTTGCGGCACTCATCTCACTTTATTGGCCAAGGGAGCCGGCGTACAGCTTACGGGTCATGTGGCCAGCATGACTAAGCTGCTTCTGGCGAACCAGAGCAGCACACGAAAATGCCGTTTACCTTCCTGCCGGAGCGGTACCTATTTATCTAGTTGCACTTTGACGTGCTTTTGAACTGCTAGGTTAGATCCTTACAATTGGTCCTATTGGAATTCATTTATTTTTTTTAGTTTTGGCCATAGCTGTCAACCGTCTCTTATTTGGCGGGAAACTCCCTTATCCCAGCACCATGTCCCACTGCTGTCCCTTATTGATGATGTCCCTTAATTTTCCCGGGTTTCATGCTCGCCTGGCTCAGGAGGGTAGCAGCGGCTCGGGGTCCTCCACCGCGAGAGAGAGCGTGCACGCGCACGAGCTGCCGCGTCTCCATCTCTCCCTTTTCCCCTTCAGGGGCGCATCGTGAGGAGCCGGGTAAGCAAAATCCCTTATTTTGGCTGCTGATACCTTATTTTCGAGGCTGCTGGTCCCTTATTTTCAAATCTGTAAGTTGACCGCTATGGTTTTGGCCCAGTTCTCCAAATTGTTAAGGTCATCTTTGAATCCCAATTCTGTCTTCAGTGGCATTGCCTATCCCTCCCAGTTTAGTGTCAAATGCAAATTTGATGAACATCCCCTCAATTCCTTCATCTGTCATTTATAAAGACGTTGAACAACAATGGGCCCAGGACAAACCCTGTGGCACCCCACATATCACTTTTTTCCAGGATGATGAGGAACTCTCGGTGAGCACTCTTTCGGTTCAGTCAGGCAATCAGCTACAAATCCACCTAACAGTTATCTCATTCAGCCCACATTTTACCAGATTTTCTGCAATAATATCATGTGGGACTTTGTCAAAAGCCTTTCTGAAATCAAGATACACCACATCCACAGCATCCCCCTATCCTCCAAGCTTGTAACTCTATCAAAAAAATAAATAAATTAGATTTGACTGGCATAATGTTTTTGAGAAACCCATGCTGGGTCTTAATAACCACAACATCCTTTTCTAAGCACTCACAGACTGACCGACTAATGATGTTTTAGGACATTTCCTGGTATTCATGTCAAGCTCACAGGTCAGTAGTTCCTTGGGTCCTCTTTTCCCCCCTTTTTGAAGATGGGAACAATATTTGCCCGCACCCAGTCCACAGGGACCTCACCTGTTCACCAAGAATTCTCGAAGATTATAGACAGAGATGACATCCACGGGTTCCTTTTGCTCCCTTGGGTACAGCTCATCAGGCCCTGGAGATTTGAATTCATTTAAATTAGCTAGGTGTTCCCTTATCACCTCTTTTCTTATCTTGGGCTACAGCTTCCCTCCCTCCCCCCCCCCCCGCATCCTTTATTCTGTTATCAGCAGGTTGGTCACTGTTTTCCATTTGGGTGAAGACAGAAGCAAGTAGGTGTTGAGCAATTCCACCTTCTCTCTGTTCACAATAGCATTTTCTCCTTTTCCACGTAAGGGATCTCTTCTTGCTTGTTCTTCCTCTTCCATCAAACACAGCCAAAGAAACATATTATCATTATTGTCCTTTGTTAGGGAAGTCTATGGTCATAGCAGAACCTCCACATCCAGGGGCAGTCTACCTCTGTGTACCGGGTGGGGGGGACAAGAACTGGAGAGTGCTGTTGCACTCAGGTCCTGCTTGGGGGCTTCCTGTAATAGGCATCTGGTTGGTCATTCTGAGGACAGGATGCCAAGCTAGAGGGCCCCCTTTGGCCTGATCCAGCAGGGGCCACTCAAAGCCATTCCAAACACATGTGTGTTCCAGTCTATAAGGCAGAGATGGGGGGAATCTGTGAGCCAATAATAATAATAATAATAATTTATTTATACCCCGCCCATCTGGCTGGGCTTCCCCAGCCACTCTGGGCGGCTTCCAAAAAATATTAAAATACTGTAATACATCAAACATTAAAAGCTTCCCTAAACAGGGCTGCCTTCAGATGTCTTCTAAAAGTCTGGTAGTTTTGTTCTCTTTGACATCTGGTGGGAGGGCATTCCACAGGGAAGGCGCCACTGCCTGGTTCCCTGTAACTTGGCTTCTCGCAGTGAGGGAACCGCCAGAAGGCCCTCGGTGCTGGACCTCAGTGTCCGGATAGAACGATGGGGGTGGAGACGCTCCTTCAGGTATACAGGACCGAGGCCGTTTAGGGCTTTAAAGGTCAGCACCAACACTTTGAATTGTGCTCGGAAACGTACTGGGAGCCAATGTAGGTCTTTCAAGACCGGTGTTATGTGGCCCCGGCGGCCACTCCCAGTCATCAGTCTAGCTGCCGCATTCTGAATTAGTTGTAGTTTCCAGGTCACCTTCAAAGGTAGCCCCATGTAGAGCGCATTGCAGTAGTCCAAGCGGGAGATAACCAGAGCATGCACCACTCTGGCGAGGCAGTCCACAAGCAGATATGGTCTCAGCCTGCGTACCAGATGGAGCTGGTAAATAGCTGCCCTGGACACAGATTTGACCTGTGCCTCCATGGACAGCTGTGAGTCCAAAATGACTCCCAGGCTGCGCACCTGGTCCTTCAGGGGCACAGTTACCCCATTCAGGACCAGGGAATCCTCCACACCTGCCCGCCTCCTGTCCCCCCAAAACAGTACTTCTGTCTTGTCAGGATTCAAACTTAATCTGTTAGCCGCCATCCAACCTCCAACCGCCTCCAGGCACTCACACAGGACCTTCACTGCCTTCACTGGTTCTGATTTGAAAGAGAGGTAGAGCTGGGTATCATCTGCATACTGATGAACACCCAGCCCAAATCCTCTGATGATCTCTCCCAGCGGCTTCATGTAGATGTTGAAAAGCATGGGGGAAAGTACGGAACCCTGAGACACCCCACAAGTGAGAGCCCAGAGGTCTGAACACTCATCCCCCCCCCACCACTTTCTGAACACGGCCCAGGAGGAAGGAGTGAAACCACTGTATGACAGTGCCCCCAGCTCCCAGCCCCTCTAGACGGTCCAGAAGGATGTTATGGTCGATTGTATCAAAGGCCGCTGAGAGATCCAGCAGAACTAGGAAACAACTCTCACCTTTGTCCCTAGCTCGCCGGAGATCATCAACCAGTGCGACCAAGGCAGTTTCAGTCCCATGATGAGGCCTGAATCCCGACTGGAAGGGCTCCAAATGGAAGGGCTCTAGACATAGTTGTCCCCCATCTCCCATTATCCCTGACCAAGCGCCATGGTGGCTGGTGGGAGTCAGAAGTCCAACAGCAGCTGAAGGCTGCAGTTGACCCACACAAGGTATCCTTTTCAGTCTTTGCCATGTGAATCCATCTCTACAAAGCTGCTTACTGTTTCCCAGAGCCAGTCTCAAGCATGTCACTCTCTCTTGCCTAACCTCGGTGCTGGACCTCAGTGTCCGGATAGAACGATGGGGGTGGAGACGCTCCTTCAGGTATACAGGACCGAGGGTTGTTGTTTTTGTTAAGGTGACATAGGAGGCATGTGGTCTTCTCAGAAGGAGGGCGGGGTGAGATGGTAAGAAAGTGTGTGTGTTAAAAACAGAGTGGTTTACAAGAATTCCAAATAAAACATACAATTAAAAACTATGTAAAATGTTAAAATCAGAAATCAGTTAACTATTATAGAATGATGTATTCTTAATTCTTAAAACCCAATATATTGTTGGATGCATTCAGTTGAAGAGGGAAAATAAATATGCATGTTGAAACTGGTAAAGCTGTTCAGTTCCTTCTTGTGTAAAATATATCTCATTTTTCTCCCTTTTCCTGTGGTTTTGGTACGACCATTTCCCTTTCTTTTTCACCTATAAGTGTATTCTGAGAAATAAAATAATTGTAATGTTTAATTAGAATAATCCAATTTATAGAAGTATAGGTGTGCGTTTGTGAGAGAGAGGGAAATGTGGGGGACAGACAAAGGCCTGAATGCCTAGCGAGGGGGGGTGTTTAGAGGCTCCAGCTGCTGAGAATGCACCCCCTCTTCTTCTTCCCATCTCCTTCCTCCAGGGAAATCAAGCATCTCCTCTTTTCTCAGGGTGAAAGTTACTTTCTGGATGCTGCAACAGACGCAGAATGAAAGACACTGGAGGCCCCCATGCGTCACCACGTGCATCCCAAAGGTGCCTCCCAAAGCATCAATATGCTCTGCTCGCTTGCTCCCACCATGGACTTGAGAGCGCTTTGCACAGATCCTGTTCAGCAGTGAAATCCATTTATTTTATTTTTAAATAACACAGACAAATGGGTACAGACGTGCACAGTGGTGCAGGCTGTGCAGGAACAGAGTTTGCTTCTTGACAAGAGTCAGTCTCTCTCTCTCCTGAAAGCCCAAACCCAGCCTTATATGCATATTCATAAGCACCTGATAAATTAATCATGATGTCAGTAACACTCAGGCTGCAAGGGAGGTGACAGGCAAATTTTGCCCTCTCCCCAGCATCTTTCCCTCATATTGGCTTACCGCTTTCTTGATTTTTGTTCCTGGTTTCCAAACACTGCTCTCAGGCATCTCTCTCAAAGAACAGTGATTGAATTAGCTAGATAAAATGAACTCATCCTTGGAAGAAAAAAAATTAAACGGGGTGTGTGTGATTTGTTTGGGAGCACAAGGTCAACCTCTGCTTTCAGCCCCCCAAGCTACAAGGATTTGCAAATTAATAACAGTAGGAACAGACATCTGAGCATGCAAAGAGTGTGTTTTCACCCTCCTGGATACACATAGGATGAAGGCATTGGGTTTTCCTGGCCAATGGCATGATGAGCTGCTCAGCTGATTCCACTGTAGCTAGTAATTCCTGATAGCTACATCTAATGATTAAGGCTGTTCCATGTGGTCTAGAAAGGTGACCTTTGGCACCCGATTACTTTGATTGCTTTAAAAGGATTGCAAAGAAATTGACTGTTTTTTCCACCCTTGCCTTAAAACAGGAGACTAAGAAGTGGCTTAGATGTCTTCCACGCAACCCGGAAAGCAGAAAAATGGTAGCCCATGACACCCAGATGAATTAGCAAGGGTCCTTCTATAGGCAAAGCATGAGCTACAGCCCTTCCCCTAAAAATAAAGGTTCTAGTCATCATTATTCAGGAGGGCTGGATTAAATGAGAACATGGGAAGCTGTCCTACTTAGGGTTAGAGACGATTGGTCCTTTTAGTTCGGTACTGTCTATACTGATTTGCAGCAGCTCTCCAGGCTCTCAGGCAGGGAATATTCCCATACCTACCTGTATATGCCACTGGGGATTGAACCTGGATACTGTGGATACTGAGCTATTATAGAGGTTCTGTTGCCTGTCCATGCTCTTAAGCCAGCCTTGAGGAGGGCAGAAGCCAGGTGGCATCTAGGAGTGTGGGTTCATAAATACGGCATCATGCTTTATTTTACTAGGAAAATAGGCTATCTAGCACTTTCTGTTTTCTGTTTGTAAAAATCCCATATGCATTAGTTCCTCCCTGTAGTTTGACCAGGAAATAAATCCCTACTTTATGGGGTCTTCTTGTTTTGAACAGTTCATTAAAAAAAAAAAAAAAAACCAGTTTGCTCCTTAAAGCCAAAGCAATGACCAGCACCACAAACAGTGGAAAATGCAATTTGGATTTGACTCATTTGCAGCTCAAAAGGTCAATGTGGGTTTTTGCACAGAAGAAAGCTCCAGATAAATAGGATTTACTCCTGAGTAAGCAGACCTAAGATTGCAACCTTCAGAGAGTTTCTTCCCTGATAGCCTCCTGATAGCGATGACTGATGAAACCAACTTGGAACGCTTGACTGAAGGGCTTGAAAAAGTAAACAATTCTTCCAAAAGTCTTCTAAATGTTTTGCAACACACTCCTTTGGATCAAATTCCTGTTGAAATTTCAGTTTTAATTACGGTAAATCAACCCCAGAGGAATGTTAAAAAGACTATGCAACTGTTGCATACAGTTTTATCTAGAGCTGTTACATTTAGTAGTTTAATTGCTTCAAACATAGTAACATAAGAAGAGCCCTGCTAGGTCAGGCCAATGGTCCATCTAGCCCTCTTCTCAGTGGCCACCCAGATGCCTCAACAGGAAGGTCCAAAAACAGGATTTGAGAACACTCCCCACTTGTGATTTGCAGAAACTGGTATTCAGATACATTACTGCCTCCAACAGCAGAGGCAGACTATGAATGAGGTCAGTGGCACATCTAGTCCAGAATCCTGTTCCCACAGTGGCCAAGCACAACAGCACTCTCCCCTCCTAAGGTTTCCAGTAGCTGGTATTCAGAAGCATCGCTGCCACCCACAATGGAGGCTGAGCATAGCAGCAGGCAGAAAAGAGCCAGTGTGGTACAGTGGTTAGAGGAGCCTTTCTCAACCTTGGGTCCCCAGGTGATGTTGGACTACAATTCTCATCATCCCTTCCCACTGGTCCTGCTAGCTAGGGATGTTGGGAGCTGTAGTACAACAACATATGGGGACCAAAGGTTGAGAAAGGCTGTGTTAAAAGTGTCAGACTAGGACCAAGGAGACCAGGTTCAGCCCCCACCCCGCTGCCATGAAACTCACTAGGTGACCTTGGGCCAAACACTGCCTCTCAGCCTATAACCTACCTATCAATGTTGTTAGGAATTAAATGAGGAGGGAGAGAAGCATGTATAGCACCTTGAGCTCCTTGGATAAAAAGGTGGGCTATAAATTCAACAAACAAACAAGGAAATAAGGCCTGACAGGGCAAACTGTAGGAAGACAGGCAGAGCTCAGCCTTCCCCAACACACACTTCCCTGCCATGCCCTCGCTTTGCAGATCTTCTGTTTTAAGGCATAGAGAGGGCTTATTTTTAGCTTGTAAGCGTTTCAGGGCAGGGACTGGTCCTCAGAATGTGTTCTGGTTTGCAACTATTCTATGGTGAGTACATGAAGGTCCGTTACAGGATTAACATTCCATTAAACTAGGCTGGGGGACTTTCTTTCAATCCCAGGGCCCGCACTGCAGTAGTGGGCACGGGCAGAGGGGGAAATGGGTGGAGCCTCAAGTTTGAGATGGGTTAAAGGTAATCTGCTTTGATCTGTTTTTGGAGCAGATCAAACTGGGTTTGAGGTTTTATTCCCAGGCAAACCTGGCAATGCTGAGGATTGAACCTGCAGCCTTTTGCATCCCCTAAAGCAGGTTTTCAACCTTTTCGAGTCCATGGCTCCCTTGACCAACTATGTTATTTCTGTGACACTCCTGTGGGGCTCAGGAGCCCCGTTGTGTCACCCCTTGCCTGTAGAACTGGCAGCCTCTTACCCTTTTACGAACACCCTCCCTTGTAGAGTGTTCCTTCAGCTTCCTCTCCTCTCCCCTCTCCCTGGTCTCTGAGCTGCCCCCGCCCCTGCCCCAAAGAGAGGTGCCACCTCACACTGTCCCACAGGGGCCTGGGACCCTCTGTCCACTCCCAATAGCAAGGGCTGGCAGACTGGCTGGCTGGGCTCCCTCGCCCACTTGCTTGCTTACTCTGAGGCTGCCTCAGCTCCTGGCAGCTAGCACCCCCTGGCCAGCCCCAGAGGCACCATTCACCTGGAGAGCTTGTAGCCAGGGCTGCTGCAACAAACAGCTGTGCAAGCCTTTGGGAGGCAGAGATGTGAGAGGGCATCAAAGCAGAGAGGGAAGGAAAAAGGGACAAGGACCTGTGTTGCCCACGGCACTCCATCATTCAAGGCACCCCAGGGTGCCACGGTACACTGGTTGAAAACCACTGCCATAAAGGTAAAATTCTAGTCCTCAAGGTTCTGAATAAAGGGCTGAATTTAATGGGATAATGGGAACATTGGTCATCTAGCTCAGTACTATCTACACAAACCAGCAGCAGCTCTCTAGGGTTTCAAGGAGGGAACATTCCCAGCCATACCTGGAGATGCTGTCTGGGACTGAACCCGCAAGCTTCCACAAGCAAAGCAGATGCTCTGCCATTAAACTACAGCCCTTCTTGGGAACATTGGAACCTGCCTTATACTGAATCAGAACTAGCTCAGTACTGTCAACACTGACTGGCAGTTGAAGATTCAGGTCACAATCAAACCTGGGATTTTCTGCAAGCAAAGCAGGTGTCCTACATCTAAGCTATGGCCCTTCCTTTTAAATAAAGTAATAAACTAGTCCTAATAGTTCTGAATAAAAGGCCAGATTAAATAGGAGCATTAGGGTGCTGCCTTATACAGAGTCAGACCATTGGTCCATCTAGCTCAGTACTGTCTACACATACTGGCAGCAGCTCTCCAGGATTTCAGGGTCAGGGGTGTCACCCAAACCTACCTAGAGATGTCATGCAGGGCCAACCCACCCTCTATCCAGAGTAAGGCAACTGCATTTGGGAGGAGCAGCAGATCTGGGCTCCCAAGGAGCACAGTACTTGATGCCTCCTTTACTTGTCACTCATCACCATCCCCTTCAATGCACCAAGGCTTCCCCAGGCCACCTTCAGCTGCCTCAGGTGGCAGCAGAGGATGAGGCACCAGTAGCAGCAATGGGGGCAGAGAAGGAGGCAGTGACAGGGGAGCAGCATTTTGTGTTTTGCCTCAAGCAGCAGAATGTCTTGGGCTGGTCCAAATGTCAGGGATTGAACCCAGGGCTTTCAGTGCTGCCAGAAAAAAAATTCTGCCCCATCCCCTTCCATACGACTGTACCAACCCCTCACGCCGAACAAACCACGACAGCCATTAGATGCAAAACATGAAACTTTTTCTTCTTTTTAATTCAAACCACAATGCTAGAGGAAACCAGAGGAGTCAGGAAAGAGTGCCATGCACAGAGAGCCTTGTCAGGTGGTGATTCTAGGCCAAGGGGAGTTACATGCGCTTCTTGGGTGGGGGGTGTTTGCAACAGTCAGCAGAGGCGACAGAAACCATGCCCAAGGAACAGGAGGGTGGGTGGTCCATGGGAGGAGTTGAGCTACAATGAAGGACCCAGGTTTTTGCAAAAGACGAAAGAGGAGGCAGCTGTTACACCACTAATGGTTGATGCATTCAATGAGTGCCAAAATTAGGCCTTCTCAAAGGATGGTGTGTATACATTAACAGGGAGGTATCCTGTTCCAATTTTCAAGCTGGCCAAGGGAGCCCGCTGCCCTGGCAGACACATCTTCGATAAACAGGTTTGCCAAGCTTTTAGTTCCAAAACCTGCCAAGCCTGTTTCACCCAGAGGCAAGAGCAAAATGAAACATTAATGCTTCAGTCCCTGAAATGTGAAACCACTCTCTCTCAAGCCAACTCCAAACTTCTTTAAGTTGTCTATCTCCAACTAAGTGTGTGGAGGGTTAAATGTGGAAAAGGGGTGTGGTTTTTAACTGGATGGGTCAAAAGAAAGCTCATCTCCAGCTATTACACATATAATGATTTTGTGCTGGTTTTTCCACGTAGGATATGCAAATGGGAGGGGGGTGCAACCCCTGCATTTATGCACCTTCCTTCTCATGCCTACCACTTAGATCAGGGGCGGGACCCTCCCAATGTTGTTAGCCCTCCCAATGTTGTTAGGACTCGCAGCTGGTGCTGATGGAAGTTGGGAGTAAAACAACGTATGAAGGGTTGCACATCTCTCTCACAAAGCTCCACACCAAGAGTTAAAGAGGCTGCAAACTCACAGCAGGATAAGAGTAGTGTGTGCAGTCCACACAAAGTGGCTGAACCCTCCTTTTTTGGGGTCTGTTTAAACATGAACTTGCACACAAGACTCCAAAAGAAAAGAAATAAGGGAGACCTTCAAAATGCTCCATTCCCTTGGAACCAGTCAAGAGTGCCGAGATTAGAACAAGGTCTAGAGCAGAGGTAGTGTTCAGCCAAGGTGGAGCCACCTCTGAACACCCAAAGGTCCACACTCATGAACCCGCCAGCCAAAAGAAGTCCAGCCATTGGAAAAGGGGACAATAAAGGCAATTTTTGGCAATGCTGAAAATTATTTTTAAAGGCTATCTCCAACGTGTAAAATAAAAAATAACCTACCATCAGAATTTAGTAATTAGCAGTGGGGAAGGGTGATCCTGTGGTTGAAAGAAGCAAAGAATTAACACCAAGGCAGGGCACGGCAAGGTCTTTTGCCTAGTTTAGAGTTGGGACAGTTCCCAGTGAGCTCAAACCAGTTTTGCTCAGCCTAGCAAACCTTTGGCTCTCAGTTCTTCCACTAGCTCCTAGGAAAAGGAGCTCTCAAGCAACCCTCTGTAAAAATACAAGCCAAAATTAATTATCACCTGCACAAAACTTTGCACGGTGTAGGACTCAAGGCTGTACAGGACCCAGGCAGCACTCAATCAAATTGTTAAGAGCCCTGCCAAGTGTAGCAAAAAGCCCTGAGTGCTGCCTGGGTTGAATGAAGTAAAGCCCAGGTCTTTCTGAAGCAGCCCAGCAGACCTTGCAAGGGGAGCATACAGCCACGTTCTTGAACACCTCTCTGAATTTTTATTTTTTATTGCAAAGATCACCCAAAAGCTTTGCAGCAACCCCCCCGACAGACAAACCCTCTTTGTATGTGGATGGAGGGTAGTTTTTTTTTTTAGTTGGTGCCTGCAAAAATGTTCTGTGAACCTGTTTGCGAGGAACCTGAGGGAGGGAGCACTTGACAACATGTTGCCTCCAAGGGGATCATGAAATGGGATGCATCTGAACCAGCTTGAAGCTGAACTGATGGTCCTGCCTCTCTCCAAAAGCATAACACATTTAGTTTGGCAACAGTACTGGAAATGGGAGGGAGAGCACCCCATTTCCTCCCTAAACTACTAGCCCCTAGTTTCTCTGCGAAGGAGCCAAGTCACAGCTCAAGTAGGTTAGAGACAGGTTTTGATGATGTAGACAGGACCCATAACTAAGATGACGGGGGGGGGGGAGGGAGGGGAGAACACAGATGCCCTCTTACACTTTTGCAACCAGGAATAAAAACATTTAGGGAGGCCTCAGATAGGAAATGTGGAGCCCCTCAGGATGATATCAGACTGGATTCCCTAGACTGAAATACAGCAAGCTTTTAAAAATATAGATATAAAATAGAACAAAAGCAATGGGCGCAAAGGATAGTCCTGTGCAGGGGGAGGGAGAGCGAAAGAGAGGGCACATACTGTTGTGGTCCAGTGTTAAAAGTCATGGGATCACATTCCAAGGCGGGTTTTCCCTTCTTCAAAATGCAGGGGGAGGGGTCTTTAAGAGAGTCAGAAAATCTTCCTGGTGGTTTGTCCCACATCCCCAAAAGTTGGAAAAAAATAATCCGCGGAAATGAATGGACTGCATTGCCTGAGGGCCGGGGGTGGGGCTGAATGGGCAGAGCTCTGGCCCTTCACTCTGCTCTCTCCAGTGTTTTCTGACCCCCTCTCTTTTTTTCCAGAAATGGGGGAAAGAATACCCTCCAAAACCTCCTTAAGATGCAACAGGCTGAATGGAGAGGAGGCTGCCGAACTTGAAGTGCTGGATCACAGGGAACTTCTCCAGGCACTGGGAAGAAGACAAAGAGAACATTTGGCTGGGGCCTCTTTCAACACCCACCCACCCCACAACTTGAGCTGGAGAGAGGTTTTGCTCCAGGCCCACCTCCCTCTGCTTTGACCTTACCTCTGCTTTGTACATGCGAATGAGGCCTTGGTTGACCTTCGCCCATGAAGGGACAGCGCTAATGTTCCACAGCTGGTTGGAGTGCTCAGCAAATGGGCCTGTCTTCATCTGGAAGACAAGACACAGACAAGCCATCACCACAAGGCACTGGCACACCCCGTTCCAGACCACCACTGGACAGGATGTCCCCAATGTCCTTAACCACACAGCTACTTGATCTGCACTCCTTATTTCCCACTGGATGCCATCATCCAGGCCAATGAAATCTGTTCTGCAGAAATACAAGGGCAGGGCAGCTCTGGTGCTTACACCATTCCCCTCTAGCATGGCTCCAGTACTGGACTCTGCTGTTCCTCCTCCTGACATGTGCACAAAGGCATCCTCCTCCTTACCCCAGGCATCATGACCCTAGTCCTACTCCCTGCAGTGAAGGGACCCAAACACTACACTATGATTCAATTGTTCTATTCTCCTTATTTATCACCATCATTTATAGCCACCTAAATTTACTACGCAGAATGGAAGCAAAACCTGATGCTGACCTGTGATGGGGCCTTTTTGGTGTTTGCTCTCCCACTGCAAAATGCCTTCCCTAACAAGGTGCATCCTGTCTCCCTCTGCTTTCAAGAGAAATTTTTAAACATTCCTGTTTACCCAGGCGTCTGATGGCTGAAAAAGACTGCTCCTGACAATCCCAATATCATTGGATGTATTTTTTCTTTAATTCATAATTGCTTTTAGAATGTTTTAAGAACATCAAAAGAGCCCTGCTGACCCATCTAGTCCAGCATCTGTTCTCACAGTTGCCAACCAGATGCCTCTTCTGCGAAACCAAGCAAGATCTGAGCATAAGAGCACTCTCCCCTCCTGCGCCTGCCAGCGACTGAGATTCAAAAGCATCGCTGCCACAATCTCCTTATCCTCCTTCAGCCGTCCTTTCACTCTCTTGTCATCAAACCACCACCCTAGATGGTTTTCTGCTACTCATATATTTTAAAAACATTGTTGCTGAACTTAATGTTTTTAACAATGTTTTAGTTTTAATTGTAATTTGCTTTAGGAATGTTTCTAAAATGGATTGCAATGTTTTGATCTGCTTTAGGATGCTTTTGCTTTGTTTTTAAATTGTGTGTCTGTTTAATGTTCTGGGCAACAACGGCAACAACAACCGATTGTTGGTTTGACAGACGTTTTGCTTTGATTGTTAGTGGGTTGTTGTTTTAATGGAAGAGTGAGGTATAAGTCAATAAAGTATTATTTTAAAAAATACAGCAGTTTCTAGAGACCAAGATAATCCACAGATAAGGTTAGGGGAAAACAAGGGTGGGGGGAACTCAGTTTGGGCCTGGAGTGGAAGTGGGGGCGGAAGAGAGAAATAGATTCTGGGCACACCCAGAGAATGCAACTTACTCTCAAGGGAAGGCAGGGGGAATGGAGGCAAACTTCTTGTGGGAAGATTCAGTGACATCATCAACCACAAGGCCAAAAAAAGGAACTTGGGAAAATAAGGAACTTTTGACAATGCAGGGGTGTTTTGAAGAAGAAGAAAACCTCACTTCCTCCCCCTCCCCCTTCCAAAATCCAAAACTGCCGAAACAGTCACGGCTATCCCCTAAAAGCAGGAGGGGATCAGACTGCATTTCTGAACTTACTTTTCCAGTGCAGGAAGCCCAAACGGTTTGTTGTTACAGGTAGGTTTGTACAAGTGAAAAAGTATCCCACAGTGTGTGTCTGTGTGTTCACCTGTCTATGCCTATAGATATATACTAGCGGTTCCTCTGCTCGCCAAGTCCTTGGCCATTCCCTCCACATTAACCCCTCAAATATAGAACTATAAAGGGCCCAAATGGGCATCTACGTCAACCCCCTGCAATGCAGGAATCACAGCTAAAGAATTCCTAAAGAAAAGCTTTTCTTTCTCATCCCATGCAAGCTCACTTTTGTGGCCTGTTGAGTTGTTCCTTACTGCAAATCCAGGATTGTGATGAGGCACTACAAACCTTCCAATGGGGGCTACATGGCAATAGCCTTACCATTTTATGTATATAAGAAGATGTGGGTGGGTGAGTGTTCATGAGCACACAGGGATGTTTGGGAGTGGAGGGAGAGAAAGAGCTCAGTCATATGTTTAGAATCTGGTGACCTCAGCACTGAAGCACTCTGGGTAAAAAGGAAAAAGAAAGGAAGCCACAAAAAGAATATCCTCTGTTCTCCCCCAACAGCTGCAATGGATGTTAAGTTCCACTTCCTGTCAGCGTACATGAGCGCCAGAAAAAATAAGATAGGCCAAAAATTTCCCAGGAAACTTCCCCCTTGCATACAGAAGGACAGGCTTGTGTGCCTGAGTTCCCAGAACAAAAATGTTGGCTGGAATTCCTCATGATAGCAGTCAAGAGCTCAGCCCTCAGTGGGTTAAAATACTGTCGCACCTTGGTTTTCGAACAGCTTAGTTCTCAAATGTTTTGGCTCCCAAATGCCACAAACCCAAAAGTGACTGTTCCAGTTTGTGAACTATTTTTGGAAGCCGAACGTCCGACAGGGCTTCCACGACCTCCGATTGGCTGAAGGAGTTTCCTGCAGCCAATCAGAAGCCACGCTTTGGTTTCTGAACATTTTGGAAGTCAAACTGATTTCCAGAACAGATTCTGTTCAACTTCCAAGGTACGACTGTACTAAGTTTCCTTCTTTGAAGAGACAGCACAGTGCAGCGCGTCCACAGGAAGCAAGACCACTAGGTCTCATCTAGCTCAGGACCATTTTCACTGGCTGGCACAGGGTTTCAGACAAGGTCTCTCTCCTGGCCCTACCTGCAGGTGCCTGTGAGGGTTAAATTTGGAACTTTCTGCATACAAAGCAGGTCCTTTAATCACTGAGCTATGGCCATTGAGGGGCATTATGCCTTTTACTGCAGCCATGGCATTTTCCGAAGAGAGGAGGTGGGATGGGGAAAATCAAGGAAAGTAAAAGAGCATGCCTTTGCACTGGAGCAAACCTTTACTGTTGCAAGCTCCTAATCTTCAAGAACTTGGGAAAATGCTGAAGTTGCAACAGCGGTTTCTCCTACTTTCCACACCGCAGTTCACAGGTCATCTGCCTTGGCGGTAGGAAGTCCCTGAACTTAGGAAAAAAGAAGCTCAGTTGGTTAGAATGTGGTGCTGATAACACCAAGGTTATCAGCCTTGCATAAGGGACAGCTGCATAGTCCTGCACTGCAGGAGGTCGGAATAGATGATCCTCCTATCCTATCCTATCCTATCCTATCCTATCCTATCCATACCAAGCCAGGACCATTGGTCTGTATAGCTCATTATTGCCTAAGCTGGGTCTCCAGGCAGGTGACCTGCCTAGCCCATCTTGGAAATGCTGGCAATTGAACTGTGATGACCACCAACTTGGTTGGCTTTAAAAGAGAATTGGACAAATTGATGGAGGAGGAGAGGGCTATCAATGGCTACTGGCCATAGTGGCTACACTCTGCCTCCACAGATGGAGGCTGAAGTACTTCTAAATACCCAGCTGCTGGAACCTGCAGGAGAGGAGAGCTCCTCTTGTGCTAGGTCCTGTCTGTGGGCTTCACACTGGGGTTTTTTGGTAACAATCTGTGTAGTGCAAAGAAAGCTGGTCCCCTCCTGACCACCAACATCCTGGCCCTCGAGGCTTTAAAATTTCAGGCCGATTGCTGGTGGCATTCAAAATGGGTATTGCCTCTTGAAAAAAATGAAGAAAAACAGGTTGGCTTGCAAGGACCAGACTCTTGTGTGCCCCAAAGAACCAGAACACAAACAACACCCCACCCAGGCGGGCACAGCTTTTCCAAACCAACATCTGCTCTCACTGAAGCCCTTTTGCTATTGTTTGGAAGTAGGAAAAGGGGGGGGGAATAGGGAGGAGGAAAAAACTAACACACATACACAAACACACACACACGCAGAGAACCCTGTGGCTCATTCTAGCCACAAAGGGAGAGAAGAAAAGTAGGCAAGCAGAGGGGGGGGGGGGAGGGAGGGGGAGAGAGCGAGAGAGCAGGAGCGCCACAGACCCGCAGTGACCCCAGGGGAACGGAGTGAGTCAGGGCAGCCATATTGAGCAGGAAATTACTCACAGACGCTGCGTTCCTGCCTCTCCGTTCCCGAGAGAATAAGCCTTTTGTAAAAGGTTCCTCTGTCGGTTAAAAAAAAATGAGGAGGGAGGTATTGGCGGGGAGGGAGGGAAAGGGGGGCAAGCTCAACACAGCACCTTCCTGTCATTTGCTTCCTTACCAGCTGAAACCAGAGCCCAGCCTCCCTTGCCCCCCCCCCAAAAAAACCCCCTCCAAATTTGGGAGGCAGTGAAATAGGGAAAAGGGCTGCCCTGCCCTTCTCTGGGATTTTTTTAAAAGAACGCCAACTCGGGCAGAACTTGCAAATAGTCAATCCAACATTTGCTTTTCCTGCTCTTGGATCTGCTCCGTCGCCTTCACCCTCCCTCGTAACAGTAGAAGTCGCAAGAATCCAACGATGATGAATGCTAGAAGGTTCAGGACAGACAAAAGAAAGGATTTCTTCACACAGCACAGAGTTTAACTGCGGAACTAGCTCCCGCAGGAGGCAATGATGGTTGCCAACTTAGATGGCTTTAAAAGATGACTGGACAAATTCATGGAGGAGGAGAGGGCTATTTGATGGCTATTAACCATGACAGCTATGCTTTGCCCTCGTGGTTGAAGGCAGCAATGCTTCTGAATACCAGTTGCTGTGAATCACAGGAAGGGGAGAGTGCTCTTGGCCCTGGGTTCTGCTTCTGGGCTGCCACTAGTGGGCTTCTGGCTTGCCACTGTGAAAGCAGGATGCCGGACTAGGTGGGCCACTAGCCTGATCCATCAGGCTCTTCTTATGTTCCCCAACCCCAGGGGAACGAGGGGTGTGATTTGAAAGGGGTGCTGTTCTAGCATTTGAAGACACCTAGAGGCATGGGGGAAGTTTCGAAAAATAAAAATAAAAAATCCAACAACCAACCCAGCCTTCCCCAGGCTGGCAGCGCTTCTCTCGCCAGTGCTCCTACCACCCCTACCGCCAGCCAGCATGGCCAATGGCCATGGATGTTTGGAGTTACAAGTCCAGCAATACCCAGACAGCACCACCAGGATGTCTAGGTCCAAACTCATGGCAAGTAGCTGACATCAGAACAGTGCCCTGTTTAGGGAAACAAGAGATTGGGGCAATAGTCATATTTCCTCCCAAATGATTGCTTTGGTATGACAGCTGTAACTTGAGGGGGCTCAACCAATCAGCCGAGCGTGCTTATTGAGCAATGAAGTTTGGAAGCAGAAACTAGAGGGTTGTTTCCTCTCCCTGAGTAGAACACGTAAATAAAATTCCTTCCATATTATTTTGTTGGTGTTGCAATGATCATGCTCATCCACTAGATGCCGATAGAGGGCTCTCAATGCTGGCAGACACCAAAGATAGTACTCTGGCGGCATCTAGTGGCCTAGCAGAGGAAAAGGCAAAAGGGAAATGCCCACCAAGGAGAAAGATAACCCTTTGTTAAAAGGATGTTTCTTTTGGGAGAGCACCCAAGCTGAGAACATTGTGAATGCTCTCCAAAGTAGCAAGGAGGAGAGGGAAGAGGGAGCACATTCCATTGCATCCCTAAGAGCAGGGTTTGCAAATATCAGGTGGGTCTTAAGCTCAAGAAAAGCCAGCATGATCAACAAAAAAAGGCAGGTTGGACTCAGGCCCAGCTGGAAAAGAGCCACCCTGCTCGGTGGCCCTAGGCAAGTCATGCAACATCATTTCTTTCCTTCCCTTCCCTAATAACTTTGTTTTTAAAAATTAAACAGGAATGACCACCATCCGTACACAAGACACTATGGAATGAGGACCATGAAGCCCTCTGCAAACTGCTAGGGCAAGGCTTTACACAGAAAGTTGCTCTATACTGAGTTGGGCCACTGGTCCACCTATAGCTGCTCTATACTGGGTTGGGCCACTGGTCCACCTAGCTCAGTACTGTCTACACTGGCTGGCAGAGGCTCTCCAGGGTTTCAGCAGGAAACAGCCCTACTCGGAGATGTCATTGGAGAATCAACCTCGGGCTTTCTACCTGCAAAGCAGGTAGAAGCTTTACCACTGAGCCACGGCACTACTCCCCCCAAAAAATAAAGTAAGATTCTAGTCCTTATGGTTCTGAATAAAGGACTGAATTAAGGAAGAATACTGAATCAGCCCATTAGCCCATCCAGTTCAGTAGTGCCTGCACCAATTGACAGCAGCGCTCCAGGGCTTCAGGCAGGGGACATTCCCAGCTCTACCTGGAGATGCCACTGGGGATTCAGCCTGGAACCTTTTGCTCACAAAGCAGGTACTCTACCAATGAATTATGGTCCTCCCCCCATTTAAATGTGGCTTTTCTATACACATTCTCTAAAAAGTCTGCCATCTTTCTTCATAGGTGAGTCACTCCACACACACCCCTTGATCATTCTGCTTGCTGTTTTCTTAATCTTTTCTAACTCTACAACATCCGTTTTGAGGCTGATGGCCAGAACTCTACACATTATTCCAAATACTGTTGCACTGTAATTTGTACCATAACATTAGCATGTCAGCAGTTTCAATTCCTTTCAGACGCCTTAAAGAACTAGGTACCCACCAGGTGCCAGGAAGCATAAGGGATCAGGCCAAAGACCCATCTAGTCCAGGATTCTGTTCTTACAGTGGCCAAGATGTTGAAGAAGCTCATGCTATTGGCAGGGGTACATTCCTATCCTTTGCTTCTACCTTCCTCTCTCTCTCAGCTTCCTGAGTTCTCTGTCTTTGGGGTTCTCTCTTTTGCTAATGTGCTTTGAGGTTGATACTGTTGGAACCTTGCCCATAAGAATGTTGGAAAGGAGATCTCACAAAGCGCAGATAGGAGGGTTAGGAAGTGGAGGGAAGGAGCCCAGATATGATCTGGCATAGAATCATAAAACTGCACAGTTGGAAGGAATCCCCAAGGGTTATTGAGTTCAACCCCCCCCCCCCAATGCAGGAATCTACAAAAGCATGCATCTTTGAAAAATCTCATAAAATGATTCAGTAGCAAAGATTGGGGGTGGGACTCAGTCTCACCTCTGTAATGAATAGGATGCACTCAAGAAACATGAAGTCTTTATGATTTTCATTCACCACTTTCTCATCCACAAAATGTCGAGGTTCCAGGTTTGGGTGATCTGAGAAGGAAGCATTATGTTTCAGGACAGTTTCCATTTAGATGCCGAAGGCTTATCGGGACCACACATCCCCCCAGCTTAGTGTGGCAAATTGGGGGTTAGAGAATTGTTCTAGGTAAAAGCCCATCATCACTTCTTACGCAACAGAAGCAGGGTCCTCTCTTAACCAGCAACAAAATGGGCACTTTTGATCACTCGTTAACAGGGAGCACGGGTAATATTTGAGGTTGGCTGTACTGTGAGCTTTGATCAGAGTTACAAATAGCAAAGGAAAGGGGAAAATTAGGCCCATCCCTCAACCCCTTCGCCACAATGGAACAAATTTCACAGAAGAGAAGATGTATCAACAGGCTAGCATTCTAAGGGTCCCTGGCAAAGGGCGAGGGGGCAGCTGCTTCTCCCACCAGACAGTTTGAGGACCCCCATGCAAGGTAACGGAGAGATCATTTTGACCATTACTTCCCATGCAAGGCAATGGAGGAAATGTGGAAAAGGAGGGTGCAATTTGCCTTAGGGTGCCTGATTGAAAAATTATTTTTTTCTTTTTCTTTTTTAATGGAATAAGCCCTGGTTGGGGAGCTGATGGAGTTGGCAGTGGGGAAGCTTTCCCTGGTTACCTATCAGTTGTGAGCTGCCCCATATGAAGGGAAGGAACTGGAAGTCATCCAAGCCCCAGACTCCTTGGCTCCCAGCCGGTTCCATTCTATAGGTCTTCTGCAGCTTCCGCATGACTTCCAAATACCTGGAGGAAGAGGGGGATTGTTAAATTCTATTAAATAAATGACTAGTCCCCAGGGAAGCCTCTCTAAGGTGCTCTCATGAGGCCTTGCCTACAAAGCCTTTGAGCCTCTCACTGCTCTCTTGACCATAAGGTGGTGAGAGTGATTACTTATTCTTCTCTCCCCTCCCCCCATCCCTCTCATGCAAGACTGTAGCAGAGGCTTCGTCCTCTGCTGGGCTGAGCCATTATTAAAAACCCACTTTCAGATACCACAGGGTCGATTTTTAGCCCTTTCTCTCTCTCTCTCTCTCTCTCTCTCTCTCTCTCTCTCTTTCACACACACACACACACACACACACCAGCTTCACCTGTTGAACACTTTGAAGACAATGGCCAGCTGGTCATCCACCCGGAGAACTCCAATTTTGCAAAGGCAGCAGAGGAAGGCAGCAAACGCTGCTTCATGACCTGAGATGAAAGGACAGGAAGGGGAACAATTTTCAGGACGAAAACACTCTGCACTTGCATGATGCTTTGGAGGGCTACATGTTAACATGGCTACCTTTATTTATTTATTGCCCACCCTTCACCCTAAAGTCCCAGAGTGGATGACAGCATTAAAACACAATATTAAAAAACAGTTTAAAACAATTTACAATCACAGAAATAAGGTGGGTCCTAAAAAAATACACCTCAAGTATCAAAAGACCAGGATAAAGTGGTGTGTCTTCAGCATTTGCTGCAAGCTGTGCAATGAAGATGCTAGGCATACCTCTGTAGGGAACGAGTGCTGCAGCTTAGGGACCACCACAGAGAAGCCCCTCCCTGACAGCCCCCTCTGCCGACTTCAGCAACTGAGAGGATCTGTAGTGAAGGAGGCAGCACTTCTCAACCATTTATGCAGAGAGACACCTATGAATGTGGGGCTACACCAAGTTTCACACACACTAAGGTGGGGGAGAGACAATTCTATGCCTGAAGGAGCTTCCAATCTTAATCTGGAGAGCTGGGAAACACAGGATGAGTACAAGCATATAAGCAACATTGTTTAAGATGGGGACGTTTTTGTCCTGGGAGGCCAAATCTTTATCTCACCCACCAGTCAATCATCTGGCACAATAATGATGGCAGGTTGTCCTGCCTAACCTGGTAAAGTTGGCACTTGATGATGGGGAGGTGGAGAGAAGCTCCCCAAGCAAGACTGAATCCTGTGCATGTCAGCTAATGCACAGGAAAGCTCAGTCCTGCTTTCTCCAGCCCACCTGCCACACACATGATGTCACGTATGGGGCAAGTGAGGCCTGGATCTAGGTAAACAGCCTGCTAGGCCCTTTCAATCGCCAAGGGCAGAAATGTAGGAAGCAGGAAAGCATATACTGAAGCATATTTTGTCATGAATTAAGTGCTTAGGCATTTTTCCTTTCTATTCTGTAAAATATTTTAAGATGGCTCCCCCCCTTTCTTCTTTTTATTAATATTATTATCTTCTCAAGAGTGACCTGTAATTTCATTGTTAAGAATAAAGGGATGTCACAAACTTGAGTCAAGCAGGTCAATTTTTTTGCTTTTTCTCTTGCATTTTTGTTTGTTTTTTCTTCTTCTTTTCTTTTTTTCATTACTATTTGTGGTGCGGTTCTTCATTTTATTTACTTTCTTTTTTGCAACTTGTTTTTTAAAAAAAATAAAATGCTATCTATAAGGTTTTGTTTCATTCACGCAAGCACTTTAAAAAAATTCTTTCTGTTGACAGAATTGAGGCTTATTCCCAATCTGGGAACTATGTGCATACTCTGTCTAACAGAACTGAATTTAATGGATCAGCTTAGTATTTGCAGGATTTCTGAACTTGTTGGAGTTTTTAGGAACTACATTATATATCCAAAAATAGAAAAAGTCAAAAGAAAAATTATATAAAAATTCAATTCAATAAGTATATAAAAATTCAATCACTATTAATAATCAATTATTAAATATATATATATTCAGAATTATATAACAATCAAAAGAAAATAGTGAATGAAGATACAGGTTTTTTTTAAAAAAATACCATATCTAAATGATATACAGAAACAACTATTAATAAACCCAAAATCTGAAATAGAAATCAAGAAAACAATTTTATAGTTGGCTAGTGGTAAAACACTTAGATGGATTTCCTATTCAGCAATATAAAATATATGTAGATCTTTCAGCACCAAAACTTTGCCAATTATATGACGAGATATTTGATAGGGGAATTCTGTCAACGATGTTTAATCAAGCAAATATTGCTGTTATACCAAAACCAGACAAAGACCACACTCAATGTGCTCATTACCACCCAATTTCATTAGTTTAACGTTTATATAAAGATTTTAACAACAATGTTGGCAATTAGAGCACAACAAGTGATATTGTTTATAAAAAGGAATGCATGGTTTATCCACCTACGATTTTTTGGAGATAAGTATTAAGGTAAAGGTAAAGGGACCCTGACCACTAGGTCCAGTCATGGCCGACTCTGGGGTTGCGGCGCTCATCTCGCTTTACTGGCCGAGGGAGCTGGCATACAGCTTCCGGGTCATGTGACCAGCATGACTAAGCCGCTTCTGGAGAACCAGAGCAGTGCACGGAAACGCCGTTTACCTTCCCGCCAGAGTGGTACCTATTTATCTACTTGCACTTTGACGTGCTTTCAAACTGCTAGGTTGGCAGGAGCAGGGACCGAGCAACGGGAGCTCACCCCGTCACGGGGATTCGAACCGCCGACCTTCTGATCGGCAAGTCCTAGGCTCTGTGGTTTAACCCACAGCGCCACCCGCATCCCTTGGAGGTAAGTATTAGGCTGTATAAATTCTATTTGGAGGAGGGGGTGGAAATTAAAATTGTCAGATTAAAATATTATCCTACACCACATACCAATGATATGGGGTTTGACAACTGGTCAGCGTGGACACTGGAAAGCTAATACTATGGCCCCCTTTGATCAATGGATAGAAGATATGACAACTCTTGCAATATATGAATGGACTACTTTTAAGATGCAGGTTGTGTGTGGATAAATATAACGATATTTGGAATGCATTTATAAAAATTATAATGACTTGTTAATAATTGTATACTCATTGGAATAATAACATTACTTATATACTTATGTATCGTATTGTATTACAGTTTCAAGCACCTTTTTGTTTTTGTTTCATTTCTTTCACCTATTTTGTCCACTGAAAATTTTCAATAAAATTCAATAAAAAAGAGGAGGAAAGAAATCAACAACCTTTATAACTATCAACCTCAAAAGGAAAAACAGCAGGCTTGCCATACAAAGTGAGAACCGCCATTGAACAATCTTCACTTTTAACAGCAATACAATAGCACCACCTCGTGACCAACAGCAGTTTTGCAACCGACTAGACAACAGACGTGCCTGGAGGTGGGGTTTTTTAAACATTTAACTGGCACACCAAATCTGCTTGCCCAGCTCGTGGGCATTTTGAAGATCAGCAGTCATTTTAATGTTCGTTGCTTTTATTACACATTAGCAGTCAAGCAAATCTAAGAAAGCCTCCTCCTGCAGAAGAAGGTGCTATTTTGAAAGCAAAACAGATTTTGTAACACCACGTCTGAGCAGAAAGAGCCCAAAGAGCCCATTACTGCTCCCTCTCCAATCTCTGAGTCTTGCTGGGAATAGAGAGAAATCCCTTTAGGAGCAGGATGCTATAAAAGATGGGTGCTGACCACCCCACAACAGTAATCAGCCCTGATGGCTAGATGGGTGTCTCTATAATCAGAGGCATTTTGCTGCTGAATACTGGTTGCCAGGGAACAGCCTGTCCACCTTGCAGGTTTCCCAGAGGCATCAGCAGAGCAGCTTCCAGGACATCCAGCAGGCCACCTGGGATGGTCCAGGCCCCTTTACTGAAGCAGGGAGGGTGGGGAAAAGCTTCCAGGTCAGTCTGCTCATCCCCTGACAGATACCTGTCCCATAGTCAATACGAGTAGAGTTGCCCACTGACTCCTTCAGGTACACTGCCACTTCGGAGATGGCGTCTGACAGCTCACTCGGAACCACAGTGGCCACCAGGTTCTCAGCCCCCTAAAAGAACAAACAGCCAGGGTGTTAGGTTGGTCAGGTGCTATTCCCACACTCAAACTTTGAGAAGCGTCAGATCACTGCCCTTCTCTCTCCCCACCCCCTTTTTCTTATAGCTTTCAGCTCCTCCTTTAATGTAATTAGGGAGATTTCACCACTAGGAGGGTTTAATCAAAAAGGGGGAGAAGTTTATGAGTTAAAAAATCTGCTAGTCTCTTTTCTTTTCCTTTTTTAAAGGCGCCAAAATATTTTTTATTGTGTTTGCTGAAAAGAGGCTGCTATCCCTTGATAATAATTCACCATGCATCTCAGAGCCAATTTGCAAGACATTTTAGTGTGGCAGTGCCCACATTTTGGAGCTCCCTGCCTATTGACACCAGGTAAGCACCTTCACTGAATGCTTTTGGCACCCGCAAAAAACATTTGTACTTAGACAAGCCTAACCTAGACATGTATAACACAAGTTTGTGTTTGGATTGGTTTCAAGCTTATTGCTGCTTTTATTTTTTTTATGTTTTAAGAGTTGTTTTTACTAATAATTTTATTGTTTTATTCTTGTTGTAAACAGCTTTGGGGGTTTAAAAAAAATTAAGTGGTGTACAGTGATACCTCGGGTTAAGTACTTAATTCGTTCCGGAGGTCCGTTCTTAATCTGAAACTGTTCTTAACCTGAAGCACCACTTTAGCTAATGGGGCCTCCTGCTGCCGCTGTGCTGCCGGAGCACGATTTCTGTTCTCATCCTGAAGCAAAGTTCTTAACCCGAGGTACTATTTTGGGGTTAGCAGAGTCTGTAACCTGAAGCGTATGTAACCTGAAGCATATGTAACCCGAGGTACCACTGTATAAATTATATGACACAAAAATTAAAAAACAGAGCCAACGTGGTACAGCTCTTGTTAGGAAGTACCAAATCAGACTACCAGGTGGTGGTGAAGAAGAGAACAGGCGTATCTGGGTGCTTTTATGTACACAGGAAAATAAGCAAGTCAAACTATGCCAAAGGTAGAACCCTTTCCTCTTCAATGCAAGAGCCAAATAAAAAGATTTCCTTTGGCCATGAACAAAATCCAGATCAAGCAAAGCCATAGTACCACTCTATTCTGCCTTGGTTAGATCACACCTGGAATACTGCGTCCAGTTCTGGGCACCACAGTTTAAAAAGATTGTTGACAAGCAGGAACGTGTGCAGAGGAAACCAAGCAAAAGCAAATGGCTTTAAGGCAATACCTGAATCATAGGACACACTACAATGATATGACACTCCACAATCCAACTCTACAATTCTATGAAAATGAAGCTAGAAGAGAATTGGGCAACTCCATTCACTACCACAGAAACAGACACAGACACACACTTACTGCTTTACCTGGTCCAGTTTGGTGTACCACGTCCGAAAAGCCTTGTTCCCAAAGCGAGATGGCTGGTCCACTGGTGGGGTCTCGTCAATCCACCTGTCAAGCGTGTTCAGGAGATCAATCAGCTTTTCAATTGGCTGACAAGAGAAGGGAGAGGAGTCTACTTAGGCAGAAGGCAGACACAAACACATCACACATCCTGCTCACCAGAGACCAAATGTTTCAAAACATCAGCACACGTCCCAAGCTGATCATTGGCAGAACTTACTATTTCTTATTTATTTATTTCATCTATTGCATTTACAGTGGTACCTCAGTTTTCAAACGTTTCAAAAGTCGGACGTTTTGGTTTTCGGACGCCATAAACCCAGAAGTAAATGCTTCAGTTTTCGAACACATCTTGGAAGTTGAACATGCCATGTGGCTTCCGCTGAGTGCAAGATGCGGAGGCCTAGCTGTCAGCTATTGAGTTTTCGGTTTTCGAACGTTTCGGAACTTGAACCGTCTTCCGGAACGGATCACATTCGAAAACCAAGGTACCACTGTATATCCCACCTTTTTTTCTATCAAGAAGTTCAAGGTGGCACACATGGTTCCCTCCTTCCTCAATTAATCCTCACAACACCCCTGTGAGGTAGGTTAGGCTGAGAAAGGCAGTGACTGGCTCAAGGTCAAAGCCAGTGAGCTTCAAGACCAGGTGGGAGTATTTGAACCCTGGTCTCTCCCAGGTCCTGGTCTATATAACTCCAACAACTACACCATTATTATTATTTATTAATAAAAAAGGACAACTAACGAGGCAACCCTTTCCCCCATACATCCCACAAAGATTAGCACAATGAGGGCTGAGCATTCTTTTCAAAACAAAAAAAAATGAAACTCAGAAGAGTGTACAGAATGGAGTTCCAATAAGTGGGGTGGGCTAGCTAGTGCTGTGAATAGGAACCAACTCTTTTCAGGAAGAGAAGATGCCCTGCAGATCCTCTTGTATATACTTTTTAAAAATGTTCATTTGGGATGTGGGGGATTTTCTGTTCCTGAATGATGGGGGGTAGGGGCTTGCAATGCTGCCGCTCCAAAGGGCAGCACATACTCTGGGAAGGAATTCCTCCTTTAAGAGTAGACAAAGGACAAAAACAGCAGGAGCAACTCCTCTGACTTTGCCGGAGGCCTCGTGCGTGAGAAATCCTCTAGTCTCCCAAGGCTGAATTTGATCCTTTGCTGTGTCAGAAGGCCGTGGGGAAGTGCCAAGTCCAGCAGCTTTTCTAGCCCTTGAAGCATTGCAGGAGCAGCAGGAGGAGAGAGTAATGGGGGAAATTGACAGCATCATGCTATCTCCAAGCCAAGAGCCATCATTTCTTCTGCCTGAACTAGATGGACAAGTGGTCCGACTCAGGTTAAAACATCTTCCTGTGTTTGTTTAATCCAGCCTTTTATTTAGAACTATGAGGACTAGACTCTCTATTTTTAGGGAAGGAGGCACATCTAAGTCTTAAAGCTCATGCCTTGCATGCAAAAGGTCCCAGGTTCATTCCTCAATGGTATCTCCAGGTAGGACTAGGAGAAACTCCTGCCTGAAACCCTGGAGAGCCACTGCCAGCCAGTGTTGACAGTACTGATACAGACAACCATCGCTCTGACTCAGTACAAGGCTGATTCCAGCAGCACAATTTCTTTTTTGCACGCAGAAGGTTGCAGGTTCAATCCTTGACGCCAGCTCCAGGTACGGCTGGGAATGTCCCCCTGCCTGCAACCCCTGGAAAGCTGCTGCCAATCAGCGTAGATAACACTGAACTATTTGGACCAATGGTCTTACTCAGTATAAGAAAGCTTTAACCGAGGCCATTATTCAGAACCATGAGGACTAAAATTTTGCTTTATTTCTCAGGGGAAGGGGCCATTGCTCAGCAGCAGAACATCTGCTTTGCACACAAAAGGTCATCAGTTCAATCCTCACTGGCATCTCCAGGTAGGGCTGGGAATATCCCCTCCCTGAAATCTTGGGGAAGCCTCTTCCAGGCAGTGTAGACAGTTCTGAGCTAGATGCACCAGATGCTTGGAGACTTTTTGGCCTTGGGAAAGAATATATAAATGAAGCAACCCCAAAATCAAACTCAGAACTAAAAAATAGAATTGGATAAAATACAAATTCAGCAACAGCAGCCAAAAAATAAATAAAAATTAGCCCATTCAAAAGCTTGGTGGAAAAGTGCTAGCCTGGACTGGAAAAGAGAAGAGCATGGAGCCCTCACACTTTGCCTTACCTCAGAGACTTTGTATTCACAAGTCAGCTTCTTGCCCTTGATGCTTTCATTCAGCTTGAGAATGAAGCCTGTGTAGTCTGCATAAGCCTATTTTAATAATAATAATAATAATAATAATAATAATAATAATAATATCAAAGAGAGGGAAAGCAAGAATGGAGCATTAGCCAGACAACATTCCATGAAAAATCCAGCAATGTTGCTTATCCCGCCCTGGGGAGAGAGAGATCCATGGGGAATAAGCGTGCCAGGGAGAAGGCACGTTTCTTAAGACTGATTGCCCACTTTTCCACCAGTGCAGTCAAGATGGCCAGCAGAATCAGCACTGAGTAAATGAGGTACAAGCATTTGGCATGAAACAACTGCAAATTTTAAGAATCATCACATTGAATTAGCTGTAATGGCTAACTGTTAGAAGCAGGGTGCCTGTGAATGCCAGTTGCTGGGAATCACAAGTGAGGAAAGTTGCTGTTGTGTTGAGGTCCTGCTTTCAGACGTCCCATAATGGGCATCTGGTCAGCCACTATGGAAACAGGCTGCTGGACTGTATGGGCCACTGACCTGATCCAAAAGAGCCCTGCTTAGGTTCTTACATTAAACCTCCAATGTCAGAGGCAGTTTCCCCCTGAATCAGCCTTTCTCAACTTTCCCAGGTGTTGTTGGACTAAATTCCCATCATCCCTAGTGAGAAGAGCCAACAGTCAGGGATGATGGCCACTGTCATGGGTGCCTTCTGGCCTGATCCAATAACCAGGCTCTTCTTAAGTTCTTATAACAGGAGTTTTAACAAATCAATGGCCATTATGTTCTTCCTTCACTGCCAAGATGCCTCTGAATACCAGGGAGAGTGTTGCTGTTGCACTTGGGTCCTGTTTGTGGGCTTCCCAGAAGCATTTGACTGGCCACTGTGAGAACTGTGGTTTTTAAATTATATTTTTGTTATATTTTGTACATCACCTTGGGACATACATAGGAGGCGATTAATAAGCAACAACAACATTTAATGGATGCAAGACTAAATGGGTCTTTGGCTTGATCCATCAGGACTCTTCTTTATGTTCTTATGGAATACAAAATTGATAGGAATGTGACAGAGATTGATTGGGTCAGGCTGCTGTCAGTTAAAAGTATTCCACTGCCACAATATTGAAGGATGTTGGAAAATGAGATTTTGCCACTCTTCTCCAACCTCCCAGCAACTCTGTGCTGACAGACAGCAGTCTTCTGCAGCAGCAAAGGATTGAAAGTAGAAAGCTGGCTTTTTTAGCTCCCTGCCACAGACTAAGTGGGACCATTCTCCCAGACAGGTTAGCTTTCTATGTGCAGAGAAAGCATGGAGTGTCATTTAACCCAGAGGGGGGGTGAATCTGTGGCCCTCTGAATTTTGTTGGATTCCAAATCCTATCAGCCCCAGCAAGGATGGCCAACTGTCCAAGGACGATAGGAGTTGCAGTTCAGCAACATGCAGAGGACCAGAGGTTCCCCTCCCCTGATTTAACACAGGAGACCCCTCCCAACTTCAGTCTCAGGTGGTACAGCCGAGATACCAAAGTGACCCCTCAGCAGGAACTATTTCCTGCTCAACCCACATGCCAATGGTACCTCCCCAGAAATATACCAAACATTCTGTACCTGTGAGCGTTTCCACTTCCCCATGTCGGGAACCATGTTGATTTCCTTCTTGGGGATCATGAAATTTCGGTGGGGAGGAGGCAGTGCTGCCTCCTCGGGGGATTCTGGAAGGAGAAAGAATTCAAACCATTTGGACTGTGAAGATGTTGCTATGTTCTCAACTGTGAGTTCCTTTCTAAAGAAAATATTTTCAGGCCATTATTAAAATCCACTTACCTTTCGTATTGACTCCCTATGTGGAACATGATTAAAATCCAATATTCAGGACAGATAAAGGAGAGTACTTCACTCAGTAGTGTTCAGCTGTGAAACTCACCCCCACAGTAGAGGCAAAGATGACCTTACCAACTTAGATGACCTTACAGCATCACAGAAACAGAGAATTGGAAGGGATCCCCCAAAGGTCATCTAATCCAATCCCCTGCAATTCAGGAATCACAGCTAAAGAATCCCTGACATGTGGCGAGCCAACCTGTTTTAAAATCTCCAGTAAAGGAGAGTCCATCAGCTTCCAAGGAAGTCTGTTCCACTGTTCCCTGATAGTCATTTTCAAATATCTGAAGGGCTGTCATTTGGAAGACAGAGCTAGCTTGTTTTCTGCTGCTCCAGAGAGCAGGATCCAAACCAGTGGATTCAAATTGCAAGAAATGAGTCTCCTTAATTGGAGGTTGGGAGGCCATCTGTCAGGGATTCTTTAGCTGTGATTCCTGCTTCGCAGAGGCCCATGGGGTCCCTTTCAACTCCGCAGTTCCATGATTCTATAAATTAGCACATGCAAGTAAAATTTAACGCAACCGCTCTCAGGAGAGGGGCCTAAATGCAAACAGGACGCCCTTGCTTTTCAGATAGCTGTCTCCACAAATCACTTTGGCCTTAAAAGTGGAGCAAACTTGCAGCCCAGAGAGAAACCCCTGGCACGGATGGCTTTCAAAGGAGGTTTAGAGCTTGCAAAGCACTCTAAAGTCCCTGGAGGCCTTTGGATGAGTGCCAGGAAGGGGGTGGGGGGGGGAGAATGCAGATTATCAAACTGCAAAGTCAGCAGGAACTCAGCCTCCTGCCCACCACCAGCAGACTAGGTAGATGGTTTGGTTCATTTTTCCTCATTAGCCAGGAAGCAGGTAAGCACTCCCCTCACCCAGCGCCTTGTCAAAAGTGCCCTGATCCCCTCCCGCTCCTGCACAGAGGGAGGCTCCCTTTCTAAAGTTGAGGGCTCTCAAGGATGAATGGCTCTGCTCTACATTCCTGTTCCAGCAAAACAAGGTGAATGTAGTCACATTGCCGCAAGGGAGCCAAGAATCGTGGAAAGGAGAAGTGGAACAGAAAAGCAACGGAGGGGGGGAGGGGGGAGGCGAGATGTGCAGGGAACAGAGAGAGGATTTCGGTCCCCAACCACAAAGGCGACAGCCAGTGTCTTAAGTTTTCTCCCAGTAAGGTTGCAGAGTGTCAAAGCATCAAAGCCATTCAGTCTGTATCTTTCACTGCCAAAAATAATCGCATCCGGCGCGTGGATCTTATCTTATACCACCAGACACATTCTCGCCTTCTCTGCGTTTTAGCCACATGAAAGCCCTCTGTGGTCTAAGGGAGAGATATGCTGGCCCAAGGTCACCTGATGACCTTCCTGGCTGTAGGGCGGGACCTGGTCCCTGATACTCTAAACCCAACATTGCTAAATGAAAATCTGCAGTTGGTTACCAGTGGAGTATCGTTGCCCATATCTACATCCCGCTTTCTTCCAAGTAACTTTACAACAACCCTGAAGTTTAGGGGGAAAAACTAGGGAACCCTTTTCAACTTGAGGATTGCATTCCCGTCTGGACAACCTCCCAGGGTCTGCCTGCCAGTGGTGGGTGGAGCCGCAGGCCAAAGTGGGTAGGGCAACAAATGTAAATTCTACTGTCATATAAGTGATTAGTTTCTGCACATGTATCTCTCTCTTCCATCCATTCGGGCAAGCAAGGGCCATTATCAGAGTTCAAGGGACCCATCCCAGCCAGGCAGAAGCACTCAATGAAATTATACATGGCATGAAGAAAGTGGATAGAGAAAAGTTTTTTCTCATTCTCTTACAGCACTAGACTGCATGGACACCCCATGAAGCTGAATACTGGAAGATTCAGGACAGATAAAAGGAAGCACTTCTAAATGCAGCACATTGCTAATCTATGGAACTCTCTCCCACAAGAGCCAATGATGACAACCAACTTGGGTGGCTTTAAAAAAAGATTGGACACATTCATGGTGGAGAAGGCTATCAATGGCTAGTTCTGCCTCCACATTTGGCAAGACATGCTTGGAGACAGTAATGCTTCACAGTACTATTTGAAAGAAACCACAGGAAGGGTTTCTAACTATGTGCTGTGTGAAGGACTTTTTAAATTCTGTCCTAAATCTTCCAACATTTAGCTGCACTGTATGCCCATGAGTTCTAATGTTCAGAGAAGGGGAGAAAACTTTTCTCTCTTCACTTTCTCCATGCCGTTCCTCATTTTATAAACTTCTGTCAAGTTGCCTCTTCCTCACCTTTTCCCTAAAAGTCCCAAACATTGCAACCTTTCCTCACCCCCTGGATAATTTCACTGGCCCTTTTCCGAATCTTTTCCAGCTCCACAATTTCATTTCTTTAGGTGAAGTGAGCAGAACTGTGCATAGCATCCCAAATGTGGCGATGCATTACATTTACATAATGGCATCATGATCTTGGCGGTTTTATTTTCAGCACCTTTTCTAACAATCCTGAGCATGGAATTTACCCTTCGCCCCACCCCACCCCCCAGCTATTCACAGGTGCCCCACCCCTGGGTCCACATCACCACTGAGCTCCTCGCTACATCTTTGAGATCTCTTTCCTGGACAAACCTCATTACGCAGCATGTGTGACATTAGGGTTTATTTACGGCATTTTGCCCCGCCATGCAACACTACGTATACTGTATCTGCACTTGCCATTTTAATGCCCATTCTCTCGCTTTGGGGACATACCCTGGAAGCAGTGGTGTTAGGGGAGCTCAAGGCTTGGTTCCAGTTATGGGGTGCCAACACCCACTTATCGTGGATAGAATGTAGCAGCAGCAGCTCAGGCTCACCCTGAGAACAACAACAACAACAATTCGGCTTACCCTGAGTAGCCCCAATATTTTGCCACCTGAGTCAGACCCCAAAATGTCACCAGGGAAGGGGCAAGAGAAGAAACAAGGGGGGGAGAGAGAAAGATCGACATGGGGATCTGCTGCTCTGGTGCATTCTGTCGCCTCACCTTGCCTCATGGGTGAGCCGGTCCTGAGTAGCCCCACAGCAACCCTCCTCGCGAGCAAGTCCCCGTGACACGGAAAGGAGTTACAACAACCCTGAAAGGTAGGCCACTCTCCAAGGTGGGGCTGAGGCTGGGTGGCTCTCTTCCTTACCTGGCTGCCATTCGCTTTCTGCCATCTTCCTCGAGCCGCTGCCGCCGCCTTTCACCTCTCACCACCTGACACTGGAAAATAACCGCCGCTTCGCCATATCGGATACGGGCACCGGGGCCGTCGCTGTGAGGCGGGCTGGGCAGGGGCGGGGGCGGGCGGAGTGAACCTGACGCTGCCATCTTGATAAAGGGCACCGCGACCTACACAGGGTTGGATTATGAGTTCTCCAAACATCAGAGAGACGGGGGATTTGTACACCGTTTGACTGTTAAAAAGAGAACGCAACCTCAAAGCGGTTTATTAAAAGAATAAAACAATGAAATTTCCAGTCAAAACAACAGTTAAGAGTAACCATTTAGAATTTATAACAGTTTTCATTTTTTAAAAAAATACAGACATTACATAGTGTCCCTCTACATGTGTCCCTCTACATTTATATCTCTACATCGAACACTTCTCTGCCCTACTTCCGCGCCCTTGTGCATCCATCTTGAGGAAGGGCAATTTAGCTTCTTCCCGCCCCTGAAATCTAGATAAATTGAAATAGTATAGAACATACTTCTGGTTTGACAGTAAGCTGAGATTTTCCCCCTCCCCGACTCCCAAGTCCCCAACTTCCAAGGCAACATATAGAAGGTCTGGTATCAAAGAGATAATACTATGCAGGACGATGCTACTGAGCCCATAAAGGATCGTGATCTAGACTGGCTTTCCATTTTGGCCGGAAGTTCAGATAGTGTGTCATTCTGTATTCTCTCTCTCTCTCTGAGGTCTCCTACAGAGGGAGCGTTAAAGTAAGAATAGACTTATGAAAATTAGATATAGCAGCTCATTCTCTGTAGAGATAAGTTCTGGGTTCGCTTTGAATGCTGCTTCTGAGTTCTCAAGTGGATTTTCAACAGGAAAAACGTGGCATAGCTATTTATTCATACCATCTTTTCTCTGAGGAACTTGTAGTTATGCAGCTTAGTTGTCTCTGCTTTCATTTTATTATCACAACTCCCCCTGTCAGGTAGGCTAAACTGAAAGCCAGTGGCTGGACCAAGATCACCTCATGAGCTTCACAGTTAGCTGAGATTTCAAACCTGGGTCACCTCAGTCCTCTAACCACTACCCCACATAAAAGCCATGCTGCATCATACCCAAAGGACCCCATCTAGTCCAACACCCTGTACTCCTAGGGGCCAATCAAATGCCTCTTTGGAAGCTGTGAGCTGGATTTGAGTGCTATAGCAAGTTTTGCCACTTGTGATTCCTGGAAAAAGATGATAAAGGTAGCAAACAAAATTTAATAACTTATGGTGGGCAACTGGCCTGATCCAGCAGCTAACTGGTACTGTTGGATTCAAGGACAACAGTATAAGAGGAGAAAGCCAGGAATTGTTGGCACTCCAAGTCCCCTCAGACTCTGTTCGCATGGCCAGCAGGGGATGATGGGAATTGTAACTCAACTACATCTGGAGGGTACCTCATTGGTCATCTCAAATAATTTCACAACCTCAACTCCTGCAGCACAAAACCAGTGCCCTGCTGCTTATCTCTCTGACCCTCCCCCCAAGGAAAACTACCTTGCCTGCTAAAACACCCATGCAAAACACCTCCTCGTTACTCATGATTCACATCTGTGGGTAGCCACTGTGAAAACAGGATGCTGGACTAGATCCAGTAGGCCTGTTCTATCAGGTTTTATTCAACTAAGTTCTACACTGAGTAAACCCTCTGAAATTAAAGCACCTGAGAAAGCTACATTCATTCATTTCAATCTGAGTAGGACTAGCACTGGGGACAGCTCCTTGTTTTTAGAGTTTGTTGCAATGGTATTAATAGTTTGTAGAATTTTTAGTTTGTTGCACATTGGTTTGATGGCCTCAGACCATTAAGTGGTTTGTAAAATGATGATGATAATGATGATGTCAATGATGTGGCAATTCAGGGGCACTTTCTGGTAAATACCTGTAAGATTTTTATTTTTATTTTTTTATTTATTTAAGAAATGTATATTTGTCTTCTTCTTTTCTCACTTTTTTAGAAATGTATATTTCTCAAAAGGCCACAGCGTGGTTTGCAACATAGGAATATAATAATAAATGAAGCACCACATTTATAACGTTTGTAGGGTTCTTCCTGTTTAGTACTGCTTGTTTGCTTTGGGGGGCATTGCAATAAAAACCTATTTGAAAATAATAATAATACTGTAGTAATAATAATAATAATAAATATAGCATGCATAACATCAAATATCTGTAGAATGCACCCGCTAAATTGGGTCAACTCTTGAGTAGAACTTAGCTGCAGACATTATTTTTCAATTATGATTAAATTAAAACCATCATAATATCTATGCAATTTACAGGGGGCACTATTTAGTGTTGCATCTGATGTTAAATCCTACTCAAGTGTATACCCACTGAAAATAATGGAAATAACTGACTGCAACTCAGCTGGATATACCCAAACGTGTGTGCATCTCAGATGTAAGTCTAGCTGTATTCATTAGGGCTTACTTCCAGGAAAGCATGCAGCATGCAACCAATAGTAAACTTCCCTTGCATGTAACACTACGCAGCGGTTTCCCAAAATATGGGGGGCGGGGGGAGTGTGCCCAACCTGAAGATGGCGGAGCCTCTCCTGCTTCCTTACCCCTTTCTGTTTAGGGGGGCTGCTGCCCTTTCCAAAGATGGCTGCTTGCTAGCTCCTCCCCACAGCAGCTGCAAATTCTTGTTGCAGCTGCGGTGGTGGGTGCCTCTTGCTGGGCTACTGAAGTTGCACGCTGCAGCTCCCTGCCCTCTGCTCTCTCCAAGGCCAATAGCTCAGGACTTTGGCCTCGAGGCAGAGCCTCGACTCTTAAGCAGAAAAAAGGGGTGGTGCAAACTTGTATAGTGCAATGCTTGCCTTCGTAGCGAGGAACATGGTAAGTGACTTTCTCTGCTGTCTTTGAATCTTTGGGGGTACAGCTGCGAGGAAAGGGCTCAGATTCTGTGGCTGGAAGAAGAGGGGGTTTTGGCGGGGGTGGGGTGGGGTGCAGGGGTAGGTGGATTAGGGGGTCTGACTTCGGGGAAGATCCAGGGGCAGGGCTGTTGGAAGGAGGAAAGGAAGAATTAACTCGTGTCCTGTAACTCTTGCTGCTTGTTTTCTGGAGAAGGAACATTCCTGATTTCTCCCTCTCTAGTGGGTGTGTATATTTGGCAGAGCACCCTTCGTCTCCAAGATATGTGTGGTTTTCTTTGGCAGATCATGTGAGGAGGGGGGCGAAGTTATGCAAACAGGAGAATCTTTTTTCTCTAATTTAAAAAGTACAGGAGGATTCTTAGCCAAAGAATGATAGAAAACAGAAAGAGACTCGTTTTCGGTTCTCTGAGTGGGGGGATTTGAACCCTGGTCTCTGGTTTCTAGTCCTCATTTAAACCCCACTACAACCCTGTGAGGCAGATTAGGCTGAGAGTGAGTGGCTGGCCCAAGGTCACCCAGTGGGTTTCATGGTCGAGTGGGCATTCGAACCCTGGTCTCCCAAGTCCTGATACTCTATCCACAACACCACACTGGCATATACGACACACATATATGTAATATTGTTGTTGTTAATAATAAAATGCTTATATAGCCCATTTTTAATATTCGAAGGACGTCTCACACATGTTTGTGATAATGCTCACGACATTTGTAAGAGCTCAGTCTTTTAGTGTGGCAGTGCCTGTACTTTGGAACTCCCTGCCAATTGATATCAGGCAGGCACCTTCACTGTCCTCTTTTCAGCGCCTGCTAAAAACATTTAGGCGAGACCTACCCAGAGGTTTAGAAAGTTGGTGTGTTTTAATCCGTTTTCAGTCCATTGTTAACTTTTCGAAAGTCTTAAATTATAGAATCGTTCATTTTTCTTAGTGATTGTTTTATCTTTTTTGTAAACTGCTCTGAGGTTTCTTACAATCATGCGGTGCATAAATTTCATGAAATAGTATAAATAAATAAATCTTGTAAAGTAGGCCTGTATTATCATGCAAAGCCAGTGTGCTAAAGTGGTTAGGTAAAAGTAAAGGGACCCCCGACCATTAGGTCCAGTTGCGGAAGACACTGGGGTTGTGGTGCTCATCTCGCTTTACTGGCCAAGGGAGCAGCCGTACAGCTTCCAGGTCATGTGGCCAGCATGACTAAGCCGCTTCTGGCGAACCAGAGCAGCGCACCAAAATGCCGTTTGCCTTCCCACCGGAGTGGTACCTATTTATCTACTTGCACGTTGACATGCTTTCGAACTGCTAGGTTGGCAGGAGCAAGGACCGAGCAATGGGAGCTTACCCCGTCACAGGAATTCGAACTGCTGACCTTCTGATCGGCAAGCCCTAGGCTCAGTGGTTTAACCCACAGCGCCACTCACGTCCCTCTTGCTGCAGTGGTTAGGGTGACAGATTAGGACCTAGGAGATCAGGGTTTAGATTTCTTACTTGGCCATGAAGCTCACTGGGTTTGACACCCTCTCAGAGTAGCCTACCTCACAGAGCTGTTGTGAATATAAAGCGTAGATGGGGGGGGGGGACGACCCATATATAGTAGCTTGAGTTCCTTGGAGGAAAGACGGGGTGCAAATTTAATAATACGTTTTTAAACAAGAACATCACCCTTGTAATTGCAGATGATGGGGCAAGGTGTAAAAAAATCTTTTAAAATAATTTTAAAATAGTAAATGTTTAAAAAATTGCTTTTTTTATTAGAAAAATGTGCTAAAGTCTCTCCAAAATAACCTTAGCTTCATAGAAAATCTGAGTTGACTAGAAGGAAATGAATGCAGCAGGTGTCTTTGGCATCAATTTTTAAAATGTTTGTTGAAGACTTTTCTATATTGTCAGACGTAACGTAGAGAAAAGCGAGAATGCAGCTCTCCCTGCTTGGCAGAATCTCGGCTATCAAAATGAATTTGTGGTCCAGGATGCTGTTTTTATTCTAATCAATTCCAATTGTAAATAATTCAAGCTGCTTCAAAGCATGGAAGAAGGATATTTCTAAATTCATCTGGAAATGGGGAAATCCAAGACTTAAACATAAAATTGTGAAAGAGGAGGCGTTGCCCTGCCAGACCTGCTAATGTATTATGAGTCAGCCTGTTTGTGTTGATTAAAATAATGGATTACATTGGATAATGCAGACATCCTGGACTTGGAAGGTCATGATTTAAAATTTGGCTGGCATGCATGTATTTGGTATGGGAAGGCGAAAATTTATAAAAGTTTTATGAATCTGTATAGAGTTTGGGAGAAATATAAAAATCTGCAGGAAAGGAAAACACATTTATGGCTATCTCCTATCGAGGCTGTTACAATTAAGAGAGTTAATATGGCTAGAGAGTGGGAAACTTACAGGGAATTGCTGCACTTTACAGAGAGGGAAGCTAAACTGAAATCAATGGAAAATGTAAGGAGCCATGTTACAGATTGGTTACAATATCATCAGTTATATGAAATGTTTAAAATAGACAGGAAAAATGGTTTTTCAGACCAAAGCTCACAATTTGAAAAAGAACTTCTACAAAACAAAGAAAAACTTTTGTCTGAAACGTATAATCTGTTATTAGATTGCGAAACAAAAGACGAGCTTGTCAAAGCCTCTATGACACATAGGGCAGAATACAGATTTTAACCTCTGGGAAAAACTTAGAAAAAGTGATTTGAAGTTTACAGAATGTTATTCTTTGAAGGAGAACTATTTGAAAATGATTTACAGATGGTATTTAACTCCAAGTAGGCTTGCTAAGATGTATAAGACTGAATAAGACTGAAAAATGCTGGAGATGGAAAGAGGTTGAAGGAACGTTCCTTCATATGTGGTGGACTTGTAAAAGGGTAAAAAAGTCTTGGGAAATAATCCATAATGAATTGAAAAAACAGGTTTTAAAGTCCTTTAAAAAAAACAACCACCCCAGAGTTCTTTTTGTTGGGGATTATTCAGACTGAAATTCCCAGGTGTCAAAAAAGGTTATTTATGTATGCTACTGCTGCGGCCCATGTTTTGTTAGCCCAAAAATGGAAAACGAGTGAGGTCCCAACTAAAGAATGGCAACTTAAGCTAATAGAATATGTGAAGCTTGCAGACTTAACACAGAATAAGAGAACAAGAACATACATTTAGAGAAGATTGGAAAAGGTTTATTGAATATATGGGGGGGGGAGTGTACACCTGAAAACATTGGCAACATTAAGATAAATTCAACAGTGTAAAGTTTTGATGGATGCAATAATGGAATACTGAATGGTTTAGTTTTTGTAAAATATGCAGAGATTTATGATATGCAAAATGAACCATGGAAAGAGAAGAAGGGAAGTCATTGATATGTTAATGAAATATACTCTTGAGTCCTGTAGTAACTTCATGCTCTTTATTGCAGCTTGTAAAACAGTCATTGAATTGCCCCCCAAACATCAGGCTTTTATATACATTATTTACACAATGAGTCCCGTCTGATTGGCTGATTCTGCTTCCCTCCTGGAGCCTGATTGGTCTTTTCCTGCAGGCTAATCAGTTGTTGCATTCTAGGATCCTACTTGCCTATTGATCTAGGATCCAAATTTAGTACATAAGAGTTAAGGATGTTTGAATGAGTATTTTAAATTGTAAAACAGAAAAGTTAATAAAAATTATATAGAGAGAGAGACAAAGTGACAAGTCTGTTACAGTTAATTGGTGATCTATGATTTTAAAAAACTTTTCTTGTGCCTATATCTATTGCGTACTGCTTTGATTTTTGTTCTAATGAAATTGTGCTGTATATGTATTTTTTATAAATAAAGATAGGTTAAATTGTTTGTATTGCAGCACTGAAACATGCTGGGAGTCACAATGGTCTACGCTTCTAATCTCTTAAAAGTGTAACATGACCTCCTTTCAGGCCCAGACTTAAACACTACTGTATAAAAGAAATGTGGAAGAAAACTGAGGTTTAGCATTACTAAGGGCAAGATGTCCTATCTCCACTGTGGGAGACCATAAGCCTCTGAATACCATTTGCTGGGAATTCCAGTTGGGGAGAGTGTTGCTGTTGTCTTTAGGTCCTGCTACTGGTTGGGTACTATGAGAATAGGAGGCAGGACTATTTGGGCTTTGGAGGCCTGATTCAGCTGTGGGGCTCTTCTGGTGTCCTTACACATGCTATGCATTACTGCGGGTTTCCCAGAGTCTGAAACCCTGTTTTGCCCAGTAAGTAACCTCCCTGATCCTTAACTGTGAATCAAGTCCCAGCTTATTCTGTTGGACTAGCTTCCAAATAAGCATGCACTGGAATGCACCCTTGGATTTCAACGAAATGATCTTGCTCAGTTTCCTTTCACATATAGAGAAAGATCTGCCTCTGGTCTTTCCAGTGAAAATGCCTCAGGGCCAAAGGTTTTGGATTATGTTGCATCATGTCTCTGTTTAGTCAGGCAATATTTACTGAGAGGGTAATAAACCATTCCCACCTCCCATTATTTAGGGACAGAGTATGGTGAACCACTCTTTAGTGAGCCCTGTCTTGAAGTAAAAAGGTGGACCACCTCAGTGAGGCCTGTGAAATGGGTGCATTTGTAGAGGGAGGCAGCTGCTTCCTCTTCTGCTGTAAAGTAAGTGACCATATGTTTTTTTCTGCGGATTTTCAGGCAAAGCCATCAGGTTTGCTGAGGCCGGTGGCACTGAGGAAACTTCCGGGCCGGTACCTTGCCCACCAGGAGAGCTTGCCTCGCCTCCCCATCCCGCCTCTCCAGCAGACGTTGGACCGCTACTTGTCTGCGCTCCAGCCCATCATCACTGAGGAGGAACTCAGCCATACCAGGGAGCTGGTGCAGGATTTTCTGAAACAGGGCGGTGTTGGGGAGAGGCTACAGAAAGGACTGGAGAGAAGAGCCCGGAAACATGAGAACTGGGTAGGTCACAGCTGGAGGAGGTCAGGACTGCTGTAGCAGGTGTGAAGGTGTTAAAGCTGTCATGTGGCCCCTTTTTCATCTGGGGAAGGCAGTTGTTTTTATTATTGAAATTACTAAAAATTTGTAGACTGCCCTTGATCTAAGGATCAAGGGGCGGTTTACAATATAAAAACAGAAAAATGCATAACATAATAAGCAAAAACACACACACACACAGTTTAAAAGGCCATTGATTGTTTAATTAGCCAGAAAAAGTAGGTAGGTAGAGACAAGTTTTCATAATACTATAAGTCGTGACATCCAGTGAAGTTTAATGATGGAAGTATGCAGGACAGACAGAAGAGAATATTCTTATTCACACAGTGCAAGGTTAAACTTTGGAACTCCCAAAAGAGGCAGTGATGGCAGCAGCAGCAACAACAACAACAACAACAACAACAATTATACTCTGGGCGGCTTCCAACAGTACATTAAAAACACAATAAAACATCAAACATTAAAAACTTCCCTAAACAAGGCTGCCTTCAGATGTCTTCTAAAAGTCAGTTGTTTATTTCCTTGACATCTGGTGGGAGGGCGTTCCACAGGGCGGGTGCCACTACCGAGAGGGCCCTCTGCCTGGTTCCCTGTAACCTCACTTCTCGCAATGAGGGAACCACCAGAAGGCCCTCGGTGCTGGACCTCAGTGTCCGGGCAGAACGATGGAGGTGGAGACGCTCCTTCAGGTATTCTGAGCCGAGGCCGTTTAGGGCATTATAGGTCAGTACCAACACTTTGAATTGTGCTCGGAAACATACTGGGCGCCAATTAGGTCTTTCTATGTACTGGGAACCAATGTAAGATACCAACTTGGATGGCTTTAAAAGAGGATTGGACTAATTCATGTAGGATAAGGCTATCAATCGCTGCCAGCCATGATCAATCAATCAAACATTCAATCATTTTATTTGTATGCCAACTATGCTCTGCCTCCAAAGAGGCAGCAATGCTTCTGAGTGCAAGTCGTTAGGAATCACAAGTGGGGAGAGTGTTGCTCTTGTATTCAAGTCCTGCTTATGGACTTCCCTTTGGGGCGTCTTTTTCACCACTGAGAGAACAGGATGCTGGACTAGATGGGCCACAGGCCTGATCCATTATCTTATGTTCTTACAAGGAGGGGGAAATGGGGGTGGGGGACCGACCATGGCTAGAGTTGTTAAGGTATACAGCACCCTTGTCCAGTTTGAAATGAAGTTGTGCAAATTGCATTAGAAGCTAATGAGCATCCCCCCTGGCTCTGCTGGTAGAGATGTGAAAGCCCAGAAAAAAACTGGAAAATTGGGTGGGGGAATCACCTCCCCCCTCCATACACACAAATTTTTGGATTCCCCCACCCCCCTGGTCTTTGGAAACAAAACTAGAAACCATTTTTCAAGGGGAGAGGCAAAATAGGCAGAAAGGGACAGTATTTTCTCCACCCTGCAATTTTTCTGTGTTCTCTCCCCCCCCCCCCAACCAGGTCTTCACATCTTCATCTTCTAGGCCCTAATATGTCATCATCCCCTGTTCTTCCTCTCCACCCAGCCTCTCTTTTTAAATACTTTTCAAATTTACCGTTATACATTTCATTAGTTTTACAATCATTTTAACATTTCATGGTTTGACTTCCCCCTCTTTCTGCAGTTCCTTAAATTTATTTTTTAATATCTTCTGCATATCCAAACTCATTTAATTTGCTCATTTAATTATCTACTTTAAATATATACTCGTATGAAACTGCAGGTTATTACAATAATCCTGCCAATGTTTACAATAATCCTGCCAATTTATCTGTAAATATTCAATAAACCATTTCTATTCTTTTATAAAATGTTTGTTATCTTGATTTCTTAAGTTTCACCATTTCTGCATATTCCATAAGTTTTTGTATCCATTCTTCCTTTGCTGGGACTTCTGCTTCTTTCCATTTTGTGGCAAGTAGCATTCTTGCTGCTGTAGTCGCATACATAATTAAATTTCTATTCAGTTTAGGTAATTTTGTCCCTATAATTCCCAAGAGAAAAGCTTCTGGGGTTTTTTTATACAAAGGTTACTTTAAACATCATTTTCAATTCATTATATATCATTTCCCAGTAAGCTTTAACCTTACGACAAGACCACCACATATGATAAAAAGAACCTTCTTTCTCTTTACATTTCCAACAGTTATTTGATTTAGATTTATACATTTTTGTCAGTTTACTCAGTGTTAGATACAGCGGCATTGCTAGCCACTCAGGTGTCTGGTGTGGGGGTGGTGTCCTGAAGCCAGGGGCAGGGCAATCTGCCCATGGGACTGGGCGAGTCTCTCTGACGCTTGGGACCTCTCCGACACTTCCCCCTCAGCTGTAGGGCAGCTGAGGGAGAGGCAGTACAATGGTACCTCGGGTTATAGATGCTTCAGGTTACATACGCTTCAGGTTACAGACTCTGCTAACCCAGAAATAGTACCTTAGGTTAAGAAGTTTGCTTCAGGATGAGAACAGAAATCACGCAGCGGTGGCGCAGCGGCAGCAGGAGGCCCCATTAGCTAAAGTGGTACCTCAGGTTAAGAACAGTTTCAGGTTAAGAACAGACCTCCAGAACGTATTAAGTTCTTAACCCGAGGTACCACTCTAGGCAGACGCAAGTCCCACGCTGCCGTTTTAGGCAGCGTGGAACCTGCAGGCGCCTAAATCACCACATCACTCCTAAAAAGTTTTGTGAGCCCTATTTTTAAAAAATAATAATAATCTCATTTTGTCACACACACCCCTCAGTGATGACACCTGTGGCGGGCTGCACCCCCGTTCCTCCGCCACTGGTTAGATTTCATATCATTTTCTCTCATACCATAACATGCTGTAAATTTTATATCCATATTCCACAGTCGTTCCCACGCTTCCATGTCTATATTATGATTGATATCTTTTGCCCAGTGCATCAGTGAGGATTTTACTTCCTCGTCCTTTGTCTCCCATTCCAATAATATTTTATACATTTTAGACAACACTTTTACCTTACATTCCAACAGGTCTCTCTCCAGTTGTGATCTTTGTTCCCCAAACCCTCGTATCCTATCTTTCTTAAATACTTCATTCAAATGATGATATTGTAACCATGCTGTTAATTTCCTTGATAATTCCTTAAATTGTTTTAATTTATACTCTCCTCCCTCTTGTTTTAATAAATTTCTGTAAGTTGTCCACCCTTCTATCATAATCTTTTTCTCATAATGTGTGTGTTTGTGTGTGTCTACATGTGTTTGAAACACAAGCAAAATGTCAGGAATCGGCAAAAAAAAAAATACATTGCCAATTCTCTTAGAACACTAATAAAATTTTTTAAGTAGAACTCTAAAGGAATGAACCCCTCCCCCACCAGTAGCAATCTATATATACTAGAAAAACTCAGTAAAGACATAAAAACTGTGTTATACTTAGAAAAGACATTCTTATCATTTCCAGTTCAGGCAAAACATGCTGGGCTTCTGGGTTGAGGACCGAGGCCCATATTGTATGGAAAAACCTGCCTGTTCTATTTTCCATTCTGCAGCTAGATTAGCCTGTAGCCAATATTCAAGCTTATAAGGATCCTTGCCCTCTCCAAAAGTCTTGTTCACACAGGGTATCAAGGGAAGTGCAGCGGTGCCAGCTAGCCCCACCCATGGAGTTTTGGCCATCCGGGGCACACTATGGCAGGGTGGGGCTAGCCGGCAACGATTCCCACCCATGCACTGATAACAACACGTTGAGTGAAACACCCTACTCCCAAATGGCATTGGGCTAATGATACCTTCTCTGTTCTCATCCCAGCTTTCTGACTGGTGGCTGAAAACCGCATATCTAGAGTATCGGCTGCCTGTGGTGGTACATTCCAGTCCAGGAGTAGTTTTGCCCAAACAGGATTTTCTGGATCGGCAAGGGCAGCTAAGGTAATTGTGACCACATTGGAGGTTCAGGTTCCAAGATGTGTTTGAAAATAGGATGCTGATTTAATTATGCATTGTGAACTCTTATCACAGAATACCAGCTACTGAAAGGTAACGGTGGTAGTAAGGCTCCATGCCCTGCTTTCGGTCTCCCTGAAAGATGCTGGTTGGCAAACACAGAATTTTGGGCTGGGATTCCTGTGATTTTAGCTGAGATTCCTATATTGCAAGGAATGACCCTTTGGATCCCTTCGAACTCTACAGTTCTATGATTCTGTGATTTACCGTATTTTTCGCACTATAGGACGCACTTTTTCCCCGCCAAAAATGAAGGGGAAATGTGTGTGCGTCCTATGGTGCGAATGCAGGCTTTCACTGAAGCCTGGAGAGCGAGAGGGGTCGGTGCGCACCGGCCCTCTCGCTCTCCAGGCTTCAGGAGAGCCCCAGCGCCAGCCCCACAAGGTCGGGGGACAGAGGGAGACGGAACGCCGCCATCCCGCTGTCTCCCGAAGTGGTTTGGAGGCTGACGGCGGGAGACCCCGCCGCCGGCCCCGCAAGCTCCGGGGACAGCGGGGAGACGCAGCGCGTCTTCCTGCTGTTCCCGGACCTGATCTGAAGGCGGGCGGCGGGGAGAAGAGCGCTTCTCCCCGCTGCCTGCCCCCAAGCTCCGGGGACAGCTGGGAGGCGCAGCGCGTCTCCCCGCTGTCCCCGGACCTGATCTGAAGGCGGGCGGCGGGGAGAAGAGCGCTTCTCCCCGCTGCCTGCCCCCAAGCTCCGGGGACAGCTGGGAGGCGCAGCGCGTCTTCCCGCTGTCCCCGGACTTGATCTCAAGGCGGGCGGCAGGGAGAGGCGCTTCTCCCCGCTGCCTGCCCCCAAGCTCCGGGGACAGCTGGGAGGCGCAGCGCGTCTTCCTGCTGTCCCCGTACCTGATCTCAAGGCGGGCGGCTGGGCGAAGAGCGCTTCTCCCCGCTGCCTGCCCCCAAGCTCCGGGGACAGCTGGGAGGCGCAGCGCGTCTTCCCGCTGTCCCCCGACCTGATGTGAAGGCGGGCGGCGAGGAGAAGAGCGCGTCTCCCGCTGCCTGCCCCAAGCTCCGGGGACAGCGGGGAGGCGCAGCGCGTCTCCCGCTGTCCCGGACCTGATCTAAGGCGGGCGGCAGGGAGAAGAGCGCTTCTCCCCGCTGCCTGCCCCCAGCTCCGGGGACAGCTGGGAGGCGCAGCGCGTCTTCCCGCTGTCCCGGACCTGATCTGAGGCGGACTGCGGGGAGAAGAGCGCTTCTCCCGCTGCCGGCCCCACAAGCGCCTGGGGGGGAAATAATTTTTTTTCCTTTATTTTCCCCCAAAAAAACTTGATGCGTCCTATGGGCCGGTGCGTCCTATGGTGCGAAAAATACGGTACTCAGCAGGTCTCTTCCTTAATGTGGCCTCAGCTCAAAATTTGGAAGCTAACACTGCCTATCTTTAACCAAGAACCCTCCGCAGCATACATTTGAAGCTGTGTCCTACTACTTTAAACAGTTGTAGTTTCACCCAAGGAATCCTGGAAACTGGTTTGTTCAGGATGCTGAGAGTTGTTAGGATGAAGCATCATGGAGAATAATCAGCTTGTCTGCGGAAAGCAGGTACACTCCAGAGGTGAGACATGGGTGGCACTGTGGTCTAAACCACTGAGCCTCTTGGGCTTGCCAATTAGAAGGTCGGTGGTTCAAATCCCCACGACGGGGTGAGGTCCCGTTGCTCTGTCCCAGCGCCTGCCAACACAGGCCGCTCAAAGCGACATACCAGAAAAACCCAGCACATACATACTTTAAAACCAGGGTGGGTGGGTAGTGGGGTAAATACATTAAAAACCATTTCTTGCACTCTAAAAGGCCATAGGCAGTTAACAGCCAAAGGCCTAGTTAAAAAGCAGTGATTTTGCCTGGCACCTGAAGATATATAACAATGGCGCCAGGTGAGCCTCCTATGGAGGAGGCACACAAAGAAGGGGTTCAGATGACGGTTACAAGGACTGGGTCAGTTCATATGGGGAGACATAGTCTGTAAGGTATGGGGTCCTGAACCACATGAGGCTTTATAGGTCAAAACCAGCACTTGGGCCAGGAAACTAATTGGTAGCCAGTGCAGCCAGGTCAGGATTGGTGTTACATGCTCAAAACATCTTGCCCTGGTGAGCAACCTGGCGACCGAATTATGCACCAGCTGAAGTTTCCGAACTGTCTTTAAAGGCAGTTCCGGGTATAACACAATGTACTTTAAATATCACATACACCCCCGCCCGGCTGCTTTGCAATCCCATATCAATGTTCCTCTATGCATGTGCACACAGACACACACTCATTTCCTTTTTATTTTTGGCACACACTATCACACTTTTTGGGGCTGGGTGCACAGACTTAACTTTGCAGATTCAGTGTCAAGGGGAAGGGAAACCTGAGCTCACAGATTGCAGAGGTGGAATGTTTCAGGGTATAGATGAAAGTGCGGGAGCAATTAACCAAAGGTGAGACTGGAATGAAATGCAACAGGGCAGCTTCTCTGGGTGTAGCAGGATGGAATATATATTTAATTGCACCTTTGCCCCAGGGATCTGTGTTGTCCTTTCCCTGTAAGGACGCCTTGACCTTTGTACAGGATCACCTTTCCCACACTTCCCCCATCAGCCTCTGTTCACCTTTCATCTTTTCTCCTGCTGTGTTTATAAATACTGCCCAATCAGAGAAAAGAGCAAGGACCAGTGGAATAAAAGATCCTCTGCCTCTTTGTGTTGACACTTCAGTGTCTAAGGCTGCCTGTCCTGGGTAAATCTGCCACCAGGGTTCAGCCCCAGAACGTACTGAACCCTGATGCTCAATCCCAAATAAATTAATGAAGAGAGGAGCAGTGATACTTAAAAAAAAATCTGTAGATGTTTAGCCCAAATGGCATATTGTGTTTATTTGAAAGTAAGTAAAGCTTGACCTCTCAGTCTTAGGCCTTTCTGCTTGTAAGTAAGTCCTGGCTGAGTTCAGTGGTGATTTGTTTGCTAGTTCAGAACTCTTTCCACCTGCAGGATAGGTGTTGCAATTCAGCAGGTTATTGAGGTAACCCAGGTGGCTGTGGATGTTGCTGCTTTTGATTGCGTCAGTGAAGGCAGTTGATAGTCCTAAAACCAGGTGTGGCAAACATCTGGGCTGGGGGCCAAATTTGGCCCTCCAAATCTCTTTGTGAGGCCCTTGAGACTCCCCCTCAGCCACACACACCCCTCCAGGCTGCTACTCTCTCCTCCCCACTCCACTTGAGTGCAGCTGCTTACCTGGAATGTGTTGAGGAACTGTCACAATGCCTCTCTTATTCCTGGATGGAGGGTGGAGGGATGTTATTTGTGTGTGTATTCTGGGTTGTGTATGTGTTCTGGGTTGGGTTCAGCTACATTTCATTTGTAGTAGGCACATGCAAATTAATTTCTGTCAACTTTTGTGGGTCTTATCTAACTATGGCGTTGGAAATAGCCTTCTGACTTTATTGTGGCTAGAACATAGTCTCCTGGGGAAAAAACAGTCACATCTGTTGCACTGCCCACGTTTTTCTCTCGCTCCACCCACCCCCAGCATGTGGCCCCTGGAAGGTAACCCATGGCAGAATGTGGCCCTCTGGCTGAAAATGGCTCCTGTTCTCTCTTTTTTGTACATATATCTTATATTCTAATAAAAAATAAATGGATTCAAACTCTTAGTAAATATGTTGATAGCTTTTTAAAGCTGCCTCTTTTGCTAAAGAGTAATAGTTTTATCTGTTAAGATAATTGCCCTGCATTTTTGTAGATCCTCTCAGATAAGGCTCCTTGGATTTTTTATTTTCTTTAAATGTTATTTCATTGTAGGAATTCGGAGAGGAAACCACCGTGTGTGTGCGCACGCGCGCGCACACACATGTGTGTTTGCGGGGGAGGTGCATTTTCATTAGAAAGAAATCTAAACTGAACCATGCTGGGTTTTACATAGAATCACAGAATCATAGAGTTAGAAGAGACCCCGAGGGTCATCTAGTCGAACCCCCAGCAATGCAGGACTCTCAACTCCAACATACAGATAGCCATTCAACCCCTGCTTAAAATCCTCCAAGGAAGGAGATCCCCCCACCTCTCTTGGGAATCTGCTCCACTGTCGAACAGCTCTTACATGTGGGGAGTTGTGTCACTCCATCTCCACTGACCATCATGCAGCTGCGTTCAGACATGCAGCAGGCACACGCACCCAGCAGGACCTGAAAAATGGGACAGTTTTATCGTGTGATTCTACGGAATGTATAAACTAGACTGGGATTCCAGGCGTTTTTTAAGTATAAGGCCGCTGGCTGAGGATCTGCATAAGGTAAGAGCTCTTGCACTCCTGCTGTTTAATCTGTGTTACATCTCCATTTCCCCACTGCTTTCTGCTTTTTGCAGGTTTGCTGCGAAGCTGATTGAGGGGGCTTTGGACTTCAAAACCATGATTGACAAGTGAGTTGCCTCTTCTTTCCCACCCACCCTCCCAGTGGTTCACTCCCCCCCCCCATCCCTCCCTCCTCTCCTTTTCCTTTCCTTCTGTGCCCTTTAGATTGTAAGTCTGAGGGCAGAGGCTGTCTTATAACTAATCGCCATCAGCCACCCTGGGAGCTGTTTTTTGGCTGAAGAGCGCTGGGTCACGACGTTTTAAATAAATATATGTTCGTATTGCAGTATCTGTATGCATGATGCTTAGGTACAAAAGGGCAGATCTCTGCCCCACAATTCAAACTCCTGCATGAGAGTAAACAACAAAAGAAAACAGGATAGCAATACACTGTTATTTTCAGTAGTACGTATTTCAGCTCTGTTAGGGTTTTAGTCTTAATCTAATTGACTACAGGCAAGACTTAATTCTGAATATATCAGGAGTATTCAAATCCTCCCTCAGCCATGAAGCTCACTGGATGTGGCCTTGGGCCAGTCACTGCCTCTCAGCAGCGGGTGGACTTTGGTAATCTTTTGTAACATGGTGCCCTTTGCGAGGGGGTGGACTTTGGTAATCTTTTGTAACATGGTGCCCTTTGCGAGGGCAAAATTTGGCACCTCCAAATGGATCTTCTCAGTTACGGATTTTGTGCCCCCTCGACTTGGCACCCTGCCTGCACTGCCCTAAATTTGGTGCTGCTCTCAGCCTAACCTCCCTCACAAGGTTGTTGTGGGAATTACATGAGGAGGGCAAGAACCATGTAGTTCACCTTGAGCGCCTTGGAGAAAAAGATGGGGGGGGGAATGCAATAAATAATCCCCCTGCCTGTCTTATACACACCAAGGCTTGTTCACACGTTACACAGAACATGGGTACACAATGTCTCCACATAGGTACAGGTTTTTGTGCAAAAGAGGGTACACTTGTTGAATTGTGCAGCTCAACTGTTTGTGGACACAGATTGTACACTTGCTGAATGTAACATGTGAACACTCCTGCAGACACACACACACACACACACACACACACCTTTGTCTGATCTGTTGAAATTTGAAACGGCCTCCTTGAGTCAATTGCCCAGATTTCAAAAACAGAGCCATAGTGATGTTTTTTTTCTTGACCCGAGTTCCCCATCCCTGCGACAAAACTGAATGTTTGATTGTGGAACTGTGCCTGGCTCCATAAAACAGCCTCCCTCGAAGGCCGTCCGACAGCAGCTTTGTACAGGGAGGTTTTCAGTGTTTCAGGTTATTTATGTTTTGATATTTTGGTGGAAGCTGTGCAGACCAGAGCGGCTGGGGCAACCCAGTCAGACAGACAGCATATCATCATCATCAACAACAATTTTGAATCTTCTTTCTCTTCATTGTTCCTTGACCAGTGAGACACTTCCTGTGGAATACCTGGGTGGGAAACCCCTCTGCATGAACCAATACTACCAAATCCTCTCTTCCTGCCGTATCCCTGGCCCCAAACGGGACTCTGTTGTGAATTACGCAAAAGGAAAGAAGCCTTCAACGCATATCACTGTAGTCCACAACTTCCAGGTATGCAGGCAGCTCTCAGTTAATTTGAAGTTTTGGGACTAGACCACATGCTCCTTTTTTCTTCACATTCCCTGTGCCATCTCTGTATAAAGGTGGGGTAGGCATAGGGTTGCTGGAGGGTTTTGTTTAGTTCACATTTTTAAATAAGTTCATACAAGCAGCCTAATAAGCAGGTTGGAATGCCCTTACTAGTTTCTGCACACATCTGAGTTTTGTGATGCACTTTACTACTCCAAAAACAACAATGAAAATAAGAATGCAAGAAGAGCCCTGAAGAATGAGGCTAGTGGCCCATCTAGTCCAGCATCCTAGCAGTAGCAACATGATGCCCATTATGGGAAACTCGGTAGCAGGATTCAAGCACAAGAGCAACACTCTCCCTTCCTGTGGTTCCCAGCATTGCTGTCTCCAACCATAGAGGCAGAGAATAACCACCTGTGACTGGGAGCCATTGATATATGCAACAAATTTGTCTACTCTTTAAAGCCATCCAAGTTGCTGGCCATCTCTACCTTCATGTGGGAGAATATTCCATAGCGCAGCTTTATTTATTTACTACTTCTGCGCTTCATCTTAAGGTCCCAGGTTACAGCATTAAAACAAAATATTAAAAACAATTAAAAATAACTTACCTTCACATAAGTAAGGTGGGTCTTAAAACTGTACATCTCAAGTGTCAAAAGCCAGGGCAAAGAAAAGCATATTTATTCCATCATTTGCCGGAAGCTGTGTAATGAAGGTGCCAGGTGCACCTCTGATGGGAAGGAGTTCCACAGCTTAGGGGCTGCCACAGAGAAGGCCCTTCCTTGGGGCACTGACATTCCCAAGCCTTTAAGTTAAAAGGAACCACCAAGAGGGTCCCTTCTATTGATCTCAGCATCCAAGAGGGTCTGTAGGGAAGGAGGCGGTCTTTCAGATGCTTGGGAGTATGCACTGTGTGAAGGACTTCCTTTTATCTGTCCTCCAATATTCAGCTTCACTGGATGTCCTCAGGTTCAAGTGTAAGGGGGAAACGCGTCAGCCATTTGATGGACCAAGTTCAGCATTTTATGTGTGTGATCCTCACTTGCTCTATTTTGAATGAATAAATATGAGTGCCAGGCACCAGACTCTCCTCTCCTCTCCTCCCCTCTTCCCAGTTCTTTGAGCTGGATGTCTACAGCAGCGACGGCAGCCCCCTGACGACTGACCAGATATTTATTCAGCTGGAGAAGATCTGGAACACCTCCCTCCAAACCAACAAGGAGCCAATTGGGATCCTGACCACCAACCATCGCAACAGCTGGGCCAAGGCCTACAATAACCTCATCAAGGGTCAGTCTTTTGAAATGGTACCCGTGCCATTGAACTAGCTGCCTTACCCTTGTGGAAGGAGATGCCAGACTGGGGACGGGGAGTGTACCTCCCTAGCAGGTGGGGGTGAAGGTTGAAATTTGGCCCAGCCTCCTTCCCACTTCCCAGAACAATATGCAAGCCCAAACACAGTTATCCTTGAAAACATGTCCATCTCAGGGTTTGTTGATGCAGTTCTCCAACTGCATAAGGTGGACAATAAAATATTTTTGTGGTTCCCCATGGCTCGGATGCAGGGTGCATATTCACCAGGAACTGGGCATTTAGTATTGTGGGCCTAATTTTATGCAGCTCCCTTCCAGTCAAGGTCAGACAGACCCTCTCTTCCTGTTGAACTTCCAACCCCTACTTTTTTTATTCCAATGGGCATTTTTGTTGAGGTTCAATTTTTTTCATTTCAGCGGATTTATATTGTTATATTGTATTTTTGTAAACCACGGAGAGATTCTTGTAGTCAAGTGGTATATAAATTGTTTAAATACAATAAATTTCTTAACCACCATTGGGTACCCGGGTGGATTAACACAATAAAAACAATTCCAACCTAGATTAGTTTGTTCTTTCTTGTATTTTATGTTGAAAAGTGTGTGTGTGTGTGTGTGTGCGTGCGTGCGCGCGCACACACACACACACACAGTCCCAACCATAAAAATGTAAAAACAATCCCATATATAACCAATGATACAGACATTTAAAAACAATTCCATATATAAAAATAGTTGAAAATAGCTCTGATACTACCAAGAGATGGACTGTAAAATGCATACGCTAAAATGTGCACTAATAAGAGCTCTATTGGGTTTTTAAATTATTTTAAAAAAGCATGCAGAATTGCATTGTATTAGGGAAATTTACTTGCAAAAAGAAAAAGTGTATATTAAGACAAAATTATAAACGGTTATTGAATGCACGTGGAGAAATGTGTGGTAAAATGTTTTGCACCATTTCTGGTCCCCCCCCCCCCCCGACTTTTTTTCTCCAGACAAAACCAACAAAGAGTCTGTGCGTTCAATTGAAAAGAGTATCTTCACTGTCTGCCTGGATGCACCAATGCCCCGTGTCTCAGACGATATCTACAGGAGCCGTGTGGCTGCCCAGATGTTGCACGGTGGGGGTAGTCGCTGGAACAGTGGGAACCGCTGGTTTGATAAAACGCTTCAGGTGGGTGCTGGGATGCGTGGCTAAAGTGCAATAGAATTATTTCCTACAGCAGTTCCATGAAGGTTTAAAACTCTGTTTTAGCTTCACTGTAGGGAGACATCAGGGATGAAGTTCCACCACTCAGACAGCTCTTCCCTTAAATAACCATTCCCTTAAAATGGTTTATTACTGTAGATCATGGCATAAATAAAGGTTGGCATAACATAATATGAAAAAAGATCCCCATTATGAGCTTCCTTGCCCCTCATCTCTGGCTTGTTCAGCCCTTCTCTCACTGTCTCAAAAATTGCTTTGCAGTTTATCGTGGCCGAGGATGGCTCCTGTGGTTTGGTGTACGAACATGCTCCCTCGGAGGGTCCCCCTATTGTCGCCCTACTAGATCATGTTGTGAACTATACGTAAGTTTCTGTTGTTTCTCTGTGAATGTGATCCTTTCTCCTCCTGGGAATGTAAGTGGCTGTGCCCATGATGGATTGTTCATGATAATACTTATCTTTTATATCATGGGTTCCCAGTGGTCTGCAAGCTGCATTCAGGTGGTCCATGGCATACTTGTGGATTTCTAGCCAAAGACAGGAGACGGCACATGCATCACATTAAGTGTTCATATTCATTTTTAACTCTGGCTATTGCTTCTGTTATGTCCAGTAAGCCCTTAACCTACATGGGGATTACGTTCCAGGAATAGCACCTGAAGCCAATAGCGCATAAAGCCTACCTACTTTCCACCCCCTTAATTTTTTTAATTGCCGAGCACATAAAGCTGAATGCACACAAGTTAAATGCATATAAGATGCGGGCTTACTGTACCAGTATCTCATCGCATTACAGTTTGGAATTCTATGGAATTCAAATTGCAGTAAACTGTGATGTATAAGAAATCAAAGAAGCAATAAATATACAATTAAAAATCATTCAGCATCTAGTACGTAGGCAGAAAAAAACAATTAAGAGGTCTGCCAGGACCCTCATCAGTTTTCAAGTGGTCCATGGGGGGGGGCGAGTTTGGGATCCACTGTTTTATATAATGCACATATATTACTTCATAGTAATTTTTTATAGCAGGGGTTGCATATATATATATATATATATATATTTATGGCCCAAGGGCTGCATTCATTTGTGGCCAATTGTTTGGGGGCCTCATGCCAGCAGTGGCTTTGGCCACCCCACAGCCACAGCCACACAAGCCTGCAGGAGACCTGCTGTATAAACTTACATGTACGAACACCCACCAAGACTGTGCATAGCCTCCCATTCCTCATGTGTGCAGATGGGGATACACTCAACAGATGACCAGGCCTCTGGGCATGGTGGAAAGGTTTAAACCTTTTCACCCTCTCCAGCTCTGTGTTTATTTTATTTTTATTTTATAACTCTTTTTTAGCCATTACTCTCCATATTTGTTAGATCTTGAGGGGGTGTTTTCAGAGGACCACTTCAGTCTCCAGGGCTGATGTTCACTACCTCTGCCTTACACCAGCCCTGTAAGGTGAATGAATATTATTCCCACAAATGGGCCTGCAGCAAAATGTTGCAGCATACACATAAAAACAGCTCTTCTGTTTATGGCGTGCCAGGGAGCCATGCCATTTTCAGGATATTATAAGTTGTAAGGGGCATGAACAAGACATGTTGTTCTCTCCCCCTGCCTTCCATTGTCATACCATTAAAATCCCAATTAAAACCTAAATGCATAGGTAAACAGGACCATCTTTGCCTGGTGCCTAATATTGATAGTGCCAAGTGCACCTCACAGGGGAAGGCAATGCTCAACCAGAGAGCCACCACTGATAAGACCTTGTTCTTTTTGCCACATTCCACGCCTCCCTTGGAGGGGGCACATGAAGCAGGGCCTTATGCATCCAGGATCCTGTTCTTTGCTGTGTTGTATAGGATGTGATGCTCATAACTGAAAACACCACCTTCTGTTCTTAACACCTCTTTGGTGGTTGTTCTTTGTAGAAAGAAACCAGAATTGGTGAGATCTCCCATGGTTCCCTTGCCAATGCCTAAGAAACTCCGGTTTAACATCACCCCAGAAGTGAAGAATGATATCGAGAAAGCGAAACAGAACCTTAACATGTGAGTTATCCATGGGGCACAATAGGAGTTTTCCAGAAGAGACAGGTTCAGGAATGAACAAGAGGAAAAAGACTTCCCCAGAGTCATGCCAACACAGGATGGAGACTGGCTATCTCCGCTTCCACTTAAAGCAAATATGAAGAGGGGGGAATCAAGTTTCTAGTTCCTGTGAGGGGCTGTTTAGAATCTTGAAGATCTTTTCATTGGGCTCAGAGTAATTATCTTTTTTGTTGCTGCTGCATGCGGTATCACAGACGGGCAGAAAGAAGTAATCTGCAGTCTCTTAAAGGGCCGGTCATTCTCCTAGTCCTCTTAAGTTAAATGTGTAGCAGGCAGGAAGCATTGAGTTAAATGTGTAGCAGGCAGGAAGCATTAGAGCAGTAGCTGATGGAGATACCAGCAGGGATATTGCCAGAAACATCTAGCTCTCCAGCCTATTGATAAACATCTCAAGAAATCACGTCTTCCTCTGTCCTTCTGCAGCCTGGTGCAAGACTTGGATATCAGTGCAATTGTCTTCCACCAGTTTGGGAAGAATTTCCCCAAGTCGGAAAAGATCAGTCCAGATGCTTTTATCCAGATTGCTTTGCAGCTGGCCTACTACAGGTAGGTGACAGGGAAGGGGTCAGGTGCTCTACTTTACTTTCTAGTAGCAATCAGAACATTCACAACAACTTTCTTGGGTCTGCTTGACAGTTTATGTAGTCTGAACATACTGAAACCAGGGTTAGGGAAAAATTTTCAGCCCAAAGGCTGCATTCCTTCCGGGAGGTCGCATGCTGGGGGGAAAGTGGGAGAGCGACAAATGATAAGTTTACCTTAGTGTAGTACTTAGTGTAATAGTGTAGTGTAACACACTCATTACCCTCTAACAAGGCAAGCATGGACTGTTATCAGATGTCAAGGACACATTCTAGGCACATCAGAACTCATGGATAGTGCAAAGCAAGGCATTGGGTGTGGTCTGGGGAGAATACCAAGGGCCAGAGAGAGAGGGCTGGAGGGCTACTTTCCTGGCCTAGAGCCAGCGGGTTCCAAATTCCATAGAGGAATGTTTTCCCAATTTCTGAGGCATCCTTCGGTCCCGCACCCCAAGGCATTCAGTTTTAAATTCAGGAGGGGTTCCCTCCTCTAGGAGGAACTCGCCTCCTGTGTCCCTGCAAGGTGCACTGCTTTAGAAGGAGCAGGGGTTCATTCAGAGATGCGACAGGCAGCTGCAGAGGCCCAAAGGTTCTGCGACACTCCTTGCCCCCTGCAAAAAGAAAGGCACAAGAATAAGCGGTAATGATATTTGAAAGGCCTCAAATTGAAACCTTCTTGAGAACTTCCAGCAAAGGAGACTAATGGGACCCCAGTAATTGTGGGGTATTCAAAAATACCTGTAAAAGGACCCTCTCTGACAGGCTGCTGTGAGAATAGGATGCTGGAACTAGATGGGTCCCCTTCGGCTTGATCTAGCAGGGCTCACCTGATGTGCGTTCTCTCAAATTCTTCAGAGAGTCATTTCTGATCTGCTGGCTGTTTCTTCTGCTTGTTTTTTCTGTCAACCTCCTCCTAGGATGTATGGGGAGGCCTGTTCCACCTATGAGAGTGCCTCACTCCGGATGTTCCGCCTGGGCCGGACAGACACGATCCGTTCTGCCTCTGTAGATTCTCTCAAGTTTGTGCAAGCCATGGATGATTCTGGCAAGCAGGTGGGAAAAGTGGATTCCTTTGCTGCCCATATTGACCCTTAGATGGCTTCCCCCCTCCCCATGGAGAGCAAGAGAGAAGTTCCCCATTGCATGAGGGCCTTCAGCTCATGCAGTACTGGATGGAACCCAAACAGAACTTATAAACCATGCTGGATCGAACCATTCAGAATGGTCTCTTATGAATAAAGGCTTCATTTGTTAAAAGAAGATCTGTCAGCCAGTGATAACAGGTAGCAATTAGAACTACCATAGAGACTGTTGTCCTTGGCAACCAGAGCAGCCCAAATGTGATCATAGAGAGGAGAAGTCCTGCTTCATGGTTACCAAAGGAAGTGAAACCCCTAAGGGTGCAGCAGAGGCCCAGAAACTGTTCTGCTGGAACATACCTGTTCTCCTTGCTATTTTTATGAAAACGTTAATGTTTCATATTCAGTATACCATATCTTTGTTTTTCATTGTAAGCTGCTTTGTATATTATATTAATAGAAAATTGAGATATGGCTATTAAAACTAAGAGAGGCTGCAGTCCAAGCCCCACTTACCTGGGAGTAATCCATACTTAATTCAGTAGGTCCTACTTCTATGTAAAAATGGTTAGGATCGCACAATAAACATCTTTTATTCACCACATATCAATCACCGAAACGATCTTAGCTTGAGATTGGCGATATGACAGACAACGAGCAATGGGACAGCCCATGTTACCCAAAGACCATTTGAGCTTTAAAGGGTCTGGGGAGAGGTTTCCTGTGATGACCCTTTTTACTGGAAAAACAATACTCTTGATGAAGAACAGTCAGCACAGATGTGTGAAAAGTTACCTTGGCTACCAGGCCAAGTTCAGGGTGTTGCTGCTAACCTATAAGGCACTATACTGCTTAGGACCAGGTTACTGTAATTCAGAGGTCACTAGCAGGAGAAGCTCTCCCGCAGACCACAGCAACCTACTCGGTATATAAAGGATTATCCCTTTATATGCCCAGTAGGTCACTGTGGTCCGCAGGAGAGCTTCTCCTGCTAGTTTAAAAGACCTCAGAAGCTTGCTGTGCAGTAACTCGGAGCAGGGCCTTCAGTGTGGTTGCCCCTGTTCTGTGGAATGAAATTCCTGACAATACATGACAGGTTCCCACTATCTGCTCTTTCTAGGAACCATTTAAGATACTTTTTTTTTCAACAAGCTTCCCCTAGCAGATGTTCTCATTTTGCTGGAGAAGAGCGGAAGAGTGAAGAAGAGCAGAAAGGAGAATGTGCCCAGGCAGGGAGAAGGATGAATAGATACACCCTCTTCCTGTCAGGGCACAAGGAGAGTGTTCTCACAGAGTTCTCCCTAGCAAATTTACAGGAAAACTCTGCAAGCCTCAAGCCCTTTGTGCACCTCTGCTGTGGGTATCCATTCTGTTTGTTTAAAAAATAAAAACCTTCAAAATGATTTTCCAAAAATAATAAAACAATAGAATTATCAGTAAGAAAAATGAACAATAATCTTAGACTCTGAAAAAGTTAAAATAACAATAGCCTAAAAACAGTTTGAAACTTGCATTGACTTTCTAAGTATCTTGGTAAAGGGACCCCTGACCATTAGGTCCATTCGTGACTGACTCTGGGGTTGCGGCGCTCATTTCGCTTTATTGGCCGAGGGAGCCGGCGTACAGCTTCCGGGTCATGTGGCCACATGACTAAGCCGCTTCTGGCGAACCAGAGCAGCGCACGGAAACGCCGTTTACCTTCCCGCCAGAGCGGTACCTATTTATCTACTTGCACTTTGACGTGCTTTTGAACTGCTAGGTTGGCAGGAGCAAGGACCGAGCAACGGGAGCTCACCCCGTCGCGGGGATTCAAACCGCTGACCTTCTGATCGGCAAGTCCTAGGCTCTGTGGTTTAACCCACAGCGCCACCTGCGTCCCTCTAAATATCTTGGTAGGTGTGTCTAAACAAAAATGTTTTTAGCATGCACCGGAAAGAGTGCAGTGGAGGCACCTGCCTGATGTCAGTAGGCAAGGAGTTCCAAAGTTTAGGTGCTGCCACAATAGAAGATTGAGTTCTTACAAATGCAGAATGGAAAATAAATGAAAGAGTTGGAACTCTTGTTAGGCAGGTGGGCTGTTGAAATGGAGTAGTTTTCGGTAGCTGTGCTTTCTCATTCCTCCCTCAGGACCTGGAGAAGTTGGAACTACTGAGACAAGCCACCCAGGCTCATCGTGCCTACACTGACATGGTAAGTTCCTATAATGCCCCATTTGCCTTAATAAGCCACCCTTCATTGATACAGAGCAGATTCTCTGGTGCTCCAATAGGTGCCTAGAAGGAAGGGTTTTCAGTGTGTCACAGCAGGAGTCTTGCCTGCTAGTGAGCTTGCAATTACTTCCATAAAACAAGAAAACAACAAAAGAGGTAGCCCTTGGACCACCTCCTCTATGAGATCCATAAGGTGGGTGAGGATCCATCTATATGCCCATTGCTGAGTGGACACCCAAACCAATTCACACATTGTTCAGGAAGTTGGTGCAGATCAGGACCAACTTTTACTGGATTCCCTTCATATCCCTACTTGGTACCAAGTTATCCAGGAGAGAGCCTTCTCCCCTGCCCCAATTTAGACCAACTAGCCCACTTTAACTGTCAGAGAAAGCCCTTGTGGCCATGCCTGTCCTGCAGAAATCTGTCTGGTAGAGTCTACTCTGCAGTGGCACCCACCTCGTGGAAGGCACCTGAATTCCACCAATTGCTGGAAATCTATTTGCCCAGATAGCCCCCACCTGCTGATGTTTTACTATCCCTTTTTCAAAAATCTATTTAAAGTATTTACCAGGGTTCAAATTCCCCCACTTGGCCATGAAGATCCTCAGGTGACCTCTCAAGATTGTTGTGGGAATTAAACGAGGAGGGGGAGAACTACCTTAAGCTCCTTGGAGAAAGTATGGGATAAAAATGCAGTGCAGTAAAATAAAATAAAATAAAATAAAATAAAAAATTGGGTGCTATAGCTGTATCTGGCTGCAGAGAGAGCATTGCTGCCCATTGTTTGTTGGTGTAGCTTTTTGCAATGCGTTTCTTTCAACCCTTTAGGCAATTAGAGGGGACGCAATAGATCGCCACCTCCTGGGGCTGAAGCTCCAGGCCATTGAGGACCTTGTCAGCATGCCCGAACTGTTTATGGATACTGCGTATGCTGTTGCCATGCACTTCAAGCTCTCCACCAGCCAGGTAAACAGCAGCTCGCCTGACTAATCAAGGAGGGGACATGTGGACTTGTTGAATTAAACTAAATAACCTTAGTTAGATTTTGAATAAAAGTGCAGCTAATTGTTACTGTTTTGAATTTTACTGTGTTATGATCTTTCGTGGGTTGTGCAAGCCGCTATTCTGAATGCTTTTTAGGGGGGGGGTTCTGGTGGAACCAAGCGGGGTGGTGTCCTGAAAGAGCCTGGGGACCACTGATACAAATGAATATGTCTCCTCCCCCTCCTCTGTAGGTCCCCGCAAAGACTGACTGCGTAATGTGTTTCGGCCCAGTGGTCCCAGATGGCTACGGGATCTGCTACAACCCCATGGACGAACATATCAACTTTGCCATCTCGGCCTTCAACAGTTGCGCCGAAACAAATGCAGCCCGGATGGCACATTACCTAGAGAAGGCCCTCTTGGACATGCAGCTGCTCCTCAAATCGAACCCCAGGTCTAAACTTTAAAGGTGGGGGGAGTTGCGGTTTAAAGCCTTGGAGGCTCCAAAATCCAGACAGTTGCACAAAGGCTTCAGCTGCAGGGAGTGTCTTACAACCCTGATCTCCATGGAGCGAGGCCTGTTTGTGGTTCTAGGACTGCTAGGCCAAAAAACAAACAAACTAAGCTAAAATAAAAATACGTTTGGTTTTTGTTTTGAAAGGAGCTTGGAGCAGACTTTATCCTGTGATCATGAAGTGCCTTATTGCTTCCCCAGAATTGGGGGGGATAGGTTTTTTTCTTGTCATACCTGCATTTTGTTTTTGCTGTGAAAACAAGAATATAGGAATGGCAGCCTGCTTCCCACCTCAAACAAGTCCAGAGGGCAGGCAGGGAATTCCTGCTTCCCTGTAGACCAGGGGTAGTCAACCTTTTTTTACCTACCGCCCACTAATGCATCTTTCTTGATGGTGAAATTTCCTTACTGCCCACCAGTGCTCGATGGGAGGAGGATTCAGCTTGTGCCCCCCTCTCCCCCTCTCTCCCACCTAGAATCCTGAAACGCCCACTAGTGGGCGGCAGGGACCAGGTTGACAACCCCTGCTGTAGACACTGAGAAGGAACTGAAATTAACTTGAGGCCGCCTCTGGATCTGTCACCAGCTGCGTTTCCTCATGGCCTCTTCATAGAATTATAGATGGGAAGGATCATCTAGTCCAGCCCCCTGGGTTCGGTCCGGCAGCTCTGTGCCAATCCTGTGTGCTTGGGGTGGTTTGCTTTATGATGGGGAGGTAGGCTTCTCAAACCAAGGAAATATGGTCGCCTTTCTACTTTGCTGCTAGCTTGGAGAGGGGATCGTTGCAGTGTAGCTTTATCTGTTTTCTATGCCCTCAACACCCATCCACAGCTCAGATCTCCGTTTTATGTTTGCTTGGGTTTTTTAATATCCTTGTGTGTTTTGGGAATCCATCAGGATGGGAGCACCCCCTGTTGTAACAGGTTCCTATCCCCTGCAGATACACCCATTTTATTGTTTGATAATAAAGCACTTTTCGTTGTTGAAGAAGTAGGTGTTCTGGCCATTTTCACTGTAGATTGCCGACACCTCACCCCACCTGACACAGAAGTATGCGAAGATCAAGCAGTCTAAAGGATTTGCTGGGTCTTGGTAAAATCTACGAGAAACTGGTGAGAAGTCAACTAGTCGGGGAGAAAGGATGGGGCCTGGCTAGAAGTAAGAATCTGCCGGAGGGGGTGTGTCTCCAACCACCCTGTTCTATCCTCTCTCTTTTTGGAAACTCTTGATACTATGGCAGGGCTGGGAAACATGCAGCCCTCCAGATGACTTATAGCACCTTAGAGACGAAAAAGTTTCATTATAATAAGAGATTTTTGTGGACTATGGTCCATTTCAACTGCAGAAGATGCAGGTTAGCAAGCATTATGTACCCATTTGCACACAAACCACAAGTGCCTGCTTGCCAGTTCAGTCTTCCCCTGCATCTGATTGAACTGTGGTCCAGGAAGCTTATGCCAAAATAAACATGTTAAATTTGTAATTGCTGAGATGACTTTTGTGGTTGTTACTTGATCTCTCAAATCTGGCTCAGGTGTGGAATTGGCACCAAACTTTTTGCCTTGATAAGATTTTTAGAACAGGCATGAGGAACCTGTGACCCTTTGGGTGTTTTTGGACAGCATGGCCAGGGGTGATGGGAGTTGAAAGTCCAACATCTTGGGGGGGAGGGGCACTTCCAGGTTGCCCATCCCTCTTTTTAAAGGCAAAATAGCAAGGCCAAACACAGGCCATATGCCAAGTTCTGAATAAATTCCTATCACTTTGGGCATGAGAAGAGAAACATTAGAGGCAGCAGCACAGAGTTGTGCTCTTAAAGGCTTAAGCCCACTCAAGTCTGTATTGGATTTGTGCCGAAGAGATCTGCATTGTTTCCCTTATAGAATACCATTTTCTGCTGTCAATGTGTTCAAGAGGCATCTTGGCAGTCATGAGGACTAGCCACTGGCTTTTATGGAGGTTGAGATTAAAGAAAATCCTCCTGTTTTACAAGTGCCTTATATTGCCCACTCCTAGGGAGAAAGGGAGATTGTGTTAATGTAGGACTGTTTACATGTTGCCATGTGTTTCCCCATTTTAAACTGTATTTGGTATGTTTGTGGTTTTAATGGTTTTAACCTCATCACTTCTTTGAAGCTTACAGTGCTAGATTCAGGTGTTAAATATGATATATTTTTTTAAAAAACCAACCCTGATATTTATACATCAGTGTTCTATGTAAAATTATTGAAAGTGGAGAGCATGAACAGAAGTCTAGGGTTTGAATCTTACCTTAGCCGTGAATGTCCCTGCAATCTTAGTACAGGCCTAACTGATGGGTTGTTCATTTCTAAGGACTGTCGAGATGTACTTTGAGCTCTCAAGGGCTAAACAATTACATTTTGAATTGCCAAACTACTTAATGTATGCTGGTTTCCCATCACTTATGGTATTAAAAAGATAAAATCTTCATTGCCCAAGCTGTTCAGCAGTAGCTTCTAGCATACTGGAATGTTAGAACAGGTGCTTTCTCAAAGCACTGCAGAATCTTTGGTGCATGTAATTTTATAATGCTTCTGATGAATGTTTGCATGATCTGCTTGTAAATTGTAATATATGTATGGATGGGCCTAAAAACGCTCACTGGTATTGTGTGTAAACTTAACCCAATTAAAACTGAAATTTTAAGCTGTTTGTTTCTGCATACTGGTACTGAAGATGGTGTATTTTCTTCACTTGTGCATAGCAAAAAAGTGAAACATTACTGTAAGTGCTTAGATTGTAGATGCATTATTAGACACAAAGAAAGCTAGCTTCCTCCTCTCTGTGCTGGCTGACAGAAGTAGCTCTTTCCAGGAACCATCAGCCACTCTATTCCCCTCTCACCATTGGGTTTTTTCACTCGCCTTCTGCCCCACTGTATCAGATCTGTTCCTCAAACTGACCCTTTTCTGTGTTTTTAAACATGCACTGTGTATAGGGTGCTTTTTCTACTTTGCAACCCAGGGTGCCAAAGTCCATAAAGTTGACACAGGAAGTTGGAAACGACCTTTCTCTCACTTCTATGGATTTTTTTCAAGACTGAGATTAGCAGTGCTGGTCTTGATCTTAGTCTGGAAAAGTTGAACAATTGAAAAGGAGAGGAGGAAAGAGCAGTGTCATTTTCATGGTCCCCTCTGGCTTCTATGTACTTGTTTAAGGCTGTGGTTGCTCTCTTCTGAAAGGAGGCCAAAGTGGGTGGGGAGTATGCAGAGGTTTTGTGGACACCAAGAGAGGTCACCATGGGGATTCTTTTAGCCCCATATATTTTCACTCCAATCCAGGAACAGGCTCCTGTGCATCAGAGTAGATTTCTCTAGGCACGTAATCCACCTAAAGTTAATTCAGTGGAAGCAATATACTGGGTACATAATCCTGCAATCAGCAGCACATATCCTACATGGCTCTACACAGCAGTAAATCCCAATGAGTTTCATGTGACTTACTCCCAGGTAAGAAACACAGCATTTCAGCCTACGTTTTGTTGAAAGCAATGTAAATTGGGTGTGCTCAACTCCCTGAAGGCTCATTGATTTCAAAGGGGAAGTAATTGTGATGTTTGTTTGGATCAAGGCTGGCTGTATATATAGCTGGATGCATATTTTGATGGGTTTGAGGCAAACCTGTGGGCAAGGCACATGTCCTCAGGCTTCTACCAATGTGTGGAGGAGAGGTCTCTCCATATAGCTACACTTGTCAAACAAATACACTTGGCAACCCAAAAACGACCATAAAAACATTTTATTGAGTATTTAAAAGTTTGGGGGGGGGCAACTTGGGGATAAATTTGAAACCACCAAGGGAATGAGTGATGCCTTGATGGTGCTTTCTTCTTTTGCATTTTAAACTACCAGTAAGAAAGTCTGCAGCAGTATTTTGGGGAAGGAAAAAAAGATTAGGGTAGAACGTATAAAGGAAGGAAAATATAGGGTCACTGGTGAAGTTGGCTCTAAAATAATAAAACAATTAAAACAAAACAATTTGTACAGGTATCTGAATAATAATAAAAAGATAGCATTGAGTAGGGCTGGGTGATACCTGGTTTTAAACATCGTGATATATCACCAGCTAAACATCGCAATATACTGATACATCACGATGTCTGCAATATGGATGAATGCATGTAGAGGCATTGACTGGCTTCACGGTTTTTCCCGCATTGTGATTTTTGCATAGCGAACAAACACACATCATGATTCTCAATATATTGCCAGGTCAAAAATTATGAAACCAATATCACGATACAGTGGCACCCCGGGTTATAGACCCTTCAGAAATAGTACCTCGGGTTAAGAACTTTGGTCAGGATGAGGACAGAAATTGAGCAGCGCGGTGCGGCGGCAGTGGGAGGCCCCATTAGCTAAAGTGGTACCTCAGGTTAAGAACAGTTTCAGGTTAAGAAAGGACCTCCGGAACAAATTAAGTTCTTAACCTGCGGTACCACTGTATAGACTTCAAAGCTGTTTTGGCTGACATATCGCCTAGCCCTAACACACATCATAATTCGCAATATATTGCCAGGTCAAAAATGATGAAACCAATATCACAATACGGACTTCAAACTGGTTTTGGATGACATACTGATATATCACCCAGCCCTACTATTGAGTTTTTGTATTGTGCTGACACAGTGCAGAAACATCACTAGTGTAGTTTTCTTAAAATCAATACAAAGTGCAGTTGGGATTGGCCCAGATGCCCCTGAACAGTCATGATAAAGTTTTAAACTAACAGAAAGAAGGCTCCCCCTGTTTTCCGCTCCAGTGATCCACGTTTCTCAACTCCTGCCAAAGGGAGATGAATCAGCTGCCTTCCAAAACACTTGATCACAGGGTCCCCACCCCCCCTTTTCGCAAACCAGTTTTTATTTCAAAAGGAATAATAAATAGTGTGTACATTGCATGCTGCAAAAGGGGAAATCAATTTGTGGGGGGAGTCACAGACATATAATATTTTGACTCCCCCACCGACAAAACGCTAAATATATCCCCCCCTTTCCCTGTTTCAGACTTTTCAAAATTCACAGGTAAAACCAACCCAAAAGGGTGTCTTGCGCAGGCCCTGCTGAAATGAAGGGACAGGTGGGGGGGGAGGGGGGAGAGAAGGCGCATTGGAGTTCTCTCCCTCCAGCAATTCTGTTTGCATCAGCGGAGTCTGCGCAAGAGACGTGCAGTGGCCGAGTGAGGGGAAGGGGTTGTTCCCACCCTCCCGGTCAGATGCTGTGCAGCTGCGGTATATAAATGGGTCGCTGGTTCCTGAATGGTCCTCGGCATGCAGCAGAGTGTGGATCCGGCTAGCTGGAAAAGGCCTCTGGTCTTCAGGGTGTTGTGGTCCCTGCCTCCGTTCCTTTTGGTCCATCTCTTAACAGGCTCCTTCCTTCACTTCCAGCTCTGTACAGGTCTCTTTCTCTCTCTAATGCTGGCCCTTGCTTTTTTATTTTTATTTTTATTTTTTGTCTTACAGAATTCGTGCAGTCCAGTTCCTAACATCTCCCTTCCATATTCACTGGAGCTTTGTACCCAGCTTACGCTGTCGGTTCCTGCAATTTAAAAAGGAAGTGGGTTCAAATCTTATCAAGGTGCTTTTTGAGCCCTGCCCAGACTTTTGATTTCAGAGGGCAGAGGGTGCACTTTGTGTGCAGAAGGCCATAGGTTCAGTCCCCAACACCTCCCAGCCGGAAAGACTCAAGCCTGCAACCAAGGAGTCAATAATAAAATCTAGTAACTCAAGAATGGAAGAGATTTCTATAGAACAATCACACCCACATCGTACTTTTAAAGCACAATGATACTCCATAAGTCATGGCTTCCCCAAAGAATTCTGGGAGCTGTAGCTTGTTCAGGGTGTTCAGAATTGTTAGGAGAACCCCTATTCCTCAAGGAAATGTATCTCTCAGAAGGGAATAATGGTCTCCTCTCAGCAGCACCCTTCCCAACCCCAATCGTGCATTAAATCCTCACCTGGCTTCTGCTCTGGTCACTGTGTACTCGAACCATAATATATTTGGGATGAGACTGGTGTCTCTGATTAAGAAAAACTCTGATAATGGCCTGGAAGAAGTGGAAAGGTTTGGCAGAAGAAGGAGACGGGAGAGGGGGAGAAAATAAGGAGACAGAGAACAAGAATTCAGCAAACTTGTTTTTTGTAAAGTCTGTTAATTCTTGTAAGTGAATCAGCATAGCAAAAAACAAGGCAGACTCTGAATGAAAGCATTTGATACACTTGGGATAGTTGATGGTCTAATTACATTTTGCTTAAGAATAAAAGAACAGTCACTCAGTCCCGGGTTCCTTTCCCTCACTCTGACAAATATAAGGGATTTGCCAAATGACAGTGGTGACTTCCTTAAGGTCTAAATTCAGAGAGTGTATTAGAACCAAGCTCTGTGCCAAGAATGGTTCTGGAACACAAACCATGACCTGAGCTTCCTTACGTTGCAGGTAAACTATGGCTTACGGCTGCTTACCTGCTTTCATTTTTGTTCAGCCCCCAGATTTCCTCATGTGCCCATAGTATAGAAACCTTTGGAGGTGAAGCGATGGAGGTAACCATGGCTTGTCAATTCAGAGATCATCGAAAACAACACAGCACAAATCATGGCTGGCAACTGCACCTCCAACCATGGTTTCCAGTACTGATTTGTTTGCTGGTTGGTTGAATTTGACAAGCCATGGTTGGCAGACACCAAAACAAATATTCAACTATGGTTTGCTGTGATATTGAAACTGAGGTATTCATCGCTAAAGCAGAATCCGGATAGCAAGTGCTCAAAAATAAGCTTATTTTATTTACTCTCCTATGAGGCATCTTGCATGACAATTAACTCTGCACTTAGCCACCTGAGTTTCCTTCTGTACTAAATTCTCCCTGACATACTGGATTTCTATATGAAGGGACCCCAGCCCAACACACAAAGGAGCTTCTCCCACCCGCTGCCCAATAAAACTCAAAGGATTTCTGACCTGCCTTTCAATTTAGAAAGATTCCAGAGCAGCAATTTGGTCTCAGGTGGGGGGGGGGGCCAGAACAAATAAGGGGGACTTACCATGCAGCTATCCTTGGGAACAATGGTGTTAAGATCTCCTGTGTGAATGCAAACCAAACTATCGCCATGATGCTCCCCACAATCCCTCCATATACAACTTGGCTCCAGGAGTGGTACATCAGATAGACTCTGTGTGTGTTGCAACAGAATGAAAGCACATCAAGAAGAGAGCATACTAGACAGCTGGTTACAGCACAACCGTCACCTTTTCTCAAAAGAGGGAAGCTCACAAAGACCCTGTTTACCCCTCACCTATCCCCGCTTCCCCCCAAGGACAGCTAATTCATTGCTTGGCTATCAGGGCCACCTTCCCATCCTGGTTCATGGTTAATCATACAGCTTGATGTGGTACATGAATGAGGCCAATAGTGGCTACCACTAACCACAGTTTGCCTCCAAACTGGAACTGGAAAGTCACAGTTCAAATCACTTTGTAGACAAAACTATGGTTACTGCTAAACAGGAAGTGGAGAAGAGAGCTGGGAGCACACCAGCAGAGCAGGGGAAGACAGCACATGAGTTTGAGGAACAGCACAGATGACCAAACTATGGGATTGACTTGTGCAATCTGGGCTGGACCCAAGTTGAAGAGTTAATGGAAAAAATAGATTTTTTTTATATGGGCATTTCACTGCTTACTCAAAGTGGAATTGTACTTTGGACCAGAGGCAAAAAATGGGAGTCCAGTCTTAAGCTCCTGCCCCTCTCCTTCTTCACCACGCAGAAGATAATTTGTTCTGATATTGCAATGCTGAGCATTTATCTGCCCTTCTAGCATCCACCAGTGATGGACAGCAAGAGAAAGATGCACAGCGTAGCAATGTCAGGCAAAAGGTCTACGAGATGTGCTATTGGCTTGATCCAGCAGGGCTCTTCTCATGCTAAGAGAAGAGATTAGAAATAAATATAATTTTAAAAAGCCACCCACCCACCATCAAAATACCCTGCTGCATATTTACTGAAACATTTATTTGAATAAAGAGTTCTTGCATTGCTTCCAGGAACAACTGAAGCTTTTAAACCATTAATAATGAATGCATCAGTCCCAATAGCAAAACCAAGAGCTGCCCCAAGAAAGCATCCAACAAAATGGAACTGACCTACCTACTATAGGAGACAAGAAAGGCCACGGTTAAGAGGCAGAGGGAGAGGATATGTCTCCACAATAAGTCCAGGAACCTTGCATTGTTCGTTTGATGCATTCTGGGAGACAAAAATATTTAACTGAAATGACCTCTCACTAAACAAGCAAGACAAATCACAATCCAGCAAGCTCAAGCCCACATAGATACTTTAGAGCTTGCTCTTTTAAATAAGAAAAAGCTTATCACGCTTCCGCCCTGTATCCTTCATTTAAAAAAACCCCCAAGGAGCCTGATACTTGATTTTATGCAACACAGAAAAAAAATCCTAAGTTTCAAGACCTGTTCACATATAAATATCTTTTATTTTTACACCTAAGATAGTACCTTAAGGTAAATGTCTAAGATCTCAACGTGTGCCTGTGCAGCAAGTGCATGCATCATACAGATATACCTTAATGTGTTTCAAGATTCTCTCACCTCTTTGAGGACTAGAAACTTGACTTTGATGGATCCCCCCCCCCAAAAGTCAGCAGACTCTGTGCTTGCTGGATCAATTTCTTAAAACACTTTAATCAAAGGCAGAGCAAAAATAAAAATAAAAATAATCCACTTAAAGCTTCATAAAGATTCCCCCTGTTCATTTAGAACATACTGATTTCACACCATAAATCCAGCTTTTTGTTGCTTTTACGATGCCATTCCAACTCCCATTATCCCCAGCCAGCGAGACCAGTGGTGAGGGATGATGGAAGCTATAGTCCAACAAACATCTGAAGGGCTGCAGGTTCCATATCCTTGATCTGAGAAGCAGCATTCCTGGCTGCATGCAAGAGATGGAACGATGCCTCTAGGTAGAAGCGGCATTCGCTCATGAGAGGAAAGAGGGTGCCTCTTCTTAGATCAGGGATGGGGAACTTGCGGCTCTCCAGATATTGTAGGGACTCCCAACTCGCATCAGCCCCTGCAGCCAGCATGGCCAGTGGTCAGGGACAAAGGGAGCCTAATCTAACTGAATGGAAAAAGGAAGAGGCCACTGTAAATGGAGCCCCTTTTCTGACCTCTACATAAGCTTAAAAGCAAGGCTGGAACACCCTATCCACCAGCATCAAAAGGAAAGGGGATTATTCACCTTAAATAGAGGAAGAGAAAAGAGTAAATGGAGAAGAACCAGATGAACTGGGAATGGCTGGAAGGCATGGCGTACTTGGAAAAAACCGATGTGTGGATTTCTGAGGAGGAGGAAGAAGAAGCACAAATGTTAGTTGGACTATAGGAGCATTGCTTGGCTCTCCTCCCCTGCGATCAAGAAGGGCCCGACTCCCCAAGAGTATATGTTTGGGTTAAATGTTGCCAGAGGATGTGGAGGAAGATGCTACCTCTTACCTGCTGGCTATAGAAACCCCCAACCCCTTGAAGGAAGTGCTCTCCCAGCTGCCCCCAAAGCAGTTGAAGCAGTAAAGACGTTTTGCACTAAAGCAACTTGAACAGTTAAAAATGATCAGCAGAACAGCCACAGTTACAGGCACCGCATAAGACCTATTCTGCATTTGTAAGAATTCAATCTTTTAGCGTGGCAGTGCCCACACTTTGGAACTCCCTGCCTGGAGATATCAGGCAGGCTCCTTCACTGTACTGCTTTTGGCAGCAGCTCCATTTTTGTTTAGACAAGCCTACCCAGATATTCAGAAAGTCAATGCACGTTTTGATTTTTTTAAAAAAATTTTTTTTAGAAAAGTCTTAAATTATTATAATTTTTATGATTCTACTGTTTTATCTCTTTTTAGGCCACTTTGAGGTGTGTTTGTTAACAATACAAGTGGTGTATAAATCTTATTAAATACAGTAAATAAATGAATAAATAAAAATGTAAATATTTGGAAATAGATCCACTTTTATACTCTGTTACTACAGGGAAGATGGATGACGCACTCAATGCAATCCGATGGCAGAGAAGCAGCAGCAGCATTTCATTGTATGATAAAGTCTGCTTTGGTGATTGATTGCTGCTACCTGCAAGCCCGCGCCAATGATTTTTCTCAAAGTTTCCCAGTCAGCTGGTTGTTAGCTGGCTGCTTTCATTATTGAATTTTGCTGTTGATTGTAATGTGAAAAATATAAACTATTTTTAAAAAAGCAAAAACAAAATGTAGAGTTATTTTTATCGTTCCATAAGCAAAGGCAGTGGATGAGAACTGCTACCCTCATTAACAATGCCCAGGTCTGTAGTCAGCTGCGCCCTTTCCCTGCCAGCAATACTCCACCTGCGCAAGGACGAGGCTCCTGGATAATATTCTTTATTAGCCAATTCACACCTTCATTGAGCAAGAGGCCCCCCAAGAAAGAGATCTGCAAAAGGACAAAAAGGGATGTGTGATTTTTGAGATCAACTGGTTGTTGCACAGAGGATAATTTGTTTAGCTTGACTCTTCTAGGGATTTAGAAAGCATTATCATCCCACCTTTCCATTAAAAGCCAAAAATCAAATTCATTAGGCTACTTCTGGTTTAAAATAAGCTCTATAAGCATCATAATAGAGTCCAATACCAAATAATTTGATTAAATAGCATAAAAACATTATATATAAAGTTCAGCAGCAACTGTTTTGTTGTTGTTGTTGTTAAAAAAAATTCCCGTGAAATAGACGGGCAAATATCTTCCTGCTTTTGGGATTTCTAAAGGTGAAACCAAAAATGTGAGCCCCCCCCCAACCTCTGTCAAAATTCTGAAACATAACTTGATTCAGAATGTTGATGCAAAGTGATCTCTGCCTTCTCGAATATTCAGCTAATGTGACTTCAAAGGGTGAACTGCATATTTCTCTAACTGCAAGTGGTTAAATTGGAAATGCAATGAATTCTAAACAATTGGTTGATTCAATTATATGATATGTGATATGCTATGATACGATTGAATGATATGAATGATTGATATGATATGATTTGTGAATATTAATTTCATTTAATATGCCCCAAAGTCCCATCAAGATTTCTTTTGACATGTTCTCTTGGCCAATAAACAACTCCCAAAGGCATCAAATTGTTTTTAACCTTGCATCTGAGACTCACCAAGTTGGCCAATGTCCCCGGGATTCTGCAACCAGAGCGCCAACACAGGAGAAGAAACCCTCTCACCACCTGCCCAACCTTCAAAGCCAGGGGCAACTAAAGATGATGACCTCCAAAGGTGAGCAGGCACATATAGAACAGGGAGCCCTTCAGAAACCTTGTGCTCTATCCTATGTTTGTCCTATTCAAAGCAGACCCACTGGAATAAATGACTCCCAATAGCACTAGGGCTGGCTGTCAGTGGCTGATGGGCACTGAGAGCAAGTCCTGCTTGTGCCAAGGCACAATGAGATCCATGCTGACAGGAGTTGGGAGCTCAACCCCAAAATCTGGAGGGACAAAAGTTCCCTGTCCCTGGTTTCTACAATTGTTCTTGTTATGCCTGTTCCTCACTTCTGGCTGACAGCCAGGACCAGGTCACGCATGCACGAACATGTCAGCTGGTTCTTGCTCTTATTCCGTTGGCTTGCCATGTTGCTGCAACATACGTACTGCTATCTCATTGGCTCTATTTAGACAATTGATTGTTATGGATCGCTATGACTATTCACCACTAGCTGCTATAAAGGAGGGGGGTGGCGCTCCAGGTTGACTGGCTGCCCACTGGATGGCAACATACCTATGGCTCTCTCTCTTGCACTGCTTGAACCTTTGGCCTCACTGTAAAAAACACAGATTGAAGTTTCTTCCCTCCTCTTCCTCCTCCTCTCTGTAACTCAGAATTTAGATACTGTCAGGGACTATCTGGATGAAGAGGAGTGGTGGGAGGCACCAGCTGGGGAAGCCCCAAAGGAAATCCCAGAGAAGGAAGGCTCAGAGCCCGGGGACTGGCGGTGGGACACTGAGGAGACGTCAGAGGGGGAAGATTGGGAGGGAGTGCTGGATCCTGAAGGGACAACAGGGTTCAGTGAGCAGAAGGAACCTGTGACAGGGAGAAGTTCAGACTCTGAGGCTGAGGCAGAAGGGAAGGAGTGTCAAGGGACTGCTGAAGAATCCAGAGAATCTCCTCTCCCCGATGATCTCCAGGAATGCACAGGATAATGAGGAGGGCAGAACAGGGACCGGAGGTGCTCAGACACCGTTTGAGGCTTCTCGGGAAACATCTGGGAGAGCAGTCGTCTTAGGAGGGGTAGAAGGCAGGCACCTTCAGCCCTGGCAACTGCTCTATAGGGGAAGACTGGGAAGTGTTGCTGAATTGTATGCCATTTCCTTGAATAAAGAGCTAACTTCACTGACAACTGACTCTGCTTCTTCATGCTGACCTGCATCTGACTCCAGACCTGACAATCCCCTGCCCAAAGAGGTACCTACTCCAAGCACCTGTTAGCGTAGGATCTTCAAGGAGGGAGCGGGGGACCATTCTCAGCCTGAGGGTCACATTGCCTCGCAAGCATCCTTTCAAGGGCACATGCCAGTAGTGGGTGGGGCCAGAGGCAGAAGTGGGAGGGGCAAAAAGCCAAAGCCTGTGTGTGTGTGTGTGTGTGTGTGTAGGCAAGCAAGAGGCATCATTACATTCAAGGAAACATTCCAGTCAGGCTTTAAAAAAAATTGAGGAGAGGTGTGGCTCCCAGAGCTGGGGTTTTCCCACCACTGCCTCATAGTGTCAAAGGGTCTTTCCTCTTTCTGATGCTATAGAACTAAAGGCATCTATCCTTCTGGAACTCATCTATGACGACAGCTCCAACAAAACAGAAAAGTGGGAGGCATTTAAAGAAACCAGTGTGCATAAGCTTACAGGTGAGCTGATATTTAAGAAGGGCATGCATAAGAAATGGAAGAAAGAGAAAATCACAAAGGAAATCCCTGATGTATACATGAGTAGCCAACAGTTGCAGGGAGAAGGTCATGTTAATCTGGAATGAGCGCAGAGGAGGGCAACCAAGATGATCAAGGCACTAGAAACCAAGCCTTATGAGGAATGGTTGAAGGAGCTGGGTATGTTTAGCCTGGGAAAGAGGAGACTGAGAGGAGAAATGATAGCTATCTTTAAATATCTAAAGGGCTGTCCCATGGAAGATGGAGCAGGCTTGTCTTCTCCTCTGGAGGGGAGGACCTGAACCAATGGATTCAAATTACAAGAAAAGACATTCCGATTAACATCAAAAAGAATTTTCTGTCAAGAAGAGTCAACTGTGGAATGGACTCCCTCGGAAGGTTGTGGACTCTACTCTCCTTCCTTAGGGGTTTTAAAGCAGAAGTTGGGTGGCCATCTGTAATGGATGCTTCATTGAGATTCCAGCACGACAGGAACTGGGTCTCTTCCAACTCTACAATTCTATTATTCTATTCAGTTACTGGGCACAACTGACAAGGTATTGTCAATACCACCTCTTTCCCTAGAGAGCCTCTAGGGTGTTGAGATTGCCAGAGGAGGCCCTCTTGGTAGTTCCTCCACCCTCTTGGTAGTTCCTCCACCCTCTTGGCAGCCCAGGAGAGGGCCTAGTCTGTGGCAGCCCCTAAACTGTGGAACTCCTTCCCTGCAGAGGTGCTTCTGGCACTGTCACAATACAGTTTCTGTTACATGCTGAAGGTGAGCCTCTTCAACGTGGCCTTTGACAAGAGGCATATTTTAAGGACCCACCCTATTTCTGTGCCTGTAATTTTGTTTTAAACTGTTTTTCATTCTGAATGTTATACTGCTGCAACCCATCTTGGGACCTGATGGTGACAGTCAGGTAAGAAATTGAATTAATAATAGTTATAATTACAGATGTAAGAGAAAGGAAAGTCATGGGATGGTCAAGGTGAAGGGAGTGATAGGGACAATTTCAGGAAAGGGGAAACGAGAGAAAGGAAAGCAGATGCTACCAGGCCCCAGCAGGAGATGTGAGTTCAGGAACACAAAAGGCTAGACCCAGATTTGGGGAGGGGGGCAGAGAAGCAGGAGCAGGACTCACCGTGTGAAGCTCTCTCTTGAAAACGATGAGTGTGATGAATCCAAATATGATGAAAATTGGGCTCAGGCTTGCTTGGGCGAGAATAAATCCAGTGAAGTCACCTGGGGTAGTAGACAAAAAGAGATAAAACTTGCCCAAAAGGTAAACTTGCCTGGCTGTAAAGGTTGTTTTTTTTTTTTACTTTCAAGTACGTGTGCAACTTATGGAACTAACCGCAAGCAGGTGTGCTACAGGCCACTAAGTTTAACCGTCTTTAGACAACTATGTAATAGGAGTTGTGCTTTGAGGGGAGAAAGGCCCAAGGACCCTGGCTGTGTTGGACTTGAACTAAGGGGGACTCGAGTTCAAATCCCCACACAAGACTTGAAGCTTCTTAGGTGACTTTGCACCAGTACTTTATTCCCTCCACCTGACCTACCTCACAGGGATGCTGCGAGGATTAAAAACTTAGTAACATTGTACTTTATGAATAAGGCAATTAAAAAAGAGCGAGAGAGAACAAAAGAGAGGGAGCTCTAATGAACAGGTTCCTTCCAGCTCCAGAGGAAACTATGAGGTTTACCACAGCAGCATAGTCTAAATATAAAAAACAGAGCCTATAGATGAACAGCACCCAAACCACATCCTTCTTACCCAGACACCCGGCCGCCACCATTTCCTGTTGGATGTCTGCTTGTGGCAAAACCTTTGGTTGCATGATAACTTGGTACAGGATATCAGTTGCTTTAAAGGGCAATGATCTCAGGGTCATCAGTACAAAGCTTTCCATTCACAGAGGAACACAAGGTTTGAAACTCGCCCTGGCAATAGGCTTTTGGGGAGGCCCTGAAAGCCGTCCTCTCCCCCTTCACATCATCAGCCTCCCTCCACCTTGTCACCTGCTTGCTACATAAAAACTGCAAAGCTTGTCTGCCTTACAGGGCTGTTGTAAAGATACAAAAGCTTGGCCAACATATGAAGATTGCTGTAGCTGCATACTTATACACCAGTAATGAGGAATCTATTACCCTCCAGATGATGGTGGACTACAACTCCCAACACCCCCAACTGTTGGCCACTGCTGGCTGGGGCTGGTGTGAATTGGGAGTTGAATGACATCTGGAGTGCCAAATTTTCTGCACCTCTGAGATATACTCACACAAGTACCTGGAAGTTAGGTCCACCTAAACTCAATGGGAACTACTTTTGAGTAGAAACACACCTCTTAAATGCATCAAAGGAATAGAGGAAGCTGTCCAGTACAGCATGAGACCATTGGTCCATCTTGTCCAGTATTGTGTTAACCAGAGCTTTCCAAACTGTGTGTTGTGACACGTTAGTGTGTTGGCTGCAGTGTGTAGGTATCTCACTTGAACGCTCCCTGTGCTCCTCCTGGGGCTGGAAAGGGGTTAGTTTAACCTCCAGTTTGCTAGTGAAACTGAATTACTGTGTTGCGAAATTATGCACGTCTAAAAAGTGTGGCACCAACATGAAAAGTTGGAAAGCTCTGGTCTAAACCATAGGGATGGGGAGCCTTTTTCAGTTTGAACGACACATTCTCTTCTGTGCAACCTTCTGAAGGCCATATTCCAGCGTTGGGCGGGACCAGAGGCAAAAGTGGGTGGAGCAATGAAAGTGAATTTTACCTAGTCAGGGAATTGGGCTCCAATGACATATGGAGAGCCACAGATGTTCCCCATCCCTCTCCTAGAGAATAATCTAATTTAGCATGTTTTATTTCATCAGCATTTGGTAAACAAAACTTTGAAATTTGCCAAGCCTGGCCTGATGTTTCAATTGCAAACAACATCTGTTTGTTGCTACTAATGAACAAATGACAAGAAAGGAGATTCCTAAACATTAAGAAGAACTTTCTGACAGTAAGATCTGTTTGACAGGTGTTGGACACTCCTTCATTGGAAGTTTTTAAGCAGAGGTGGGATGGCCATCTATCACAGATGATTTAGTTGAGATTTCTGCATTGCATGGGGTTGGACCAGATGGCTCTCAGGGTCCCTTTCAACTCTATTCTATGAGTCTATGAGTTGTAAGACAAAAATCTGAAGGGTTCCAGGTTGGCCAAGGATGGGAAAAAATTGGGGAAATTGCCTAGTGCTTTATTTCTCCCCAGAAAGTATTGTTTTCGTACGTTCATAGAATCACAGAACTGTAGACTGAAAGTACCTCAACGGGTCATCTGGCCGAACTGTCAGAAAGTTATTCCTGATGTTTAGTTGGAATCCCCTTTCTTGTAACTTGAAGCCATTGGCCCATCATCCCCAGCCAGCACAGCCATTCTCCCAGCAGCAGTCTTATAATACGGAGGGCACCTGGTTGGTGAAGGCTGACCCAGGAAGATACTCACAATTACAGTTTTGATAGCTTACCATTCAACTAATGGGAGCCTGGGGCTGATGTGAGTTGTTGTCCAAAGCATGGGGGGGGGGGCTGTCCAACTGCACAAGACTTTCTAACGGCCACCCTCTCACCTCTGCTTTTTTTTTTAATTTGTGAGGAGTGGTCCAAGTTTGAACATCAGCAGGAAACAGACTAGAAGGGAATCCCAGGCATGTCATCAAATGCATTGTGGACTCAAAGAAAGTAATTTGATATTTTAAGGATATCTATTACATCGTGCTCTCTATTCATCCTTTTGATGCTGACAAGTGGCCTGTTGGGGGTGGCTGTTACATGTGGCTTGTTTATGTGCCAACATGTGCTTGTTGGAAAGCAAATAAAGTGCTGTACAGGGAAGAGCTGCAGCTGAGCAGTAGAGAACCAACCTGAAGCATACCCAGGTAAGGCTGGAGAGACTCCCTGCCTGAAACATTTGGAGAGGTGCTGCCAGTAAGTGTAGACAATACTGAGCTAGATGGACCAATGGCCTGACACGGTATATGGCAACTTCCTATGTCCCTTCTTATATTCCTATGCCCCACTCTGACACACAAAAATCCCTTTTATCCATAATCATCAGGATACTTTTATTTTTAGGGGAAGAGACATATCTATACCTTAAAACTCATGCTTTGCATGCAGAAGGTCCTGGGTTCAATATTCAACAGCATCTCAATATTCAACAGAGAGACTGTTTGAAACCCTGGGGAGCCACTGCCAGTCAGTGCAGGTAATACAAAGCTGGATCCAAAGCTAGATGGACCAGTGATCTTTATTTTGTTTTCATGGATCATGCCTGTCTACTCTAGGGGCTCTAAAATGTACAACAGGGCGTGGGTCTTACAGAGCTAGCTAAAAATGTTTTCAGCACCAGAACCAGACAACAGGCATGGGATCGAGAGGGTTTTCATTTGCCCATGCAGCAGCGTAAACAGAACATGAGTCTCAGTGAAAACACACAGTCACACACCATTATTTCCGTACAAGGAAGCTGGCGCAGATGGCTCCGCAGCAGGGACCAATTAATTTAGCGAGCCAGAGCAGAAGATTCACGCTGCAGCTCCAGGGTACAACAGGTGGCCTGCAGGCAGAATCTGGCCCCAAGAAACACTCCTAAGGTCTCTGCTTGCTAATTGCCATCCTGGGGGACGACCCCATAGATGCCTCCTCCTGCCCTTAGGTGTTTGCATAATGCAGAACCTATGTACACATATATGGACAAACATGGGGGCAATGCTTCCCATCTACAAAGTGCATACTGAGCGCAGAACACAACATCAAAAAAACATAGTTTTTGTTAACACTAGGGACAAGTTTCTATCCCTTAGGACAATAATTATGCCTAAATATAGCAAATGAAGCTGGTTTGCACAGTACAGTAAGCTGTGGCTTGGTGCTACATCTGAGAAGATGAATTGTGGTTTGGGATGCTGTTACACCCTCAGAACCTGCTGTTTGGGATGGGCCTCTGGGGGTTCTCAGGGAAGGTGGCTGGAGAGGGGAACCATGTAATCCATATCATGGTTTGGACACATGCCATGAATTTAAAGCACATTTGCTTTTTCTCCAATGAATCCCGGGAACTGTAGTTTGTAAAGAGTGCTGGGAATTGTAGCTTTGTGGCAGGGTAAACTAAATTTCCCAGGACTCTTTTTGGGGGTGGGGGAGATGGTGTTTGGTATGTACGCAGTCTAAATGAATCTTACCACAGATTGTGATCTGGTGCTTGATCTGAAGAAATCCACTGTAAGCCACTTCTTAGCCTTTGTTAACCTGGTGACTTCCAGAAGATTTGAACTGGATGGGCCTTTGGTCTCATCCAGCACGGTTCTTCTTACATTCTTATATTCTTTAGTTGCTGGCTAGGGCTGATGGAAGTCCAAAATATCTGGATGGCACCATGTTGGTGAAGGCAGTCTAAACCTCTCACCTTCAGAGCTCCCCAGAGACCTCCAAGAGACCCCTCCTCTCTGGAGAGGCTTTGGAAATGTCAGCAGGTGTACTTACTCTCAAGGCTCTCCACTGGCATGAGAGCTGGAACCTTGGGTGAAAGTTGAGATACTTAAACCACAAAATTCAATGCCACTTCTGATATTTAAATTTAAGATTGTTCAAAAATAATAATAATTAATGCTATTAAACTCATTTACTTGTGTTCTTTTTTCAGATGTCAGGATTTTTCATCTTTTACAAGCCATTCATTTTTTTAAAAAAATTTGTTGACTGACTGAAAGTACAACAAGCTCTGATGGAACTGGCTGAGGTAACATCTTAATGAGGGGGAGGGTTGTAAAAAATATATATATTTAATAACCTCTAGGCTGGATTACTGCAACACATTACACATAGGGCTGCCTCTAAAGATGGTGTGGAAGTTTAAGCTGATGCAGAATTCAGCGGCCAAGTTGCTCAGTGGGACAAGATGGTTTGAGCATATTACACTGATCCTGACCTGACTGCACTGGCTGACGTATAAAAGTCTTAAACAGCTCAGGACTGCAATACTTCAAGGATCGCCTCTCCCCCTATAAACTGTCAAAGACTCTGCGTTCATCATTTGAGGCCCTTCTTCATGTGAGGGTGGAAACATGAGAATGGGCTTTTTCTGCAGTGGCTCCCAGTTTCTGGAATGCTCTTCCCAGGGAGGCTTGACTGGTGCCTTCATTAGGCATAGATTTGGTGTAGAAAGTACAAAGTCAGTTTTTCATCATCCTGACTCGGCTTCTATCAGTTCATCAGCATCTGAACTCTGATATGCTTAAATAGGGGTCTGGCTTTCCCAGGCATGTAGCTCAGTGGCCAAGGGATGGAGCTGTCAACTAAGAATTTATTCAGCTACAAATTCCATAGGCAGCCTTAAAATGAACACTCCCTTCTCCTTCAATCCTAATCCTTGTGTGTCTTAAAGCTGATTTCCCTTACAAGGCAGCTGTTTATGATTGCTAATATAGGCAAAGAGTTTGGGTGGTGTAAAGCAGGGGTGGTTAAAACCTTTGGTCATCCAGCTGTTAGTGGACTACAACTCCCATCATGCTTGGACCACTGGCCATGCTAAGGGGCAGATGGGAGTTGGAGTGCAACAACAACCTGAGGGCCACAAGTTCTTCACCCCAGCCTAAGAAGTGGCATTATTTCCCGTTTTATGGGGAATGACTCTTCTAACACAACATAAGAGTCGGCTCGATCAGGCCAATGGCCTAGCAAGTCTAGCAACCTGTTCTCATAGTGGGACACCTGGAAAAAGGATTCGAGCACTCTCCCTTCCTGTGGTTTCTCTATCCACTTTCTCCATGCTATGCATAATTTTATAAACTTCTTTCATGTCTCCTCTTACTCAACTTTTTAGTTTAATATCTTAATAGAGGAGTCACTTGATCATTTTGGTAGCCCTTTTCTGAGGCAAGACAACCAGGACCAGAACTGTACATAAGAGGCCTTATTCCATCTCTTAAACACAGTAGGGAATTCTGCTTCTTAACTTAGGAGTGAGGAACCTGTGACCCTCCAAATGATGTGAAATTCCAACCCCCATTATCCCTAGACTGACTGTTGCGTTAGCTGGGGCTGGTGGAAGGTGGGAGTCCAACAATATTTGGAGGGTCATGGACTCACCATCACTGACCTACCTGAATAAAAGGCAGGTTTCATTTCAAACTTTGCCAGCCTGGTGCCTCAGAACTTTAAAACACCACAGACATGCTGTGTGTTCACTATTTTCATTGACCTATTCCTTGAATTAGAAATAGTATCGAAGAAACCAGAAGCTCTCCAGATATAGTTACCAGCTTCTCTTACTCTCACATGCACTAGCATTCAAGTAGGAAACAAGCAGATGTGGCTAAGCACATGCCATATTACTTCCACTCACAAAAAGGCTTGTAATTGGATCTTGGTGCAAATCTGGCCTTAAGCCATTTTTCACTTTGATCCAGGAAAAGAATTTTTTGGGGGGTTAACTGGATCACTTGTTGGGTCGCCCCTCATATAAATCAGAATGCCTTTCAGAGAACAGATGCTATATATCCATGCTGCATGACCCTTAAGTGGGTGTGAATGCAAAATGCACTGGATGTGGTGTGGGAGGCATATCCTAAGGATGTAAGCAAAAAAAAAAGTTTGGATCAGCTGTGCTCATCCAATTCATTCTGTAGTCCTTGATGCAGCAAATAGCATGAAAACCTGCTTACCTATGTGGCTCTCCTTACTCAGACTGGGGTAAATCTGCAGCTGATCAATCTGTTCATTAGAGATATGGGATCAAGGGATGGCTGGCAGCAACTGTCATTTCTGACCATTGGCAATGCTGGCTGGCGTTGATGAGAACCCTGCTAAATATTGCCGGCGCCCATCTAGTCCAACATCCTGTTTTCACAGTGGCCAAACAGATGCCCCATGGGAATCCCATAAGCACAACCACAACTCACCCTTCTTGCAGTTTCCATTAAGAAGCATTCAGCAGCTTACTGGCTCCCACTGGCGTTATATACCCTGGGTTAGAAATATGAAGAGGATGCTGCCCATGATCATTTACTTCCATTTTCTTTGTATATAAGGAACAGCCCGATATCTCACCTGCTTTTGGGAAGTGGCCTCAACCAAGGCATTAACATTGGTCCAACTAGTTCACTATGGCTTACACAAGCTGGCAGCATGTCATCACAGCATCCCCAGGGTGGGATTGAACCTGGGACCTTCTGCATGCAAAGCAGCTGCTCTACTGCCGAACTATGCTTTTCAGAGTACATAAGGTGCGGCTTTGGAGATTTTTATCTCCTGCCCTGTCTTCCAGCATGCAATCTTTATAAAAACTGAATCCAATAATTCCATTAGTTAATGGATGTGTGTGTGTGTGCGGGTGGGTGCGTGGGGGAATCAAAGGATGAGTTTGGGCTGGCCTGAAAGCCATACATTCTCTCACTCAGAAGCTCTGCCTCTCCCCACCCCCGTGCCAAAATCATGGGAATTGAGTGGGCTTTCTCAGCAGCACGCACACAACTCTAGAATACTCCTCTACAGTCAGCTTGCCAGGCGGAAAGAAATCCCAGTTTAATGCAGGAAGCACAAGGTAAGGGAGCCAAGTATCAGAAAGAGAGATAAATAATACATGTGATTCCCCCCCCCCATTACCACAATGCGTCTAACTCCCACAGTGCTTAGTGTCTGGAAATGAAAAAAACAAGAATACCAAGTTGCAGGTCTGCCTGGAAATACCACACCCTAGTATGGAAGCCTGGACACAAAGAAACCTCTTTCGGTTGGTTACTCGGGGGAAATGCACTCCGAACCTTCTCAGAAGCACTTTCCACTATTTTAGGGTTGGGCTCTGGCACTTAAGAGAGCAAATGGCAGCACTAAGTCATGTCAGAATTTAAAGCCCTGAGTTACTGAAATATTCAGAGTTCAAATGAATAAATAAATAGGCCACAGGCTAGCAAGGTTGGGAGATCCAGTTACAAACGTACAAGCTGATCCTAACTCTGCCACCCAATGATCTCCTCCCGCTCCCTTAAAAACCCTCCCATCCTACATTGCTGATCCCTATGCCTGGAACTCAGTACCAGAATGCCTCCCTCCTCCTCCTTCTCAAAGTCACCTCTTCCCTAAGCTGAGACAACACACACATAGTCTAAGTCAGGTGTGAGGAACCTGTGGCCCTCCAGATGCTACTGAACAATAATTCTCATAATCCCTGACATTGGCGGCTGGTGCTGATGGGAACTTTAGTAAGGCAACATCTGGAAAGGCAAAGCTTCCCCTGGCATTGCAACTCCATTCTTTCCCATCTGTCCTTTGGTACATTTTGCTGGTACATGTAAAGTGGAAGTTTACATTACATAGACTGCAAGTGGCTTGGGGCAGGGATTTTCCGCCCTACCCCTTGGTGTGTATGATGCAGATTTATTACTGGTCATCCTGTCATTTTGTTACTTTAAAGCAGTTGAATTTAACCCTTTCCCTTCACTTAAAAAAATATGCTATCATGCCCCCATTGTGGTGGTGGTGGTGATACAGTTGCCTGTATTTTTATTTTGCTCATCAGGATGAATAGCAGTTTTTTGTGAGGAGGGGATTTAGATCAAGGAAACCAACACATTCCTTTCATCATGCCAGTTCTGATCAAAATCAGAACATTCTGTAGCTGCTTTTAAAGTTTAAAAATTAAATGCCAGGCAAGAGATGGATCACAGAACTTGTAAAGCACAAACATTTTAGGCTTTGTTTTGAAAAGCGACATGCACACTAATACAGCCATATAAATTATTCTTTAAACAAGTCTCCTGAAATCAGCAGGACAATCCCAATCAAATGTACAGTCAAATGAAGCTTTACAGATACATTACAAAATCAGTGGGGAGTCTCCTTTGCATGCAGAAGGTCCCAAGTTCAATCCTCAGCAGTATTCCCAGGTAGGGCTGTGAAAGATTCCTTGCCTGAAATCCTGGAGAGTAGCTTCTAGTCAGTATAGACCAGCATTTCTCAACCCTGGGTCCTCAGAGGTTGTTGGACTACAACTCCCATCTTCCCTAGCTAGTAGGACTATTGGTTAGGGATGATGGGTGTTGTAGTCCAACAACATCTGGGAACCCATGGTTGAGAAATGGTGGTATAGACAATACTAGACCAATGATCTGACTCGGTATAAGGTAGCTCCCTATGTTCCTATTCAGGTGCTCTCTAGAGACATCTAGGTGTTCATAGCAGTGGTTAAGAGTGTTGGGATCTCACTGGGTGACCGTGGGCCAGTCATTATCTTTCAGTCAAACAACAACAATGCAGAGTTGTTCTGAGGGCAAAATTGATAGGATGGAAAAGATTCGTGTATGCTGTCTTCAGTTCCTTGAAAAAGATATGTGGGAAAAATGTAAACAAAACAACAACAACAAAAAACACCAAACCCTAATCAGCGGTGTACGGTGCATGCGTCCTGCAGCCAGGGGCAGGGTGATCTGCCCATGGAAGCAGGGCAAGCTGCATGGAGCCTCTCCACCACCTTCCCCTCAGCTGTAGGGCAGCTGAGGGAGAGGCAGTGGGCAGATGTAAGCCCCATGCTGCCATTTCAGGCAGTGTGGAGCCTGCAGGCACCCAAGCCACCATGTCACTCCCAGAAAAAACGTGTGGCTTGGGCATGCTGCAGGCCCCGTGGTTAGTGCCAGCCCCGCGGTGTGACACCCAGTGCCAGCCGTGTTTCATTAAGTTTCTTGACTGAACTAAAAAGTTTCATGAGTCCTTTTTTTAATCTCATATTTTTGTCACCCCCCTCAGTGATGACACCCAGGGCGACCTGCACCCACTGCGACCCCCTTCCTCAGACACTGACCCTAATACAATTTTGCACCATTATGGTTTATCCTGTTGATCATTTAGAAACCCATTATTCAGAGATAGTTTGCTTCTAAATGCCAATGGCTGCAGGGTCACATGATGGGAGGCAGGAAAGACTGGTGCTTTTGCACCCTGCCTGCAAGCTTCCTAGAAAAAAAGTATAACAGAGCACATGCTTAGCATGCAGACAATTCCAGGTAAGAGCCCTCTTTCAAAATCAGGAGAGCTTCCTCCACTCAGTATGAGCAATATACTGAGCTAGATGGATCAAGGGTCTGACTCTGAATAACACAGCTTTGCATGTTATTTGGAAGGGACACAATTCAGTAGCAGAGCACATCTTTAGCATGCAGAAGGTGCCAGGTTCCCACATGCAGCACCTTTAGTTAGTGCTGGGAGAAGAGTCCCTGGCTGAAACCCTCAAAAACCTCTCCTAGTCAGTGTAGACAGTTCTGAGCTAGACAAGACAATGATCTGAGTTGTTATTTCAATCACCCCTTTGGACCAGATTCAACTACTCTGTTCTGCTCCTCCAGTGGTTCTCAAACTTTTTTCTCTGGGTCATACTTTCAGAATAAAAATTTGCTTGTGCTACACCAATATTTTTATTGATAAGAAATACATTGGAAAACAAAAAGAAACGAGTCCTAGCAATGCTTGATTAAAACATACAACACAACTACTTTATAATTTGATTGTGGGACATCCAGAAAGTATTAAAAAATGCAACTACATAAGAACAGAAATAATTCCCAAAATATAATTATAAGCAAGCCTTTTAATATGTACCTTACATATTTATACAAATTCAATGAGAGGTATGAGCTTGCTTTTGCCAAGTAATCTCATTTATATTATGTCTAATTTGAGACAAATAAACTCTCATCTCATCAACACAAAGAAACCTTTCTCTTTTCTGCTGTTTCTTATCTGTCAGTTAAAAATCCCCGTTCACAACAATATGTTGTGGGAAATGGTAGATGAATAGCCAACGCTCCTGAAAAGAGGCATGGATACTGTCTCTGGTTGTATATCTAAAAAAACATTTTGATGCTATATTATACGATACTATACTTAAATATTCTACACTGAAATGTTTAAATGTTTATTTGATTGTCATTGAATCTTCCTGCCACACTTGCCACCCTCTCCTGTCACACCAGTATGGCATGCCACACCCTTTAAGAACTACTGCACTAGTGGAAATCAGTGCAAGGACTCTTGCTAGCTAGGTTCCCCCAATGCACCTCCCCCTGCATTGTGAAAACAATCACCTTAGCATTGTGTTGAATCCCACCCTTTATTTAAAAGCACAAAGACTAGAATCTTATTTTATTTCGGAGGAAGGGCATTTGGCTCAGTGGTAGGAGCACCTGCTTTGCATGTGTAAGGTCTTGGCTTCAATCCATAACAGCATCTCAAAGTAGTGTTCGGGAAAATACATTTCTGCCCCCCTCCCCACCTGAAACCCTGTAGAGCTGCTGCCCGTCAATGTGGACAGCACTGCCCTAGAAAGAACAAAGGTCTGGCCCAATATAAGGCAGCGTTCTGTGTTCCAAGTGTGTTAGGAAAAGGATCTCTCCAGGAATGGGTCTGTGATCCTGCAAAAGTAGCATCTGGTAACTGGTGTGACAAAGAGGCATGTCAAAAGAAAACTTAACTCCAATAAAACAGAATAGATCTAGATCTAGATGGAACCGGCCAGGAAGAGGGAGGTGCCAATAGGGGATCGGAAGCGGGACCATAATAAATACAATAAATGTAAAGGTGATTCCCCCCTCCAAACTCTGCACTCTTGGGACGAGAAATCCAAAGCAGAAAGGGTGCCGCGCATGCGCAATGCAGCCCCCGAAGTACACTATCTCGCAAAGAGCGGCAGCCGAAGCGCGCATGCGCCGCCGCCCGGCTTCACAGCGCTGCTAGTCAATGGCTCACTATTTGGCAGCTCCCACCCGATCCCCTCAGGAACTCCCCGAAGCCCAAACCTCGCCTTTTTTCACGGATATGAATCGGGCGTAGGGCGAAAGGCCCACCCACAGCGGAGAGAAGAAAACAGGCTCCGCGAAGCGCCGGAGGCTGGAGGCTTTACCTTCTGGGTACTCGACGTGAGTGAGGGAAACCGACTTCCACGGAACAGAGACCGAGCACTCTCCTACCGCGGCCATCTTACCCGGATACCGGGCCGGGCCGCCACAGCCAATCGGGCGGCACACACAGGGCGGGGCGGCAAATGGGAGTGGGCGGAGGGGGAGACGCGCACGGCCAATAGCCGTGCCCCGCAGGTGAGGCACTGGCCAATCCGCGGGCACCGCAACGTACAGCAACCCCGCCCACCCCGCTCTGAAGCGCGAGAACGAGTTGGGGCGGGGGAACTTCCACAAGTCCAATCCTCGGCGGGGCCCAGGTAGAAAAGATGGCCAATGGCAGAGGAAGTGGGGGCGTGGCGGCGCCCGGGGATTGGCTGGCCCTTCTCGCCAATCCTCTCTCCGACTCCTCCCCCGTCTGAGCCAATCAGGTCTTTGAGGGTGGATGGCGGGCTAGAGAGCGACTTGAGTGAGTGAGGTGTATTGTGGGTATTATCGTTGCTCAAAAGGGGGGGGGGGGGGCTTCTCCACTGTACAACTAAGGGGCGCTAAAGAAATAGAGATGAGAGAGAGTTCTCCACCCTGACAGGGTTTGAAGGGGGGGCGGTCTTCTGCAACTGGGTTGCCACCTTTGTTCTCGCAAAATACAGGGTGGGGCTGTTGGGCGATTTTTTTCCATCTGGCACTGAAGTGGCTTCAAAGCAACCCGTTACAGTTTGTTGTTGTTGTTTAGTCGTTTAGTCTTGTCCGACTCTTCGTGACCCCATAGACCAACTGCATTACAGTTTAATGCAGCATAACAGATGGCCTCTCTGGAATTTGTCCCGCACAACACAGACCAGTGTTAGAATAGAAACCGAGATATAAAAGCTAGGAGCTAAATGGCACTTAAAGCTAGGTTGTGGGCGCAACAGCGGAATGTCTAGACGTCCTTTTTAATAGCAAGACTACAAAGCTGAAAATGAATGAACTGCAGCTAAAATATGTTCATTTTTCACATGGTCTACTCTAGTCCTTCCCCTGCCCACCCTCCTAATATTCTTAAGAGGGTCTCTTCTACAGTCTTCAGAGAGTAGATGGAAGTGGGGAGGCAGAACAAGGTCCTCCTTCCTTCCACTGCAGTTTTAATCTGAAATCTTGGGTACTGCACTCAGAGCTCAGAAACTGCTCGCACTAATGAAATACCCGTCGCAAAATGTGCCTAAAACAGTTAAAGTTTCGAACACTGACACAGACACATAAATATTTAAATTGGTGCTTGGTTATCCACAGCTTCAATACATGATGTTTCAGACACCCTTTCAAACACATGCATTTGGAGAGGATCCCTAATTTGTCAGAAAGAAAAAAACCTGAAATACAGGACATAACTATCAATACTGTACAGAATGTAGCATTGGCAATCCTATCTGCAAGCATTCGATAAAAAATAGATGAAAAGATACCAAATATCTATAAAAAGTAATAGCTGGTTTTTTAGCCTCTAAGGTTCAAGTGTTTGAGTATGTCCAGCTTCTTGGATGCTATAAATGCTGCCAGTCCCAATATGTTAGCATGTGTTGCAATTGTAAACATTGCACCTGTGCTATTCCTGCTAAGCAATACTTTTATATTAAGGTAACGTGTAAAACTAAAAATCATTCTCATCTACTAATTGATCTAAGGATAATATTTTTTTCCATAATACAATTTCCCCCAGTTTTTAAAGTTGGATTTCCCCATAGGGTCAGTTTATTGTGGGAAAACTGATAGTTCTGCCCAGAAATAAACCAGGATGTGCAAGTTCTATTGGTGTCAGCAGCCTTGTCAAAAGATGCATTGCACCAGCTTCAAGATGGTCCTGAATTGACTGTTCCCCTGTAATGATGGATATCCCATCAATAAATAAATATACAACCCAGGTGTTTATATAACCACCTTAGAAAAAGCCAAAGGGTACTGTACATTATACATAAACATAATGCAATGAATGTAGCAAGAGAGAGAGAAAGAAAGAAAGAAAGACCAGTCATGGTCACCATGTGATAAAAAAAGTTCATTGTATACGTACAATAAACTGAAATGATTCAAACAGCGCAAAGCAAGTAAACAAACTATTCTCCAGATGATAAGACAAATTCTCCATCATTAAAACTCTTCATATTTTTTCAACCAATGGAAAATGTGTATGAATGACAGCTAAAGACTCCTTTCCCCCTCAGTTTTCTAGTATTTTCCCCGTCTTTCAGGTGAATGTCAAGACTGTAAACCCTGCTGAGTTCTATTGGATGCTCTGATGCCTCCTGTTGTTGTTGTTGTTATTGTTGTTGTTGTTGTTACAATGTATTATCTTCCCTTCACCCTAAGGTCCCAGGGCAGGTTATAGCAAATAAAACAACATGAATATTAAAATAAGATATCACACAATATTAAAAACTGTTTAAAGCAACTTAAAATTACAAAAATCTGGTGTGTCGAAAAAATATACCTCTCAAGTGTCAAAAGACAGGTGGTTGTTCAGCATTTACTGAAAGCTGTATAATGAAGGTGCTATCAATATTGTGATTTCCAATTACTGTGGTCCAATAATAGTCAATTTTCACCAGCAAGCACTCTTTTATACACTCACCCAGTAGTAAATTACATATTTGTATATAACAGGGTGTTTCAACAGCTCTCAAAGCCTTTTTCGGTGGCCCTTGACAACTAACCACACCCTCAGCCCTCCCGCTGCTTTGTGATTACGGCATGAGGGCTGTGACTGGCTCCTGGAATTCTCCTGTCTCCTTCCCAAAACCTAGTTAGCGCTTTCCCAGCTTTGGGAAGGAGGAGGGAGGACTTGGATCCTGTCAAAGCTTCGGCCTCTCCCCACCCCCACATGCAACAAGGCAGTGTGCAGACCACAGGTTCCATGTCAAAGTACTTTTGCGGTTCACTTGGCATGAAAAGTTGGACCGCCCAGGTATATAATTACATACTGTGACTGTTATGTATTGAAGTTCTCACCCTGGCCACCAGGGGTATTGTGCATATAGTTTTCACTAAGGTCCACGTCACTTAATTTAGGCGGGAAACCCTGGGGTGTTGTTGTTACAATGTTGACAGCCAGCTGCCTATAAAAGCAGGCCAGCTGAGCTGTTCAGTTCAGTTCAGTTCCAGCTTACTATAAAGAACCACTTGGAGAAATCTCTGTGTCGTCTGCTTTGTCAACCCACTACTTAATAGTGACTTTGTTGTTTGCTTATAAAGGTAAAGGGACCCCTGACCATTAGGTCCAGTCGTGACCGACTCGGGTTGTGCGCTCATCTCGCTCTATAGGCCGAGGGAGCCGGCGTTTGTTTGCAGACAGCTTCCGGGTCATGTGGCCAGCATGATTAAGCCGCTTCTGGCAAACCAGAGCAGCGCACGGAAATGCTGTTTACCTTCCCGCTGGAGCGGTACCTATTTACTGTATTTTTCGCTCTATAGGATGCACCGGACCATAGGAGCGGGAGAACGGGGGGGGGGGATTCTCCCCCTCTCTGCTCAGCGCCCCTTCAGCGAAGCGGCAGGAGAAACGGAGCCCCTTCCATTTCTCCTCCCACTTCACTGAAGGGGCGCTGCGCAGAGAGGGAAAACTGTGCAGCGCCTCTCCAGTGAAGTGAAGCCTGGAGAGCAAGAGGGATCAGTGCACACTGATCCCTCTCGCTCTCCAGGCTTCAGGCGGCTATCCTCAAGCCTTCGGAGCACAGTGGGAACTCCTGCTGCGCTCCGAAGGCTTGTGGATAGCTGCCTGAAGCCCCCAGAGCACAGCGGGAGTTCGCGCTGCAGTCCGGGGGCTTCAGCGAAAGCAACGCGAAGCCTCCGGAGCGCGGGGGGTGCTCTCCCTCTGCACTTCAGAGGCTTCACGTTGCTATCGCTGAAGCCAAGGAGTCTGCATTCGCCCCATAGGACGCACACACATTTCCCCTTCATTTTTGGAGGGGAAAAAGTGTGTCCTATAAAGCGAAAAATATGGTATCTACTTACACTTTGACATGCTTTTGAACTGCTAGGTGGGCAGGAGCAGGGACTGAGCAACAGGAGCTCACTCCGTCACGGGGATTCTAACCACTGACCTGATCGGCAAGCCCTGGGCTCTGTGGTTTAACCCACAGTGCCACCCGCGTCCCTGTTTATACTTAAAGACATATTTACTAATTTCATTCCTGTGGCTTTATTTTGTTACTTGTCTTGGGAACCCCCTTCTTGTTTTTTAAATGTACATAAACTTTTAGTAGCAGTTGATTAAAACGAGGATGCAATGCACTGCTGCTGCTGACGGGCACAAACCTTCTGACTTATTGCAAACGTGAAGCTGGCCACTGCAGCTTGATGGCAGAGAGGCAAACAAGCAGCACGGGGCAGGGGGCGACCCAGGCAAGCTGTTTAATGTGAGGGTACTTCACAGAGCAGTATGTCAAACTGCTCTGTGATGTTAAACTTTACTGCAGAAAAGCCCTCTCTGAAGGGAAGGGTGGGGTGAGCAGCGAAAGGATCAGTGAGTGAGGGGTTATGCAAAGAGGAGGGGTTGCCTAGGTATGGAGGAATGAAGGTTGATGTGTGTTGGAGGCAGGGATGGCAGTCCCTGGTATATGCATGCTATTTATACACATGCATATATAGGTTTAATGTTTTGTAGTTTTCCTCCTTTTTATTCCCTTATAATGCTATGCAAACGCTGATTTCCATTCAGCTTTACCTTGTAATTACAACCTTGTGCCTTGTAGGTGATTCACTCTTCACCCACTCATACTACAACGTTGGCTGATGCTACCAGAGTAATTTTTTTAAAAAAGCTCTTTTTACAAGAGTGCTTTCCAGCTGCCTATTTATAAATACAGAAGTAGTGGCAGCTAACAAGATGGCTTGTATCAATTTGGGTGGCTCTGTGTCAGAACACAAATGAACTGGGAAGGATTAGGCAGCCGGAGGGTAAATAAATAACCCTGCAGGCTTTGTTCATCCCACGAAGACCCTACATACTTCTAGTAAACAGGTAACAATTTGATGCAGAGATCTGGGTTTTATTTACAGGATTGCCACGGTGCATAATTCCACACTTTCACACATGGCCCTGGAACTCCCACTGGAGGCAATAGTGGCCACCAGCCAAGGTGGCTTTAAAAGTGGATTGGACAAATTCATGGAAGAAAGGGCTATTGAAGGCTACCAGCCATAATGGCTATGCACTGCCTCCACAATCTTCTTTTAAAGCCATCTGAGTTGGTGGCCATCACTACCTCCTGTGGAAATGAGTTCCATAGTTTAACTATGTGCTATGTTAAGTACTTTATGTGTCCTGAATCTTCCACCAAAGATTCTGTTATGTGTTTAAGCCTTAATATGTACTGTATGATAGTAAGAGGGAATTACCGTATTTTTCGCTCTATAAGATGCACCAGACCACGAGACGCACCTAGTTTTTGAAGGAGGAAAACAAGAAAAAAAATATTCTGAATCTCAGAAGCCAGAACAGCAAGAAGGGATCGCTGCGCAGTGAAAGCAGCAATCCCTCTTGCTGTTCTGGCTTCTGGGATAGCTGCGCAGCCTGCAGTCACTCCATAAGACGCACACACATTTCCCCTTACTTTTTAGGAGGGAAAAAGTGAGTCTTACAGAGCAAAAAAATACGGTAGTTCATTTTCCTTCTCTCCCCTATCCTCTAGACTGACTCCCACAAGGGTCTCTGGCAGCAAGGCCTCAGGCACCAGATACATTCCCCCAGGATGCTCTCATACTATAATTACAGGCAAGGCAACAGATACCATGTAGGAGGAGAGCAAAAGTCAATAACAAGATGATAATGAGGAATCCAAAAGAAGAGTTGTAGTGGTTAGATCTAGTTTCACAACCTCGGAAGCAGAAGACAGAAAAGTGGAATTGCCCAAAGTGGCTGGTGCTTTATTTTATTTGGATGCACTGGAGGGCATTTAATCTGTAAGATATGAGATAAGCAACTACCAGCCACAATGGCTCTGCTCTTCTTCCACAGTCAGAGGGAGAAATGCTTCTGAATTACCTGTTGCTGGAAGCCGCAGGAGAGGAGAGTTGCTCTTGTGCTTGCATCATGCTTGCGGGTTTCCCATTGGAGCATCTGGTCAGCCACTGTGAAAACAGGAGGCTGGACTAGATGGGCCATTGGCCATATTTAGTAATGTTCTTATGTCCTCATGTACATAGGAAGCTGCCTTACGCTAAATCAGACCAACGGTGCATAGAGCTTACTGACATTCGTTCCCAGCTCTCCGTGGAGCTTGAACGAATGCAAGGCAAATGCTGTACCATTCTGCTCCAGTTTTTCCTGTTCATAATTGTGTTATACAGTTAGAAGCATAGTCTGATTTACACCATGTCAGACCACTGGTCCATACAGCTCAGTGCTGTTGTCTCCAGGGCTTCAGCCGGAGCCCCAGCACATTACAAGTATTGAAGACATTCAGTGCAATTCATGTGTAGTGAGTGTTGGCTCGCTGGCCTTGAGGGGGGTTGCTGAAGCCCCTGGGGCCACTACAGCCTGAGCTGTTGTGCGCTCTCTCTCTCTCTCTCTCTCTCTCTCTCTCTCTCTCTGTGTGTGTGTGTGTGTGTAGAATCCTCTTGGTTTTGTATGGGTGGAACATAACCCCCATAGCTATGCTTGCTTCTGCCTCTGGCCCTGCCCGTCACTGGCACATGGCTTCTGGAAGGTTCCTCACCAGGGCATGTTGCCTCAGGGCAACAAAAAGGAAAGGAAGTTTCCCAACCTCAAGGCTAGAGTGTCATACTGGGGTGGCAAGAGGTCCAGATCCCCTGCCATGAAGCTCACCAGTTGACCTTGAATCTGTCACTGCCTTCACAGGGAGGTTGCCAGAAGAAAAGGAGTGAGGAAGAGAGCATGTACACTGCCCTGAACTACTTGGGAGAAGCACAATATTAAAACAAACAAACATGACAGACATGCTGTTGGACTGCAGTTATTATTATCATTGTCATCATCAATATTGCATTACTATCCAATCCCCGGGGGGGACATTATCATTGTTATTAATAATATATTAATCCCCAGGGGTGATGGGGAAAGTAGTCCAGCAGTATCTGGGGACCCAAGCACAGGGAAGGCTAGTCTAAGTATTTCATGGTGTTCTTTTGGGTCGCTTACAAACACATACAGAGAGCCACTTGTGTACCATTTTTAAGCGTACCAATAGGTTGGGTGGCCATGGATGCTTTAGTTGAGATTCCTACATTCCAAGGGGTTGGACAAGATGACAAGATGACTCTTGGGGTCCCTTCCAACTCTACAATTCTATGATTTGGGTCTGAATGGAGGCAATGGTTTGCAGATGTAAATTCACTCACCATTACCAATACGGTTTATGTCATAGCCTACTGCTGTCCTAGAGGGTCCCTGTGCTTATTCTGCCTACATTATAGCTCTAATTTGAATGGTTCCTATCTGCGTTTCTGGAATTTCACTTCCCTCTGACCCCACTGCACACAACTCCCCTTCCATTGCCATGAATGTGTATACACACTCTCACTCACACCATGTATATGGTAAAGTAAGACTCTAGATCAGCACAACTTGGGCTGAAATAACAAGTGTGTGATCATCTTAGGAGCCACAAGACTCTCGGTTGGTTTGTTCGTTTTTTAACTCTCTTGGTTTTGTTGTCCTTGTTTTGCTGTAAACAACCAGCAAGCAGAATTCTCTAGGGACAGCTGATTCAGCAAAGCCATTCTTATCTCCCAGTCAAGGCTGCAATCCCAAACCAGATTAACTTTGGGGGTGGGGTAGATAAGCACCATTTAATCTACCATTTAGTCATAGGACTGCATATCACATCATCAACAACTTGGGATGCACGCCTCGCCTCATGTGATTCCAGCCATTATCTGGGAGTAAGCCCTATAGAAGTTAAAAGGTCTTGCTTCTAAGAAAGCCCTTTTCCTGCTACTCTGGCTTGGCCAAGGATGCTGCAGCCTCCTGCCCCTGCGTTTGATTTGTTACCTTCCCTCCCACCTCCCATGCTGGTGGGGCCTCTGTGCTTCCCATTGGCTGCCTCACCATCCAGCTGTTGTCTGCATCGCCCTGCTCCCTCTTCTTCCTAGCTGGGCGAGAGCCCCAGGAAACCAACCTGCCACCGCTTCCCATTGGCCCCTTGGAAAAAAGGGGGCTGAATAAGGAATTTGGGACTCTGCATGACAAAGTAAGAACTCATGAAGGCTTAAGGGTTTTCATGACAGCCCCAACATTTCTAGGGCAATTGGACACTATGTTCACAGAGTTAACAGTTCTCAGCACCCTTAACAGACTAGACTTCCTACAATTTTTTAGGTGTGTGGGGGGAGTCATGTGTGTTCAACATGCTTTGAATGTCCTACACAATTATTATAACTTAAATCACATTCACCCAGGTGTGAATTAGTCTAGTACTGTACTGAATATTCCTGCGTCTTCCTTTTGCAGGGTCCATTTCTTTCCCCACAAAAAAAGCATGGAGGCATTTCCAGCAACAGGTTAGCCAACAATGAAGCCATTTTCCCCCCACCCACCTCCCCCAAATGATGCAGTAGAATCACACCCATTGGGCTGTTTGGGGATAAAATAATAACACTGCAGTAGCAGCAAAGTTTTTGATGTTTAAAGCACACACTCAGAGAAAACCCTCTGTCACTTATCTTCTAAACGGAAGGCTCTCAGGAATAATGATGTTGTGGGGCAGATTTTAGAGGTCTAGCAAGCCACATTAGGCCACAAGGCATGAGACTGCCCACCTCTGCAACCCATGATCTGAAGAACAGGTTCTACTTGTGTATGAGCAAAAGAAGACTCAGTGAAGAGTTTGTTAATGAAGGAAAGATTTATTTGATTTTGAATGCCGAAACCTTAATGGGATACGAAAAAAAGAGATTTAAATTAAATTGCAAAAGACGTGAGATATGCAGCACAACAAAACAAAACAAAACTCCCAACAAATATTTTACAATTAAGGAAAATGAAATCTTTTAAAAAGAAACAGATTAGGCACAAATGTTACATTCATTAGCTTCAGGTTTAACAGGAATGTCCTTTAAAAAGAGATAAAGGAAACCGTTCTTGATCTAAGACTCACCGCTTGTATTCACACACATACCATACGCTATAAAACAATGGTTAACCAAACAATTCATGAGCTGATAGCGGCTGCTGTGCCCCTCCACTCTCATGCTTAAGAGTAACAAACCACAATCACTCACTTAATGTTACATCTGAAGTGGAGTTCATGGTTTGTTTCACTCCGAAACAAACCACAGCCTGTAGTCAATAACGAACCTTGTCTACAATCTATGGTTCGATCATAACACTAAGCTGCTGGTCATGACTGGTCTGCTCTGCCCATTAGTGGAGAGGGGTGAAGCAAGCTCAATCAGCTTATGATGGCAAACTGTGGTTTGCCATGATGCATGAGTTCTGCCATAAGGAAATGATCATGTGTAAGATTTGTACCTGCTGATTTCTGCACAAGCGGCTGTTAAAAAGGCGCAGGAACAGTCTTGGCAAGGTTCCTTCTCTGGTCAGTTGGCAACTCTAGTCAAGTTCTAGCAAAGAAACCAGATACCTACACAAGTAATTCTAACGTGCAAATAGAAAAAGCTCTGTGTGTATCTCCTTTCGTTAAAAACAACCCACACATTTTAACCTAATGGAACAGGTTGTAAAAAGACCTCTGAAATCTGCAAAAAATACGCCAAGTCACATTCATTTTCTCCTAGGACTGGACAGAGAACCAAAACCCATTTTTTGTGTGGACATGTTTTAGCATCTTAAGAGGCTTCAGTGAAAAGCACTCCAACAGTGCTGCTGGTTATTGACACTATCTGTGAATATGAACACAAGTATTTGTTTGTTGCATGACTGCATCTCCAGTGGATCGGGCCCTTGGTCCTTGACAACTAGCAATACATCCTCCTGCATTCACTTGCCACCAGCATTGATAGCAAGTGTGGGGAACCCTTGCCCCTTAGCCAGATATTTGCTGAACTACTACTCCCATTAGTATCAGTATGTACGGCCAATAGCCAGGGATAGTGGGAGTTGAAGTTTAGCAACACAATGCAGTGCCAAAGGTTCCCCACACTTGCTCTGTAGTGTTTTCCCCTTCCATTTCCCACACAGAAACTCCTACACTGCAGGGCTGCGGGACCTGGGCCCCCCTCCAGTTGATACTGGACTACAACTCCCATCACCTGTGGCCATGCTGGCTAAAGGGAATGAGAGTCCAACAACTTCTGGACGGTGCCTCAGTCTCTCCATCACTGCTAGAGAATGTGGCTGCATGATGGGTTAGCTACACAAGACGACAAAACAGTGAAAATATACAAGAGAAATATCTTAACCAGCTCTTACAATATCCCTCATCCTCTTAGCCATCATTTTCAGGCATTCAAGCACCATTATTTCCTTCCAGGCATCTGCAAGCCTTCTAGTATTCTAAGTTCCCAAATTAGGGGTTTAGCCAACAGGATGCAATTCCGACTTGGCAGGACTCCCATCAGGCACAGCTAACGTGATCGAGGGCCAGAGATTATGTACAAGGACACCATGTCCAGGAACAGCTGGAAGGCATCTGCATGCTATATTCACAGCACATATTTAAAGCACTATGATAGCTGCATATTCCTGCATTGCAAGGGGTCGGACACAGAATAGGATTATAGAATTGAAGGGTGGCATCACAGTACTTTAATTGTACAGTATGAATGTGGCACAATACTTAACAAACCAAGATAACAGAGCATGCTTCAATTCTTTACACCACCTTTTTGGGTAGAACAAACCATAGTTCCCTGGGTCCGTAAGTAACAAACAGCTTTGGTTTCTCCTGACATTAAAGTGCTCCTTGTGTGCTCAAGGGAGGAGGTGGAGAAGAAGAGACAAATTCTCAGTTTTAAATAACAGAATGAATTGACCCTCGATCACTAATTCTTCCATAAAGAATACTGCCAACCTTCACTAGTGGGAAGCCATCTCTCCCCCAAAAGCCCCAAATTTGATTTTTCAATGCATTGTATATGGTCTGTCCCATAACCTTAGTCAAAGGATAATCCCTCAGTGCAAATGTGGTGCTTTCCACACGTGGTGGTGTGAATGGGTTAAAGTATTTGCCATCAGCCTCTCCCTTCCAGGGACCCAAGCTCTCTGAACTGAACTGAATCTTCTTTTATACAACTTACTGCTCCAAATAGCTTCCCGTATCATTATTATTTATCCAATTTCTGTAACACCCTTCATCTGAGGATCACAGGTAACAAACATGGTAACAAACAAAATCGATACACCACCTCCCCACAGCTTAAAATGCCCAAGGCTACTTGCTCCCCACAGTAACAACACATAACTCCCCCCCCCCCATCGCATTGTCATTGTGCTCAGTGAAAAAATAAACAAACAAGAGGATACTGCCCACTCAGAGAGATAGAGGAAATGGAAGGGGGCACACAGGAAATACTATGATGGCATTTTAAAATTCATGATGTAGTGAAATGCAGCTGCAAAGACAGCACAGCACAGAGAGATAGCAATCTGCTATCCTCATAATTCACACCAGAACTGTCAGAAGCCTTTACAAACATAGACACAGCAAAACAAATCAATTATCTTCTCTTCCCCAATTTCATTAGGAATCTATTCACACATTTTAAAAGGAAGGAAAAGTGTTCTTGTGCACTACACCCCCCCCCACCTTGCAGGTTTGGGGGGGGGGGTTGGACGGGGGTGGCTCAGGCCCTGGTATGTGTTTCACATTTTATGCTAGAGCTAAAAAAGATTTTTAAGAAACAGGAACTACAGATGAGCCAGAAACAGGTTCACTGAGTGCCCTTGAATGCCCCTTGCCAAACCTCTGGATCCAACAAGGAACATCTGGGGCAGTGGCTAATACCCTGACTCACTGTTGGGACGGAATAGTGTCTTTGCTGCCAATTATTAAGCCACTTGGTTGGGATGGACAGCTGGATGGTGGGGGCAAGAGAATCTGTTAGAAGAGAAGATGCTTGTTGCCTGGATGAGCTTCAGTTGAATTCCTCAAAGGGTACAATGTCACTGGGCAGAGTCCCGTTCACCTCTGGGATGGTCTCAACCCCCAAGTAACCCAGCAGGATCTCACTGCGGCGCCGAGAGAGTTGGAGGATATCTTCTGCTAGCAACGGGACAGTGGAGTATCTCACAATGTCTAGGTCAAACATGTCTTTCAAATATTGCAGGATCTGGTGCTGGGGAGGAGAGAGAGTGGGAGAAAGATAATCAGCAGCATAGTTGGCAATAAAAAATGAAGGACTGGGCAATTTGTGGCTTGAGAAACACATGTGGCCCTTGGCCTCATTTCATGTGGCCCCCAACATCTCCTGGTGCTGGGGAAAGGGGTGAGAAAGAACCAGCAAGATAGTTAGCTTGTAATAAAAACTGAACATTGTCTTAGGCTGCAGGTGGGAAACTTGTGAACTCGAAACTTCATGCAGTCCTCAGACTCCTTTTCAATGTTCAAAGGGCATCCCAGATATTAAAGAAAAAAATACATAACACCATTTGGGGGTGGGTTTGCAGTGTTGCAAGAAACAATCAGTAAGTATTAACCACTTTGAAGTTTTTTTCTACAGTCAAGCAGTATATAAATGTTATGAAATAGATAAATAACGTATGACCAAAAGTGGATTATTATTCTTTTTAAGTTACAGTGCAACTGGTATTATTTCTTTATCTTTAGAATTGAAAAGTTTAGGTAAATTAAAATTAGCTATATTTCCTGCATTGCAGGAGGTTGGACTTTGGGAGCCTTCCAACTCTCCAGTTCTATGATTTTTAACTTTATTTACCTTGAAGAAGCAGCAAACCTCAGAGAGCTGCTCCTTTGGCCCCAAGAAACCAAAGGCAAGAACAGGGCTGACATGCTCCGATACGGAGTAGAAATGGGATATGAAGCCATCTGGGACCTGATGTGGGAGAAAGAAAAACAAACTGAACAGTGGTTCTCTCTCTCTCTCTCTCTCTCTCTCTCTCTCTCTCTCTCTCTCACACACACACACACACACACACACACACACACACACTGTAATGGGGTATATTTTTAACTTTTACTCAGAGCAGAACCTATTAGAATAAATGTACCCGAGTTTGTCCATCTGTTTCAACAGGTCCATTCTGAGCAGGACTGACATTGGATGCAACCCAATTTTATTAAAATACTTTGGGTTGTTGTAGCCAACTAAGGCATACTGAGAGTAGACCAACTATAATGGATGGGTCTAACTTGGTCATGGCCATTAACCCTTATTTTCATGACTGCAAGTTGTTTCAAACTGTTTTTAATACTATGTTTTAATGTTGTAAACTGCCCTGGGACCTTAAGGTGTAGGGGTGCTGGCAATAAATAAATAATAAAACAAAAAATGTTATTGGGTCCACTCCTAGTAGGACTAGCATTGTGTATTTTGTGTTTTTATACCGTAAACTGCCCTGTGATGAAGGACGGGATATAAATTTAAGAAATAAAAATGATGATGTGATAGCAATTCTTTGTACATTGCAATGTGACTACACCACTCATAAGGACTGCAAATCAAACTGATACAGCCACATTGTGACTTAAAAGCATCCTCTTTAGTATCAAGATAAACATCACACATAAAATATCAGCTACAAAAAACCAGTAAAATTCATAAGGAACATAGTAAACAATTAAACAAAATATCCTCTAGACATCAGGAAGCAAAATTTTACAAATGAGAATCAATTAGACCATTAGCCTCCTCCCCCCCAAAATCAACTTGCTAACCAACCATTGTATGCAAGTCAACTATACCATTAAACTTACCAATAGAAGTCGCCTCTTAGCTTTCAGAACCGACCAGCAGGCAGTGGCAAGAGCCTGAAATTAAATACATATAGGAAAAAGCAAGACTGTCATCACGCTGCCAACTTTTATTTCAAAGGCCAACGACCTACAGCTGTTGAACCACAACAATCTGAAGTCTCCACATTATAATAATAATAATAATAATAATAATAATAATAATAATAATAAATAATTTTTTTGTACCCCGCCCATCTGGCTGGGTTTCCCCAGCCACTCTGGGCGGCTTCCATAGAAACAAAAAATACAGTAAAATATCACCGATTAAAAGCTTCCCTGAACAGGGCTGCCTTAAGATGCCTTCTAAATGTCAGGTAGTTATTTATTGCTTTGACATCTGATGGGAGGGCGTTCCACATGGCGGGCGCCACTACCGAGAAGGCCCTCTGCCTGGTTCCCTGTAGCTTTGCTTCTCGCAATGAGGGAACCGCCAGAAGGCCCTCGGCGCTGGACCTCAGCGTCCGGGCAGAACGATGGGGGTGGAGACGCTCCTTCAGGTATACTGGGCCGAGGCCGTTTAGGGCTTTAAAGGTCAACACCAACACTTTGAATTGTGCTCGGAAACGTACTGGGAGCCAATGTAGGTGTTTCAAGACCGGTGTTATGTGGTCTCGGCGGCCACCCCCAGTCACCAGTCTAGCTGCCGCATTCTGGATTAATTGTAGTTTCCGGGTCACCTTCAAAGGTAGCCCCACGTAGAGCGCATTGCAGTAGTCCAAGCGGGAGATAACCAGAGCATGCACCACTCTGGCGAGACAGTCCGCGGGCAGGTAGGGTCTCAGCCTGCGTACCAGGTGGAGTTGGTAGACAGCTGCCCTGGATACAGAATTGACCTGCGCCTCCATGGACAGCTGTGAGTCCAAAATGACTCCCAGGCTGCGCACCTAGTCCTTCAGGGGCACAGTTACCCTATTCAGGACCAGGGAGTCCTCCACACCAGCCCGCCCCTGTCCCCCAAAACAATACTTCTGTCTTGTCAGGATTCAACTTCAATCCATTAGCCGCCATCCATCCTCCAACCACCTCCAGGCACTCACACAGGACCTTCACCGCCTTCACTGGTTCTGATTTGAAAGAGAGGTAGAGCTGGGTATCATCTGCATATTGATGGACACCCAGTCCAAATCCCCTGATGATTTCTCCCAGCGGCTTCATATAGATGTTAAAAAGCATGGGGGAGAGGACGGAACCCTGAGGCACCCCACAAGTGAGGGCCCAGGGGTCTGAACACTCATCCCCCCCACCACTTTCTGAACACGGCCCAGGAGGAAGGAGCAAAACCACTGTATAACAGTGCCCCCAGCTCCCAGCCCCTCTAGACGGTCCAGAAGGATGTTATGGTCGATTGTATCAAAGGCCGCTGAGAGATCCAGCAGAACCAGGAAACAACTCTCACCTTTGTCCCTAGCTCGCCGGAGATCATCAACCAGTGCGACCAAGGCAGTTTCAGTCCCATGGTGAGGCCTGAATCCCGATTGGAAGGGATCCAAATTACAATTTACGAAGCAACAGATCTTTTCCATTGCACCTTTCTGCAAGGAATCTGTTGCTATTTCAGTTTATCTGAAGCTGATTTCTAAGTTCAGATTGGAAAGAACAGGGTGCTTTGGGGTCTAAGAAATATGTAAGCACTTTACAGAGGGGGCGGGGAGGGTTGCACTCCAAAAAACTCAGAACGAAACCAGTAAAAAAATTAAAAATCCTGAGAACATCAAAAGAGTCTTGCTGGGTCAGGCTAATGCCCTATCTAGTCCAGTCTCTTCTTACAGTGGCCAATCAGCTTCTAATAATGGGAAACCCACAAGCAGGATTTGAACACAAGGGTCTTCTCTCCTCTTGCAGTTTCTAGCAACTGGTATTCAGAAGCATTGCTGCCTCAAACTATGGAGGCAATGCACAGCCAGCCTCCATGAATTTGTCCTATCCCTTTTTAAAGCCATTAGGGTTGATGGCCATCACTGCCTCCAGTGAGAGCGAATTCCACAGTTTAACTATGCTCTCCATGAAGATGGACCTTATTTTATCTGTCCTGAAACTTCCAACATTCAGCTTCAATGGATGTTCATGAATTCTAGTCTTGAAAGAGAAGGGAGAAGACTGTTCTTCAGTGAGCACCAAGGCTAGTCTCCCCTCCGCCTGACTCAACCATCATCCAGACACCTCCTGGAACAACAGCCCTTAAAATTCACAGCCTTCCATCTTCTCAGACTCAGAACCCACCTCTACCCTAAACGTGTCAAGCAGGTCCTCCCATTTTTGTGCGTCTTGTTGTGCATTAATGGCCAATTCATGGCTTGCTGGAGGAAATTCACTTTTCCAGACCAAGTCCAGGGACTGAAAATGGACCTATATTTTAAGTGGGGGCTGGGAACTGCTGGACAACCCAAATGTGCTTTGGGCAATAGCAAAGCAAAAGAAAATAGAATGTATTTATTTATAAATAATTTGACATTTGATATTTCAAAACAATCATGAGAAAAATCAGAACTTTGCTAGACTTCCTTACAACTCTTACACATTTTTTTCTTATCCCCACCTAAACCAGGGGGACATCCTACTAGTGTAGTTCAAAATAATGCAAGGAAATCAGATCCCGTCATGGGTTGCAATAAATCTGTGTTTGTTTATTTAAATTTACAGTTTAGTGCTGTTTTTATTTCAAATTACAAATGGGGCCCGTAAAGGTCTTAATCCGGCCCTGGGGATCAGGGATCACAGAACAAGCTGGAACCTGGCTGAACGATGCCCTAAGGGTAAGATTTGCACTGTGGCATAAATCAGAGCCAGTGAGGTGGTGTAGTGAGAGTGCTGGACTAGGACATGGGAGACCGGGGTTAGTTCAAATCGCCCCTCGGCCATAAAGCCCACTGGGTGTGACCCTGGGCCAGTCACTGCCTCTCTCAGCCTAGCCTACCTCCTGAGAAGCAGGAGAACTATGTATGCCATCTTCAGCTCCTTAGAGGTGTAAGTGCAAATAAATAAAAACAAATAGTTCTCCTTCCCAGTGGGGGGTATGTCCAGCAGACGCACCGTCTCCTTGAAGCTGTCCGAGAGCCAGCGGTTCCGCAGGACAGCCAGCACCGAGGAAGGCGGGTTCTCCAGGTCCTCAAAGGCATCCATAAGGATGAAATCCAACACAATATCGAAGAAGCTCATGCAGACCACCTGGGAAGGATAAATACAGGTAAACTGACAGGCATCAACAACAACAGTTTATTTATTGCTTGCCCTTCACCACAACGTCCCAGCATGGGTTACAGCATTAAAACACAATGTTAAAATTTTTTAGAACCATTTACTTATTTTAATTAATGCTTGAATCTTTCAAAAAACTTTTTTGCTGATAATTCCATTGTTTTATTATTTACAAACTGCTTTGAGGGTTGTTAGAGTTTGCTCTTTTTTACAATCAAGTGGCATGTAAATTGTATGAATCAATAATAACAACAGCTTTCACTGACTACTTTTTATTTTATTTCAAAAAGGAGAAAACAACACAAACCCCTCGTCCTTCCAGCTCCTTCTGAGTTGTGGGCCAGGTCTCCTGCCTCAGCGTATATTGAAGCATCTCGTCATAGCTTTCTAGGAAGCCCTTGGTGTTCTGGGATGTGGGGAGGAACAGAGAGACAGCTCAGTTGCTAAATCTATGCTACAACTCAGCACCACAGCAGACTGAACAACATTAGTCTAACTAAGAGCAGACCTACTGAAAACGGGCATGATTAAACTTACCATATATGTGCTCATTTCATCAGGTCAGCTCTAAGCAGAAAGTAAGCCCCACCTTCACAACGCATTCAAAGCAATATATTGCCACTTTAAACAGTCATGGCTCCTCCCCCCGCAAAGAATTCTGGGAGCTGCCGTTTGTTCAGGTTGCTGAGAGTTGGAAACCGCCCCCACTCCTCTCCCAGAGCTACCCTTCCCAGGATGGCTTAATAATCAATCCCTCTTCACAGGGAACTCTAGGAATTGTAGCTGTGGGATATACACATAGAGAAATAAAGAAAAAGTGGAGTGAAGTGGTTGTGGTTTCAGATCAGTCTTGTTCAAACTGGGTCACCCTGCTAGAGGTGGGGTGGGAGAACTGGGTAGACAGACATGGCTGGGCTCATAGCTCTAACCAGCCTCCAGCCAGTGGTGCAGAAACTATCAAAGTTGTAGTCTAGCAACATCTGGATGACCACAGAAGTTGCCCCTGACTTTGCTATAAAGAGAATAGATCGGTGGTTCCCAAACTTTTCTGGGCCACTGACTCCTTGGGGTTCCATAGACTCACCCTGCTACTCTACAGAAAGCATTATTCAGAATGGCAGTTTGCATGACCCGCTAAAGAAGATAACTAACAATTTCAAGACAGTAGCAATTAATTTCACAGTTGTTCAGAACCCCATTAAAACTATTTCAATTATTTAATTGAACAAAACTGAAGAACATGACCCAGTGATGCCAGCATTTCAAAATGTGATAGTCCTTTACACCTCCGGCATCCCTGCCGGTCCCTTGCCTCTTAGAGACTCCCGGGGAATTTCCCTCCAGAGGGCATCATCACCCACTTTGGGAAACACTGGAATAGATGAGGAGTAAGAACTGTCTCCTGCAACCATGGTGATGGCTGAAGCCACCTCTCTCCCTCAACTGGCCCACTTACCTTTTCAGCCTTGATCATCAACCCCATCACCATCCGCTTCCCCACCTCCCCAAAAAAGGACTGGTTTCTGTCATCCCGAAGAAGTTCCTGCAAAAGAGAGTCCCATTCAGAGATAACAATCTTTTCCTTGGAAAGAGGGTGGAAAATAGTAGTGTAATTGATGTAAAGGATTCTAAGTAGCCCTTGGCCAGGAGACAATAATTGTCTATCTGTTATTTTCTCTCTGACTGAGAGCAGCTCTCAGGAAAAGAAGAGGCTGTAGATCATGGGTTAGAACATCTGTTGTGCCTAGAGAAGGTCCCAGGTTCAACCCTCCCAGTGGCATCTCCAACTATGGCTAGGAATGTCTCCCTCTTGAAACTCTGGAGAGCTGCTGCCAGTCAGTGTGGGCAGTAGTGGGCTAGATAAACCAATGGGCCTGATTCAGTAGAAGGCAGCTTCCTATTTAAATTAGCTCATTATTTAGAACCATGAGGACTAGAACCTTATTTTTTTTAGGTAAAATGCTCGGCGGTAGAGCATCTGCTTTGCATGCAGAAGGTCCCAGGTTCAATCCCCAATTGCATCTCCAGGTAGAGCTGGGGAAGAAACCCTGTCTGAAACCCTGGAGAGCCTCTGCCAGTCAATTTAGACAGTACTGAACTAGATAGACAAATGGCCTCACTCATAGTATAAAGCAACTTCTTCTGTTCCTCTTATCAGGCAACTTATTTGTCTAACCAGAGAAGACCAGAAGTTGAACATGGGACCTCTTGCATGCCAATCATGGGCCCAGCCAGCCACTGACCTCTCAAAACAGAACCACATTCCCACATAGGTGGAACAGGGGTCTGGAGGAGACTTGGGATTTCCCTACCTGAAAGGCTTGTCTGACACAGTGGAGCTTTGCCAGGAAGTCGTGGTTATTATAGCAGCCCAAAAGCTCTGTCCTAGAAGAGAAGAGAGGGGTGAAAATGGAGGTACCTGTAAACATTCAGGATGCTCCTTAAGCACATATCCCTTGAGGAAAGGGAACCTATGGGTTCCAATGACAAAATGGCTGCCGAAAGGGGCAAGGCAGGACACATAAAGACTGGAATCTCCAAAAGTGAGACAGGACAATGTATTGCTGGCCATATTCACACCAAAAACAATGCTGTCCAGGGTTGTAAAGACTGCAGAAAGAATAACTGGGTGCACTCTTCCCACCTTAGATCAAATCTATGCTGTCAGGTGCCATAAGAAAGCTGCAGAGATAGCGCAGGATAGTACGCACACCGGAAATGATCTCTTTCAGCTTCTGCCTTCTGGAAGAAGGTATAGGGTTATAAAGACCAGGACTAGCTGCCTGAGAAACAGTTTCTACGCAAATGCAATTCTGGTTCTAAACACAGCATAAGCAGTCTCTATAGTATATTATATTTTAAAATGGGGTTTCAGAGTTTTTAGGGGGTTTTGAATGTTTTATGTAGATTTCCAATTTCATTTTTCTGTATGGGACAATGACAATAAAGATATCGTATACCATACTAAAACAGATTAAAATACTAAAACAGATTAAAATTACTTCAACTTTCTAAGCATCTGGGTAGGCTTCTCCAAACAGGAATGTTTTACACCTGTTAACTCCTCCAGTGCCACCGCCACCTTGCTTCTTGGCCAGGAGACAATGAAACCCAGTGTGGAAACTGGCCAGTGTGGTGTAGTGGTTAAGAGCGGTGGACTCGTAATCTGGTGAACCGGGTTCGATTCCTCACTCCTTCACATGCAGCTGCTGGGTGACCTTGGGCTAGTCACACTTCTCTGAAGTCTCTCAGCCCCACTCACCTCACAGAGTGTTTGTTGTGGGGGAGGAAGGGAAAAGGAGATTTGTTAGCCGCTTTGAGACTCCTTAGGGTAGTGATAAAGCGGGATATCAAATCCAAACTCTTCTTTTTCTTAGCATCCCTTTAGGTCAGGGGTCGACAAGGTTTACTGGCCATGGGCGGATCACTCCCACGGACATCGTCCATGGGCCGGACTGGCACAGCGCAACACCGGAAATCACATCTGCGCATATCCGCAACGCTGGAAATCACTTCTGCCCACGGCCAGATGCCGAAAACTGCGCCTGCACAGAAGCGATTTTTGGCATCTGGACATGTGCAGATGCGATTTCTGGTGCCACTCGGCGAGTTCCCGCACCATGCCATGCCGCACCAGTTTAGCGCAGCACGTGGGGGACTCACCAAGTGGGTGGGCTCGGTTTGGGGGTGGCTTGCGGGCCAGTAAAATGGTCTTTGTGGGCCGCATCCAGCCCATGGGCCACACGTTGTCAACCCCTGCTCTAGGTAATCCCACCACCTCCCAGGGGTAGTAGCACATAATACACAGACTATATGGAGCTTTCTGGTACAGATCAGCTCACTTGCTCACCGGAAAGTCCTGCATGACACCTGTCCATCCTTCACCAACTGCAAAGCTTCTTCATATGCCGCGACCGGCTTGGAGAGCTGGAAAGGAGCCTCCCCGATTTGAAAAGAGTCAAAGAGCTGCAAAAATGTAACAGAATAAAACTGATGTCACCCAAAGGCCACAATTCCTAAATACCAAGCTGCCCTAAGGCAATGTTGGGTTGGATTGTGCCAGGCTGATCCATGCTTCTCTGAGTTCCAGACTTGACTACTGCAATGACACTGTACCCAGGACTGCCCTTCTTTTTTTCTGTTTGTTTTTTTTAAAAACATATTTTATTGATTGCAAACTTAAACAGAATTGCATAATAACATCAACAAATAAAACTCCCTCCCAGAGTGCAGATTTGTCTCTAAGTAGGAGACAGCTTCTGTTTTCACAAGCATCAGTAATATAATTAATTGCAAGTGTCATTCCAGAGTATTCCATGTGTTCTTCTTGGTGGGCAAAAGCCATGTTAAAAAGATTGTGAATGCTGCATAAAACCGAACCATGTTGCATAGAAAGTGATACTCCTCTTTCCTGTATGATGTTCAAGCTTTAAGGCAGTTAATTTGTCCATGACCGTCAAGCCCCAGACCTGTGAGATCCATGCTCCCAAAAGATCTGAGAGATCTCCAGTCTACAGTGATTACTAGCTTTGCAGCTGTTAGCAGATGCATGATAAAATCTTTATTCATTAAGCTTCAAAATTCTGGAAACTGATAGTACAGTTATACCTTTGTTCTTGAACAGAATGCAGCCAATCGGAAGCCGTGGATGCCATGCTGGACATTTGGCTTCCGAAAATCGTTCGAAAACCGCAACACTCACTTCCAGTTTTCGATCGTTCGGGAGCCAATGCATATGAATTCCATGGCATTCGGCAACTAAGGTACGACTGTACCACCTCTGGGTCCATAGGAATACGGTAGTTTGCTTTGTAATCTGGTTAGTTATTTATAGGACTTTTCCCCAAAAAAGGAATGGTTTGTGGGCAATACTGCCTTGAAGACAGCTCAATCCTCTGCAACATGCTCAAAGCAAATTTACTGAAATGGACAAGCAAACATGAAAGGGATTCCCCATCACCACGAAGGCAGCAAGTTTGGAAAACCACAGCACATAGTACAAATCACCTCAGCAGCAGAGAAGAAGGAATCCTCAGAGGTCAAGCTGTTTTCATCATCATCATCAGCCCGGAGTCTTAGAGACTCCTCTGTCAGCGGGAACATGAGTGTTCTCTCTGGGGAAGATGGGGAGTGGGAAGACTCAGACATCAAAATAATAAGCAAACTAGTATGATGCTCAACACAGCATGCTGGAGGGCCAGAGAAAAAAGCACATTTCTGAGGTCACCACCCTCACCCCCAATTTTGCCTGTATAATATCAAAGAACATTCCTGCTAAGTCAAGTGGGAGTCTGTCCTGCCTCTGTTTGTTTGTTTGTTTGTTTGTTTGTTTGTTTACCTGTTTCATTCAATTTATGCACTGCCTGATTTTTCAAAGAAAATCCCCAAGAACTCAAAGAACGTTACAAATATATATATATAAAAAACAATAGAATGGTCACTAAGAAAAATAAATAACCCATGATTTAAGACTTTCAAAAAGTTTAAATAACCAAAGCCTAAAAACAGATTAATCATGCATCAACTTTCTAAACATCTCGGTAGGTTTGTCTAAACAAAAAGGTTTTTAGTACATTCCCAAAAGAGTACACTGATGGTGACTGGAGGAGGTTACTGCTAGGTGGATTTGTAGCTAGTTGACTAACCGAACCCAAAGAGTTCTCACTTATGGTCCTTCATCATCCTGGAGAAAAGTAACAAGTGGGATGCCACAGGGTTCTGTCCTGGCCTGGGCCTGTTGTCGTTCAACATCTTAATTAACGACTTGGATTAAGGAATTGAGGGGATGCTCATTCCATTTGCATAAGATGGGGGACACCTGGTTTGCCAGTAGCACATGTAAAAAGAATTTAAGGGTCTTAGTATACCAAAAGTTTAACATATGTCAACAGGGTGATGCAGCAACAAAAAAAGCTAATGCTATTCTGGGCTGTATCAGCAGAAGTATTGTGTCCAGATTAAAGAAAGTAATAGTCCTACTCTATTCAGCCTTGGTCAGACCACACCAAGGTCTATGATTCTATGACTGCTTGGTATCAAAAGGAAGAGAGATCCCAAGTGTAGATGCTACCACACTAAAAAATTGAGGTCTTACAAGTGTGAAACGGGCATTATGCGGGACCTGTAGCAGTGCCAGTTTTGCCTATCAAAGCAGTCAAGTAAGCACAAGTGGAGTTGGGAATCTGATAGGTGAACTGGTCCCAAGTTTGTTAAGGACTGTATATACTAATAGTAATACCTAGAACTTGGCCCACAGCTGGATCCTAGCGCCACTCACCCAGGTCTAGCAGCATGCTGTCAGCAGGGAGGGTGGAACCAAATTCTTCCTGGAGGTTATACGCCCGGTGCAAGAGGGATTCCAGCTTCTCTGCAAACTCTATTTTCTGGGATTCCTGCTTAATAGAAAAAAAGATATATAGCATTTATTAAACCTTGCAGGGCTCACACCCATCAACACCCTGCCCCCGAAGCTAGTAGGCATGATTTACAGCAAGCGTGATTTTTTAAAAAAGAACATCCAATGAAATCCCCAACAGGCAGCAAGGGAGGCTGGAGGTACCCAAAGAAAAGATCTGCAGACCATCAGTGATCCATGAGCTTCATTCAGGCAGCCTTGCCATAGCAACCACCATGAGTGCCAGTGCAGTGTAGTGGTAAGCGTTGGACTAGGACCTAGGAGACCAGGGTTCAAATCACCACCTGGCCATGAAGCTCTATGGGTAACCTTGAGGCCACTCACTGACTCTCAGCCTACAACCTACCTCACAGAGTTGTGGGGATTAAATGAGGAAAAGAACCATGTGTGCCACATTGAATGCCTTGGAGAAAAAGGTGGGATATGGATGCAATAAATAAATGAACTCTGTGGAGAGGTGCAGCAGGGGTGTGGGCTGTAAAACAGAGAGTGCAGCCAGTGCTCCTGCATCTTTAGAACTCAGTGCTCTGGCCAAAGATTCCTCACTCCTGTCACTGAACTAACTCAGGTGTGGGGAACCCTTTACTCCCCCCTTCCTGGCTGCATGCTGCTGAACTGCAACTCCCATCAGCCCCTGGAAACATGGTCAATGGCCCCAGGAGCTGTAGTTCAGCATCAACTGGAGGCACAAAGGTTTCCCCACATCTGAGCTAATGGGGCTATACCTCCAGGAGATCCTCTGGCAGTAACTCCTGTTCTTTACGGCTTTCCCAGGTGATGGAGGGGCTGGTGTGGTCCCTCTGCCTGGCAGTCAGAGCCTGTTCCCACTTCTGCAGGGCCTCTTCAAACAGCTCCATCCCTGTCAAGGCAAGGTAGGCAGAAAAGAAGGCCAAAGAATCACTTTAAAAAAAAAAAAAAAATCAACTGGTTTTCTTACAGTAGATGGGGAAAATATAGCAGTCAAAAAGGTCCATCTTTTTTCTCCCTCTTTTTCTGGCCAGCATTGGAAAACTCTCCATTGGCAACACAAAAGACTCCCTGACACATTTTTTTAAGTTAGCATTTGCTTTCACAGAATCATAAAATTGACGAGTTGGAAGAGACCCCTAAGGGTTGTCTAGTCCTACCTTCTGTAAGGCAGAAATGACAGCTAAAATATCCCTGACAGATGACCATCCAACCTCTGCCTAAACGCCTCCAGTGAAGGAGAGATCACTACCTCTTGTGGGAGTCTGTTCCACTGTCAAACTGCTCTTCCTCTCAGAAAGTTCTGCCTAACGTTTACTTGGAATCTCCTTCCTTGCAATTTGAATCCATGGAAGCAACAGAAAACAAGATTGCTCCAGCTTCCCTGGGACAACCATTTCACTTCATACAGCACATAGTAGCAACAGGCCAGGTCCTGACCTTGGAAGTAGAGGTTTTCTGCACTACAGTCCCCTGCAGCTCCTGGATCTTCTATGGGTTGTGTCTCCCAGGGTCCTGCTGACGCTGGAGTCGGGCTGGAAGAGTTGGCCACCACTATCTACCAAGTGAGAAGAGAAGGAAGAAAAAGAACCGTTAGCAGCCTCAAGTGTTCCCACCCCATTAAGCATGCTTTTCTCTTTTTTTAAGGTGCATACACTTTTAAAAATTCTTTCATGTAACCTCTTACTCATATTATCTCCAAAAATCCCAAACACTGCAACTGTGATTTTTGCTACATTCTGGCCATGCAAAACCAGTGCTTTCTACACCCTGCCACCTGCACCCCTCTGTCTCCTTCCAGACAAACAACAGGCATGCTCCTGCTTCAAGGATACCTTTCAGCAACACAGGCACTGCAGGGGGAGGGCAGTGCAGGGCTGGCGGGGGAGTATGACCTGGGAGAGAGTCCTGAGGGCGAGACAGAGAGGGCCACAAGTCTGTGCCCAGCACCCTGGCTAGGAGCTATGGATAGAAGACAAAAAGCAAAGAGAAACTCGTACTGAAGCGAGGCTGTGGGAAGAGCTGGAGTGCTTGCTGGGCTCGATGGAGGAGATCCCACTGAGCGTGTCGTTGCTTTTGCTGCTTGGGCTCTGCACTCGCTTATTGGAGTAACCTGCAAAACAGAACATGCGGTTCAAACAACAACAAAAAAAGGCTTTGTGATGAGGGGTCTTAATTGCCATGATGAAATGGGGACAACCTCAGCTGCAGTACATCTGTTTTCAAAGGCAGCAGTCGGAAATCTCTGACTAGCCGATTGCTGGGGGTTTGTTTGGGACCCTTATAAGAAGGAACAGTTGCCTTCTAGGCATTGCTACAGGGAGAGTCTGCTGGAACCATCAAAGGGCACCAACTCCCCCTCCCCCCCGCCTTGCCCCAGTCCCAGCCCTGCCTGGGACCCTTAAAAGGTGAAGGTGCTGCTTAAGCATCCTTCTCTTCCCTTAATATTTTTGTAGAAGACATAATTTGCCTTTGGGGCAGAAATGAGGATGTGTTTGGCATTTAGTCCTGTTGAAATGTTTTGAATAAGTATCCATACTGTTTGCATTTACATTATTGTATTTTTACGATTATTCATGGGCGCTGCCTTTTTGGCTGAAAGGCTATATATATATATATATATATATATATATATATATATAAAAGCAAGCAGTAACGTTAACATAACTCGGGGCCTGCAGGTGCCTTGCAATCTCAGCCTCTCCACCTAAAGCAGCTTGGGACCAGGCTAGCTTGTCCTTTAAACCCTCAGCCTATCACCGTGTCCTGCAGGATGTGGCACCAGTCCACCAGGAGGCCCGTTCCGCACAATTAAGTGTGGCGGCACCTTGTACCCCTTGGTACTCCCTCTCCACCCCCCGCCCTCACTAAATATCAGGTAGCCAGCTCCTCTGCTGGCTTCCCTCTGATATCATAGCCACCTTTCTTGACGGAGGGGACCCGCCTCGTTGGCAAGATGGGAACAGGAACACCTGTGGGCTTCACCCCCGCCTTCTCCGGGGCAATCTGCTTCTTACGACGACGACGGCGCTTCAGTTGGTGTGCTGCAAGAGCCAAGGCAACCGTCCCAAGTGCTGTGGCGAACAGAACCTTACGCAGGCCTGGAGTGAGCCTCAGCTGAGAAAAGGCAGACTTTAAAAGGGGAAGAGAAATAGTAGTAGAAGTAGTAGTAGTAGTAGTAATAGCAACTGCAATAATTTTGTTATTTATATGCCACCCACCTGACTGGGTTGCCCCAGCCACTCTGGGTTGCTTCCAACAAATTAAAACATTTGACACAGTAAAACAGCAAAATATAAAAACACAACAAAATATCAAACATTAAAAACTTCCCTATACAGGATTGCCTTCAGATGTTTTCTTAAAGTCATATATCTGTTTGTCTGTTTGACATCGGATGGGAGGGCATTCCACAGGGTGACAGGGCGGGTGATCATAGAAGCATAAAATGGGTCAGTTGGAAGGGACCACGAGGGTCATCTAGTCCAACCCCCAGCAATGCCAGAATCTTTTTGCCCAACATGGGGCTTGAACCCACAACCCTGGGATTGAGAGTCTCATGCTCTACTGACTGAGCTATCCCGTAGTCACTATAGTCATTAAAAAAAATATATTCTTTTGCAGAGGCACTTTTATCCAGCACAGTTAAATCTTTCTCATATAAGAAGCTGTCCAGTTCTGAACCAGACCATTGATCTATCTAGCCTATTGTTGCCTGCGCTGTCTGGCAGCTGCTCTCCGCAATTTCAGACCACATAGCTTAATACTGCCCACACTGCCTGGCAGCTGCTCCCCCAGGGCTTCACAGAATTGTAAAGTGGGAAGGGACCCCGAGGATCATCTAGTTCAATCCCCTGCAGTGCAGGAATTGCAGCTAAAGGATCCCTGACAGATGGCCATCCAACCTCTGTTTAGAAATCTACAATGAAGGAGAGTCCACCACCTACTATGGTTTAGCTGGAATCTCCTTTCTTGTCATTTGAATCCATTAGTTTGAGTCCTGCCCTCTGGAGCAGCAGAAAACAAGCATGCTCCATCTTCCATGGGATAGCAGGGGGCATTCTGCAGCCCTGCCTGGAGATGCTGCTGAGGGCTGATCCTGGGTCCTTCTGCATGCAGAGGAGGTGCTCTAACCACTGAGCTAGGGCCTTCTCCTAAAAATACAATTAAGATTCCAGTTCTAAACATAGGGATGAATTAAATGTGCATATTCACCTGACCAAACGTTGTGTAAAGGAATACCGGTATCTCTGCGACAGTCATCGCCAGAGCCTGAATAATGGACATCCCCTCAGTTCTCTGAAATGCCATTTTTGATAGACGTTCTAGGCATGCGCTGGAAAATGCTGTGAGGAACAACCTTGGCCAAGAAGTTCACCAAGAGACCCAGCTCTCCTTTGGCAGGCTCCTACAGTCAGCCTTATTTGGAAGATCGCCTCCCTGTTGCAGAGATACGAAACAATAATTAAATAATTAAAAATAAATGGAAGACAGTCAGACACAACTAACGGAGGGGCCCTTTCACAGAGCGCATCCAGAATGGAACAGTCATGGGGTAATAAACAGCGAAGACCATCTTGGGCCAGCTCATGAGCAGAGAAGGGAGGCAAAAGACATCCCTTTTCTTCTGACAGTTGTGGTGTAGTGGCTAGGGTGTTGTAGTAGGACCTGGAAGAGGCCAGGGTTCAAATCCTGCACTTGGCCATGAAGCTAACTGGGTGACTTTGAGCCAGTCACTGCCTCTCAACCTAATCTACCCTTGCAGGGCTGTTCTTGAGCTCCATGGAGAAAAAAAGCAGCAAACAAACAAACAAACAAACAAACAAATAAATAAATAATATACACAAGTAGACTGCACCTGAACATGAAGTTCCACTAAGGCTTTTCTCTATGAGGCATATCAGACCAAACTAAACTACTGTATGCAATGCGACTGAAGTCAAGGGAAAGAAAAACAAAAGAAAGCAAACATGAGTATTTTTTTTTAAAAAAAGTTTTCATTTTTATTTGTTAACAAAAATAAACGTGCAAACATAACAAAAAGAAAGAAAAGAATTTAAAAAAACTAAACCTTACAGAGTCACAGCCAGGAAAAGCAAAGTACAAGGGCACCATGCAGTTCCAAACAGAAAATGAAGTATTGATTCATACAAAGGTTCCCTTCACAAATAATAACTATTTATAAAAATAAAAACATTATCCACTTGTGAGTTCCGTTGTTATTTAGGATAAAGGTTCTATATAGTCTTGAATGAGCCAGACATTTGCATATCCTGGTAGCACCGAGTGACCATGTGCCTCAATATCACAATATGTATTTTTTTTTTTTTAAAAGGTCCCTCTATTTCTACCCTTTAGATACTTTCAGTTCATGGGACATCTTTTCAAACAAAATTGTTTTGCTGTTGCCAGATCAACAACAGCTGCATCTTCCTAGAATACATAATTGTAACACAGGACAGCATGTTCCTGTTCCCAAACTTTTTGGGGCCACTGCCCCTTGCTTCCATCAACACATCCCAGTGCCCCATACCGTACCTTACCCAATAAAAAGCATGATTCAGAATAGCAGTTTGCATGACCCACTAAGGAAGATAACAACACAATAAAATTCAGAACACTAAAAGTTGTACCTTTATTCATAATCCAACTCTAACACTAGTTTAAATCATTCAATGGAATTAAGGAACTTGATACAGTGATGCCAGTTTTTCAAAGTCTGATTGTAATTTAAACCTCCAGCGCCCCTCCCATGCCTCTTGGTTGTTCTCCCCCATCCCCCAAACCTGGTAATCCGCTCACTCTGGGAACCACTGAACTAGAGTGGGAGTTAAAGAATAGCTTGTTACGCTGACTTTTTTTCCCCTAAGGCGATACAGCTAGACTTTTTGTTGCCTAACCTGAAAATTGTAGGAGAGGACAATCAAGGACAATCAGAACTCCAAGAGATACAAAGAGTAACAAGTCAGGGTTGCTTCTCAGCTGCATGTCTCTGGGCACACTAAGCTTTCCACGTGACTGATTAGTTCCTCCATAGTTTTTTGTTTGTTTAAAGAAGTCCCCGCACATAGAAAAGGAGCTTGTAAGGGGAAGGACTCTAATCAGGTTTTCTCTTTCACATGCTACTCTTCTACATGCAATGATTTCAAAATAAATGAATAGAAGGTGCTCTATGTACCGTATTTTTCCATGTATAAGACTACATTTTTTTCCTAAAAAATAATGTATAAATTAGGGGGCGTCTTATACACAGATACACCTCCCCCCATTTTCTTAAATCTGTGTCCCCAAAAATAGGGGGTTTCTTATACATGGGGGAGCCTTATAGACGGAAAAATACAGTAATTGTCAGATTATTTGTAAAGCAACAGGGTTTTCTCAAGCAGTGCTTATGAACAGTGATGCCAACTGGACAACAAGAGGGTGGAAAACTTTAAATGTATGCATGCATTTATTTTTGATACACCCGTGTCAGATCTTTTCCAAATTGCTGTGCAGAAAAAAACACCCACCTTACAGCAACCTTTGCTCAGTGGAGCAGGCACACACACACACAACCACCCAGTAGAGTTGGTACAAATTAGTTACCATCAGGCACCCAGGTTATCAGTTGTCCCAACCCAACTCATCACTCTCTTGTCTGTAGGAGGGCAGAACACCAGCTACATTTGTTACAATTTGATGGACACCTACTCCTTCCTGGCATTCATCCCTCCTTCATTTTCAATCACGTCTCTGTTGTAATCCTTGGCATAGAACTTTTAAGTGACTATATCATTGCCGTCATAGGAAGCTGCCTTATATCAAGTCAAACTATTGGGCCATCTAAGCTTAGTTTTGCCTGCACTGACTGCCAGCAAAGGCTCTCCAGGGTTTCAGCAACAGGACATACCGAGGCAGACCTAGAGATGCCAGGGATTGAATCTGGGTCCTTCATTGTCTAAGGCAGGTGCCCTGCCACTGAACTATGGCCCTTCCTCTAAAAATAAAGTAAGATACCAGGCCTCATGGTTGTGAAGAAATGGCTAAATTAAAATGGAATAGTCTCAAGTCAGACCGTTGGTTCATCCAGCTCAATACAATCTACTCAGACAGGCAATATCATTGCAGAGTTTCAAGCAGGGAGTCTCTCCTAGGCCCTACCTGGAAATGTTGGCGATAGGACCTGGGACCTTCTGCACACAAAACAGATTCTCTGTCACGGAGCTCTGGCCCTTCCCTGAAACACAGAGTAATATTCCAGTCCTAATGTAAGTGGGCTGTATTGTATAGGAACATTGGAAGCTGCCTTATGTTAAGTCAGACAACTCGCCCATCTAGCTCAGTACTGTCTACACTGACAGGCAGCAGCTCTCCTGGGTTTCAGGCAGGGGACATCCCCATCTGGAGATGCCAGGGATGGAACCAGGGCCCTTCTACATGCAAAGCAGATGCTCCGCAACTGAGTTACGAACCAAATTAGAGCACAGGGAGCTGCCATGTTCTGAGTCAGGCCACTGGTCCATCTAGCTCAATATTGTCTACACTGACTGGCAGCAATGGCTCTCCAGGGTTTCAGTAAGGGACATTCCCAGCCCTACCTGGAGGTGCCATTGGGGATTGAACCTGGGATCCTCTCCATGCAAAGCATCTTTCAGCAGCCTGCAGCCAGAATAAGCCCTCTGAAATGCCCTCTTGAAGCCAACAGCCATCCCATCCTCACCCCCCTCCCACATGATTAGAGCCCCTGGACACTAAGTTCCTATTTCATAATCATCACCAAACACCACTAGCAAAGCGACATACAGTGGTACCTCTGGTTACGTACTTAATTCGTTCCGGAGGTCCGTTCTTAACCTGAAACTGTTCGTAACCTGAAGCACCACTTTAGCTAATGGGGCCTCCCGCTGCCGCCACATGATTTCTGTTCTCATCCTGAAGCAAAGTTCTTAACCCGAGGTACTATTTCTGGGTTAGCGGAGTCTGTAACCCGAAGCGTATGTAACCTGAAGCGTATGTAACCTGAAGCGTCTGTAACCCGAGGTACCACTGTACTATGTTCAGTTTACTTTTACTTTTGCTTTTAAAAGACTTTCTCAATCAGAACAAAAGCCGAGAGTCCCATTTCACCAAGTGTAAATGCTGGGGAAACCCCAAAGCAACAGCATGCAAAGAAAGAGACTACAGTACTGTACTCCTGTTTGCTACCCTCTGGGGCTGGCATTTTGGAGGCAGGCTGCCCCTGGCCATGGAGATTGTCCTTAGCTTGCCAGCAGCTCAGTCCTCCATCAATTCATCCACTCTCCCCGACCCCGTTTTAAAGGCATCCTAAGTCACAGACCCGTCCAGCCCCAAGCAATATCTCAAGTTCCACCACCCCCAGCAACGAACTAGCGTTTTCTTTTGTTGAGGTAAACTGCACCTGAACCAGGGAGACCCATTAAGGCAGCAAGCCTAAGTAACGTTGCCAAATTTTACGGAGTTGGAAGCACAAACGGAAACTGGGAAGGTAGGAAAAGGCTTGGCCAAAGGATACCATGCCGCAAATGGGCTGAGGACCCTACCACAAATGGAGTGATGGCAAATACGAGGAAACGGCAGCAGCAACGTAAACTGAGACCTTATCATTTTCCAGCAAAATACTTGCCCAAGAGCTCCTTTCGTTCGCGCAGGGCTCTTTGGAATGAAAGGTACTAACAGATTTCCCTCACTCCCCCTCACCCCTTTCCGCATAATGGAACACACCACCGCGCACCTGCCCTAAGCAGGTCGGACAATACCACCTTCTTGATGGGGGGGATTGAGAAGCCCTCACCGTGCATCGGCGTTCCATGGCTTCAAAAGGGCAGCGTCTCCTTCCCGGCTACGACTCAGCCTCACAGCCTAACACGCCTGTTGTCAGCAAGGGGCAGGGCGCCATGGGGAGACCTCCAATTGGCAGCCTTCTCGGCCAATGAAAGCGGCCCCCTCAACCCCGTGCGAGAGCCAATGGGCGCCCTTGGCCCCTCCACCGCGTCGCCGGTTTAACATACCGCAGCAAAATCGAGTGCGGTTGAGAGGCAATGGAGTTTCCCTCTTCCTCCCCTGCCCCCGCCCCGTGGGAAAGGGGGCGTGCGCTTCAGGGCTGATTGACGTGCAGCTCAAGGGGCGGGACTCCTCTTAAAGGGGCAACGTCTCCTGTACAGTAAGGAATCTTGAGATCAATAACCTGAGACTAGAAAATTAGGGTTGCCATGTGTCCTCTCTTTCCAGGACATTTAAAATTTCTGTCTGGGCGGATTTTTTAAATTTGCCGAAATGTTTCTAGCTATATGTACTTTCTGGATGAGACATAGACATAACGGGTGGCTGAAGACTTGCTTTCCTCTTCTCTTCTCCTGCCCCCCTCAGCAATATATCCCAGATTCTCTATAGCCTACATATAGTAAGGTAAAGGGACCCCTGACCATTAGGTCCAGTTGTGACCGACTCTGGGGTTGAGGTGCTCATCTCGCTTTATTGGCCGAGGGAGCTGGTGTTTGTCCGCTGACAGCTTCTGGGTCATGTGTCCAGCATGACTAAGCCGCTTCTGGCGAACCAGAGCAGCGCATGGAAACACTGTTTACCTTCCCGCCGGAGCGGTACCTATTTATCTACTTGCACTTTGACGTGCTTTCGAACTGCTAGGTTGGCAGGAGCAAGGACCGAGCAACGGGAGCTCACCCCGGGGCGGGGATTCGAACCGCCGACCTTCTGATCAGCAAGTCCTAGGCTCTGTGGTTTAACCCACAGTGCCACTCGCGTCCCTTTACATATAGTAGGGGTATTTAAAATGAGAGTCGTCATAGCATCCTCTTTTTTGCTCTTCAAAATATGACAACCCTTCTTATTGTTAGTATTATAATAATAGAATCCTTCTTTCCCCGATCCACAATAATATGCTATTGCTGCTATTATTATTATTATTGGATTTTAGCTGCCACAATGAACAGGTCTGGGAGCCTTTTTCTGGCTTTCTAGATTTGAGGTGCTCATTAATTTATTGATTAAAGTTTGCACGTGGCTAAAAACAGTATTTCTGAAATGAGAAGCCTACTTGGTTTAGGATACTGTGTGTGTGTGTGTGTGTGTGTGTGTGTGTGAAGGGTTGTAGCCATCATTAGACATACACAGAGTGGATCTGTTGACTAACTAAGCTCCATTAATTTCAATGGGTCTTATTCAAGAACAGCAGACTGACATGTTTTGTTCAGGGCCACTACACTTTTGTTCAGGGCCACTACACTGTGCCCAAGGGCTGTATGTAACTAAGTCCTACTCTTATTCTTAGTCCTACTCTTATTTCTGATCCAGTGAACCTAATTTAGTCGTGGTCATTCTTTTTAATGTTAGTCCACTCACAGTCTACTGTGAGTAGAACTAACATTGGATACAACCCCCAGGATCACAGCTCTACTTGAGAGCCCTGTTGAACTCAACTGTTTGCTTCTAGGTTCAACATACCTAGGTTCAGGGCCCTGTGGACACTGAGCATGTGGAGGTCTTAGTAGACCACAAGCTTAACATGAATCAACAGTGTGACATAGGTGCAAAAAAGTGAATGTTGTGCTACACTGCATCAATAGAAGTCTAGTGTCCCAATAAAGGGAAGTCAAAGTCCCACTCTATTCTGCCTTGGTCTATCCTCACCTAGAATACTGTGTCCAGTTCTGGGTGCCACAATTTAAGAAGGATATTGACAAGCTGGAACAATGTGCAGAGGAGGGTGACCAAGATGGACCAAGATGACTCAAACCAATGGCTTCAAGTTACAAGAAAGGAGATTCTGATTAAATATTAGGAAGAACTTTCAGATGGTAAGAGCTGTTTGACAGTGGAACGGACTCGCTCAGAAGGTGGTGGACTCTCCTTCCTGTATGCTTTGAGATCCCTGCATTGCAGGGGGTGAACTAGGTGACCCTTGAGGTCTCTTCCACCTCTACAATTCTATGATTATGGGATGTCTCCACTGCTGGTGCTTCTCAGAGTAGAACCATTGAAAATAATGAACATAAAAAGTGTCTGCTGGAACAGGCCATTGGCTCATCTAGCCCAGCTTCCTGTTCTCATGGTAGCCATCCAGATAAGGTAGTTGTGTGTCCATTAATTTCAATAGTCCTACTTTAAGTAGGGCCAGCATTGCGTACAGCCAACAGATTGTGGGGGCTGCATCCTTAGGATCCCCAGTGCCCCTCTTCTTCAATGCCTGGGGCGCATTAACCAATCACCCCTATGGAGGAGACAAGTGCTCGTGGAAGAAAGTCCTTCATGCAGCACATAGTTAAACTATGGAACTTGCTCCTGCAGAAGACAGCAGTGGCTCCAGGTTAACTTCAAAAGAGGATCAGACAAATTAATGGAGGAGAATAATGCTATTGGCAGTGGCCATACTCTGCCTACTGGGTTGGAGGCAGTAATGCTTCTGAATGCTTGCTGGAAACCACAAGAGAGGAAAGGGGCTCTTGTGCTCAGGTCCCCTTTGTGCGCTTACTGGTTGTGCCACTGTGAGAATAGGATGCCAGACAATTTGGGCCACTGGCCTTATTTCACAGCACGCTTCTTCTCCATGGCAGATAAGAGTAGGAGTTAAATTCTCAAATGCAAGTCTATCTCATACTCTGTTGGGTGCAGCAGCCACTGCACTGATTTCCTGCTTCGGGGGTTTTCCCTTGGGGGAATCCGGTTGGCCATCGTGGGAACAGGATGCTGTGCCCCTTTTGTCCTGATCCAGTAGCCAGGCTGTCCGTATGGAAATTCCTGGCCGGGCCACCGTGCGCCCTGCGCTTTAAGAGGCCGCCCAGAGGATGCCAGAGGGCGCTGATGGGTCCTCCCGGGGGGTGGGAGGAGGAGGAGAAAAGGCGTTGTGTGCACTCGAGGATCTGCCTCGTTCGCTTGATATTTATTTATTTCCATCCTCCCTAGAGCTGGGCAGGTGGGCGGAAAGGAGGGCGCAGGAGCTGAGCATCCAAGCAGGGAGCAGCTGAGACGGATGCCCCGGCAGCCTCGCTAGCTCGGCCTCCTCTCTCCGCGGTCCCATTTTTTTGTGGGTGCTTGGGCATGGATTTCAACATGAAGAAGCTAGCCTCCGACGCGGGCGTTTTCTTCACCAGGGCTGTTCAGGTAAGATAGAGGAGGAGAGAAATAAAAAGCAGTCCCAGGGCATTGTTACCAGGAACTTAATTGCGCGCGGGGGGTGGGGTTCCCTCCGTCTGTTGCACTGAGGAAAAGATGTTTACTTGCTTATGTCTCCCCGCACTCCGCTTCCAGCGTCAAGGGGTTTAATAGAACAGATGCTACTTCAGTTTCTGACCTTGCGCTTAAAACTGTGCTTGCATATAAAATACACCACCCCATATAGATACAGATATAGATATTCCCAACTGCTGTTTTTAATGAACAGATTTTCCCAGCCTGTCTCCTACATATAACTGCATTGGCCAAGACACTTAAAAACTGGCATTTGAAAAATCGTATCTATATATCCACACATGGTTTCCTGCAGATGGATCAGATCGGCTTCCTTTTAATATAATTTTTGTAGTTTTTCTTCTATAAGTAAATTGGTTTTGCAGCCTGGTTCCTGCCTTTGTGGGTGGGCTTTGATCCATAATCTCTGCAAACAATTTTTTACCTCTATCTCCTAGAATCTCTGGTACTGGGAGCTTATTTAACTAATGGCTGAGTGTTTTGTGGGTAGGGGAGAGTTAAGTTCCCTGGTAGAGGGTTGAGTCTGGCAGTATTCTCCCCTCCACAAAAAAACCCCCACACCTTGATTTATCTAGCTGCAGTCCCCTGATAATAGCAAGTGTGACATTTTATACAGTGCCTGGATTGTACGCTGTTCCTGCAAAGAGACAGATGGTTAGAAGTGAGGTTGGCCCATCTGATGACTTATGCAGCAGTGGAGAGGGCTTGATTCTAAAGCTGGCTAGAAACCTCCTGAGTGGGCTTCTCATCTCCACAGTTGACCCACTATCTTTGCAGTATAAATGTGAAAAGGTTTTTCAGTAAGGGAACCTACCATGCAGCAGACTGTATTGCAGCTTTGAGGGTAAATCAACTCTACAATAGATTGGTGGTAGAGCAGCTGCTTGGTATATAGAAGGCCCCAGGTTCAATCCCCAAAGGCATCTCTAGGCAGCGCTGGGAAATAAACTCACTGTCTGAAACCCAGGAAAGCTGCTGCAAGTCAGACGATACTGAGCTAGGTAGGCCAAGGGTTTGACTGTCTTCCTAAGAAGGGCCATAACTCAGTGACAGAGCAACTGCTTTGTGTGTAGAAGGTCCCAGATTCAATCCTCAGCAGCATCTCTAGCTAGGGTTGGGAGACTGGACAGTATTGAACTGGATGGACCAATGTTCTGGCTCTGTATCAGGCAGTTTCCTATGTAAACATGGGCCCTCTAGCATGTATCTAGGATTGCCTTCTTACTCAGGAGTAAAGCACAAGCCTGCTAAGGATAGGGCCTGAGCGTTTGCTTCTGGGATTGCAGCCTTGCTTGAGTGTAAGCCCCATCGAACTTGACATTTGCTTTGTCTAAATAAACTTGCCCAAGATCAGGGAGGCCTGTAATTTGTGCCTTATTCGGGCTCAAAAGGCAGGTGTGTCTGCTGCTGTTCTATCAAAAAGCGTGATGCGTACTTCATGGCCTCTTCGGCTGGAACCCTTTGAAGTTACGCACTTAATTCGCCTGTCCTAAACATGTAATGTGATGAAACCAAACTGTTGTAACTCTACTTGCCCGTCTCCATTTCTTGAGAGGTCCCTCCTCTTCCTCGCCTCTGAAATCTAGATGTGTAACCACCATAGGGCAGCTGCTGGTCTGGTCTTATAGTCCAGTATGAACATGGAGCTACATGGACTTTGCGCATACCATACATTTAAACTGCAGGGCTTCCCCCAAACACTCCTGCAAGTTGTAGTTTACTAAGGGTGCTGGGTATCGTAGTTCTATGTGGGCGGGGGGGGGCAAACTATCATGGGAAAGCCATGTGCTTTAAATGTACTGGGTGTACGCAGCGATAGGCCTCATCTGCACTTGTAATTAGCAGCAGTATCATACCACTTTAAACAATGATTACTCCCCCACCCAGTTGTCCAAGGAACTGTAGTTTACCCCCAGCACCCCTATCAAACTACAATTCCCAGGATTCTTGGGGGGAGGAAATGTTCTTTAAATGTATGGTATGTATGCAGCCATAAATAGATTACTGCAGGGTTTGCACTCCTTATTTCACTTTCTTGGCTGAGACCTCTCTGTAGGGACTATTTGAAATCCCTGCAGTGGGGAGAGTTGCTGTTATACTTGGTTGCTGCTTGGTGGCTTCCCATTGGGACATCTGGTTGCCCCCAGCAGTCGGGCTCTTTCTATGTTCATGGAATCCTGTTGGATATCACTGATACTGATATTGAACAGTAGCTGCTAGTCAGCACCGCACCCTGGGTCCTGCCTTATGGTCTTCCAGGGTTTTAGGGTTGGGACCTACAGAGCCTATTGCTGAATCCTTTGGCCCTTAAAATCATGTGAGCAGATAAATTTGATGCCTTGAAGTATGGAAACTAGTGGAAGAACCTCCAACTGCGTTGAAAAGCATGTAAGAAGCTTGCCTTACACAGAGTCAAGCCATTGGTCCCATCCAGCTCTGCATTGTCTACGCCCGGGAGCCAGAACCGGCCCAATTGCCTTCTAAATCCGGCCTGCGGAAGGTCCGGGAACCAGCATGTTTTTACATGAGTAGAATGTGTCCTTTTATTTAAAATGCCTCTCTGGGTTATTTGTGGGGCATAGGAATTCATTCATTCCCCCCATAAAAAAATATAGTTTGGCCCCCCACAAGGTCTTAGGGACAGTGGACCAGCCCCCTGCTGAAAAAGTTTGCTGACCCCTGGTCTACGCTGATGGGCAGCAGTTCTTCAGGGTTTCAGGCAGCCCCATCTGGACATGCCATTGGGGATTGAACCTGGGACGTTCTGCATGCAAAGCAGATGCTCTACTGCTGAACCACCCCAGATCTACAGTACCTGCAATTCTCACTTAAACGACGAGGAAATGCAGTGTCTCACAATGAGCCCCAGTTTTGAAGCCTTGCAGCTGCCTTCTAAATCAATCTCTTCTCAGGAGGGAGGCTTTTCATGGACAAGGTACTGAGTTCATGGTGTTGGCCCATCTTGGATAATGGCACATATGTGATTAGAAGGTTAGCCAGTTGACAGGCTCTGTTTGAGTTGGCAAGTCAGTGGTGTCAAGGTTGAAAGAATGTCCTGTTTCATTTTGTTTTTAAAGTGCAGGCTGGAGCTGTACCGTGATCTAATCTAATCTTGCCACGTTTGCTTCTGTTGTGTACTAGAGATGAAAAAGCTTCTGAGACTTGGCACGTTTGTCAGCTGGATTTATTCACCTGGATGTTTTCTGGTTCCCTTCTTCAGTAAATCATTGTCTATATTTTGTGGGTTTTGGAGATGCCAAATGAACCCTCTTGTTAGTCTGAGCAGGTAGAGTTGTTGTCCCAAATCCATAAAAATGAAGTCCAGGTTGGGTGTGGTAGGTGCATCAGGTGTCTTGTGCAAGAATGGGGAACCTCTGGCCTTACAGGTGTTGCCAGCTCCCCAACATTGTTCCTGATCCTTGACCTTTTACAGAAATGGTCAAGCTCAATGGTGGAGCTTTGCATGTAGAAGGTCCTGAGTTTCCCCCCTGTTTTTATCACCAGGTAGGGTTGGGAACATCGGTGGCGCTGTGGTCTAAACCACAGAGCCTAGAGCTTGCCGATCGGAAGGTCGGCGGTTTGAATCCCACGACGGGGTGAGCTCCTGTTGCTCGGTCCCAGCTCCTGCCAACCTACCAGTTTGAAAGCATGTCAAGTGCAGGTAGATAAATAGGTACTGCTCCAGCAGGAAGGTAAACGACGTTTCCGTGCGCTGCTCTGGTTCTCCAGAAGTGGCTTAGTCATGCTGGCCACATGACCTGGAAGCTGTCTGCGGACAAACACCAGCTCCTCAGCCTATAGAGCGAGATGAGCGTGCAACCCCAGAGTCGTCCGCAACTGGACCTAAGAGTCAGGGGTCCCTTTAACTTTACGGTTGGGAACATCCCTTGTGCAAAAAAGCCTGGAGAGCTACTGCCAGTCAATGTAGGCATTACTCAGCTGGATAGACCAGTTGTCTGACTTGGTAAAAGACAGCATCCAATTCAGCCCTTCTGTTTGTAACCATGAAGACTAGAATCTTACGTTATTTTTAAGGCAAAGGTTGTAGCTAAGCAGCAGAGCCTTTGCCTTGCACGCAGCTGGTCCCAGGTTCAATCCCTGACGTCTCCAGATAGGGTTGGGAATGTTCCTTGGATAGCTGTTGCTGGTCAGTGTGGGCAATGTTGAGCTAGATGGACCAATGGTCTGACTCGCCCCACGGTGGAGAGGAAGGGGCAGTAGGGCTTGCTTTGTCTCTGCTTAGTCTTCCCCTGCAGAGGATAAGGGGTTGGGGGACCATGTACTCCACTATGAGCTCTTTGCAGAAAGGATGGAATAAAAACATACTGTATTGGCCTGAATATAAGCCCCACTTTCCCCCTAAATTCCGACCGTGAAAAGTGCGGCTTATATTCACGACCTTACAGTGTGCAGCCAGGAGCACGGGGGCAAACAGCGCCAGGAGCAGGCAACGCCGTGTCTGCCCCATGTGTAGTCCCCCGTCCTCTCTCGCAAGGCCAGGAAGGGAGAGAGCGAGGAAGGGGAAAGGCCGCTGGCAACGCAGTGCGGCTCCAATCCACCCCCCACCCCCAGTATGCAGCCAGGAGCAGCGAGGAATGGAGCAGCTTATATTCGGATATTTATTTCTTTCCCCCCCTCCAATTTTAAAAGTGTGGCTTATATTCGGGTGCGGCTTATATTCGGGCCAGTACAGTAATACATGGCTGCCTGTCGCTTAAGGTTTCTCTGTACAGGTGCTCATGGCTGATGGTCTGCCTTTGGAGCAGTTCATATAAAGAGAAGAAGAGGCTGGTATAAATATGTTTTAAGTGTTTTAAGTTTAAACATCTAAACTGTATATGATTCAGCACATATATGCACACCCCAGCACCATTTCAATGTCACCTATTGAAATTGGCAGTGTTACCGGGAAATTTAAAACAGGTTTGCAAATCTATTCATGGGTATTGGTCATTTTTTACCCTCAAAGAACAGCAGCAGCAAAACCAAACTTTCCTTTTGTGAAGCTTCCAAGCTTGCCAACATGCCAGTGTGGTGCAGTGGTTAGAGGGTCAGAGTAAAACCTGGGAGACCCTGGTTCAAATCCCCCACTCAGCCATGAAGCTCACTGGCTGGACCTGAGCTAGTCACTGCCTCACACCTAACCTATTTCACCAGCCCCAGATAGCACGGCCAGCAGTTGGGGATGATGGGACGTGAGCAACATATGGAGGGCCAAAGGTCTGAACTGCTACACTTTGTTGCACCCCCACTTCAGTAGTCTCTGACATATGCAGACCATAGAATAGTAGAACCATAGAACTGTAGAGCTGGAAGGGCCTCCAAGAGTGATCTAAAGGTAAAGGTACCCCTGACCGTTAGGTCCAGTCGCAGTCGACTCTGGGGTCGCACGCTCATCTCGCTCTATAGGCCAGGGGAGCTGGCGTTTGTCAGCAGACAGCTTCCGGGTCATGTGGCCAGCATGACTAAGCTGCTTTTGACGAACCAGAGCAGCGCATGGAAACACCGTTTACCTTCCTGCCAGAGCGGTACCTACTTATCTACTTGCACTTGACGTGCTTTTGAACTGGTAGGTTGGCAGGAGCTGGGACCGAGCAACGGGCGCTCACCCCGTTGCCGGGATTCGAACTGCTGACCTTCTGATGGGCAAGCCCTAGGCTCTGTGGTTTAGACCACAGAGCCACCCACGTCCCTGAGAGTGATCTAAAAAGGTAAAGGTAAAGGGACCCCTGACCATTAAGTCCAGTCGTGACCGACTCCTGGGTTGCGCACTCATCTCGCTTTATAGGCCGAGAGAGCTGGCGTTTGTCCGCAGACAGCTTCCGGGTCATGTGGCCAGCATGACTAAGCCGCTTCTGGCGAACCAGAACAGCGGATGGAAATGCCGCTTACCTTCCTGCCAGTAGACCTATTTATCTACTTGCACTTTGACGTGCTTTCGAACTGCTAGGTGGGCAGGAGAGAGTGATCTAGTCCTGTTTAAAATAAAAAAGTGTTGTGTAGCGCACCAGTCTGAGCTGTTTGTTTGTGGGATGACTAGCTTTTGAGCAAGTTGTTATTGCTGTTGTTTTTTTAATCGAAAGGACAAGCACCGTCTCTTGCTTCAGAGTCTGTGCAGAGGATGGTTTGTCTCATAGTTATGAAAAGGAGCAGATGGAGTCTGACTTTCCAGCAGTGTAAAAGGAGGGAGGAGAGTGAAACTCCTGGTGTGCAAGAAATTGTGTTTTAAACCTTCCATCTCAGAGATGCGGAAGGTTCTTCTGCGGATACATTTTCATTTGGCCTACACAGAACCTCTGCCGTCCTTCGAGGCTGGACTTTTGTGGTGATGTTTTATTTTCTGGGCACTTAAAAAGCTCAGTGTTTTGTACCTGGTGGAAAATGTGCTATTTAGGAGGGCTAGCAACATCTTGTCTTTAGGAACATTAGTGTGTTGGGTCCACGCTGTACTGTTTTGCCTAAACTGACTGGCAACAGACCTTCTCCACCCTCCTTTTCAACCTGGAACCTCCTGCATCCAAAGCAGATGCTTTGTCACTGAGCTACAGCCATTTCCCTGAAAAGCAAGATGCTAGGTCCCATAGTTTTGAATAAAGAATTAATTGAAAACAGGAATCTAGCTCAGTATCATCTAGGCTGGATCTAGACACATCAGAGAAGTGTTTCAGTTTAAAGTGTTGTAAATATAAACAGGGAAAACAGGTAGAGAAAAATGGAACTCCACATCGCCACCTGGTGGCACAATGTTATATCACATGTACAGTGCATATAAAGGGTAAAGGGACCCCTGACCATTAGGTCCAGTCGTGACCGACTCTGGGGTTGCGGCGCTCATCTCGCTTTATTGGCCGAGGGAGCCGGCGTACAGCTTCCGAGTCATGTGGCCAGCATGACTAAGCCGCTTCTGGCGAACCAGAGCAGCACACGGAAATGCCGTTTACCTTCTCGCTGGAGCGGCTCCTATTTATCTACTTGCACTTTGACATGCTTTCGAACTGCTAGGTTGCCAGGAGCAGGGACCGAGCAACAGGAGCTCACCCCGTCGCGGGGATTCGAACCGCCGACCTTCTGATCGGCAAGTCCAAGGCTCTGTGGTTTAACCCACAGCACCACCCGCGTCCCCATATACTGTATACTATACCGTAAATAGCTTTTTCTTTACCAGTCTATCTGAGCCCCTACCCTGACAGGCAGGGGCTCTCCAGGGTTTCAGGCAGGAGACAATCCCAGCCCTTCCCTGAAGATCCCATCTGGGATTGAACCTGGGACCTTCTGCATGCCAAGAAGGTGCTCTACCGCTAAGTTACAACCCTCTCTCATTTAAAATAATGGGCATGGAGAACTTGGCTCCATTCCTGTGGGTCTGCTCTTACTTGGATATAACCCTTGGAATTATCTGCCATGTCCACACCCATATATTTAAAGCACACCTCAGATAATCCTAGAGACTGTAATTTGTTAAAGGTGCTGGAATTGTAGTGCTTTGTGGAGTACAGCTCCCAGGATTCTCTGGGGGAAAGCCATATACTTTGAAGGCATGGTGTAGATTTGACCATGGTGGTCATGGTACTTGGAATTTACATTGCACTCATAGGTGGAGCATCTGCTTGATGCAATAAACCTCAGGCTTGGCCTGCCTATGAACTGGAATGAGGTGGTAGAGCCCTGAAGTGGTAGATCGCAAGTGAGGGAAATTATTATTATTATTATTATTATTATTATTATTATTATTATTTATTTATACCCCGCCCATCTGGCTGGGCCTCCCAAGCCACTCTGGGCGGCTCCCAACCGAATATTAAAAACACAATACAGCATTAAACATTAAAAACTTCCCTAAACAGGGCTGCCTTCAGATGTCTTTTAAAAGTAAGATAGTTGCTTATTTCCTTGACATCTGCTGGGACGGCATTCCACAGAGCAGGCGCCACTACCGAGAAGGCCCTCTGCCTGGTTCTCTGTAATCTCACTTCTCGCAGTGAGGAACCGCCAGAAGACCCTCGGTGCTTGACCTCAGTGTTCGGGCTGAACAATGGGGGTGGAGACGCTCCTTCACATATACTGGGCTGATGCCATTTAGGGCATTAAAGGTCAGCACCAACACTTTGAATTGTGCTCGGAAACGTACTAGGAGCCAATGCAGATCTCTCAGGGCTGGTGTTATATGGTCTCAGCGGCCACTCCCAGTCACCACTGTTGAATATGCCCCAGTATTGAGGTGGTGGTGGTGGGACCCCTTGCAAGATGAGACAAATATATCAGTGATGGAGGCCTGAACACAGCAGGGAGAAGGCTGAAATAGCTTTCTCCTTGCAGGGAGTCTTTGCACGCAAAGGAGCTTTAAAAACGTGTCACTCGGAAATCTTCCTAGGCAATTTCAGGTAATTATCATCAGGAATATTTTAGATTATATTGGATGTTTCCCTGTGTGTTCCCGTCTCCGCTGCTCCCCCCCCCGAGAATAATTTGATTTACTATGTTGTTTTACTTGCGTTTAGTAAACAAAGTGAAAGGCTTTGACACTGCCAAGCTCGCCTGAATGTGGCCATTAGCGATCAGCATCCATTCATTGTTGCTGATGAACTTGGAGGATTTCCACAGAAAAATGAAGGTGCTGAAATACTTCGCACCCGACATCACTGCCTGCTGCTATGAGAAGGTAGACTCACGGACAGAAGGGGGAATGGAAGAAGTCTTACAAAAGCTCCCCCCCCAAAAAAATGGAGCAGATACCAATCACCGGAGTTTCCAGTTTTATACAGTGGTATAAGAGGGACATGGGTGGCGCTGTGGGTTAAACCACAGAGCTTAGGACTTGCCAATCAGAAGGTCGGCGGTTCGAATCCCGGCAACGGGGTGAGCTCCCGTTGCTCGGTCCCAGCTCCTGCCAACCTAGCAGTTCGAAAGCACGTCAAAGTGCAAGTAGATAAATAGGTACCGCTCCGGCGGGAAGGTAAACAGCGTTTCTGTGCGCTGCTCTGGTTCGCCAGAAGCGGCTTAGTCATGCTGGCCACATGACCCAGGTACCGCTCTGGCGGGAAGGTAAACGGCGTTTCCGTGCGCTGCTCTGGTTCACCAGAAGCAGCTTAGTCATGCTGGCCACATGACCCAGAAGCTGTACGCCGGCTCCCTCAGCCAGTAAAGCGAGATGAGCGCCACAACCCCAGAGTCGTTCACGACTGGACCTAATGGTCAGGGGTCCCTTTACCTTTACCTTTATAAGAACATAGGATGCTGCCTTCTACTGGTTCAGTGCTGAACTGGATGGACTGATGTTCTGTCTCTGAATAATGCAGCTTCCTATTTAATCTAGCCCTTTATTCAGAATAACGAGGACTAGTATTTTAACAAAGGCTCCTCCTCCTGAAACCCTCTCATTCTGTTTAGAGAGAACATTGGTCCATCTAGCATACACTGTCTGACACACAGGCTGGCTGTGTCTCTCCAGAGACCAATGGTCCATCTAGGTCAGTACTGACTGCACCATATATCTTCAAGTTTGAAAGAGGATTAGACAAATTCATGGAGGAAAAGACTATCAATGGCTACGAGTCATGACGGCCATGCTCTGCTTCCATGGTTGGAGGCAGTAAATGTTTCTGAATACCAGTTGCCGGAAGTCCCAGGAGGGAAGAGGGCTCTTGTGCTTGGGTCCTGCTTCCCATCATGGGCATCTGGGTGGCCACTGCGAGAACAGGATGCTGGAGTAGATGGACCATTGGTCTGATCCAGCAGTGCTCTTCTTATGTTCTTATATTCTCAGACCCAGGTCCCACTTTTAATCCAAAACACGCATTTGTTAGTCTTTTCCTATATATTTGCATGGTGGTGGTGCTCCTGTTGTGACATGGATCAGGCCACAACTCAATAGTGGGTCCAAACCTACCAATTGAAGACCAATGGGCAAAGGTTACAGGCAGGGGGTGTTCCCAGCCCTATGTAGAGCTGCCCTCAGGGATTGAACCTGGGATCTTCTATGTGTAGATGCTCTGCTGAGCTGCATGGCCCTTCCCCACTCTGCCTCCTCCAAAGCAAGTTCAGGGTGAGACTCAACATGGTTGGCCCTGCATATTGACAAGGCCAGCTTCCTATGAAGGCTAAACTGCAGGCTGATCTGAGTTCCCATTTTGTCAATGGCACTTAGTCTTTTCAGTGGGAGCCCTGTGGCGGTCAAACTCACACCCTCTGGGAGAATGGCGCAGCTACCTCTCCTTCTGGTTTTGAATGGGCTTGAAAGGCATTTGACACTTGCTTCATATTTTTATGTTCTTTATACACTTTTCTGTGTTTCTATGGTTTTCATGTTTGAATTGACTTACAATTGCTTCCGATTGTTCATTTTTGGTGGGTTTTGTTAGCAGCTTTGCCAGAGGAGTTTTACCTTGAAGCTGTGATATAAATACCTGGCATTATCATGGTTATTTAATTAGACATAGAACAGCAACATGTTCCCAGTAAATGTGCATAATTCCTCAAATCGTTTTTGCCTAATTCTAGTTTTCTCGGCTGTGGGAGAAGGGCAGGCTCACTGGAGGGCTGAGAGACATGTTTAAGCCGCCTTTCTGGCTTCCTAGATTCCAGCAGTCATTTCCCGCCCACATCAAGACTAGAAACTTTATTTTTATTTTTAAATGAAAGCATTCTACACTCCTGTACCATTGCTACCTAGGTCAGCTGCTCTGATTATTGCTATTGTAATGGAAATGAGAATGAGGTCTTTAAAGCTCTCTAAGTATTCCTCCTTATTCTACCTGAAACAGTTTCTCAATTCTCATACAAATGACTTCAGAAAGGAAAAGGAAAGAAGAGTCTTCTTGGCTGCGGGGGCGGGGGCGGCGGGGGAGGATACCCTGTTTCGGATCTGTAAGGGTTTCTGAAGACTTTTAAAAATAAAAAAATAAGGCGTAGGTTGGAGTCAGCACCAGATATCAGAAGGGAGAGAGGCGTGTTTATAAATAGCAATTCATATCATTGCACCCACTTCATATTGTTTTAGAGATGAAACGTTCCACATTGCTAACTGGGAGGCTTTTTTAATATAAAAAAAGGGGGAATCACAAATATTGTGGAACCTTGTCTTTAAGGTTTTTGTGAGAGCTCAGGCACCTGACAGTAAGAATTAAGACCCCTTGAAATGTACCCGGCAATTTCAGAATCACTTGTATAATCCCTCTGCTACCAAAAGGAAAAAGAAATGCAAACACTGCAACAATACAGTGATCCCACCACTTATGCCGGGGGTTACATTTCTGCGTATATGTGAAATCGCGTAAAGCAGGGAGGGCACTGTTTATTAGAGTGTGATGCTGATAATGCCAGGGTTGCAGGTTTGATCCCCGCACGGGACAGCTGCATTTTCCTGCATTGCAGGGGATTGGAGTGGAGATGGTTCTTAGGGTCCCTTCCAACTCTTGTGATTCAATGATTCACTATGATTTCTTTTAAAAAGAAAGAGAAGTCTCCCTCCTCCACCTGTTACCTGTTTTCTCAAAGTAGTTTTCACTCCCAAACAGCAGCGTAAAGGTGGCTTCCCATTGCGTTAAGAGGGTGCTGGTTAGAAGCTGGTTTTTGCGTGCTCTTTGCTCAACCCCATTACATTGCAATCAAATGGTCCACTCCAGAACACCAGTTTTATGTGGCACCAGAGAATCCCTCTTCCAGCACCGATCGATCTTAACAAAATTAATGTTCTCACTGTAATTGCATTGGCCAAATGGAATCAACTAGTGGGAGACCTTTGCTATAGCTCAAAAGAGTTGGCCGTATTGCATCTGTCTGGGGAGCCAAGAAGTCAGGCTGTGCTCATAGGAGTGAGTCCATGTCTTGGTCGTGATGCAGCAAAAAGTTCTGAAACGGGCTTGCGTACAACTGGGCTTCTCGGAGGTCATCCTGTTCTCAGAGTGGCCAAGCAGATACCCGCCCAAATGGGGCAGGACCTGAGCCTAACACTACTATCCAGTTGTTTTTCCCACTCTCTGATATTCAGAGGTAGCCTAACCCTGGGCACGGAGGTTATATTCCCACAAAAGACCACATGAATTGGAGCAGTGGCTCATCTTGTCCAGCACACTGTTCTCACAGTGGCCAACCAGATGCCCCAATGAGAAGCCTACAAGCTAAGGGCAGCAGTAGCACTCTTCTCACTTATGATTCCCAGCAAACTCGTATTCAGAGGCTTAATGCCTCTGAAAGTGGAGGTAGAACATCAGAAGCTGCCTTATACAGAGCCAGACCAAAGGTCCATTGAACTCAGTATTGTCTTCACTGACCGGCAGTAGCTCTCCAAGGTTTCTGATGGGCCTTCTACCTGGAGATGGGGTTTAAAAATCAGCCTCTCTTCCCTGGGGAACTCTGGGAACTGTAGCTCTGTGAGGGATATAAAGGTAAAGGGACCCCTGACCATTAGGTCCAGTCGTGGCCAACTCTGGGGTTGCGGCGTCCATCTCGCTTTATTGGCCGAGGGAGCCGGCGTACAGCTTCCGGTTCATGTGGCCAGCATGACTAAGCCACTTCTGGCGAACCAGAACAGCATACGGAAACGCCGTTTACCTTCCCACCGGAGCGGTACCTATTTATCTACTTGCACTTTGAAGTGCTTTTGAATTGCTAGGTTGGCAGGAGCTGGGACCGAACAATGGGAGCTCACCCTGTTGCGGGGATTCAAACCACTGACCTTCTGATCAGCAAGTCCTAGGCTCTGGTTTAACCCACAGCGCCACCCGCGTCCCTTGTGAGGGATATAGGGATCTGCAAAAAACACTTAGCACACCCCTTCAGCTATGGTTTGCAGGGTGCTTTGGGGAAAGCCAAGGCTGTTGGTAGGATACTGCTTTAATAATAATAATACTGTATATTACTACTTTAATAATACTGTATATTATTACTGTTATTTTGAATTATTTTATTTTGTTATGTACAACGATACAAAGAGTGAGAGATACAGAAATGAACAATGCCTTTCCTGTTTGATATCATATGGCCTGCAACTTAAGAAAGAAAATTATGCAGAGAAATGGTTATTGCAGAGAGATAAAAACAATGCCACGAGTAATAAGATAATGATGCCACAGAAGCACAGCAGAGCAGTCAGTGATAAGTCCTGGACAACATAGAATTACAGAAAAATAAAGTTGGAAAGGGCCCTGAGGGTCATCTCATCCAACATACTGCAATGCAGGAATCAAATCCAGATAAAATCATACTTGAATGAATTACCACCATTTAGCTGCATAGTCTATAGGTTTGGCATTACCTCTGGAAACTCGTAAAGAATGAGCGAGTTTTTCTGACGTTGCAGTAAATAAGGTACTAAGGTCAAAAGGCCAAGTTAGTCCTCCATCCCTGGGCATTGCTTTGTCAAAGAGTTTAATTTATCCGCTCTACTTTGAAATCCTGAATAGCAAATCCTAAGTAATTTATGATGCTAGAGGAAAATTTGGCAAGGGGGGGGGAAGCTGCCAATGGTAGGCGATTTTTAAAATGAAAACACAGAGAGACAGTGAGAACAGAGGAGCAGCACCTTCTAGTGGTAGGAGGGAAAACAATGCAGGAGACAAACCCCTAGAGGAACGTGACAAAAAAAACAAAAAAAATTAAGGCTGCCTGGATCCATGCTTTGGCTCTGGAGCTGCAAAATCAATTCCATGCCCTCACCTCGGACACAGATTCTCAACCGGAGAAGAATTTCCGTGTGCTGCTCTGGTTCGCCAGAAGCGGCTTAGTCATGCTGGCCACATGACCCGGAAGCTGTACGCTGGCTCCCTCGGCCAATAAAGTGAGATGAGCGCCGCAACCCCAGAGTTTCATTTCCTGGAAGGTCAAAGAAGCAACAAGGGAGTCATCTGTATTGGACCTGGTCCTCACCAAGAGAGAGTAATTGATCAACAAAGTGGAAGTACTAGGAAGCTTGGGAGGAAGTGATCATGTCTTTCATTATGCACTGGCAAGGGTGTAATTGGACATGAACTCTGGACTTGAAGAAAGCTGATTTCCAGAAGCTTAAGGAACTACTGGGTGTAGTCCCATGGTCAGAAATATTCAAAGAGAAGGGAATCAAAGATGGATGGGAGTTGTTGTTGTTCCATGTCTTTATAAATGACTTGGATGAAATTGAGGGGATGTTCATCAAATTTGCAGATGACACCACACTGGGAGGGATAGTTATTGTCACAGAAGACAGAATCAGGATTCAAGATGACCTTAACAGATTGGAAAACTGGGACCAAACTGAGGACTCAGCTAGGCTGGCAAAGAAAAAGTTATTTATATGCGTTGTATGTGCAATATAACATTGTGCCACCAGATGGCGACATGGAGTCCCATTTTTCTCTACCTGTTTTCCCTGTTTAAATTTACACTGCTTAAACCTGAAATGCTTCTTTGATGTGTCTAGATCCAGCCTAACAAAACGAATTTCAATAGGGACGAGCTGCAGCAGTATAAGATGCAGGATGCCTGAATTGCCAGTAGTACAGGTGAAAGAGATCAAGGGGTCTTAGTAGACCACAAGCTTCCCATGAGTCAACAGTGTGATGCAGCAGCAAAAAAAGCTAATGCCGTTCTAGGCTGCATCAAGAAATCAAAGGAAGTCATAGTACTGCTCTATTCCACCTTGGTTAAACCACACTTGGAAAGACCGTAGTCCATCATACAAACCTGCCTGGGTTCTGAGATCTTCAAGGGAGGCCCTGCTCTTGGACCCAGTACCCTCCCAGGCACACATGATGGGCACATAGGAGAAGGCACCGTTCCTAGAGAACCTAAACAGGCTCCTTCCTTGCTGTCCTTCTGTTAGCAGGTGAAGACCTTTTTGTTCCAACAGGCTTTTGGGAATTACCGTATTTTTTGCACCATAACACTCACTTTTTTCCTCCAAGAAAGTAAGGGGAAATGTCTGTGCGTGTTATGGAGGAAATGCCTACGGGTGGCATGCCTACGGATTTTCCTCCTCTAAAAACTACATGTGTGCTATGGTTGGGTGCGTGTTATAGAGCGAAAAATACGGTAACTGGCTTTTTGGAAAGGGCCTGTTCTGTTACGTATTTATTGTAACTATCTGTATATGTTAATAGAGCTGAGAGAGAAAGAGAGATTTTATTCTAATTAGTGTTTAATTGCTTTTTAATGATTGTTTCCTATGTTTTTAGCTTTTCCTATTTTATCTGTAAGCTGCCTTGAGTACCTTTCCGGCAGGGAAAGGTGGGATGTAATAACAATAGTCATATCACCACCCTGGAGACAAACTGGAATGGATTCAAAACCAGACATATAATCTAAATTTCAATCAAGCTTTCTGCAGACAAATCAGGATGCATGTTGAATAAATAGGTTGCTGGAGGGAACCCCCAGTCTGCAAAAAAAGGGGTTTAACTTTGAGGTTAACAGTAAGTCTTTGTGCCAGAGGCGATGGACCACTCTCCATTGTTGCTCCCCTTCTGTTAGCCAGGGAGTGAAACAATGCACGCATTTCGTGTTGAGCGGCAGATTCTCCTCCCCACCTCCAGGCTGAGGAAACTCTACTCCAACATGAAATATTGATTTTCCTGGGCTGCGGCTCAACTCCCCTCGCCAATGTGGGCGAGAGGCTCCCTGCAAAAACGCCAGCCTACATTATTCATTGCCGGCATAAATGGGACCCTGCCTTCCTGGGACTGAAAACAAGGCCAGTTACTTTTACTCCTCTTGGCCCAAAGACTGAAAGAGGAAGATGGGGGGGGGGGGAGGCTTAGTTGCTGCCAACTTTGCACTTACTCCTATGTGTTGGATCCCAAGAAGGAATGTGTGTCTTAGGGCAGGAAATTAAGGTCATAGAATCATAAGATTGGAAGGGACCCAAAAGGTCATTTAGTACAACTTCCTGCAATGTAGAACTCACAGCTAAAGAATCCCAGATGGCCACCCATTAAAATCCTCCAAGGAAGGAGAGTCCACTGCCTCCCAAGGGAGACCATTCCACTGTTGAACAGCTCTTACTGTCAGAAAGTTCTTCCTGATCTTTAGTCAGAATCTCCTTTCTTGTAACTTGAATCCCTTGCTTTGAGTCCTGCCCTCCAGAGCAGGAGAAAACAAACTTGTTCCCTCTTCCATGTGACAGCCCTTGAGATATTTTAAGATGGCTATCATATCTCCTCTTAAGTCTCCTCTTTTCCAGGCTAAACAGACCTAGCTCCTTCAACCGTTCCTCATAAGGCTTAGTTTCTAGACCCTTGGTTATCTTGGCTGCCCTCCTCTGCACACATTCCAGCTTGTCAGTATCCTTAAACTGAGGTCACCCCAACTGGACACAACTATCCAGGCATGGTCTGACCAAGGAAGAAAAGGAAATAATAACTTCCCTTGATCTGGACACTAAACATCTATTGAATATGCCGAGAATGACATTAGCCCCTGCCTACTCATGATATCTCCTCAGAAGGTCAGCGGTTCAAATCCCCGCGACGGGGTGAGCTCCCGTTGCTCTGTCCCTGCTCCTGGCAACCTAGCAGTTCGAAAGCACGTCCAAGTGCAAGTAGATAAATAGGTACTGCTCCGGCGGGAAGGTAAATGGCGTTTCCATGTGCTGCTCTGGTTCGCCAGAAGCGGCTTAGTCATGCTGGCCACATGACCCGGAAGCTGTACAGCGGCTCCCTCGGCCAATAAAGCGAGATGAGCGCCGCAACCCCAGAGTCGGTCACAACTGGACCTAATGGTCAGGGGTCCCTTTACCTTTACTCATAATATGGAGTGTGAAATTTTCCAATTCAAAATCTGTAAACCACCCATTGCTGCCCCCACCCCCGGATGCTATACAGTCAGTATATTGCAGCTAACTCAGTTCTACTCAGAGAAAACCCATTGCAATTCATGGATCTAAGTGAGTCATGCCCTTCAATTTCAGTGGGTCTGCCTTGGGGTGTTTTGGTTCCATTTTGCTTACAGTGGTGCCTCGCAAGACAAAATTAATTCGTTCTGCGAGTTTTTTCGTCTTGCGAAGCACGGTTTTAACGGTATTAACGGTTTTAAGAAAAAGGAAACAAACTCGCAAGACGTTTTCGTCTTGCAAAGCAAGCCCATAGGGCAATTCATCTTGCGAAGCAACTCAAAAAACGAAAAACTCTTTCGTCTTGCAAGTTTTTCGTCTTGCGAGGCATTCGTCTTGCGAGGTACCACTGTATTACACTTCCCTGATTTTGAGCTGAAAGTGCTGGAACATACTTTCTCCCCCCGACAGCACCCACCAAGAAAAAAATACCCACTTTTGTTTGGGAGGCTTTTCCTGCATTGTTTGCTTTCCCCGCCCCCCCCCCCGTCAACTTTACAATGCAATGCTTGAGTTGTTGTTGCTGCTGCAGTTGAGAGGGCTTTGTAGCACTTGCTGAAAATACTCTCTCTCCGTAAGCAAATCCTAGCCTGGAATGTGCTGAGCCTGTGTGTACCCATTTACTATTTTAAAAAATGGTTTGGGCGTCGATATGTCATTCTGAAAAGCATGCATGGGGAACCTGGTGCCCCACAGATGTTGCTAGAATCTCATGATACGTTTAGGGAAAGACCCATTGCCTGAAACCCTGAAGAACAGCTGCCAATCATTGTGGACAATATTGAGCTAAATGGAGTAAGTGTTCCAATTCAGTGGAAGGCAGCTTCCATTGTCCCTGTCTGCATTTACCGTATTTCCCATTATTCCTATAAAAAGGAACATATTGCTTTGCTACCCAAATCTATCAGGCTACAGACAATTAGCATATGTAGCCTGAAGACTGTGGCTGAGTCATAATTTGAGTCAGACCTGCTTCTGCTAGGATTTGTACAACTGCTGGAAACATGGCCAGTTTTGCAGCAAGAGCCACACACACAAAAATATACTGGTAAAGTCTGTATGTTGCCAGAGTTTTAAAATAAAACTGGGAAGACCCATAGTTCAGTGACAGAGCATCTGCTTTGCATGCAGAAGGTCCCAAGTTCGATACCCAGCAGCATCTCCAAGAAGGACTGGGAAGACAGATCCCCTGCCTGAAACCCTAGAGGGCTGCTGCCAGCCAGTGTAGACAGTACTGAGCTGGATGGACCAATGGTCTGACTCTGGATAAGGCAGCTTCTTATGCTCTTATTTAAAACCAGTCATTTCTTCAGAACATTGAGGACTGGAATCTTACTTAACTTTTAAAGGGCTACAGCTCAGTGGCAGAGCACATGTTTTGCATGCAGAAGGTCCCAGGTTCCTCTCCAGGTAGGGCTGACAATGGAAAACCTGAAGCACAGCTGCTGGTCAGTGTAGGCAATACTGAACTAGATGGACCAGTAGTCTGGTTTGATATAAGGCAGCTTCCTATGTTCCTGAAATATGGAAGGCAAGGTAGGAACAGTTGCTGCTGTCTAAGTAATACCCTGAGACCTCCCACCATTTACGATCTGTGGCTTTTCAAAAGCCTTCTGTGGTTCCATTCTAACGAGGCATCATGAAGCTAAGCGATGAGCTCTGCTGGAGCTCTCAAGAAAGAACTGGCAATGTGCCCTACAATATTTTTGCCTCTCCATCCTCTCAGCAAAGCAACTAGCAGGCTGTATTCTTGTGCAAATATTTGGCACGTAGGTTGCAGCCTAGAATTTCTGTTGCACCCATCATGCAGAATTCTGAGTTGTGGTTCTAGACTGCACCACTTCCTAGAAGGGTGGACTTTAGAATCATAGAATCAAAGAGTTGGAACAGACCTTGGGGGTCATCTAGTCCAACCCCCTGCAATGCAGGAATATAGTATGCAGCTGTCCCATATGGGGATGGCGTTTTCAGCACCACACTAACCAACTGAACTATCCATGCTTTTTTTAAAAAGGAAAAGAAGCAGCATTCTGTGACGCACAATGTTCAATGCCTTTAAAGGCACACTAACCCCTACACCATACTAGCTCTGATACATTAGTCCCGTCCCACCCCCAATACCATTTTGGGCAAATTAAAACCTTTCAGTTTTTGTCTCCCTCACCCCCCACTGCAGTTCACAGAGGAGAAGTTTGGCCAGGCCGAGAAGACAGAGTTGGATGCCCACTTTGAAAACCTCCTGGCCCGAGCAGACTGCACCAAGAACTGGACAGAGAAAATCTTACGTCAAACTGAAGTCCTCTTGCAGCCAAACCCTAGTAAGCACCTCTTTAGGTTTTGGAGAAATTGATCCATTGGGTGTCATGGGTGGGGGCCCCCTTGGCTCTGTCAGGATCTGGCATAGTTTGGCAGCCCCAGATGTAAGGAGGAGGAAGGAGCACATGATGTGGGGCCTGGAAGGCTGGCATCTAGGGATGGAGAGAGGAGGTCCTCTCCTTGTAATCATTGTTGTCGAAGAGGAGGAAGCAGATCTGCCACCTCTCTCCACCACCCTGTGCAGAGCCCCTTTCATATTTGCCACTAGCCCCAAATGTTGTTTTGTTTTGCTTAAAGCATTTCTTAACCACACCTCATTAAAGAGATTGCAAGGCAGCAGGCAAAAGCGCGCGCACACACACACAAAAATGAATCCGTACAGCATGTAAAAGCCATTTCAAGTAACACAGAACCATAATGGACGACCGCAAGCCTAAGATTTAAAAACATAAAAAGCTTAAGTACTGTATTGTGGTTTTGTTTTTTGTTTCGTAAAGTAAAAACAACAAGAAATCATCCAAATTGGCTAAACAAATAGCAGGGTCTCCAACCCGCTTCCAAAAAGCTTGTAAAGTCTACAAGCCAGCCTTTCGGGGGTGGGGGGTATTCCAAAGTTGGACACTGTCATAGAGGCACTTTTCATTGTACAGTCATGCCTCGTGTTGCGTTCGCTTCATGTTGTGTCTTTTCGAGTTACGTCCCGCAGCAACCTGGAAGTACCGGAATGGGTTACTTCCGGGTTTCACCACTTGCGCATGCGCAGAAGATCACGCTTTGCACATGCACAGAAGCACCAAATCATGCCGCGCGCCTACGCAGATGCAGCACTTCGAGTTGCGGGCATTTCACATTACGGACGGGCCTTCGGAACAGACCCTGGTCCGTAACACGAGCTACCACTGTACAATTAAAGAATTAATCTAAAAACGTTGGCCATCCCTGCTGAAGTGCCTGCGTCACTGGCTCTGCAGGCTTTTTTTTTTTTTAATGATATTTATTGAGAATTTAAAATTACAGAGAGAGAAAGGAAAAAACAAGAAAAAAGAAAAGGAAAAAAGGTATACAAAAAAGAGATTAAACAATATAAGTCAATAAAAACAAAAGTAAAAAAAAAACAAAAAAAACAAAACACATCAATACATCAGAATCAAAAAAACAAAAATAAACAAAAAATTTAAAAGCAAATCCAATATTCCCAAATCCTTATCTTTCATTAACTTGTTTCATCGACCTCCTCATACCTCCCTTTTTGTATTCTAGTTATTAATTATCTCAGCAAATCCTTTCCATCTTTCACAATATTCTGTCATTAAATTACCTTAATCTATTTTAACCTTATCTTACCATAAAAACCCTAAAGCTTAAAACTTAAATCTTATTTATACCTAATTCTTTTTAACAAAACATATTTATACATAATTCTTTTTAACTTTTCTACTAAAGCCAAATAGTTTCATTCCAACATTTTTCTAATACTCATTAATTTTACAATGATTTTCTAAATGAATTTTTAAAACTTTCTTCCAATCTTCATCCGTCGTCTCTTCTTCCTGGTCTCGGGTTTTGTCAGTCCTTTCTGTTCCATCCATCTAGTCCATCAACCTGGTGACCTTCTATCCGAGGCTCTTAAGTCTTTTCCATGTCCCTTCTGCAGGTCTTCTTCATGTTTATACCTGCACTTTACTTTATCTTCTGCTGATCTTATTCTTAATTTCCTTCCTTTCTCTCGGGAGACTCCAACTTGACAATATCTTTATCCCTTCTCGACAAGTCAGCCCATTCTCCATAGTCGACACTGAAATCCAAAAGATATTTAAAGGCATGTTTCAAAGTCCCTCCAAGATTAAGGGCCCCCACAACTCCGAACTCCCCCTGGCCCAAAGCCAGATCCGAAAAGTCAGAACATCCCTGCATAGGGGGATCTATCCAACTTCCCGTCTCCAGACCAAACAGTACTCCATCTCTCCAAATCTGACTTTCTCCAGGTTCAGTCGTCAAAGACAGCAATTTATGTTCCTGCAAGGCCGCAGCTCTCTCCATTTCTGGTACTTGAGGTTCAGCAACTACCTCCTCCTTTATCTTCTTCGCCACTTGCTCTGTCAAAGCACATTCCTGGATTGATTCCTGAGTGGTTTCTATATAAGTATTCACTGTTTGTCCAAGATTTCCAACTGCAACAGTCATCAAATCCATCTTCTCATGTAGCTGTTCCAGTAAAGCACTTGCCTTGCAAAAAGCAAGCACTAAAGCTTCTTCTGGGCACATTCTTATTCAAGGTTGGTGTCTAGTTCCCACGATCTTTTATCTCTACAGCTGTAGAATTCCCCAGATTGACTCCAGCAACAGTTTCACAAGCTCCCTCTAGAGGAAACAATTTCTATTTGTATCCGTCTTTTTAAAAGCAGATCTAGCGACAAAGTTCCTTTCGTTTTCCAGATATTTTGTTCCTTTTAAGTGCAAAAGGGAACATTAGAATCAATATGTTTCTTTTTTTTAACTATCTGTCAAAAACGTTTTGTCCACAGTCAATGAACTTCCCCAAAGTGTCTGTCTCTGACACCCCGCTCCCAGGATCAAGACGGTGGAAATTTATCTTTCTTTACTCTCTCTTCTGCAGGTTTAAACAGTCTAAAAAGATTCCCCCCTCATCTCCTGCTTCCAAGGGGGGTTTAGTGATTTTAACTGATGGAAATTTAGTCCTTTACAAACGACTTTCCAGACTCTAGCTTGCAATGTCTTTGCTTCAATCTATTTACAAAAGCGGAAGGCGGATTTCCTGTTTAGACCTTCCCGCTTCGGTGCCAAATTAAAAAGTTTCTTAATCCAATTTTCCGTTCTACTCACGGGCAGTTGTTTAAAATCCAATTGTCCACAGGAAAAAGTCAGCGCTCTCCGGCAACAGCAATGCGGCTTCACTCCGTGAAAAAAGCAGTCGATTCAAAGCACTATGCCATTCACCCCACGTCGCTCCGGATCCCCGAAACCGGATTTCCCTGCGAGTAGGGGAGGCGCAAAAGGTGCCAGCCGAATCCCACGTCCACAGGCTTCTCCCGCCTGTGGTTTTTAATGGGTCTCCGCCTCTCCGCGGCGGTCCAGACCCTAGTTCTCACGAAGCGGATTTCTCCTGGTCAGAGGAAATCCGCCATTGCCGGAGGCGCTAACCCGGAAGTCCCCTGGCTCTGCAGGCTTGACTTCTCCCCAGAGAGACAATATATTTTCCCAAAATGCTTTCAGGACCTAACACAATCTCTTTTTTCCCACCCACCAGGTGCCAGAGTTGAAGAGTTCCTTTATGAGAAGTTGGACCGAAAGGTGCCCTCTCGGGTCACCAACGGGGAGCTCCTGGCTCAGTATATGATTGAGGCAGCCAATGACTTTGGCCCTAATTCCCCTTATGGTGAGTTTTGTGGACATAGCACATAGCTTTTTGGAGAAGATAAAGGTTGGTGAGTCTCTCATCAAGCCTTACCGCCATTGTATCTTCAGGGATGTGCAGAGGACTTGCATGTGGAGGTTGGTGGTTGCTGTGAAAAAATGGTTGGCTAAACAAGCCATACTAAGTCTTTGGACTGCCACTACTTCCTGCCCATAAAGCAGATGAGGCAATGCTATTGTTGGTAGCCTCTAACTCTCCAGCAGGCCCCAGCCAAAATGGCCAGAAGTCAGGCACAATGGGAGTGGCAAACTCTCCAAATGTGGGTGGCCTTTTCCTGGTCATCCTGCGACAGAGAAGGCAAGTTTGGGGTCCCCTACATCCCTTTTGCTCATCTGAAGAGTTCTGCTTCTACAAAAATCAATAAACGTTCTTTTGCCGCAGCCAGAACCTCCTGAAATTTGTACTCTCGGACAATCAGGCACGAATTTGCCTGTTCTCTCTGCTCTGGTGCTCCTCAATTTGATTATGTTGGGTTCTTGCAAAATCCATTACGGCCCCGAGGCTCAAGTTAATGATCTCGGTCTCCTGTAATTGCATGGTGATCACACCCACACCCAAACACCGGAGACTCCACGCAACTCCCTTTAGCCCATCCAAATGAAAATGGCTGCAGTCTGGGAGTGGTGCAATATTGCTTGGGGATGTGACCTCATTCTTCGGCCTGTAATCACTGCTCCCCCTTCACATTATTGCAACTCAGCCAAAATCAGTCTAACTGAAATAACTATTCAGTCTCCTCCTGACTAACCCTTGCCTTAGTTTCCTGCCTTCCTGTTACTCTCCCCACCCTCGCTAAAGCAGGGGGGTGACTCCCTCCTGACTCCTGCCCTTTTCTTTTTTAAGAAATATATTATTGATGTAAATCAAACAAATCAATACAATAAAAACAAACAGAAGTGCAAAAAAGCAGTGCACTATACTGTATCTGGGAGTGACAAAACATTAGGTTGGTAAAATACTTAAGACCATCAGGAAAGCCCAATTTCACGTTGTACTGTGGAGATGGAATCCTGGGCATCCTCATTTCTTGTTTATGAGATATAATCGCATCAAACAGCATAGGATTTTTTTCAGGATCCTCCAAGCCTTTATGCACATAATTTATGAGTGTGTTCCCCCCCCCGAGCAAGTATAAAACTCTGCATTTTTTTAAATTACAAACTGAAAGTCTCAAGTTCTGCAAGGTTTTTCCATATGGGGACCATTGAGCTTCCGGTAGCTGCCAGTTTCCATGTCAAGAGTTCCTGAGAGTTGAAACCTTTCAGTTTATCAACCCATAGATTTAGTTAACAAAGCTGTGGTGAAGTTGGAATGGGATGTTTGAGTATTTTGGTCATTTCTTGGCAAGCCATTGTCCAGAATTGGAATACAGTGGTACCTCGCAAGACGAAAAACTCGCAAGACGAAAGAGTTTTTCATTTTTTGAGTTGCTTCGCAAGACGAATTTCCCTATGGGCTTGCTTCGCAAGACAAAAAACGAAAACGTCTTGCAAGTTTGTTTCCTTTTCAATGCATTCCTATGGGAAACCGTGCTTCGCAAGATGAAAAATTCGCAAGACGAAAAAACTCGCAGAACGAATTAATTTCATCTTGCAAGGCACCACTGTACTTGTGGGCAGCCTCACCATAGATGGAGAAAGGTTCCTTTCCTCCCACAATCCCTCCAACAGCTATGAGGAGATTGTGACATAGAGGCAATTTGCGCTGGTATGTAGCGCCACCCGCATAGGATTTTTATGGAATACTCTCACATGAGCTCAGGCAGACGTATATGGTTTGGGTTATTACAGCACGGGTGGCGCCTAGGGCTTGCTGATCAGAAGGCCGGCAGTTTGAATCCCCGCGATGGGGTGAGCTCCCGTTGCTCAGTTCCTGCTCCTGCCAACCTAGCAGTTCAAAAGCACATCTTCCATATAAGTTTAAAGCTGGTATAAATATCTACTAATTCTGCACATGTACCTGACACCAAACCTTTTTTTGCCCTTTTGACCTTGAGCTAATAAAAGTGCCCTGAACCACCATTGTCACCTCTCGCCTGCGGAGAGGTGGAGCTGTCCTGACACAGGTGAAGATGTTTGCTCAGGTCAGCTGCCTGAAGTCCCTTTGCTGTGTCTTCTCTCTCGCAGGGAAGACCCTCATCAAAGTTGGTGAAACAGAGCGGCGCTTGGGTGGAGCAGAGAGGGACTTCATCCACTCTGCCTCCATCAACTTCCTCAGCCCTCTGCGCAATTTCCTGGAGGGTGACTGGAGAACTATTTCGGTAAGTGGCTGGGGCTCAGAGCACCTGTTTTGCATGGAGAAGGTCCCAGGTTCAGCCCTCAATGGCACCTCCAGGTAGGGCTGAGGAATATCCCCTGCCTGGCATCCTGGAGACCCACTGCCAATCTGGGTGAACAATACTGAGCTAGGTGGACCAATGGTCTTGTTCAGTATAAGGCAGTCTCCTGTGTTCCTGTTTAATTCAGTCCGTTCTTCAGAACTCTGAGGACTAGAATCTTTATGCTTAGGCAAAGGGCTGTAGCTTCTCACTTAGGGGAAGGGCTGCCTAAATCCTGGAAAGCCCCTGCAAATCAATGAAGGCAATATTAAGCTAGGTCCTGACTCAGTAGAAGACAGCTTCCTATGAGAAGGCCAGTTTTGTGGCAGTGAGAGAGAGGAGTTGACTTCTGAGACATTTTCAAAGAGATGAGAGGGGGTTAATTAATGTCTAGGAGAAATTAAATAAATGCTCCGATATTTTCCGACCAAGAAATAAGTTGTGTTAGACCGGCATCTGTGCCATGGGTGGTAGTGAGTCCACCGGTGGAAATCAATGGACCTAACTTAGTCATGTTCATTCATTTCATGGGCTCTGCTCTGGGTAAAACTTGGCCAAATACCACCTCAGTCAGTTCAAAGCACATGCATGCCCCCCCAAAGAATCCTGGGAATTGTAGTTTAAGAGCACTGGGAATTGTAGCTCTCTAGGGGGAAGCTGTTTTAATTCCTGCTTGGTTTTATAGCTTTTAATTGGTTTTCTTTTTTCTTTCATCTTTGCAAACCACTTAGAGACTATTGCAGTTGGGTCACTTTAAAAGAGGATTGGATGCGTTAATGGGAGACAGATAAGGCTATCAGTGGCTACTTGTCACAAAGACTATTATGCTCTGCCTCCAGGACCAGAGGCAATAACACTTTAACACAGCAGTTTCTGCTAACCACAGGAGGGGAGAGGGCTCTTGAGGGCTTCCTATTGGGGCACCTGGTCAACCACTGTGAGAACAGAAGGCTGGACTAGATGGCTCTCCTTTAGCCTGATCCTGCAGCCAGGCTCTTTGAATGTTCTTATGTAGCTATGCAGTAAGAAAAATGAGCCTTTTTCCTTTTGCAATCTTGACTCTTCTCCCCACCCTTCCCTTCTTCCTTCCCAGAAGGAGAGACGGATCCTGCAAAACCGCCGTCTAGACCTGGATGCGTGCAAAGCAAGGCTGAAGAAAGCAAAGGCTGCAGAGGCCAAAGCAGCGGTAATGCTCCTCTCCTCTCCTCCCCACTTACTTCCTTGTTGACAATCCTCTCGTGTGTTTTATCCCCCCTCTTTCTCACCCACGTAGTCTTTTTACTCATGCCTGCATGTGACAGATTCCAACATGTGCTCTGCTACTCCACCCCCCTCTGGTGGGCCTGAATCTCTTCTGAACTGCATGCAATGCATCATCTCGGGAGGGGAGGAAGGGTTAGGATGTCTGAACTCTCCTCTCTCCTTCCCTGACCCCCACCACATACCTGCAAGCCGGAGTGAGTAATAGAAAAGTTTTCAGCAGGTTGACACAGAAGGTGCCTGTTGAATCTCCAGTGGCAGAGAGTTCCACAGGACTGGGTCAATGACATTAAAGGCTCAGTTTCTCATTATGGTCAGAAGAACCTCACCAACTAAAGTGGTCCCTGAGGCACCCTGGACATGAGTGGTTCAGGGCTCTTTGTACATTAATACAAGGGCCTTGAACATGGCTCATTAGTGAGAGGCCAGCCACTTTTTAACTCAACCAATTACCCCTGCCCTATCTAATGTGTCTGCATTTGGCACTTGCTGTGGGATTCTGCATCTAAAGTCATATGCGCCTAGGTGGTCCTTCAGAAAGCCCAGTCCTCTAAGTGGGAGGTGATAGGATCTAGGTTGCAGCACCAAGTGTGGGCTTGAGTGTGAATTAGAGTAGCTGAACTCTTACTTTCCTCCAAGAGGAGGCAGATTCCTGCAGAACAGCTGGAATGAAGTTGTTGGGGGACGAGGTGTTTGTACCTCATCTCCACACCCTGCATTAAAAATGGGCAAGTCTGCCATTTTTTGGTACATAAAACAGGCCAGGCACACAATGGAGAGATTGAATGTCACAGTCAGACCCTTAACTGATCACTGTCATTGTCGGAAAGGCTTGACCCCAGTTTTGGGCTGAGCAGTGGTTGTTTGTAGGACTTAAACTCTTGACACCTTTAATGCATCTTGAGTTTTATGTTACATATTAGCTGACGGGGGGAAAGGGTAGAGCTGGGATCCAGTGTCACAAGGAGGCTGTGCTCAGTTCTTCCAGCCCCTACTGGTTGTAGGAAAGAAGCTGTTCGCCATGGTACCAATAGCCAATTCCCTCCTGCAAGAGTCAGAAGCTAGAGGGGAGGGGAGATTTTAACCAGGGCTGTGTGTTGCACAGAGGAAAACCTTCAACCAATGTAGGTGGGGACCTGTGGCCCTCCTGATGGGCTGAACTCCAAATACTGTCAGCGCCCAACCAGCATAGCCAGTAGTCAGGGATGATGGGAGTTGTAGTCCAACAATATTGGGCGGCAGGGGCACAGTTGTTTTAACAAAAAGCAAAACCGACCCAGACATCTATAAATGCAATAATGCATTTAACGTGATGTTGCTTCTTTATTCCACCTTACCCATTCTGTTCCGACCAAACTTCAGATATCCGACTGGCTGATTCCACATAGGTTGTCAAGAACTATTAGCTTACTAGGTTGCCAAATACACAAGTTGGCCCTAGTGCTTCTGGTTCTTAGGGTTGCCTGCTTACTAAAAACCATGATGACAATAATAATAATAAAAAACTCGCCCAGTTTCCTATTTATACCACACACACACACACACCTCTGGCTCTCCAGATGTTGGGACTTCTGACTCCCACCAGGTTAGCCAGCATGGCGAATACTCAGGAACAGTGGGAGTTGTCGTACAACAATGTCTGGAGGGCTAAGGTTTCCCTCTCCCCCCTCCCTGCAAACTGAGTGCCTGTTACAGGGTGAGGCCACATTCTAGCCAACCTCTCTGATAACAGCACATTTTGTCAAAAGTCTCGTCCTGTTTTTTCTAGGGCTTAAAAATAATAATTGCAGGGGATTGGGAGGTTTACACTGAAACTGTACTGAGTGTGGCGCGTAATAAAGTAGTTGCAGCTACCACCTGAACAGGGAAAACGATTGTGTGAACTTGCCTTTTTTGCTAGAACTGAAAAGTGTTTGGTTTGAAGCACCAGCTTCTCTTGTGTTCCGACCCCACACCACCCTCTCTCTGGGGCTTGCCTGCCATTATCCCTCCCCTATATCCCCCCTTGGTCCCCAGCCTTTCAATAGGAGGAGCCTGAAAGAAACACACCTCCATCCCACATTCTCTTAAATCCAGTCACCCAAAACTAAGGGAGGGTGAATCTGACCATTTCAGCTGGAAGGAGTGAATCTTTCAATAGGAGTGCTGTCAATTTCTGCTTATCTCTGGTTCCTGATATTTCCGGTCTTAAATCCAGTTCTCCACTTTTCCACATCAATATGATAATATATATATTTTAAAGTCTTCGTGAAAATTCAGCAGCATGAAATTTTCATGCAAATTTCTCATACACACACACACACACACACACACACACACACACACATATATATATATATATATATATATATATATATATATAACTTTTGCATATTTCCTCCTCTTATAACACCACCTTTTTATGCTGCATTTCACTAATACATGCATTTATCTGTACACACTTGACCTCAGTAAATGGTTTTTTGTACACGTTACTAGGCTGGAGAACTGAATTGCAAAATTTGGATAATTATTGAAGGCTGGGTGTGTTTCAGTTTCCACACTGTTTTGGAAAGTGCAGATTTGGTAACATTCTCCTTAAAATGTGAACTGAATCTCCCTTCTCTCCATCTGTATCCACAGCCCACCATCTATCCCCACTGCAGAATTGCAAACCTTCTCCCTTTCTCTGACTTCCTTATCCTCTCATAGAGCTGATTTTGCCATCCAAAGCAAATTTCTTTCCTGTTCTCCTGAGTTGACTCTTTCCCTGTCTGTTAGTTTCTTTCCCCTCCTAACTTCTGAATCTCTTGCCTTTTGTGTTGCTGATGTTTTTGTCCACTAACCTCTCTGTTCTGTCTTTTTTTTTATTCTGTGATTTTGCTCAGTGTGAGGGAGATGTGAGTATTATATTGTGTTTATGGTGCTGTGACGTTTTGACCTGAAATGCTTCTTATTGTCCCACTTCCATCCAGAAATCTTTTTTTTTTTGAAAGAGAGTCCTCTTTGCCCAGCGGGGACTCGCCCTGGAGAATGCACTTGAAATGTGTGTGTGTGTGTGTGTGTGTGTGAGAGAGAGAGAGAGAGAGAGAGAGAGAGAGTGCCTGTGTATGTGTGTGTGAGAGAGAGAGACCTGCCTGTGGCAGAAACAGCTGACTGGCTGATTTCATCCACAGAGCCTACAATCATTTCTGTTTTCCAAAGCCTTTTTGTAAGTGTTTGCTCAAGAGGCAGAGTTTTGGGGTGGGGAGAGGAGAATGGCAGTCAGGGGGTGTGTGTACCTGTTGCGATACAGTTTTGTTTTGTTTTAAGCTGCAAAATTTGACTTTCAAATTAAAGTCAAGTTTCTAGTCCTTAATGGGTGCAAAGATACTTTGGTGGGGGGGGGGGATGCATTTTTCCTGGGTTGAGATTTCTGTTTCAGTACCTTCCCACTTTGCTCGCTTTGCACAAATTAGGCATCATGCATGTTTGCATAATCTGGGCAGATCACAGAACTTCAGTGCAGAATTCCGATACATGTATTATAATTATAATTATTATTATTATTATTATTATTATTATTATTATTTATTAAAAAGCCAGAGTACACACAGCCCTGGTGTGGTTAAAGAATGTGTGGATTGTGTGTATGATTTATCATGGGAACTACAAGATTATGGTTCTCCAGCTATAAATAATGGGCTGGATAATGGAGGATCAGGGCTCAGACTTTCTCGAAAAGGGTATGAGCTTTTTGGAAAATTCCTGCAGTGCTGCGCTGTCTGACTGCATTTTGAGCTACTAAACTCAGCCTTTTTCTCCCTAATCCAGGTGTGGGGAACCTTGGCCCTCCAGATGTTACTGAACTACAATTCCCATCATCCCAGGCCATTGGCCATGCTTGCTGAGGCTAATGGGAACTGTATTTCCACAACACTTGGGGGGACACAGGTTCCAGACCCCTGCCCTAATCCTTGCAGCACAGTATTAAGGGGGATACATTCTCAGGCTTCCCACACTGCCTCTTGATCACTGCTTGCATATGGTGGCTATTGGCACGCAAAGAGGCTTGCCTCTTCCACAGCTCCTATTTTGCTGGCATGAAGCGGCTTGCCTCTTCTGCAGTTTCCTTTTTTTGTTTGTTTTGCCAGAATGGTCATTGTGGGTATCTTGGCTAGACTGCATACTTGAGCCACAAGACGTGGAGAGGCTCTCATAACTATATATCTATATATCTATATATATAATGTGCAGTCAAAAAAGAGAAAGCATGGGCATGACCTCAGGATTCCTGCTCTTGACAATGGGCTCCCTTTCTCCTTCTGCCGCTTCCCTGTCTCAGAAATGAGGGTTAAGGTGTTCCAGACATCCTGTTCAAGAACATCTTGCTAGATTGCTTATTGCTGCCTCTAAACCTTACCTGAATTTGGGCCCTAAGGGTGGTCACCTTCCTTTTCCTATAAAACTGGTATTTTATTTTTGGCCTTGTTGCTGAGGGTTGTATATATACAATTCACAGATGTGGGTGTGGGTGTTCCTGAAAAAAGGCAGAACTTGAGTGCTAGGTTTGGCACCCAAGAAGCAAGTTTCTCATCACTATTGCTTTGAAGGCACTAGTTTGCGAGTGTTTGGTGAAAACTAAGGAGGGTTTTGGGGGAGAAAAAAACTGCTTTGCTTATCCGCCAATCTCAGCAGGAAAAATATTGTGCAGATTTGATAAATAGTGCCGGGGGTTTCCTATGCGTTTATAATTTTATGCAGGTTACAGTATACTGACTCCCCTTGGCTGTCGAAATTTATGTATATTGATGCAAAACTTATAAAATGATAGCCCTGCCCACTGGACATCTCTGCTCTGCAGATTAAGCATATCTCATTGATTTTAAAAGTTACTCTTAAATCAGGGTTGAGTTAGTTGTGTCTGCTTAATTAAATATATGTTGCCTTTTTGTGGTTGGAGGAATCAGTTGGGATAGGGGTTACTCTGTGCTTTGTCATCTTGCCTGGCTAACTGTTTTAAAAGTAAATGGGTGCTTCACGACTGCAGTTGGGTCAGAAGTCTTAGTGAGGGGCTGCCAGGCGCTTGCACTGGCTTTTAAACTGACCATGGTTGTATTCCATGCACCTAAATAAATGAGGAAGCATCTGCAGCAGAGGAGCCAAGACTTGGGGCTGTCCAGAATGCTGCCTTTGCAGTGGCAAATGTGCTCCCCCAAAATACCCTTTCAGGTTTAATGACACAGTAAGGGACGCGGGTGGCGCTGTGGGTTAAACCACAGAGCCTAGGACTTGCTGATCAGAAGGTCGGCGGTTCGAATCCCCATGATGGGGTGAGCTCCCGTTGCTCAGTCCCTGTTCCTGCCAACCTAGCAGTTCAAAAGCACGTCAAAGTGCAAGTAGATAAATAGGTACCACTCTGGCAGGAAGGTAAAGGCGTTTTCATGCGCTGCTCTGGTTCGCCAGAAGCAGCTTAGTCATGCTGGCCACATGACCCGTAAGCTGTACGCCGGCTCCCTCGGCCAATAAAGCGAGATGAGAACCGCAACCCCAGAGTTGGTCACGACTGCACCTAATGGTCAGGGGTCCCTTTACCTTTAAGGGCAAAGCAATTGCACACGTAATTTTCTTTGTGTTTGTGTGTCTGTCACTCCCCTTCCACACTCCAAATGCTCTCTCACAAACTCTCCATCCAGCACTGAGTTTTTTGATCTGGACAAAACAACCCTTGCTTCTAGAGACTCATTCACATGAACTGTGATAGAAGGATTCCTTACTCTGAAGTTGCAGGCTACTCTTCAAACACCCCTTAAGATGTCTTTGCTGTGGCCCATAGCAAATAGGAGCAGTTAGCTGGCAAGGGGCTAAACCTCTCCCCTTTGCCCACTGCAGTCCTGATGATGGTGTGGTCCCTTACTGCCTTAAAGGAGCTCATGAGAAGGCCTCTCCAGAATGAAACACCGCCACCACCCCATTTCTATCTAGAGATTTATGCTATCTGCCACCTGGTCACCAAAATGCCTTTCTGTTTTGGGCGCTTTGGGGTTCAGCTGGTTATCTTGCCCCATTTCTGCCTGGCTCTGGCCTAGTTTGGGAGCAGAACAGACTCTGATTGCCCTGATGGATGTCAGAAGCCCTGGGTGCGCCTGGGACAGATGTTCCACACATACTCACCCCATCAGCTGGTCTTGCTCTACTCCTGTTCCTTTCAGAAGGACTTTCACTGCAGCATGAGAGTCCTGGTGCACCAGGCAAAGAATGGGCATCATGTTTCCAACAGCGGGCAGCCCAATCCTTTGAGGAGTCCACCCAGCACAGGGATGAAGGCAACTGGTCTAACTTGTCTGCCCTTAGCACTTGAATTCAGTGGTGTATGGATAGCTCCATTTACTATCTCAGCTAATATCCACTGACAGATCTATTATCCATTATCACACCTAATTTCTATCTTAGGCCATCACTGGGAACTTTCTGGAAGGTTGCGGGTTGGGGGTGCAGCAGCCAGATCCTACCTGTAATTGACAGATGGATAAATTGGACTGTTTCAGTTTATCATTTCCCCCTTGATCTTAAATTCAGTTTGCTTCATTTCCACATCAGTTACTGTAATTATTATTATTATTATTATTATTATTATTATTATTACATATTTTGTATGCAGTTTTGCCTGATGTAAAATATTTGGCAAGCATCATTTTGATAGCCATCTTCAAATATCTGAAGGGCTGTCACATAGCAGCTTGTTTTCTGCTGCTCCAGGGGGGTGAGCCCCAAACCAACGGAATCAAGTGACTTTCTGAGAGTAAGAGCCATTCAGCAGTGGAACTGGCACCATTGGAAGGCAATGGACTCTCCTTTGTGGGAGGCTTTTAAACAGAGGTTGGATGACCACCTGCCAGGGATTCTTTAGATTCTTGCATTGCAGGGGAGGGGTTTTTGACTAGATGACCCTTGGGGTTCCCTTACAACTATGATTCTGTGAATTTTCCCTAAAAGAATACTTTTGGGGGGTATATTGCTGTTTTTCCTTATATGCACATTTTGGGGGCTTTTTTTTGTTTGTTTTTTGTTTGCTTGCTTTGGTTGGGAGAACTGCATCATGCAGAGAACTGTGAATTCTAAGGACAGCTGCATTTTATTTTGGAAAAAATGCAAGTTCACATTGAAGTGTGAACTGAGCAAATTTCAGAGGGTGGGATTAATCTCTAGCAGTTGAAATCTTTGGGGAAGGAGGCACCAAGTCAAAAGGTAGGCCTGATTGAGTGGAGTCCCCGTTGGTCCAGTGATAGCAGGCATAGGCAAACTCGGCCTTCCAGATGCTTTGAGACTACAATTCCCATCATCCCTGACCACTGGTCCTGTTAGCTAGGGATGATGGGGGTTGTAGTCCCAAAAACATCTGGTGGGCCAAATTTGCCTATGCCTGAGCTATAGTTAAAGGAGCTTGCTAGAACGTAAGAAAAGCCCTGGAGCTGGATGAGGCCAAATGAGTCCCATCTGGTCCAGCATCCTGCTCTCACAGTGGCCACCCAGGTGCCCCCAAGGGAAAGCCACAAGCAAGACAAGACTGCACAAGAGCACTCCCCACCCCCACCCCCTGTAGTTTCTAGCAGCTGGTATTTTTCAGAAGTATTTCTGCTTCCAAATGTTCCCCTGGAGGCCCTCTCTCTCGCAACACAAACTGCAAGGAAGCCTCTAATGCTTCTTACAGGAAATACCTGTCCCTCTAGTTCCCCCCCTCCCCACCCAGAAAAAAAGAAAGCCTTCCATTCACCCTTCTGCATGATCTATACGTGAAATTCTATTCCCCCTCCGTAGGCTGTGCCTGACTTTAACGAGACTAGACCACGTAATTACATTCTCTCCGCCAGCGCATCAGCGGTAAGATCAACTCTCTCCCTCATCTCTTAGACAGTTTGTGCTTTAACCTCTTTTTATTGCTCTCTCTCCTCCCCTTTTCCTTTCCCTTTATCATCCTGGAGCAAGCCTTTTACTGCTGGTTTTCAACATTTTAACGTAATGGAAGCTATCCAGGACTGTGTCCAGAGCTTTTCAGGCAGAGGAACCTGAGTTCTGTTGATCCATAGGCTGAGCAGCTTGTTTTATTGTATTATTATTTGCAGTGTTTATACTTTATTGTTTATTTTCTGTTTAACAAAATTCGTACACAGCTTGATTGTTTTGTTTTTACAAATCTCCCAGCGGTTTACAAAGAAAAAGAAACCTTAAAGTTATTGATAAACCATTAAAGTCAGGAGTTGCTAAATAAACCACGTGCAGCCTGCAAAAAACAAACAAACCACCGTTCTAAGATGGTTCCTGTCCTTTTAGGCTCACAAGCTAAAAAGAGACACAACACACAAGGAAAAAGGAACTGGAGGGAGGAGGAAAAAGCAAACTGTAGCACAAGCTCTATAAGGTTACAGTTCTTAAAGTTAATAGGGATATTATTGGCATTCTAGATAAAGAGCAGTCCCTCCCCAGATCAGAACTAGGAACAGAGCAGCTAACAACATCCAGGGTGGCAGGATAGAGAAGCATTCTTAGGAAACTGGTGATTGCCATGACTCTGCTAAGATGCTTCCTCTATATCTTTTCCTTCCAGTCCAGTGCTGAGCAGGGGATGCTTTTTCTGGGCAGCTTCATAGCCAAGTGGGGGATTTGAACCCTGGTCCACAGGTCCTGGTCCTCACTTAATCTCCACAACAACCCTATGGCGTAGGCCTGGCTGAGAAAAGCGGGGAGGTGACTGTTCCGAGGTCACTATCAGTGAACTTCATAGCCAGGTTGCGTTCTTGAACCCTGGTCACCCAGCCCGACACTCTAACCACTACGCCACACTTCTCAAGGAATAGCAGAGGCAAGACTGGCAGCAACGAACACTGGCTTGTCTTGGGCTCAGCCGTTCCAGGCCCACTGTGCTACAACTCTCATCAGCCCCCAGCCTCACATGGCCATGCCAGCTGGGTCTGATGGGAGCTGTAGTTCAAAACATCTGCCAGGAGGTCCACCAGGTTGATGAAGGCAACTTCTGATCTTCCTTTCTCTGCTCACCACCCCCTCCTTCAAGTTCCCTTCAACGGGCGGAAATATTGCTTTCTGCTGGACAACAGCAGGCAAACAAAAGCCCACCCTCTCTCCCCTGTATCCCATTGTCTTGTTACCAAGTGCATTTGCACGAGCTGTTCTTCCACCTCCCCGATTGCACGATCTATTTGCACTGTCTCGTTAAAATGTTGAAAACTCTGTGTGTGCCTTGTACTGTTACTTTGGGGGTCGCTGGTAGAACCACACTGATGCCCTCCTAAGGCTTGGGACTAGCCAAAAATGGAAGACTTAAATGGCTTAATCCCCCGACTCATGGCAGGGGGTTGGACTAGTTGACCTTTGGGTGTCTTCCAACCCTACATTTCTATGAATTAGGTTAAAATGGGCCTTCTCTTGCTGGGAAGGAGCTTCTCTGTGTATAGAGGGACGGCATCAGTGCTGGCTTTACAGGGGATCCTCTCTGGACCCTTCTCAGGTAGCAAATGCTAATATTTGCATGTGGTGGTGGTGGAGATGTTTAAAGCATTAGTGTGTCGTCCCCCCCCCCTCCGGTAATTCCACATGTCTTTTTCCAGAGAGGTATTTGCAGCCCAAACCGGCAGCCTTCAGACTTGTGATGAGGCAGAGAAGAAGTTGCTTTCTCAATTTTAAAAGGGTGGGGAGCTTCTGGATTCTGGCCAGGAATCCTCCAAACAGGAAGATTAAACATATTTATTCTTTTCTTATATAATTCAGGAGTGTTTATAAACCACTTGTTTTCTTTGGAAAAATATAGAAGCGGTGTTTGCTGTATAACAATGCATTCGGAAGAATGCATTCTATAAAACGTTAGTACAAAAGCATATGGAAACCAGGAGCTTGAGAGGTCCAGGCAAATTGGTTAGATCGTTCTCCATGGGCTGCAACAACTATCTTGAGCAGGCAGCACCCTGGGGATGATAGTAGCATACAATACAAGTGGCCATCCCTTCAAGAGGGGAAAGGCTGTAGTTCAGTGTTAAGAGCCTCCCTGCATGCAGAAGGTCACAGGCTTAATTCCCAACATTGTCCTCAGGTAAGGCTAGGAAAGACTCTGGTCTGAAATCTCAGAGAGCTGCTGCCAGTCTGTGTAGACAATACAGTCATACCTCGGGTTGACGTAGCTTCAGGTTAAGTATTTTCGGGTTGCGCTCTGCGGCAACCCGGAAGTAACAGCGTGTTACTTCCGGGTTTCACCACTTGCGCAGGCACTCAAAATGATGTCACGCGCTGGTAGGGAAGCAGCGAATTGCGACCCGCGCACGCACAGACGCTCTACTCAGGATGCAAACAGGGCTCCGGAACGGATCCCATTCGCATCCAGAGGTACCACTGTACTGAGCTAGATGTGCTCAGTGATCTGACTCAGTATATGTTCCTTTTTTCTTTTCTTTTTAAAGAAATCCAGCCCTTTATTTGGAACCTGAGGACTAGAATTTCGCCTTATTGTTTTAAGGCAAGGCCAAGGCTCAGAGCCCCCGTTTCCCCGAGTAAGCAGTGTTCAGGTGGCATCAGGACCACAACCACCTCCAGATAACAGCGGGGCTACCCTGCCCCATCCCAAAGGTTGTAATCACAGCATCTGCCTCAAGGTGTTTTGTCTACAGCCCAGCAGAAGAGAGGGAGGGGTCTTGCATGCTGATAACTTGGCTGGATTCTGTCTCTGGGCTGCAATTCGCCATCTTCCTCTCCTCTCTCCCCCAAAAGGGCCACTTTTCTTTTTGCTACCTGCTCTGCGCTTTGCTGTTGGGTTGTCTGAGTGAATTGGCCGGCAGGAAATATATTATTCTCCCCACCAACACCAACCCCCGTTAATTGTATGGATGGGTTTGAGGACCACCACTGTCTTCAAGGATCTGGCTTAACAGGGTGATGTACTGAGATGCAAGAGTGTTAACCACCAAGGAAATTGCATCGGTTCTTTCCAACTAACCAGTCATCTGGACCAAAAGCCATTTTGAAAGAACGATGCATTCTGATGGTCCTTGCAGGGGTGTGTTTATTTTTTCTCTTGTTAAACACACACACTCCCTTGCAAGGCACCAATACCTCCCAACCCTTAGAAATAGGGACCCTTACAATGTCACACCCTTCCCTCCTCCAGATTCTTCACAAGTCTAAGTTGGGGGGAGGGATGGGGGGAAGGGGGTGGTTAGAAGTGATTGCTCCACTCCTAGATGCAACTTCTCTTTTATTTTCTTGCCAAAATGTAGATGACAAGTAGTGTTTGCATCCCAGCTTTTTCTCTTAGGAGCCCAAGGTAGTGTACAAATTTCCCCCACCTCAATTTAATCATCACAACAATCCCACGAGCTGGGAGAGACTGAGAGGCAGGGACTGTGACCCGATGTCACACACGGGGAGCTTTGTGGCCAGAGTGGGTTGTGTGTGTATGTGTGTTGAACCCTGTTCTCCCCTGGGTCCTAGCCCGACACTCTAACCACTAGGCCATACTGGCTGCTGCTGAAACGTCCTTGCGAATTGGAACCCTCCTCTTGGAAACTTAAATTGCTACATTGGTCATTCCTGGTTCCTGCCCGGAATATCCAACTTGCAGCTTTCTAAATCCCATAGGATCAATATCTGCTAATGGAACCTAGCCTGTGTTGACTAAGGGTGGGGTGGCTGTGGTATGCTGTGGTAAAGAAATGTTGAAGTCTCCTCTCTGGAAGGTGTCAGCACCCTTTTCTCCCTTTTCCTCTGCCCCCTAACCTGTCCGCGCATTTACTTTATTTATTTTGTGAACCGAGTGTTGCATCTGTTGTCTGGTTCCATAACCCAGAGCCCAAATGCCAGTAGATGTCAGCAGACAGTCTTGCTATGACCCAAATTGTCCGAGTTAGTTAAAAAAAGTGGGGGGTGGGGGTAGAGATATTATGTGGTTGTGTAAGAAGCCTTAACTTAAGTGTGAGCGGTCTCTGGCTACCTGTGTTGTGTCCTCTGCACTCCCATCTGTGTAATGGGTTCATGCTCACCTTTTGTTTTTAAAAACAAAAACAGAAAATTATAATGCGCCATTTTCATAACCAATATGAGGCAACTGGAAAACAGAATGTATGTACAGTATCTGCCAGAGTCAAGACTAGAATCTAGTAACTAAAATTGGTCCCTGTAGCACTGGCCTTCCATGGGAGGTTGTTGGTGAGAATTAGAACCTTTATTTTTAGGGGGAAGTCCATCGGCTCAGTGGCAGAGCATCTGCTTTGCATACAGAGGGTCCTGGGTTCAATCCCCATTAGCCTCTCCCCTGCCTGAGACCTGGGAGAGCTGCTGCCAGTCAGTGCAGACAATATTCAGCTAACTGGACCTATGGCCTGACTCAGGATAAGGCATTCTGCTGTGCTCTTGTTTAATCCAGGCCTTTATTCAAAATGATGAGGACTAGAATCTTACTCATTTTTAATGAGAAAGGCCACAGCTCTGTGTTTTAGCAACCACTTTGCACACAGAAGGTCCCGGGTTCAATACTCATTGGTATCTCCAGTAGACAGTGTACTGAGCTGGATGGACCAATGATCTGTCTCTGTATTGGGCAGTTTCCTAAGTCCTCCTCCTCCTCCTCCCTGTTCCTGAGCCTGGAACTACAGATACCATTAAATACATCTAACTTGGCAGTGCTCCACCAGTCAGGGGTGCAGGTACAGCTGCTGAAAACCTGGCTTGTGCAAAATACAAAGAGTTGCCCCTCTGGAAATGGCCTGGGTGGGTAGCAGCTTTCCAAAGCAGAGGTCTCACGTCTGGGAGGAAGCATCGCTGTCTGCTCTCATTATTGCTGGTGGCAGGGCCCCATTGTTGTTGTCGTTTTGTTCCTCTGGTGTGCCCTGTCGTTGCCTCTTCCAACAGTTGTTTTCACTGTGGAATGTTGCTTTTCGGTGTCTTCCAACGCTGACCTTTTCCTGTTTGCTCTGTGGCCCCAACAGCTTTGGAGTGACGAGGTGGAAAAAGTAAGTATTTGCCAATGTTCCAGCTCTCCGATTTTTCCTTTGCTAGAAATGTCCATGATGAGAATGAGTTTCACGGGGGGAAAGGCCAAATGGTAGAGCATGTGCTTTGTTTGCAGGCAGTCCCAGATTCAATCCACAGCATCTCTGGAGGTGGGAAAGAGCCCTTGCCAGAAACTCTGTAGAACCGCTGCCAGTCATTGTCAACAATAAAGAGCTACATGCACATGTGCTGCTATTTAATCCAGCCCTTTGTCCAGAATTATGAGGACTAGAATCTTGGCTGCGGCAGGGAGAGCTGTAGCTCCATGCTGGAGCATCTGCTTTGTGTACAGAAGGTCTGAGCTTCAGTCCCCTGTTTGAAACCCCCAGGGAGCTGCTGCCATTCAGTGTGAACAGTTCTGAGCTAGATGGACCAATGGTTGGTGGACTCCGTTGAAAGCGGTTTCCTATTTAATTCCACCTTTTCTTCAGAACCATGAGGACTAGAATCTTACTTTATTTTTAGGGCAAGGGCCGTAACTCAGTAGCAGAGCACATACTCTGCATGGAGAAGTTCCCCCCCTTTTAAAATCCCCAGTGGGTAGGGCTGAGAGAGACACCAGCCTGAAACCCTGGAAAGCCACAGCTGCCAGTCAGTGTAGCTGAGAGATGGTGGAAGTCCCAGTGGAGGGATCCTGTTCTAGGGAAGGCTGGCAGGGAGGGACCAGGACAGGGAGGTGTGTGTGTGTGTGTGTGTGTGTGTGTGTGTGTGTGTTTGTGTGTGTATGCCATGACATCACAGAAGGACCTTGTGTGAGTGTGGCTGTTGGGCCATCGAAGAAGGCCCCTGTGTGAGCATGGGTGTTGTGATGTCACAAAAGTGGGTCCTGTGGGTTGGGGATGCTGTTGACATCACAGAAGGTCCCTGTGTGAGTGCAGGTACTGCAGCATCTTACTGGTTGGAGGCAAGGGTGCTGTGACGTCAGAGCAGGGCAATCTTCATGTGGATGAAAGGAGGATGTTCTTTGATGTGAGGTGGACCAGGGGACATATGGTGGCAGGTTGGCTTTTGGAAAGCCACAAGCAGAGGCCCAGCAAGGTCAGGGGCAGTGTTAGGCTGTCAGAGCAAGGCAATTCATGCCTTGATGAAAGGGGCGGGTGCTCCAATGGCTGGCAGGCGGGTGGTCAGGGCTCTGTGTGGACGCTGTGAGGTCACAGGAGGAGGCCTGGCGTGTGGAAGGTTCAGGTTCTGTGACGGCAGAGTGCAGAAGCCTAAACATGTCAAAGGGCATGGGTGCTTTGTTGCCTGGTGGGCTGAGTTCTGCTTAGAGGTGAGTGGTGTGCATGTTCTGACATCAGAGAAGGAAGGTGGAAGCAGACGCTCCCACTGGTGTCAGGGAAGGGGTGGGGAGTGGCAGCGCGGGGTCTGCCCTAAGTGTTTCTGTGGGTCAGGAGGTGACTGCTGTGACATCACAGGAAGAAGAGGAAAGGAAAGAGTGTGCAGTTGTCAGGGAAGGAGAACCTTTTGGTCCATACAGCTCGTTATTGCTCACACCAACAGGCAGCATCTCTCTCCAGGGTTTCAGACAGAATCTTTCCCCAGCCCTACCTGGAGAAGTCATTGGGGACTGAACCTTGAACTTTCTGCATAGACACTGCCTGCTTTATCACTAAGCTGTGGGTATCCTTCCACCTCCGTTTTTTGCTCCGTTAGGCTGGCACTTTGACCACGGAACCCCTGCCCCCACTAGCGACTGGATATGAAGGTTGAAAAGGCCAAGAAATTGTGAATCTGCTCATGAATCTTAGTACCACAAAATCTTCAGAGAGGCTGGACAAGCTTATTGACTTGGACAGAGAGTGGCTTCCTAAACGTATTTGTTTTTCCTCTCCGTAGCTGATGACAACACATCTTCTAGGAGCTGCTTTGCAGAGTGGGGTGCTCTCATTATTTTGGCAGTTCCCAAATGGGCTCACCAGACAGTTGCAGGACCCACAATGACCCTCCGCAGAGCATCATTCGGGAAACTCACTGTGGGAAAACTCATGTTGCTGCCCCCTTGTGGCCAATGTCCTTTTAAAAGGAAAGTGGGCCCAGTGGAGGATGCCTCCTGATGGTGAAAGTTCTGGGCAGTAAGGCTGGTTGCCCTTAAAGCATTCCTGCTGTCTCTTCTTCCCATGGCAGCTGGGGAGAGTTTCTGCATTGCGCAACAGAGAACTCCAACGCAACAAATGCGCTAGAGGGAAAAGTCAAGGCACAACAGGTTGTGCTCTCTGTCCCTCAGCAAAGTGACCAGGAACTCGTTTTCTGTATTCTCGCTCACAACAAAATCCCGCAAGCAGAAATTTTTTTGCTAACGGGAACAAATATACTGCTCAGTGCCTGCATTGGATGCATCCTGTTCTTTTACTTTATTTCTACTCAGGACCATTGAGCACACATTTTTTAATATACCCATTTATGCCCCTACCATCAAGCTCCATAAGGCAGCAGAACGAGATGTGAAAACTTTCACAACTTGAATTTAATTAAAACAGCTGCAGCAAAAGCGTAGGGACCGCTAACGATCTATTCTCCCCAGGGCCCTCTGAAACAATAGAATATTAATGCTGTCTAAACCTCTTTAATGAAGGAGCCCTGCTGCTGGCATTCTTTCTTGGGTGGATGTCCCGCAGTTTAGGATGGTTGGCTTATGAGCTCTGACTCTTGTAAGGGCTGAACTTTCCCCAGAATGAAACATTTGGAGTGGAGAAAGGGGTTGTTCAGGGGGGAGGGGAATGACCTAGCAGTGATTCTCCCATTCACAACTATTTTATTTCAAGAAAATTATGCACCATTTGATTGTAAGGAAAACCCTTGAAGCCATTTACGAAAAGAATAAAACAAGGAAATTATGGGTAAAACCTTTTTTTAAAAAAAAAATAAAACCCGCAATAAAGTAAAACCAGATTAAGGCACAAGCCAGCATTCTGCATATCCGGACAGGCTTTGCCTAACCCAAAATGTTTTTAGTAGGCACCGAAAAGTGTACAGTGAAGGTGCCTGCCTGATGTCAAGAGGCAGGGAGTCCCAAATTGTAGGTGCTGCCATACTAAAAGATCAAGTTCTTGCACAAGTGAAACTGGTATTACGTGGCACCTGTAACAGCACCAGTTTCACAGATCAAAGCTATTTATTATCCACCCTTCACCCTAAGCAACCAGGGCAGGTCAAAACTATTTAAAATGCAATATTTTAAAACAAATGAACTACAATCACAAGAATAGGGTGGGTCCTAAAAAAATAAATCTCAAGGGTTAAAGGTCAGGGCAAATAGGTGCATCTTCAGCATACAACAAAACCTTTACAGGGAAAGTTCCTGGTGCATCTCTGTGGGGAGGGAATCCCATAACTTGGGGAAGGCACTCCCTGGGGCTGCCTCCCCAGCATTTCTGAGGGTGGCAGAACTATCAAGATCTGCTGATCTTAAATGTCCTATAGGTCTGTAAGGAAGGAGGCAGTCCCTTAGATATTTGGGGCCTGAGTCGTTCTGTGCTTCAAACAATAGCCTGATCACCTTCAAATGGGCCCGGAAATGAACCGGCAAAAAGATCAGGCTGTGTGTTCAGCTTTTTCCAGCTTGTTGACTCCTTTCCCTTGCTCCCCAAAGCCTCTGTGATAGGAGATGGGAAACCTTCTCAGCCAGAGGGCCATATTCCCAAATAGGCAACATTCCAAGGGCTGCATGGGAGTGGCCAATGGGGCCAGAGCTGAAAGCTGGCACAGCGAAGGAGGCAACTCTCACTTTCATTTATCGTTTCCTCTCATCCAGTTTCTAGCCACTTCAGCAAAAGTCAGAGGATTTATACACCCCCTCCCCCATCCAGGCAAGAAAAAAAGCATTACTACAGTTCAACGACTTGTTCCAACCAGGCGAAAGCTCTCAAGGAGTGGCTGTGAGGGGGGCTCAGATGGTGAAAGGGAGTCTAATTGGGCAAGGGTCCAAGGGCCAGACTGAGAGGTCTAGGGATCCACATTTGATTCTCAGGCTTGTGGCTCCCCATCTCTCCTCTCCGATGACACCCCACTCTATTGCTCTGTAGGCAGAACACGAGCTCCGGATGGCCCAGACTGAGTTTGACCGGCAGGCAGAAGTGACCCGTCTCCTCCTGGAAGGGATAAGCAGCACACACGTGAGTCTCTCTGGAAAAGACATTGCGTTGCTATTCATGCCAAGAGGCACACAGCACTTCATTGTTAAAACAGTTCCATTGTTGAAACAAATCCATTCACACATACAACTTTCAAGATCTGGACAAAATGGGCAAAGATTCTGGTCCCAGGCCTCTCACCCATTATTTCATTACAGTTCCACCATGGTTCTCAAAAATAAATATAGAGCCTATAATGTAGGTTGGTTCTAAACACCTAGATGCCTAGCCTGTATAAAACCAAACAGTTCTCCCATGTGTTGGAGAAGATGTCCCACTATAGGGACATATCAGCACATGGGGTGGGAGTGTCCCAAAAATAGAAAAGTTATGGGGAAATGTACAGTGGTGCCCCGCAAGACGAATGCCTCGCAAAACGAAAAACCCGCTAGACGAAAGGGTTTTCCGTTTTTGCGTCGCTTCGTAAGACGATTTTCCCTATGGGCTTGCTTCGCAAGACGAAGGGCTTGATCCGCGCCGCGTGCAAACCGCTTTCACCGTCAATCTATCTATGCGGCAGCGGGGAATCTAATAGTAATAGCAATCAATACATTATTAGCGTCCGGAAACACAGCCGGTGGTGATGCTGCCCCGCGCCGCTTCGAAAAGTTCCTAGGCTTCAGCCTTAGAACTGGGAGGGGACCTGGCGGCGACACCCGGCTCGGGGTGGGATTTCCCCGTCTGCACTCTTAGCACGCGCGGCGACCGCTAGATCCTGAGGACGGCAGACTGGGCGGGGGGGCATGAAAAGTTTTGCCTGCCCATCTCCGAGGAAGCGGGGGGAGATGATCCCTGTCAAGGGAAGAAGGGGGCACCCATTTGCCAGCAGCCGGTGCCCCCGAACCGAGGCTGGCGCCATCGCCTGTCAAAGTGACCGCAAAGGCGAGCTCCGGTCGCGCGGCCGAGGGAAGCCCCGCTGTGGGTCGTCCAAAGTCAGCCCGAGCACGCCAGTCACCTAAAAGGCATGGAGAGACGGAGGGAGCGCGCGAGGATCCCGGTGCAGAGGAGGCTCCTGCAGCAAAATAAAGGCAGCCGGCAGCCGGAGGGCTCCAGAACACGGAGCTGCGGCGGGGCCGTCGATGGCGTTGCCGGAGACTCCTCCCTCTGGGCCTCGCTCTCTCCGCTTTCGCCGCTGCTTGCCCTGCCTGTGATCGGCCGGGCTCATCGCTTCGCTCCGCGGAGCGCTGCACAAAGGCGTGGCGGGACAGGTGTCCGGGAACGCTTTGGCTGAGCGCGCCCCGGGATCGGAGGTGTGGGGTGCTTGCTGCAGATCGTATCTTCCGGGGTCGCTGGGATGGCGGCGGTCAGGGCTTGTGTTATGTAAGCGCGTCAGGAGGGACTGCTTAAGAGGCCGGACGAGGCTTATGCAATGGCCAGATGCTCCCTAGGGGTCGAGGCTTGCAGTTGCGGGAACGAGTTTATACCTGTAGCCGCTAAGCCGCTAATAGCCGTGCTTCGCAAGACGAAAAAAACCGCAAGACGAAGAGACTCGCGGAACGGATTAATTTCGTCTTGCGAGGCACCACTGTACTTACAGAAATATCTTTGATTACAAGGCAGACAGTCCCCATGGCCCCAAGACTGGCATTACTTAATTTGTACAGTAACATTATGTTGCAAATTAGAAACAAAGAACTCATAACATATCTGTTAACCACTACAAGAGCAACTATTGCCAGGACACAGAAATCATCACAGATTAATTATTAACTATGGAGCAATGGCATAATGCAATTTGGCAAGCAACTTTACTGGGAAAACTTACACAAATATTAAAAGTAGCACGAGGCCAAAAGAAACCCAACTTTTTTATGCAGTATACTGTAACTTTTATTGATTACACAAATAATGAGGCATATGGTAGAATAGTACCCATAGTTTACAGCAAAGTCTGGTGTGCACAAACCCTTTTTTTAAAAAAAAAATCCTCCTGTCAGGGGTTCAGGGAGAGAGGCACAGGGTAGGCAGGAGATGGAGAGCGATGGGGAGGAATTCCAAGCCAGCGAGGAAGAGGATGACAATGACTCAAGAGATTCCATGAGTCTTTCCAGCGAATCAGAGGATTCCCAGAAGGGGCGCCGGTGGTCAAGGCCAGGGAGCCCCAGGGGGGAAGTGTCAGGAGCAGGGTGCCAGCGGAGGATCCCAAAGTGGCAGCTGGGCGTCAGGACCAGCCTCCCCACCAGAGTGCAGCGAAGGGGGTGGAGTTTCCAGTGTGTCAGAGGAAGCAGCTCCAGCAGCAGAGAAAGGAGGGGGGGTCAGAGCAAGCCGCCCTCCCGGAAGGGGAGGGGAGCAGTGAAGGGAGTAGTGTAACTGTCAAAAGGAAAGTTAGAGGTTTGGCGCGCGCGCCTAGTTCAAATGTAGAGGCGCGCGGAAGTGCAGGGAGCCCGGAGGAGGGGCCAGGTCCCAAAGCCCGCAGGAGGGGGAAGAGCAGTCTGATTCCGCGTCAGAGGAATCCAGGAGGGGCGAAACCCCAGTGGGCAGAAGGACCCTGCGGAAAAGGAAGGAGAGACAGAGCTGGAGCAGCGCAAGTCTCTTAAATTGGTGCAGGGGAGGGACTGACTCAGAGGGGACTTCAGCGGTCTAGCGTAAGAGACGTAAGGCTGCGCGCCTAGGATGTCAAGCAAACCATGTACTGCAATAAACACCTTTGTATATAAGAAGACATAGGCGTTGGTCTTTTGTGAGCTAAGACTTGAGGCAGCCTTGACACCTCCCCTCTTACAAATTCCTATAAATTATAATTGTTGTTGATGCAGAATACATTTTACTAATGGTTACAAGTCTAAGCAATTCATGTCATTTCATAGCTGTAGAAACTAATAATTTTGGCATATATACTTCGACACAACTTTGTTAATGTATTCAGAAATGTTTGAGGGTTTTATATTTTTTTTAATGTAATTGTTGCATGCCATATGTTCTAATGCACACAAAGATATATCTAAACGCAACCATGTCAAACAGCTTAAAGATGAAAATGAATAAAAACTATTTTACAAAATGAAAAAGAAAACCAGATAAGCCTTGCAGCTGGATCCACCAGATGCCTCGATGGGAAGCCTCCCAGTAGAGCCCCCTCCTCAGTGCCTGGACCTCACCATTTTTCTCCTTCTTTCTTCAGGTCAATCACCTTCGTTGTCTTCATGAGTTTGCTGAAGCTCAGGCCACATACTATGCCCAATGCTACCAGTACATGTTGGACTTGCAGAAGCAGCTGGGAAGGTAACAAGCTGTCCCAACGAGATGCGTCCATTTGGAAACTTGGGTCACAACTGCAACCATACATTTACACCCCTCTCATACCATTCCCCACCCCAGAAAAAGAGAATACGGCAAGCTGTAGTTTAGGAAGGGTGCTGGGAACTACAGTTCCCATGATTGCTTTTAAAGTGGAGTTAGACTTCTTTAAATGTATGGTGATCTTGGGTTTAATCCAACACAGGGCTAAGTCTCTCCTTTTGCCAGTGCAGGGATTTCTCCTTGCACAACAGAACATTCTTCCCCCACCCTAAATCTATTCCAGAGGTCCTCCCAACCAATCAGAGGGGATTTGGGCAGGGCCTGGGGCCTATGCGGGGGGGGGGAGTGGAAAGTCCCGTTGCACAAGTGGAAATCCGTGAGCTGATGGGACAGGGCAGTTGAGCACCATCCATTGTTCTTAGCTCCATGACTCTTAACTGTTCCACCCTCCTCCTTTTTAATATATGGGGGTGGGTTTGGCTTTACCTACTGCAGGGGTCTGCTAGCCACTGTCCTGCCTGCCCCCAGCTCAGTCTTGTGGTTTGTTTTCCTCCATGAACAAGCACCTGCCACCCATTCACATTAAACCATGTTTCTTTTTCATTCGGGGCTTAATGCAATGTGCAGACCAAACTAGCGTGCAGGGATTTGGATGCATGAAATAAGTATTTACGACAAGCCTCCTTGGAGCCCCCTTCTGTTGCTCAGGTGGCTGTGAGACATAGGCAGCGGAACTCAGGCCAGGGACCCGAATGCGGCCCTCAAGGCCTCATGTCTGGTCCTTGGGTCTCTCTGCAAGCCACACCCCTAACTAGCACTCTGCACCCCCTTGAGTGTTTTTACCTGTCTGGGATGTGTCCTTGAACTCTGATACCTGTTGGCTGCCTGGATGGAGGACAGAGAAGGGTATGCACATGCCACCGAATTTTTCATGGCTGAATTATTATTTTACATGAATAAATTTACCCTACTGCACAGAGGTAAGAGTCACACCCGCAGCTCATCCTCCTCCAGGCCTCTGGCCCTGTTCACTTCCGGCATGCAGCCCTCAAAGGTTTGCCCCAAAGAGAAACCTGCCTTGGGCTGGGAAAGCTTCCCTGCTTTTGCTCTCTGGGGTTGGTCCTGCAACTTTTCTTGACACAGGAGGGCTGTTCATTGTCTTCTTCTGTCCCTTTCTCTTCCCATGCTTTCAGTTCCAGAGGAGAAATGTAAGTAAAAGACCAAAGACATTCTGGGTAATAGAGAGCTAGGGTAGGACAGATGAAGGGGGAAGAACCCTTGGCAAAGTGTCTTCATTGTGTTGCCTTTTGCATTCATGGCACACTGCTTAGCTCCGCTAGAGAAGGCTTCTTTTCCGTGATCCCTGCTTTTACAGAAGTGACCTCTCAGGCGGACACTGGGCTGTCCCCCCACCCAACTCCAAGAGTTTTCCTTATCTCGGACTTCCGGGGTGGCGCCATCGGTAATGGCGGACTCCCTCTGAACTGGAGGGACCAGCTCCGCATGAAACGGGTCTTTTCCGCTACGGCGAAGTGGGGACCCTTCTGGAAATCACAGGCAGATGAAGCCTGTGACCGTGGGACTCGGCGGGCACCCCTAGCGCCCCCCCAACCCGCAAAGGAACCCACTAACGGGCTCCGGGCGAAGAGGGGAGTGGCGCGGTGCTGTGAGTCAATTGCTTTTTCCGTGGAGCGAAGCCGCATAGCCGTTGCCGGAGAGCGCTGCCTTTTTCCTGGGACAATTTGGCATCTAAAATAACCACCCGTGAGTACTGGAACATTGAACATTTGGACCTTAAATAAGAACTGGCAAAATAGAAAGGAATTTGGACTTAAAAATTTACCTTAATTTGGTACTGAAACAGTAAGGTCTAAACAGGAAGTCAGCCTTCCGTTTCCTTGTAGCCAGAATAAAGCAAAGACAACGTAAACTAGAGCTTTAAAAATCACTTTCAAAGGATTGGTTTTCATCATTTAAAATTGCTGAACCCCCCCTTCGGCAGCAGGAGAAGAAGGGGGATCTTTTTTGGGCTGTTTAAACCTGCAGAAGTGAGTTTAAAGCAAAGTAATTTTCCACCGTCCTGATCCTGGAGCAGGGTGTCAGAATTGACGTTTGAAGCTCATTGACCAGAAACAAATGTCTTTGACAGATAGTTAAAAGAAGAGAAACATAGTGATTCCATTGTTTCCTTTCGCATTTTAAGAAGAACAAATATGGACAAAATACCTTAAAAAGAAACTTTGTTGCTATTGTTTTTAAAAGAAAGAACAATCAGAAGATTTCCCTAGAGGGGACTGTGAAATTGTAACTAATTCCTGGGAGCTTGCAGCTGCCACAGATTACAACCATGGGAAAGGATTTGTGACCTTGCAGGACAATGTCGTCAGAAGCACTGTTGGGTGCTCTCTGCAAAATAAATGCCCTATTGGATCAGTTAAGCCAGAAGACGGATTTGATGACTAATGCGGCCAGAACCTTTGAACAGGTAGTGGGAAATTATATGGAGCCCACCCAGGAGCTAAAACAGGAGTATGCCATGACAGAACAGCTGAGAGAAGAGGATGCTGCTGAATCTTGGGCGCCAGAGACAGAGGGAGCTGCGGCCCAGCAGGAACATAATTTTTTGGATTTGACAAATGAACTTGGAAAAAACCAGACTTGGAAAGATAAAGTTTGGTTTGGTTTGGAAATGGGGGGTTGGACAGACCCCCCTATACAGGGAGATTTGGACTTTGGACTTTTCGAGTCTGGCAATGGGCCGTCAGATGTTTGGAGCTGTGGGGGCTCTCAATTTTGGAGGGAATCTGAAACATGTTTTTAAATACCACATAGAGTCTAGTCTGGACTATGGAAAAGGGGCTGATTTGTTGAAAAGGGTCAAAAATATTACCAAGCTGGAGTTCCCACGAATGAAAGGAAAATATGAAGAAGAGCTGCGGAAGGGACATGGAAGAGACTTGAGGGCCTCGGATATAAGATTACCAGGTTAATGTGCTAGATTAATAGGATAAAAAGGACTGACAAAACCCGGGACCAGGAGAAAGGGACGCTGGATGAAGATTGGATTGTTTATTTCTTTTTTTTATTATCATTAGGATTGTTCTATAAAATTGATGAATGCTAGAAAAATGTTGAAATGAAATTACTTGGCTCTTGTAAAAATGTCTAAAGAATTTGGTAAGAATGTTATGGTTAGGAGAAGTTGGTAAAAATAAGATTTAAGTTTTAAACTTTAAGGTTTTCTATAAGATAAGATGAAAATAGATTAAGGTAATGTAATGACAGAATACTATGAATTATGGAAAGGATTTGCTGCGATTATTATTAATCAGGATACAAGAAAAGGGAGGAGGAGGAGGTCAAAGAAAGAAGGTATTGAAAGGGGAGAATTTGAGAATGATGGTTTTATTTTTTATTTTTATTTTTCTGTCTTGTCTTTTTTTTGTGTAATTAAAATTCCCCCCCCCCAATAAATATCATTTAAAAAAAAACCAAGAGTTTTCCTTATCTATGGATAAAGGTTTACTGTTGAGTTTAGGGGTGTGAGCATCTTTTTTCTTAACATGTGCATTTTAAATCTTTTGTTTGTAAATTAATAAATGAATGGCATTTCCACCGTGGCCTTTCTCCCCGAGGAGTCTAGGGCCTCAAACAACAAGCGATAAAAAGCATATTGGAAACCAATTCCGATAAAGACGCAGACTGGGATAGACCTCAGCTTTAAAAAGGACTATTGAAAGTTGAAGCTCTTCTGAAGGTGCCAAAGATGACAGATGTGTCACTTTTCTGATAGCCTTTTATTTTATTTTATCCTGCTTTGCATGGGAGAAACACCTGACCAACCTGTTAATAAATGAAGTAGAGGTACCTGTTGTGTGATGGGCTCAGGCCCGATCACCCCTGTCTCTTACTCTCCCTTTTCTTTCCTCTGCCTTGCAAAGGCTTCCTGGAACTTTTGTGGGCAACGCAGAGTCCACCTCACCTCCGCCAGCCACTGCCTCACCCACCACCATTGCTGCAGGTGCTGCCACAGGCCCAGCTGTACCCATCATTCCAGTGGTGCCCACTGTCATTGGAGCACCCAACTCTGCCCCTGCTGTTGAAGCCCTGAACCCCAGTGATGTGAAGCCCCCTGCCAGCGGGACACGGAAGGCCCGGGTCCTCTATGACTATGAAGCCTCAGACAGCACTGAGCTGTCTCTGCTCTCAGATGAGGTTGGTGGTTCTCTCTTTTCTGCCAAGTGATGCTACAGACAAAATGTGGTTCAGGGGCAAAGCTGTTGTGTTGTTTATTTATTTAATAAAAATTATACACCACTTGATTGTAAAGAGAAGGGGGGATGGAACCCCAGTTTACAAAAAAATAGAAAAGCAATTATTTTTTGTAAACTGGGGTTCTTTCCCCCCCCCCTTCTCTTTACACACAGGTGGTGCTGTGGGTTAAACCACAGAGCCTAGGGCTTGCCGATCAGAAGGTCGGCGGTTCAAATCCCTGCGATGGGGTGAGCTCCCGTTGCTTGGTCCCTGCTCCTGCCAACCTAGCAGTTCGAAAGCACGTCAAAGTGCAAGTAGATAAATAGATACCACTCCAGCGGGAAGGTAAACGGCGTTTCTGTGCGCTGCTCTGGTTTGCCAGAAGCGGCTTAGTCATGCTGGCCACATGACCCGGAAGCTGTACGCCGGCTCCCTCGGCCAATAAAGCAAGATGAGCTCCGCAACCCCAGATTCGGTCACAACTGGACCTAATGGTCAGGGGTCCCTTTACCTTTTATAAAAGCAATAGAACTGCCCTTAACAATTTTAAATTTTGAAGTTAAAATAACAATAGAGTAAAAACAGATGGAAACTCACATTAGCTTTCTAAGCATCTGGGTGGGCATGTCTAAATAAAAACCTTTCTAGCAGGCACCGAAAAGGGTGTGGCAAAGGCACCTGGCTGGTGTCAAAAGGCAGGGAGTTCCAAAGTATATGTGCTGCCACACTAAGAGATCAAGTTCTTACAAATGCAGAGTGGATATTTTGTGGCACCTTTGGTAATGCCACTTCTGCCGTTTGAAGTGGTCAAATGGGCACATGTAGGGTAGGCGATCTTGTAAACTGGTCCCAAGTTGTTAAGGGCTTTTTATATGCTAACAGTAACACCTTGAACTTGACCCTGTAGCAAATGGGCAGCCAGTGCAGATCTCTGAGCGCAGGTGTGATATCCTGACAAGGCCTCACTCCTGCCAGCTAACACTCTGCAGCACCAACTGCAGTGTTGCTGGAAACCACAGGACGGGAGGGTAATCTTGCGCTTGGATCCTGCTTGTGGGATTCCCACAATGGGCAACTGGTTTGCCACTGCGAGAACAAGATGCTAGACCTGATGGTCCATTGGCCTGACCCAACAAGCTGCTCTCATATTCTCATATTCTCATATTCTGCATTTCGTTTCCCTTTGATCTCACTTCTTATAACCCCCTGCCCAGCCAACCATATATATATTATATATTTTAGAAAGAGATCTGTAACTCCAGATAACACTTTGTGAACTATAGTCCACAAAAACTAATGCTGCAGTAAGTTTTGTCAAAAGACTTTTGCCTTTTTAATGGTTTGCATCTAACATATTGCCTACAACTCTCTGTTAGATGATCACTGTGTACAGCCTCCCAGGGATGGACCCAGACTGGCTCATAGGAGAGAGGGGCAATCAAAAGGGCAAAGTCCCTGTTACCTACTTGGAACTTCTCAGTTAAGCACACCTGCCGAGGATCCTCCAAGCAAGTCACACACCCTTCCCATGACCTGACATCGTTTTTCAGAGGCTGCTGACTACGTACTTCCATCTAAGGCCATTTGCTCTCTTCTGGGTCAGATTTTCCCCCCTCACTCTGTGTTTGGATTAAGGCACAGAGGCGACCAATGAGCTTTCCAAGGCTTTTAAGATTGACTCTGTCAACCATTCCCACAACTGGCTTCTAGAGTTGGTGGGACCAAACTTGGATTCCCTCTCTGGTCCAATAAGCCCTTTTGAGGATGGCTGACAGGTGAAATGAGGACTAGCCCCTTGCTTTTTCCCTCCTCCTCCTTGTTTCTGCTGCAATTATTTGGGTCAAACCAAATGGAATTAATGGAAGTCACCTGTAATAGGCTGTGTCTTCCCCGTCCTTTTTGTTCCCGCAATTGTTTTTGACCCACCCACAACCTACCCACCCTGGTCCTGCTTTTAACTATTCTATGTATTCTGCTGGAGTCAGTTGTAGGGAGAGCTGGGCATCTGTGGCGCAAAAATCTGGTTTATTTTCAGATTTAAGCCAAGCCTTTGGAGTCCCCTTGCAAAGAAGAATGTTTTAAATGAACTGTGACTCAACCAGAGGATGAAGGGGGTGGGGGGTGGGGTTAAAGAGATGTAAATGTCAGCAACCCAACTGAATATGTAGCACCTCCTGGAAGGCAAAATCCTCACTTTCTCCCATTATTCTTGACTCCTGCCAACAATTGCTGTGGCAATGAAAGGAAGATGAAAAACACTGAAAAATTAATGGGTTATAGTTGTCTTGGCCTGGTTTAGCTGCTTAAAATACTTGCTATGATTTTATGTGGGGCTGATTTGTTTGTTTGTGTGTGTGTTATTTCTGAGTTTACATTTCCAGCTGTCTTTCCCGCCCCAAAATAACATTCCACCTTTCAAAAAGCTACCTTTATCCTCTCCCCCTCCTGTTGAAACTGGCAAGGCTCATAACCAGAGTCCACTGCTCAATTTCTTGACATGCCCTTCGATTCTGCCCCACATTGGTTCAGCTTGCATATCCCCAGCCATGAGGGCAGGAGACTCTTGGAGTAATGTGAGATGCATTCTGAAACAGCCCATCCTTACCTATGGGCCTCCTCCAGTTCTCACCTGGCCCAGGTATCAAGTAAGCCATAAATCTTTTGCTGGAGACAAGAACCTGTCTGAGGGGGGGGGAGGGTACTTTATTTTGTAGGACAGGTCTTAGTGCAGATTAAACCTTCCATCCTGCTTCTCCTGGGCTGACACAACCTGGCTGGCTTATTTTGTGTTTTGAACTTTTATTTTTTCATCTTGAGCCTTTTGTGGATTATCCTGATGTAACAGATTTCAGAGCACTTCCATATGGTTGACTTTTGCCAATAAAACACCTAGCCTGCACTCCTCCTTGTCTTGGCTCTCTTTGGGGCTGTGTGTGTGTGTGTGTGTGTGTGTGTGTGTACGCGCGCCATTCCCCAATACCCAGATTCCACAGAAGGCAATGTTATCAAGGTAAGAGCTTACAGATTTGTAAGACAGGCCTCCCGCCTCTTCAAAGAGGAACACAGAATTTTGACAGGTGGAAAAGCCCTGCTTTTCAACATGGTTTCTTAACTGGAAGATTCAGGACAGATAAATTAAGTACTTCTTCACACAGTGTGTAGTTAGACCGTGGAACCCATTCCCACAGGACGTAGTGATGGCCACCAACTTGGATAGCTCCAAGTGAAAAGATAGACCTTTACTGAAATACGAATGTCCATAGTGGCTGCCAAAGCAATGTTTCGTATACACTTCCAGATTACACACGTGATTTTTCACTCACCAAAGGAGCACAGCACTCTTAGCAGTTGCACCCAGTGTCATCATCCTGAACCAATCAAAATCATTTAGCTCTTCAGATCAGCCTTCATTATACTATCATGTATTAACATAATCATTTTTCACTGTATATTATTCAAGTATTAAGATTATATTAAAGTCTTTAAACTTAAATACTTTAATAAAGGCAAGACTGTAATTAGCAAAACCAATACATTGTGTTCTGCTGTATCCGTTCACAAACCCAACTGCTGCCTTTATTTAAAGCTGAAGTAACTGCTGAAAGGGTCTGAAGGTACAGTCATACCTCATGTTACGTCTGGTTCATGTTACGTTATTTCAGGATACGTCCCGCAGCGACCCGGAAGTACTGGAAAGGGTTACTTCCGGGTTTTGCCGCTCGCGCATGCGCAGACGCACAAAATGACGTCACGCGCATGCACAGAAGCACTGCCAAACAGCTATTCACAGATTTAGCCACCTGTGTTGCCAATCACCAGGGTGCGGGACTGTCCTGTTCTGGGAAGCTTGGGATCTTGTCCGTTTCCCTTGCTTGGGCGAGCAGCATCAGCTTAAAGCTTTCTTCTATAGTGAGCCCTTCATTCACAATATCAAAGTCTTCATTCACAATATCAAGAGATCTGTTTCCCTTGTTCTTTCGTCCAGTTTGTCAGCTTCTGGCCAAAGAGTCAGTTTCCTCCTGATGCAGCTCTGCAATCAAATCCTCTTATTTGGTGGGATTTGCCATCCAGGGCATGTGGCCTCTGTGGAACCAGGAGGTTCTTTCCTTCACCTGTAATAGGATATACTGGTTGCCAACCACACCTAGTAGGGCTCTTTTCGTCAGGCTGGAAGGGCAAATGGGACAGCTTGTCTCTGAAAAAGAGAAAAGAAAACTAACAGCAACATTTGATCAGCTCTATGCGCAAAATCTTAGAAACTTTTCTTTACGTTCAGGGCACTGGCATTCTGATGGTTGTGGAGAAAACATTTAAACCCACAACTCTAATTAATTTGCAATTACCAACAAAACCATGAGATTGTATACATTCACTTAACCAAAGGTATATTTACTTTATGATAAAGACTATTATCAAGACTAAGCAGCCTGTATAACAATATTTCAATATTTCCCCCTTCTCATGTTCATAAAGCAACAAGCAGCTTGATCTATGAGCATATAGGGGGGAAATACAGAAATATTGTTACTCAGCTTTTTCTTTATTCTTCTTTCCTTTTTGGAAGAGCAAGAACATTTTAGAAGGTATAAAAGAAAATTCACACAACAACCAGGAATAGTGAGAAAACCAAGAGCAGCAGCATGTTCAGGTTTCCTAAAGCAAAAGGATAGTATCAATATTTTTTTTACAGTATGGAAAAAAGGCATCAGTGAGGAACTAATAATAAGCATAGAAAAATTCACAGAAATAAGAAAATTCATTATTTTTTATATTTTGGCACACAGAATGGTACAGTATTGCAGGATATAAACAAGGATAAACAATTCTCCAGCCAGGGTATAGGCACAGACTGGAGCAATTTGCTCAGCAAATTGGACCCCTTTCAATACCTGAAAGGAAATAAACTTCAAAAAAATTCATAATCAGATACCACAACATGACCATTATAAATTCATGCCTGGTTATCTTATTTTACATGAGCCATCAGAATACAGAATCAAATCAGGGTTAAAAAAAGGACAGTCATTAGGACCAGGATGAGGAGTGACAGTGAATTCTGGAAGGAAACTCAACCTGTACTAAGGGTAACCCCTTTTTTATTACTATTAATAAATAAGCTATTAATATACAAATCAAAGGGATGCAGGTGGCGCTGTGGGTTAAACCACAGAGCCTAGGACTTGCCGATCAGAAGATTGGAGGTTCGAAACCCCGCAATGGGGTGAGCTCCCATTGCTCGGTCCCTGCTCCTGCCAACCTAGCAGTTTGAAAGCACGTCAAAGTGCAAGTAGATAAATAGGTACCGCTCCAGTGGGAAGGTAAACGGCGTTTCCGTGCGCTGCTCTGGTTTGCCAGAAGCGGCTTAGTCCTGCTGGCCACATGACCCGGAAGCTGTATGCTGGCTCCCTCGGCCAATAAAGCGAGATAAGCGCCTCAACCCCAGAGTCGGTCATGACTGGACCTAATGGTCAGGGGTCCCTTTATCTATACCTTTATACAAATCAAATCAGGGTGAGGGAAAAGAAAGAAAAAAATATTCACTAAAGTCTCACGGAGTTCACTTTCGCGGGGGACTGCAAGAATCAGAAGGCAGGGTTATTATTTTGTTGTTTTAACTATTTACTTGTTTTACCTTGTACAGTCGTACCTTGGAAGCCGAACAGAATCCGTTCTGGAAGTCCGTTCAACTTCCAGAAACTTTCAAAAAACAAGGCACGGCTTCCAATTGGCTGCAGGAGCTTCCTGCATGCAATCGGAAGCTGCAGAAGCCCCACGGACATTCAGCTTCCAAAGCGACGTTTGCGGCATTCAAGAGCCAAAACGTTTGACTCGCAAGGCGTTCGGATTCCAAGGTACAACTGTATTGTATCCTGTGAATCTCCTTGAGATCTTGTGATGAGTGGCTGTACATAAACCTAATAGAGAAACCTAAAAGAATGTTTATTGAGTCTGGTTCTTGTGGAATAAACCTGCACTGCATAAGGAACAGCAAGGTTTAAAAAGTTGTGCTAAAGAGTTAAAAAAATATATTGATACATCAGAAATGATGAAGCTTTCATTCATGATCTTCTAATAAGAAAACTCAAATGGAAAACATTTTTGAAGACTAGGTATTTTACTTTAAAGATCATGCTAAAATGTGGGGGTCATCTTATACATGGGTAGTGTATAGGGTGAACATTTGATTGGTTGTTGCCGCGGCTGTCAGCAGCTATTGTGCATGTTATTTGTTGCTGCGTCAATAATGGGTGTTGTTGATTAGCCGGCGCTGTGGCAATTGGGCAGGCGATTGGCAGCTTATGTGCGGGTGAGCGATTTTCGGCATTTCCCCTAAAAAAGCTCAAAAACCTTTGGTAATCCCCTCCTCTGGGCAATCCAATCCTCTGCAAAAAAAAAAAAGCTCAACAACATTTTGCTATCTACCCCCATTCCTGAAATTTCAGTCCCCCCAAATAGGGGCATCAGTCTTATACATGGGGGCATCTTATAGATGGAAAAGTACGGTAACTCTTTGTGGGAGTCTGCACAAGCTTAAGGCTTAGCTCCATTCTCTCCCTGAGTGGTTGGCCAATATGATGTACACAAGGAAGGCATGTAAAGCCCTGGGAATTACACCAAACTTTACAAGTAGCTCTCCTGAACCTCAGAGAAGTCAAAGTAAAATCACAGTTTTTCCGTCAGGAGTCTGAAAAAGAGTTGAGCAAGCTGATATAAGATGAAGTATCTCCTATATTTCTTGCTTTGGACTGGTCAATAAATCTTAAATTGACATGCAAGAACCTAGCAACAAAAGCCCTTCAATAAATTTGGCCCTAGAACTGGCCTTGGCAGAGGACGTAAACAAGGCCAATTTGAGAAATAAATTGGGGCAAACCGATGAGCTTATACAGAGGCAGTCTTTTGAGCTCAGTAAAAGCCATTTCCCGACAAGCAGCCATCTGTAAAGGCACACAAACAGAGGAGAGAGACACAACTCCAGGATCAGCTTCATATGGTTTGCTCAGAATTAACCCTCATCAAAAACTTCCTTATGATCAGCAATGGGCTGCTTACAACATTAGTGGAAAGTTTTAGATTTCAAGAAAGAGCTTTAGAGTCAAAAGATACTGATAGGTCATCTAGTTAAAACCAGCCAGTAATCACTGAAATGACAAATGCAAAAGAAGTCACCAGACGGTACCAGACGGTATAAGAAAAAAATCTAAAGCGTTGAAGAAAAGTAAAAATATTAAAAACTTTAAGAAGCAGAAGTAAACTCATTGTGCAAATAAAAATCAATTACAGAAGCTTTACAAGGTGATACCAACAGATTCCACTCTTGACACAAATAAGCCTACATCAAAAGCCCATAGGAAAAAAGGGAAAAGGAAAAAGACAGCAGCTAATGTTGCTAAATCACAGCAAATGCTAGAGAAGAAAATTGAGAGGAAAATTAAGGAACTGAGGATGGGGTGTAGATATTGGATAAACAACAGTAACTGGGCATACTTTATACTCTTCTAATTGCTTCTTGAATTTTCTTTACTAGTCATGACACTAATTTTTGATTTGGAAATTTGAGAGGGATCAAACTTTGAACCCTATTTCCCATAAATTCACAACACAGAACAAGACAAAAACTGACAAAAGAAACTACAGATAAAATATGTGTTACAAAACAAGAGATCCGTCTGTCCAAGACTTGTTTATTTTTTTTTTTTTCGCAAGTAAATTTTTATTCAGAATTTGTATAAAGAAAAGAAAAAAGAACTAACAAATACAAAAATAAACATTTTAACATGAATTATTCATCCTATTTTCATACTATACAAAAAGAAAGCATACGTTCATACAAAAAAATAATAATATAACCATTAGGCTCTCCTTAGCCTTTGACTTCCCTTCACCCTTTTGGTAAGTATCAAATAAGTCCCGGGTTGCGTAATTAGTTTATTAAAGTTTATAGTTATTAGCTGATAAAGTTTTTCTAATACCGCCAGCTCCTCCTATATATCCGTTCCAATATATTTCCAAAACTTACTCCAATTTTTTGAAATTTCTGGTCGTCTTGGTCTCGTATTCTGCCTGTTAATCTATCTAGCTCGGCATAGTTGATCATTTTGACCTGCCAGTCACTTATGTTAGGAATAGTTTCTATTTTCCAGTTTTGTGCCAGCATAATTCTTGCGGCTGTGGTGGCATAGAGAAATATTTTTTTATCTTCATTTATCTTCATAAATAATAAATAATAAAATAAAAAAAAAAAAATGTCCAAGACTTGTTTAGACAACAGCTACAATTCCACTCACTCACTTCAATCCATTTATATACAAGGTTGATTCCTTGCAGTTTACTTCCATTCAACAATGTTTAAAGCAGTATCACAAATGAAAATTCACTGCAATGGATTCATAAATAGGAAACTCATCCAAATCAAAGGATGCTGCCTTGCAATTTATATCATTGCAATGGGCTCATAGGTAGGAGAAACATTCAACACCTGGGAACTACTAGTTCAGGCAGGAGCGTAGAAAGGGGAGGCAATCTGCCCTGGGTGACATTCAGGGCACCGCCTGCCTGCAACTCCCAAGCCTACCCTGAGCCGTCGGGGTAAGGGGAGGAGCTGCGTCGCTTTGCCAGTGGCACCCCCCCTTCCCCCTTCATATTATAATAATATAATAATAATAATTTATTATTTATACCCCGCCCATCTGGCTGAGTTTCCCCAGCCACTCTGGGCGACTTCCCAATGAAGTGTTAAAAGCAGTACAGCATTAAATATTAAAAACTTCCCTGAAGTTTATATTGACAGCTTGGGGGTGGCTTGGGAGTCGCGGGCGGTGCATCTAATGCCCACCATGGGCAGCTCGCTCTGCCCCCATGGGTGGCACACTCCGCCCGCGGCTGCAGGGAGCGCATGCCGTTCCGGGCACCCAAGCTGCTATTCCGTGCCTGGGAGGGCACCCTCTGCGCCACACCTCTCTCGGGAGCGCGCCCACCCTGAGCAGCGCTGGCATATGCTCTGCCTCTGAGTTCAGGGTACCCTGAGCAAACCAGTTTCAGAAAACAATGCTGGGAAGAGTCCTTTTTAGACATCATACTAAACAGAGCTTACTGAACTCCTGTAAGCCAGGTTCTTTTTAGACTTGGGGAGGTGTACTAGGGCCCCAATCACACTTAAGAAAGGTTTGTGTAGGGCATCCTTTTTGTGGTATCTCTGCTGACAGCAACAGGGAACCATGTCACAAGGAAAGTTTACCAATCACAATAGGGTCATTTGTGGGTTTGGGGCGAGGGATGGAGAAAGGAAAGAGACTGCTGATCTCAAGGGACATGCAGAAACCTAAGCTACCAGTCACACTGCAGGTTCATATAGACAACCAAGACAAACAAAACAAATAGAACAAACAAAATGTAATAGAATAAAAGAAAAAAACCCCATCACAAGATTTTTGGTTGCAATCACCCAGCAAAAATCCAAAAAAATACCAATACAGTGGTACGTCGGGTAACAGATGCTTCAGGTTACAGACACTTCAGGTTACAGACTCCGCTAACCCAGAAGTAGTACCTCGGGTTAAGAACTTTGCTTCAGGATGAGAACAGAAATCGTGTGGCGGTGGCGCGGCAGCAGCAGGAGGCCCCATTAGCTAAAGTGGTACCTCAGGTTAAGAACAGTTTCAGGTTAAGAACGGACCTCCAGAACGAATTAGGTTCTTAACCCGAGGTACCACTATATAACCAGAAACAACAAAACCAGCAAATCAGCCCCAAAGGTACCGTATGTTTTGCTCTGTAAGACTCACTTTTCCCCTCCTAAAATGTGTGGGCGTCTTATGGGGCAAATGCAGGCTGTGCAGCTATCCCAGAAGCCAGAACAGCAAGAGGGATCGCTGCTTTCACTGCGCAGCGATCCCTCTTGCTGTTCTGGCTTCTGGGATTCAGAATATTTTTTTTCTTGTTTTCCTTCTCCAAAAGTTAGGTGCGTCTTATTGTCTGGTGCATCTTGTAGAGCGAAAAATACGGTCATTTATAAATAAATGAAAGAGGATTTTCACTTAATGCCTGCGTCAAATAACATAGGGATTAATACTCTTACTGCCACGTGAGCTTCAGAGAAGTTAGTGCTGAAAGGAGGGGCAGGGCAGGCAAAGAGTGGGATTTTTTAAAATGTTGGATCTCCTGAGGCACTTCTGCCCATCCCAGTCTCTCCACCTCAGTCTGGTTCCCAAAACTCTGTGGTGTTCTAGTCAATCCCTATCCCAATGACCAAACTGTTGGAGAAATTTAAAAGGGGTTCCTAGACTGCAAGGTATCCCTTGCAGAAACCCGAAAGACAAGGATGCTGGCTTCAAGTGAATAGTCCTTTATTGAAATACAAATGCATATAGGGACAGCCTCAAAAATAAGGCTGCTACTGCCAAAAAACACATCCAAAGCAATGTTTCATACACACTTCCAGATTACACAAGTGATTTCTATTCACCAAAAAACCACAACACTCTTTGCAGTTGCAACCTAGTGTCATCATCCTGAACCAATCAAAATCATCTGGCTTCTCAGATCAGCCCTCACTGTATCATGTGATAACATATAATCATTTTCTTTATTAAGATTTTGCTGGTTTCTCTCTTCATTAAATGTTTCCTGATACCCTTTTTCATCTATCTACAAAACTTTTCAAGATTGAGCACAACTGCCATACCTGGCTGATTTTCATGCAAGTCACCAGATTCTTAAGTGTTTCTTGTTTTCAGTGTTCTGGAACGAACATTCGCTATACAGTGGTACCTCGGGTTACAGTGGTACCTACAGGTTACAGACTCTGCTAACCCGGAAATAGTACCTCGGGTTAAGAACTTTGCTTCAGGATGAGAACAGAAATCGCGCGGCGGCAGCGGGAAGCCCCATTAGCTAAAGTGGTATCTCAGGTTAAGAACAATTTCAGGTTAAGAACGGACCTCCAGAACGAATTAAGTTCTTAACCCAAGGTACCACTGTATATTGTACCTGAAAGCAACTCATTCTGTACTGTAAAATGTAGGTGCAGCCCTTTTTCAGTTTAGCCGTAGGCTCAAAAGAAAATGGAATCATCAAAGCATGAGGTTTTTCTCCATGACAAATTCATAGAGGTGAGGGCTATTGAAAGCTACTAAACACGACGCTGAGCTCTGCCTCCATGATTAGAGGAAGTAAATGCTTCTGAATATCAGTTGCTGGGAGCCGTAAGAGGTAAGACTGCTTTTGTGTTCAAACTGTGCTAGTGGGCTGGCCACTGAGAACAGGATGTGGGACTAGATGGGCCTCCTTTTGGCCTGATCCATCAGGACTCTTCTTATGTTCTTAAGTCTTAAGAACAACTGAAGGGCACCAGCAGATGGAGGCTGGACTAAATAAAGCCTCTGTTTTCAGTAGGGGCTGGTAGAAGGAAAACAAATGTCTCCTGACCACCCTTATTTCAAAAGAAATACAGCCCCCTCCTTCACTATAATCTGCCCAGTGCACAAGTGGGGTGTTCCTTAAATGTTATACTTATACAGCATGCAGCCATGGGTTTGCTTCACACATAATACTGAGCTACAAACCCAGCACAAAGTAACCATAGTTTGTTGTTACTACTCAAGCCACGGATTGTTTCAACCATGGTTTGGTGATGCGTCCAAACCCAATAGTCTGGTTTCAGCCACTCCGTGCCAGATGCCCACCAAGTGCCAGGGTTACAAGGCAAGTCAGCTGGAAAATGGAAGCATATCTCAGTGTTATGTGCGAATATGGCCACTACAAAGCCCTGCAGAAAACAGCACTACCTACTCTACTCATTTGTCATGTAAACTTTATGCATCAGCTCTCTGCCAGCTATGACATTTAAGGATGTAGGGTATGTGGTGCTCTGTAGCAGGCTTAGCCCCCACACTGCTTGATGAATCTTCTGTTTTTACTATGAATTACTTTGCCCTGAAGGGTTGAATTAATAATAATAATAATAAACCAGCAGCCTGACACCAACTGGACTCGAGAAATTTAGAATTCCACAGCCACTTAGAAATATGCTTTTTAATCAGTATAAACAGGAAATGGGTGGTACAAAAATGTGAGATAACAAAGCAATGGAGTTCTAACTTCAAAATTCATACTGAAACAGGAAGAGAAGGTGGTCACCTTTAAAAACATCTTGCCTTTGCTTTCTGAATGGTCCAGTAAGTATAAAAAACAGCACTTGGAAGATGATCTCTAGGCTGAAATCAATCATTTGGCCTGTGCTTCACCAGAGAAGAGGCAACATTTAAATAATGCCCAATCCAGGGTAGTAGTGGGGGTAGGGAAGGGATTCCAAGCCACCTTTTCCTCTCCATCCTCTTTCCTTCTTCAAGTTGTGGAAGAGCTAAGGAAAGGAATCAGTTCATCAATACATATAAAGTCACGTCAGGTTTACCTGACACACAAGGCTCGTTTTGTATGAACGAGGCACTGTTTGCAGACCACTCCACATCCTCTAGACGTTGTGCTCTTCTGGTGAAGGCATCTCACAGTTTCCTTTGCCTGGCTGAGGCAAGGCAGGTGGCAGGGCTACATCCAAAAGCTGATGGAAGTGAACTCACATGGGATTTCAAAATGGCACCTGGGGTCTTATCTCTGCATGTGCCTAACGAAGGCCTGGACGAGCTGGAAGAGCGGCTCCTGTCCCTCGGGGCCTAGCTTTGAGGAAGACTTCCCTTGTGAAGAGGAGAGAATGCTCACAGAAGAAGAACTGGGGCCACCCCGGCGGAAGTAACGGGACAGGCTGGAAAGAAGCGTGCTCTGGAAATAAGACATAGGGAGAGTTAGAGTCCTTCCTTCATACGGTATCCGTCAGACTTTGTTTCAGTCCAGGACACAACCCTACCTTCTACTTTCTTCTACTATTTCAAAGACTGACATTTACCTGGAGATCAGTTGGGACAGGTGTACAGGGTTGTAGAATTTACGTTTTATGCAAAGTGAAATTGAAATTGGTAAACTGGACTAATGTATTAGCCATTAATTTCAGCAGATCTACTCTAGGTAGGACTAGCACGGGAGGCAACCCACATGGAATTTCAAAGATGTGCATTAATTCACTCTATGCATGGACATTAACAACTGTAGACACTGACACATTGGTACAGTTTGGGCTTTTTACATAATCATACAGTTGTAGGGTTGGAACAGACCACAAGAGACATCTAGTCCAGCCCCCTGAAATGCAGGAGTCAGAAGCTAAAGAGTCTCCAACAGCTGGCCATTCAAACCTCTGTTCAAACATATCCAATGTTATTTAATTTTAACTCTTGGGGTATAATACAAGCATCTAAACTACTTACCAGCTCAGAGCTGAGCTCCTGTTTCATCCGCTGCTTGTCTCGTGGGTGGACTGCTGGATCCTTTAGGTACCGGAGAGCCTGAGAGATGAGCAGGTAGAAACAGTTTTCCATTGTAAACATCAGAAGTGACCTGGAGGAGGAGGGAAGAGGTAGTGTCAAGCCGGCTGACAAACAAAAGACCAGATGAAACTCAGTGGTAAGCCTGGGAGCTAGAGGTGCCGTTTCAACCCTAGGTAAACATGAGCACAGATTCTACACTCAGGACATTCTCACTGACTGGGCCTGTCCAACAGCAGCTGCAAAAGTTGTAGGTATCTCTTCTCGTGTCCCACCGATTAACTGACAATTGCAAAAAGTTAAAACATGAACCTAGGATCTACAGAGCAAATCAAGCATAAAGTGTACAGTATTGCCGGGAGGGAGGAGAGCCACCCTGTTTCCTGTTCCATAGGGCAGTAAAAGGAACGTAGGTACTTACTTGAGGGTCTTGTTCCCCTCCTGCTGGGTGGCCAGCTCTGCAGCCAAAGTGAAAGGCTCCTTCATCTTATCCAGCTTTGGAGAGAAGGGAAAAGCTGTGTTATATTCAAAAGCCAGACATTCAGCCAGGCCCAGTGTATTCTGTAACCCCATGCAAGCACAGAATTCAGCACTGAATGCAGAATTCAGCACTGAATGCAGAATTCAGCTTTCATTTTTTTAGAGCACCCTTTAGGGAGCCTCTTCCCAATAAAGGAAATGTAGTTTTGATTCCTTTCTACCCTGAGAAAGGAACAGCACACAATGTCTAGACAAAACTGCTGATCGAACAGTGAATGGAGGAGCAGCTCTGGAAAATCCCTGCTGCCACAAAGCAAGGGACTATACTATCCCCCAAGGAAGGGATAACGTTGTTCTGATTTGCCTGGGCAGAGCCATGTGTCTCAGGATAGCCTCCTGGGAAAAGATGTAGCCTAAGGGACCTGTGCAAGGTCCCAGGTTCAATCCCCACCAGCCATCTCAAAACATCCACTGAGACATCCCTTGACCACAATCTCTCACTATTGGTCTCTGTGGCCGCAATGGGTCAGTGCATCTGGCTGTTAACCAGAAGGTTGGTGGTTTGAGCCCACCCAGGGACAGCTGTGAGCAGGATTCCTGCGCTGCAGGGGATTGGACTAGATGACCCCCTAGGGGTCTCTTACAAATCTACAATTCTATGATTCACACACAACTTTTTTAAACTCCTTGCAATCAAGCACATCCCGTCCCAGTTCCCTTTTAGGGGGGAAAAACAACTGTGGGCTCCTCCACAGGGTCAGCTTGTGCTCCCCTGATCCTTACTTCTCCCAGCATGTTCAGGGCCACGTTGACTGTGGCCAGGAGGGTCCCAAAGGAGGGGGGCACTTCAGAATCAAAAGCCGGAGTGGTGAAGCTCAGCATGAAAAGGATGTTGTACTCGGCGAGGTCCAGTGACTACAACAGAAAAAACAGGGTCAAAACCAAATGGAAGTCAAAATCAGTCTTCTCTTGAGGCTGTAGAGCAGGTGTGGTTGAACCTCTGTCCCTCTGGGTGTTGGTGAACTACAACTCCACCATCCCTGGCCATGTTTGCTGAGGCTGACGGGAGCTTTAGTTCAGCAACAGTCGGAGGACTGCCGGCCAGACGCAAAGACCAGCTAAATCTTTATTTCACCAATACCACCAGGAGTCACTTGATCTATTTATTGTTCATTTTACATCCAGACCTTTCTCCCAAAGGAGCCCAGGTTGGCAAACATGTCAATAATAAAAAATGCAAATGAAACTTTTAAAAGAAGTTTAAAAATTTTCAGAAAAACAAACTATCACCTACTCTCACAGCTAATAATTTCAGGTTATAGTAATTTACCAGACGCCATGCCTTTCAGCCATCTAATATCTGGTAAATCCCCCCTAATAGTTAATACGGAGGTAGAGAGACACACCTCTCTATGGAGGGCATTCCACACACAGGGAACCACTCTCAAGAAGGCCCTGTCACAGCTCAAAGCCAACTGGGCGACCTCCAGTGGCAGCACCACCAAAAGGGGCCCAATTGTAGGCCCTGAGATGGTTGATAATGAAGGCGCTCTTTAAGCCACTTGGGTCCCAAGCCATTATGCAGAAACTGGAGAGAAACATCTACTGGTCACATCTGAAGTCTCACTTATGACAGAGGCTTAGTTCTCATCCATGGGCATATGTTTGAATTTGTAAGTGAGTGCCATGGGTGCCACACACACCGTAATCACTTCTCCTCTCCCCTTCCCCTTGTTAGCAACCCCCACCCCAGAGAGAAATAAGGAACATCTAGACACACACTTCATTTTCCCAACGGAGCTGGGTAAAATATGGTCTAAGTGACACTTATCAGCAACTATGGCACCACAGAGCTTGAAAGAGGAAATTGGACAGAGTGTCGCTCTTCCAACTTCCTCCTTCAGCTTTATGCACTTTTCAAGGGATATAAAAAGTAATCATTGCCAGCACCAAGAGGGGAGGGAATGGGTGCGCTTCCTGGGTGCCATGGGAAGTCCATGCCAGGGGCACCACCGCAGAATTCTGGACTCTTCCTCCTAAGAGCCTGGCTTACTATACCTGATCAAGAAGAATTTGGCAGACATCCGGAGTGAAGTGGCGTAGGGCAGCGAGGGACTTGCTGAGGATTTTAAGGAGGCTGTACTGCACAGCGCGCAGAGCCTTCTGCTCAGCAGCCTCCGTCTCCGGACTGGGAGGCTTGGCAGAGGTCTGTGGGGGGCGCTGGACATGAGGCAGGATGGTAGACGGGAGGGGCTCTCCATTCTTGGTCTGAAAAGAAGTCCAAGCAAGTGAAGGGAGGGACATGGGACAAGAGAGCGGACTACATACACATACACATACACATACACATACACAGGCATACACATACACACACACACACGCCAGGCAAACTATCACCACTACTGGGGAGGTTTTTGCAAAAGGAGCCTTTGCTTTGTTCAGATTCAGGTCAAGCTGGCAGCCAGTTGGAATCCTGGTATGTGTGCTCGTTCCCCTTTGAATTACTAGCCCCTCACACAAAGTATGAAAAGAACTGGAAGCAGTGAAATTTCACTCATTTACTTCCATTTCATAAAATTGATATATTATTAGGTTGTAAAAAGGGGGGGGGGGAGCACACCTCAATGCAGTTTACAAAAAAAGAATGAAATTATGAGTTAATTTTTTTTAAAAAAAACTACTATTTAAAGCTGTCTTCCACAATCTGGTGCACTCCAGGCTTTTTGCACCACACTTCCCATAATCCCTGGCTATTGACTATGCTGGCTGGGGTTTATTTTTTTCTTCTTTTTTAATAAGGTTATTAAAGCTTTATCATAATCCAGTAACATAAAAGAAACTAATCTAAATTGAAATAAAAGCAAAGGAATAAAGAGAAAAGAAAATGCAGGGTCCTCTTTCAACCCTAGTCTCTCACAAAAAGTGGTGGACCCTTCCAGCTCACACCTGAGAGATTTCCATTCGCCTCCCACCCTGGGAGATCTTCCCTTCTTTGCCTCTCACACAGGGTCCAACTCTATGATTCTATGACATCCGCTAGCAAGGCAGGTGGTCATGGTTTATGGGAAATGACCTCAGGGGCTAAATGAGGCAGCCTGCTGGGCCGTTTTTGCCCCGGGACCAAAGGTTTCCTATTCCTGGAACTTATCTTCCACTTTCTGTAAAATTACTGCCTGCCCCCCAACACACACACACACACATCAGTAACAATACAATGGTATCTCAGGTTACAAACACCTCAGCTTACAAACACTTCGGGTTACAGACTCCTCTAATCCGGAAGTAGTGCCTCGGGTTAAGTACTTTGCCTGAGGATGAAAACAGAAATCGCACACTGGCAGCGGGAGGCCCCATTAGCTAAAGTGGTACCTCAGGTTAAGAACGGACCTCCGGAACAAATTAAGTTTGTAACCAGAGGTACCACTGTAGTAGTAGGCAAGTCATGGAACAACAATGGCTGCCCACATGTGGCCATTCATGAGTAATTCAAATTATTTCCAGGTCCAGATCAGAACATTGGTCTCTTGTTCAATCCTGGGAGTCTCCACTTGCAGTCTGAAGCGGCACAGGCCAAGCCTAGCTTCAGTGAGAACCAGCCACCTCAGCCCCTTACCTGTATGTAGTGTTGCAGCATTTTCCGACTGTGCAGAAGTGAAGTGCAGGCCTGGCACAGGTAACACAGGTTCACCTGAAATGTTCAAGAAAATGTCTCTTATAACAAATCTCCTGATAAATGGAAAATAAAGCCAGTGTCACATCAGGAGGATAGAGGATGAACCACCTCAAAGAGCCCAAGTTCAAATTTTAGCCTGATATCTTGAAGGAGTCACCTCTTAACCTCTATTTTTCATCTGGATGTAGAATATCTTCCCTTGCCAAAGCAGACCAAATTATAAGGGGAAAGACCACCTAAACTCCTGGGTGTAAACAGCCTTTAACCAGGATAGAAAGCTGAGCAGAAACCCTTGTGCAGGGAAAGACACTGACATAGCAGGAAAGGCAGGATTAAACACCCTTCCATACCAATGATACCTCAACCGATTCAGGACCAAGGTAGGAAAAGTATTATGCTTTTTTATTTGTTTTTTACTTTTAACAATAAGCAGAGGGCAACCATATTCAAGGACTTGAATGGTGTGGTCCTTGTGTGATGCAACACAAAATCGAACTTCATTCTCAGTAAGCTATTAACAACCTCGGTCCTTTTGCCTGGAAAGGCGAAAAACCTCAGAAGCCAACAACCTTGCTTAAGATTGAACCACCAACATTTCTTCCTCAGAAAGTTCACCCTCCACCCCAACAGCTCTTCCCTACAGAGGACCACTGTCCACAGGCTAAAGCATTAGCAGGACCATCCGCCCCCTTAGCTGGCTCCATGATGACTGGAGAGGAGCCCCTAAAACAGGGAGAGAAGGAGACCTCACAGAACTGCTATTTGATGGAGCTCTGTGAGATCCTCTTTTATGCATCCTGGATGATGCCAACTCTTTCCCTTGCAGGCTTCCTATGAACAGGAGCTCCCCCTTCTGTGTTTATTATGTGGGAGGGAGTTCTTTACCTCTTTGTAAATGCAAGAGTGTACCAATGGGGGGGGGGGCAATCTGACAAAGGAAATAGTATTGCTCACCCCACCTGCAGAATGGGTGGGTGAATGGGGAGCTCCTGCCTCAAAGTGCTAAGCACAACCAGAGGAGGGGCCATTGGAGTTTCACCAGACCCTTCCTCGGCGACCATCTTGTCCAGAGGTGGCTGAATCAGCAGGCAAAGCCATAACATCCATGGCACACTGACTGTGCATTGCTGAGGACAGAACACATGACACTCGGGGAAAGCAATATGGAGACTCCACCATGACAAGAGTGCCATGGGACCCAAGCCCCATTACAGGACTGAGAAAGAGGGGAGTCACTGAGCGGCCACCTCTTGGGACGTTGCAGAATGTACACTACAAAAATATCCCCCCTGCTCAGGAACGTTCATCACCAGAATTATTATAAAGGCAGCAAACTTTACTGTAAACACAGGCAGAGAACAGATCCCTCCTTTTCCATAGAAGTTTGCTAGGAGCGATCACAGTGCATTGCAGATACAGCAAAATACTACTAAAAATCACCAAAAGAGAACAATAAAATGCACTTCAGGGTGAAGGGGTCTGGCAATTTAACAACAACTACTACTTAAAAGTGATTTCTGCCCATCCTCTAAAGCCTTTCTTCTAGAAACCTCCTCTTTACAATCTGGGCCCAATAGCCATTTCCAAGTAGGGCTCTCTCATTAGAGAAATCAATTCGGCTTTAGGCTTTGGTTTCAGGCTTAAGGATAATGAACTTTGCTCTGATCAACAATAAGGTGACATGGGGTAAGGGTGAGGGTGACATTTGATGACTCATGTTGCTTTAACCACAAGGACAAAGTTGTGCAAAAGTGTTTAATCGTGTGTAAACACAGTAAAGGCAATATGCAAACAAAATTTAATAGGACAGGGACATGCAGACAACTAGTTCTCCCTACCTGCACGTCTCTTAGAAGCTGAGGCAGGTGGAAGTGCCACTCCTTCAGGAAGTTAGCGAGCTGAAGAATGAACCCAACCGTATGATCTGCTTCTTCAAGGCAGGCCAAATTCTGTACAGTCCGGACTGCAGTCAGGCACTGGAAAAGGGGGTGGGGGGAAAAGACCTTAAAGAGCAGGAATTTCCTCTTTTTCTCTCTGTCTTTCAGTTCAGGCTCTGATATTCACTGTGCCACAGCTACAGGAATACTGGAGCATCCCTACCATCTAACAAGACATCCTGACCATCTCCCACCCCACTTTCTTTCTGAACAGGGAAAAGCTGGTCAAGACATCTGTTCTGCATGTCAGTGTGGCAGCACCTAATAACAGACAGGCACCTTCTCTTTTGTCATTCTGGCACCTGCTAAAGATGCCCATCTTTCAACAAGACTTCTAGATGGAGATCTTTATTGAAGTTGGCATGTGGATTGCATCTGAACTGATCTTTGGTACATGCTGTTGTGATTTTAAACTCTCGGTGTGTATCATCACACTCACACAATTTTTATATACGCAGCTTTAAAAATATTTTTTATATATTGTTTTAAATATGTTCTTATTACAGTATACTGTAAATAGCTTCAGGATGGCCCATGGGAAGTGATTCAAAAATGAAATGATGGTGACTTCTGGTGTAGGATGACGCTGTGAGGCAAGGCTCTCAGCTCTTTCCTGATAAAAATGCTTTCAAACTTCTGAATCATCGGACTGTGTGGACAAAGATTTTGATTATCAGCTGAAAAAAAGTTCTCATTACATATTATTTTGCTTTTAATGACCTGCTGCGATGACAACTTGGACTAAACAATCAACACTGGACTTAATTCTAACTGCGCCACTATCTGCTGAGCCAGGGGAATTGGCAGAGGAGGATCCTCATACTAATTTGTTGAAAGAGACAAGTCTTAAAGCCGATCCAAAGAGATCAGAGCTTAAAAATGACTTAAAACAGATGATGTAAATGGGCGTTATTTAATTTTATGTGCTAAAATAGCAGAGACTTTAATAGCCATGCTTAATGTTTATGGACCTAATTCAGATTCCCCCCACTATGATTTACAAATGTTTTTGACACCTAAATGAGTGTATTTATGATGAAATGGTGATAGATTTTAATGAAATATTGGATTCTAAGCTTGATAGAAATACACCTGTATGAAAAAAACACACCAATCATTAGTGAGGGAAACAATTAAGACACATATGGAAGAGTTTAGTTTAATGACAAACACACTTTCCCAACAAACCTGAAGGATCCTCTCTTGATGGACGCCCACGAAGTCCAAGGCTTCAGTCAGGAAGTTGTACCGCAACGTCTTCAGAAGGCGCTCCATCAAGGAGATGGAAAGGCGATAGACTCCTGGCCAGGAAGGGGCATCCAGAGATTTCCGCAACGAAGCCTGCGCCTGCATCACATGAAGAAGAAGAAGAAGAGTTTTGGATTTGATATCCCGCCTTTCACTCCCCTTCAGGAGTCTCAAAGCGGCTAACATTCTCCTTTCCCTTCCTCCCCCACAACAAACACTCTGTGAGGTGAGTGGGGCTGAGAGACTTCAAAGAAGTGTGACTAGCCCAAGGTCACCCAGCAACTGCATGTGGAGGAGCGGAGACGCGAACCCGGTTCCCCAGATTACGAGACTACCGCTCTTAACCACTACACCACACTGGCTCCATTTGAATGAGGACCACACCATTCAAATACACAAATAATTGCTATGCAGATGTTTCTGAGAAGGGGCCAGTTGCTTTCTGATAGAATTGGGTTTCTCCAGGGATGTCAACATGGATAGACCCTGTTTACAGCTGGATATTCCGCCTCCCCTCTCCCAATTTCTCTCCTTTATCCTTAAGGTAAAATTTAGATTGAAAGCTCCTCAGGTCAGAGACCAGTGCTCTTATACTCAAAAATGCTCAAGCCCGTGTATCTCAGCCTGATCACTGAGATCATCCAGAGGAATGCTGTTAGTTGTCTCTCATGTTACAGAGGCCTAATTGGCCTCCACTAGGCATTTATTGTGGTCAGTCCCCTGCTGCAGAATGCTCTTCCAGGAGACTCAGCAGGCACCTTGCTTTTGACTTTCTCTTGAAAGCCCTTTCTATGGAGACAAGCCTACACAACTGCTTGCATTTTCTGATCAGACAGTCATTTTAAGTGACAATATGATTTATTAGACTTCTCAAGTTGTTTGTTACCAGAATGTCTCCAAGCAACGTACAACACATTTAAAAACAATATAAAAACATTATACCGCATAAAACTGCAAATAACCCCCTAACAACCAAAGGAAGCTTTGACAGAACACTAGTAACAAAGCAACATCTTATAAGTCTATCTTTATGTGTCACCAAAAAGATGTCAGTGAAGGAGCCAGGCGGGTCTTATTGGGAAGAGACAGGGAGCCACAATGGAAGAGGCCTTTCCCCTTGTCACCACCCTCTAAACCTCCCTGATAACCCCCATCTCCCTTTATGGTGTTTTATATTTTACTGCATATGCTGCTGTATACCACACTATATTATGTAAATTGATGGTATGAAGGAATGATTGCTGGGTGTGGAGCACACTTCCACCCGCAGACAAGCCATAGCTGTCTGAACATCATGCCCTCTATCTAACCTTTTGCTCTCTTAGAAGTCTGCCGTGCCCTGTCTGTGACCTTTGTCTCTTTTGATTAAACATCGTGCAAGGGGAAAGTGACGCGGTGGAAACAGGTGCCAAAATAACTTTGTACCACCCCTCGATCTCGGGATTGGAAGATGTGTAAAGGTCACCGTCCAAAATGTATCTGACTGGTTTTCCATATTGTGCTAATAAAAAGAGCCTCGGCAGAGCTAGCTGGCAGCTTGCTTATGCACAGCTCACCTGATGACCAACACCTGACCCGTGTCCTTCACTTCAGTGGTATGTATATTAAAAATACCTTTGTAAAGTGCCACATAAAAGGTAAAGGAACCCCTGCCCGTACGGGCCAGTCTTGACAGACTCTAGGGTTGTGCGCTCATCTCACTCTAGAGGCCGGGAGCCAGCGCTGTCCGCAGACACTTCCGGGTCACGTGGCCAGCGTGACAAAGCTGCTCCGGCGAACCGGCACCAGAGCAGCACACGGAACGCCGTTTACCTTCCCACTATAAAGTGGTCCCTATTTATCTACTTGCACCCGGGGGTGCTTCCGAACTGCTAGGTTGGCAGGCGCTGGGACCGAGCAACAGGAGCGCACCCCGCCGCGGGGATTCGAACCGCCGACCATGCGATCGGCAAGTCCTAGGCGCTGAGGTTTTACCCACAGCACCACCCGCGTCCCTAAAGTGCCAGATACACCAATGGAATTACATAAGTAGCAGCAGCAGATAATTATAATGGTATACTTAAAGTAACCCCTTGCTTCACCATGGCAGCAAAGCAAAGTTCTGACAAAGTGGGTCACCCACACTGGAAAAGGAAGAGGAGTCACTCACCTGACCAGCTCCATCACTGCTCAAATGGTACACGCTCAAAAGAGGCAAGCAAATGCTTTGCATGACGCCAGCTCCAGCCACAGCTGCTGCCCCCTGCAAGAGAACATAAGAAGAGCCCTGCTGAATGAGGCCAAAGGGGGTCCATCTAGTCCAGCATCCTGTTCTCACAGTGGCAAACCCATAAGTAGGACCCAAGCACAATAGCATTTCCCACCTAACATGGCAGATTCCAGCAACTGGTAATCATAAGTACTGCTGCCTCCAACTGTGAAGGCAAGGCAAAGGCATCATGACTAGTAGCCACTGATTGCCCTCTCCTTCTCCATGAATTTGTATAAAGAGTTGGGGGTCAACAGCTCTTGAGAAGTGGTATCACCCGCCTCTCTCTCCAGGTGGTGGAGCTAAACTGAAGCCGCCACAGAGCTCTCTGACAAGACCCTCAGATTTCTTCTGATGTTTACAATGGAAAACATTCTACCTGCTCATCTCTCAGGCTCTCCAGTATCTGGATCCAACAGCCCACCCACAAGACAAGCAGAGGATGAAACAATGAGCTCAGCTCTGAGCTGGTACGCAGCTTAGGGAGTTGTATTAAACCCCAATAATGAAAATTAAATATCACTGGATAAGTTTGAACAGAGGTTGAATGGCTAGTGTCAGGGATTCTTTAGCTGTGACTCCTGCATTACAGAGGGTTTAACCCTTAGGGTTCCTTCCTACAACAGTATGATTTTGTATATTTCTTTCATGCTGGCAAGCTCACCTGATACAAATCCCCAATGTGCCAATCTTCCCTGAAATCTAACCATGTGATTGTGTTATGCGCACATTCTCCTCCACATGTCATTTGACTTTGCCACTTTGAGTCATTCTTCCCAGTACTTTAAACTATGCAACGTGTTTGCTGATTCAGAGAATCCTCAGACTCTCCATGCTTATAGGCAGCATGGCACTGAATATCATAAGCTGGGGGCGAACGGCAAAACCAGACCAACACCTTCCGCAGCAGGAGTGACAGAACCTGTCGCTTGGACCACAACTCCCATCACCTCATGACTATTAGCTATGACGGATGAGGAGAGTTGGAGCCCAGCAACAGCTGAGGGGGCACGTGTTCCCCACCTGTGCCCCACAGATTATACAGCCACAAGCAGTTGGGGGAAACGGGGATCAGCCATATAGCTCAATACTAGCTAGCTAAAACTGTGTGGAAGTAACATAAAGCTTTTGCCTCTTCTCACCTGCTGGGTCCTGGCCAAGGTCAACAGCAGGTGCAACGAGGCTTCTGTGAAGTGCAGGTTCTGCTTCACTCTTAAGCTTATCTCCAGGGTGGTGAAGAGAGTTGGGAGCAGTGGGATCTTTCGGGTAACTTGAAGCCAATAATCCCCATCCTCATCCACTTCACAGAGCTCCTTCGCCAGGTGAAGCCCCAGCACACACACCTGCTGGGAGGAGGCAGAGCAGGGAGCGAAGAGCACATGGGCACCCAGGTGGGGAAGGAAGGATACTGACTGTCAGAAAACAAGCCACTTAGGATGACTGCTACTAGCAAACAGTTGTTTTTAAGTTTGTGATTGTTTTATATGGTGTTTAATTGTATACATATTAGTGCACATCACATATACATACTGCACATCATATACATATTAATGCAGTGTTAAATACTTTTATCAAAAAAATATTTTTTAAAAGGATTTACGTCTTTTACACAACAGTGTGGCATGCAGTAGTTAGCATCAGGCTAGACCTGGAAGACCAAGAGTTGAATCCAATCAAATTTTAATCATAGTAGGGCCACTCTGCCGTGCAATTATATATTCACTGTCAAGTGGAGCTTGGCTCCAAACAACTTTAGTTTAAATCACTGTCTTCTTGCTATGCAGGTCAGCTGAATCAAGTGGTCCACTCTGAATGAAGGCAGAAAATGAACTGAGGCCTCAAGGGAGAAAGGATTAACAACTTTCTTTGAAGTTTCAGGATTTCCTGCCTTCGAGGAACACAGGGGCAGCTAAGCCCCACTTGGAGATGCCACCCCCCACCAGTCTTTCCCCAAGACTAATGTAGCCACTTGCCCCGTCTCGCTGGTCTTTCTGCTTATGCCGGGAGGAATCGTCTGTTTCCATGCTGTCTTTGTCATCTGTTGAGTCCCCAGAAGTCAGGGAATGCCGAGTCTGGTCAAAAAGGGCAATGAATTCCTCCTGGAGCGTTTCACACACGCTCAACACCAGCTGGGAATACTCAGGAACTTCACTCACTATAACACACATGCACACAGCAATTTGATATGGAGCACGAGGAAAAGCATATAGAGCAGCCTAGTGTTGGACAAAAGCCTTACTCTGAGGTGGGGAATCACTCCCAGGGGATGAATGTGGCCCTCAGGACTCTCCCTAGACCATACCCCCTCACCAGCTCTGCTCTGTTCCTTCCTCAAGTGCATTTGCCTAGCTGGAATCTGCCCCTCAGCTGTGATAAATGTATTGGGCTGGCACTGAGTCCAAAGCTATTGTCCCATGATTTGTTCCCAAACCACTTCGGGAATGCTTGGGTTCAGAAACCACATTCTTTCCCATGCAAACACTGGAACCTTCAAAGGGCACCAGATTTTCCACCTGCCTTGCCCTACACTCCTACTTGGGACCCTTACAAGGAGGAACTGCTGCCTAAATAAGTTGTATTGCATGTGAATTTTGCATCTGTGTATTGTTCTGTGCGATTTGCCCAGGGGGTGGGAAGGCGGGCTCTTTTGGGAGAGAAGCGGCATATATACAAACAACAACATAACACAACACAAGCATCTCTGCTCAAGGCATTACGCTAAGCAGCAAGAGTGATGTCCGCAGAAGTTGTCCATATAAAGCTCCCCACCTTTCATCTGCTTCATTTGCAGGACTGTGATGAGAGCAGAGAACACTTTGGCCTTTGTCTTTTCCATCATCTGCTGGTCTGCCTGCAGCACTCCATCCAGAATCTTCGTCAAGGAATTTATGATTTTATCCACAGAGCCCAACTCACTGACAACAGGGATTGGGGGGGGGGGAATGGAAGAAAAGATATTAAGATGCATAAAATTATACACATGTCAGCATGTCATCTGCTCTGCATGATTCACAACCTCCCTGGGTGAGTTTGCTTTAGAAGAGAGAAATAATCCTCACCATAGCGCATCCAGCACCTGCCTGCTCTTGATCATCTGCCAGCAGCAGACCACGGAGGGCATGGTAAAACCACTTCACTTTCTAGTTTCCTCCATCAACAAACAATTCCGCCTTAAATAGTGGTTCACTATAGTTCACACCTGTTTTTGTGTTGGCCATCTTCAAAACTGGATTAGGACTTTTAGAGACCATAAAGCACAGAAAAAAGTTTACAGTGCCCCTTAGTGGAGAGTAAATCCCCTGAATAAAATAGGGCTAAGTAGACAGGGTTGAGATCGCATATTACATTTCCACTGCCTTCAGATATTTTAAGAATTATTTGATTGATTGAAATAATAATAAAAATAATAAATATACTGCTTGACTGCAGTAAAACCTCTAAGCAGTTTACAAGAAATACTAAATTATCAATAAAAAATACCAAATAAGAAAGTAAAAACGTAAGATTATTTTATTAGAGCAGTAAAAAAACCTGAAATTAAAGCACGTCTGGATAGGCTTGTTTTAAATAGAGGCTGAAAAGAGTACAGTGAAGGTGCCTTCCTGGGGTCAATAGGAAGGGAGTTCAAAAGTGTAGGTACTGCCACACTAAAAGATCAAATTCTTACAATTATGGATCGATTTCTTAACAGTAACTCTCCAGAGTACCAGCAAGGAGTCCTTCTTAACCCACCACCTGGAAATGCTTGGAACTGAACCTAGGACCTCCTGAATGAGAAGAATGTGTTCTGCCACTAAGCTACTGCATCCTTTCCCACAAGAGACCTACCTCTTCCACTGTCTCAGCAGGATTAAGAGGAGGGTGCACAGCATGGATCCCAGCTGTAGACAACACACCGAAGTGGGAACCAGCAACTGCAGAAATATTTATTTATTCTGACTGAGTAACAAGATTTTAACATCGCCTCCCTAAACAACATTTCCAAAGGAGAAAGCAACATGAATAGACAACCATCAAGCCTTAAAATAAAACCACAAAATAAAAATGTGATACAAGTCAATAAACCGACAGCACAGGGGGAGGAGGGAAGAAAAAAAGCGTGTTTGATTCTATTTCCAAAAACAGAAAGGGAAATGTTTTAAGTGGCTTCAGGACAGAGGGGGAGCCAGGTGGGCATCTCAAAGGAGTGTGATCCAAGATCCAGACTGCTACATAAATGGTCCTAAGTTTTGTGGGCACCTTTAAGTTGGCAGGACAACTGTTCGTGCATCCTGCAATGCGCAACAGGAAAAACTTTTCTCATTGATCATGCTCCAGTGAAATGGAGAAACACAGGCTACGTATGCACCATAAATTTGAAGTGTGTTTCATCCACATGGCTCTCCCTGTGAAAGAACCCTGGGAACTATAGTTTCCCCCTTACATACTGTTTTTATACATTCTTCTTCACTTAAAGCAGCTAAACAAACTCTATGACTTCAAGCTGTAGAAGACCAAGGATGCTATTCAACTAAGTATTACTCAGAGTATACCCGTTAAAAGGATCATGTTCATTAACTGAAATAGGCCTACTCAAAGTAAGATCTAGTTCAATGGTACCCTTAGAACCCATCACTGCCTGCCAATCTGCTACCAAGGGTCATGTTTAAGGTGTTAATACTAACATTTAAGTGCCTATACAGCTTGCTTTATCCCTTATACACCTAGCAGACTGCCGCAGTCTGCAAGAGTCTCTCCTACAAGTTCTAAAGATGTGAGAAGCCCACTCTGCAGCAACTCATAGTGTGACACTTTTCTACTTTCCAAAACCAACTGGAGGCATTTTTCTGTTCCCACGTGCTTTCCTAGCTGTATAAATGGGTCTTCACCACAAGTACCCATTTGTTAGGGCTTTAGTCTTGTTTTAAAATGCATTTGCTGCTTTGGTGGTTTTAACTGTTTTATCTTATGCATAAATTGCCTTGAGACAGTGGTTCAGAAGGCAATTAATAAATTGATGATAAAAGCAGCGATGTTAACAACACTCACCAAAGCCTCAGTCCCACTCAGGACCTCCAGGAACAGCTGCTGGACTTCGGAGTCAGTCAAGTGCATGATGTCGGCCTGAGAGGATCAAAGTCCATCATTAAAAATTTGTAACAGAATCATTCCCTGCCCCCATTTTTTCCTTTATATGCAAGATGCATGTTTGTTGAGAAATCAGCAGCTGCAGTACCAGGTAACTGTAAAATCTGAGATTACTAGAGCAGAATCTGTTGCAACTTCCTTCTTTCTCTCAAGTAATAGCTGTTTTGTTTTTGACAAATCTGTTAACTGGCTCAACTAACTTATGTGGATGCAATGTGATACAATCCCACCTCCCATTCTATACTGTAACATTTTATGGACAGGCAAAGAGACAAAACCTCCTTACGTGGCTGGAAGAAACAATGAGCATCATCCGCCATGCGGAGATCAGCATCTGATACTCTGACATAGAGGTGCAGCCACTGTCCTCCGTCTCTGCCATGTGGAACGCCAGGGACTGCACGTAGCCTGACCAGTAAGCAAAGCGCTTCTCCGTGGAAAACTTCTTCAGTGTGTCTTTCAGCGACTGGTCCAAAGAACCCCTATGGGCAAATGAGAAACTGAGAGCCGTGATTCTTGCTCTTGATTACTCTTGGTTTTGCAGAAAAGTAGAAGTGTGTCCCTTCCTGCTAAAGCAGCTTTGACCTCAAATGCTTTGGACTACAATTCCCATCAGCCCCAACATCATAGAGCCGAGCTGGATGGGGCTGAAGCGAGATGCAATCCAAAACAATTGGACAGCACCAGGCTGGAATAGGTCACCTTGAAGAATTCACATCAAAGCTATAGCAGATATATCAGATAATGAAAAACAAGGTATACAAAAATAAACATGTGCCATTCTACAGGAAGCTGTAAGTAAGTGGTGGGGAACCTATGGCCCATGGGCCAAACACAGCTCACCAGACTGTTCCTTTGGTGGAGCAAGGATTTCTCCCAATTGCCCATCCTCTGATGGGTGGTCAGAGCAAGCCTTGTTCAAGGAGACGAGCAGTTTCCATTCAATTTATTTGCAAGCCGCCCTGCCTTGCTCCTTTCAACCTTGAATTTTGGAGGTGGAAAGGAGCAACACGGAGCAGCACAGGACTGGCAACGCCACTTGGGAACACTTGGGAAAGTCAACTGTGCTGGCGGTAACATGCTCTACAACAGATTGTGCCATCTATCGTGCAACATATGCTTATACAATTCTCTTGCACAACATTCTGCTGATGCAAAACGTTTTTCACCAGTAGAGCTAGTATGCACTACTAAGTGATTTCAACTTAGTATGCACTGCATACAACCCATAATTTCCTATTACATCTGTACTGAGCTGGCAGAAGCAGGTCACCGGCTTTTACGATATGCTCTGAATGATACTTACTTAACTACATAGTAGATCTCCAGACAAATGATTTTCATGATCAAGGCACAGGTGTCCAAGATGCTGAGCTACAGAGAGGGAAAGGGAGTTATGTGGAATGTATATATGCATGTTTTATGTATCATATGTGTTTTATTACACATTTTATTATGCTGCTATTAACTTTGTTTGCTTGCTAAAATCTGTTTGCTTGTTCTCTTTTCTTCATTTCTATATCCTGTATTTGGTTGACCAATAAATTTTGATTTGTTTTGCTTTGATTTGAGAACTATCAGGCTGGTGGCTCATACAGAAACAAAAGGACAGAAACCAAATTTACCTGGGAATATTTCATGCCTTCTGTCCCATCAAGCATACTGATGGGGTGGGGATGTTGGAACTTGGAAATCTATCAAATTTTACTTTACTCTTTTAAAATGTATCTATCCTGTATATCTTACCTAGGGGGAATAGCAATTAAAGGCTGTAACACCCAAAATACAGTGGTGCCCCGCAAGACGAATGCCTCACAAGACGAAAAACTCGCTAGACGAAAGGGTTTTCAGTTTTTTGAGTCGTTCCGCAAGACGAATTTCCCTATGGGCTTGCTTCGCAAGACGAAACGTCTTGCGAGTTCTTGCGAGTTTGTTTCCTTTTTCTTAAAGCCGCTAAGCCATTAATAGCCCCTAAGCCCCTAAGCCATTAATAGCCGCTATGCTGCTAATAGCCGTGCTTCGCAAGACGAAAAAACCGCAAGGCGAAGAGACTCGCGGAACGGATGAATTTCGTCTTGCGAGGCACCACTGTATGGTAGCAGGAGACATGCAGGTCCTCAAACTAGTGCTTCTTACTATGGAAGCAACTCACCTCAGATGTTTCGGAAGGCGGAGGAAGGGTTCCAAAGAGTGGGTTAGTTAAATTTTCCCAAAACTTTGGCCTACAAAAATTGCAGAAAAACAGACAAAATCAGGCATTGTTCACATTTTTTTGCCAACTTCAAAACATTCCTAAGGATAGAAGGATAACTGTGTTTGTGTTGGTGATTAAAGTGCTCTACTTTGTGCCCGCTCCCAGACGGGTTGCAACATGAGACGAGAAAATTTATCACTTACTTGGTGCGGAGGACTAACATAGCACTATCCCGGCGGTCCTGCCAGAGGGCATGAAGGAAGGCAATGGCAGCTCGCTGGAGAAGCGGGGGACACCAATACCGCTCCTGCTGTTTGGTGTCTATCAGCTCCAGAACTACGTGAAGGCAGCTCCACTCTCCTAAGTTGAATTCCTATACCAGAAAAAAACAAAATGCAAAAAGAGTGGCAGTGGGAGAGGAGAAAAACTTTTAAGGACATGCTTTAGTTCACAGAAGCTACAACAGCAGGGTGGCAGGAGTGTGGAGGTCTGTGTGGCGACCATATAATGTGGTCAAGTCACTGGGAGAGAAAAGAGAATGCTGAATTCTGCCCCTTCTGTGGCAGAGAGGAAACTTATAAGAGTCTGCTGGATCAGACCTATGACTCGCCATCTGGCCCAACATCCTCTTCTCACAGTGGCCAACCAGATGGTCATTATGGGAAACCTGTAAAATCCTCCTGTGCTTTCCAGCAACTGATATTCAGAAGCATAGCTGCCTCAGAATGTGGAGGCAGAGCATAGCCATCACGGCTAGTGGCCACTGACGGCCCTATCCTCCTCTATGAATTTGTCCAATCCAAAGCCATTTAGGTTGGTGACCATCACTGCCTTCTGTGGGAGCGAGCTTCATTGTTAACTGTGTGCTGCTTGAAGAACTCCAGCTTCAATGGAAGACTACACATTCTAGTGTTATGAGAAAGGAAGGAAAACCTCTCTCTATCCACTTTTTCTGTCACATGTCTATAAGCTTACAATGTCGCTTCTAAACTAAAAAGTCCCAAACACTGCAAACTTTCTCACCTTGTGCCTAAACCTAGGCACGAACTAGTAGCCAGCGACTGTGCAAGTTTTTGTAAAGGTTTTGTGTGTGGGTGTTCTATCAAGTGCTGAGTGAAACCAGATCTCCTTTGTGGGAAGCCTAGGATCGTGGCTGCTGCGGTGAGTGAAGAAAGATTATGTCAGAGAGATTATGTCAGCTGGTTTCAGGGCTGATGCTGACCTGCAACTTCTGATCTTTGAATTATCACAATACTCTTTGAACTATTGTGAGTTTGCACACTGAACTGTATGGAGGTTCTAATTTTTAATGCTCTGCTATTCTCTCGAGCTTCTTTGAACTCAATGCTGTGAATGGGAAAGCAGCATGCAAATATTAAAGCAGATCAAAATATGTGGGCTGAATCATTCAAGCAAAAGGGAGGTGGCTAAGGTAACGATTCTAGGTCACAAAAGTGAAAAATTATTGTGCGCTCTCTCTCGCGCGCGCTCTCGCGCTCTCTCTCTCAGACACACACGCGCACACACACACACACACACACACACACACACAGAGTCTACCTTTGATCCATCAGTCCCATCATTTACTTCCAGATTGAGGAACAGCTCAATGAGGCCAGGCTGCGTTTCCACAGCAACGGTGAGGAACTCGAGAATCATGACTTTGATGCGCATGTCCTCGATTTTGCTCTGCAGGCGTGTCAGGAAGGCATCACGGATGGCAGCAGCATCATTCCCAAGGCAGGCATAGACAGACATTGGAGCAACCTAAAATAAATGAAATAAAACTCTACTAAATAACCAAATTTGTCAAAATCCAATCCAATTTTTTAAAAGTATTGCAATGCTTTTCAAAAATGCTTAGGCATTCACTATTCTTATGCTTGTTCAGGAGAGATTGACTTTGGATGCTGTAACAGGATAGAGAGGAAGAAGGTCTCAGATTTGCCAAACCTAATCCACTGAAGCTTTATAATATGTTACTAGCCACAACAGCTATGCTTGGCCACCAGTGTCGGAAGCAGCAACGCTTCTGAATACCCATTGTTGGAAACCACGGGAGGGGGGAGTGTTGCTCTTGTGCTTGGTTCCTGCTTGAGGGCTTCTCATGGAGGCATCTAGTGGGCCACTGTGAGAGCAGGATGATAGATAAGAGGGGTTACTGGCCTGATTCAGCAGGACTCTTTCTGTGTATTAAGCAGTGGTGACCCCTTCAGGACTTTTCAGAAATTCTGAGAAGTCCTGCTTACTGTAGGGGGTGGGCATAAGAACGTAAGAGCCTGGCTGCTAGATCAGGCCAACCAGATGCCCCAATGAGAAGCTTGCAATTAGGACCTGATCACAACAGCAACACACTCCCTTCCTGTGGTTCCCAGCAACCAGAGTTCAGATGCATTGCTGCCTCCAACAGTGGAGATAGAACAGTTAGTGACTACAGTAGTACCTCGGGTTATGTACTTAATTCGTTCTGGAGGTCCGTACTTAACCTGAAACTGTTCTTAACCAGAAGCACCACTTTAGCTAATGGGGCCTCCTGCCGCTGCCGCGCTGCCGGAGCACAATTTCTGTTCTCATCCTGAAGCAAAGTTCTTAACCTGAAGCACAATTTCTGGGTTAGCGGAGTGTGTAACCTGAAGCGTATGTAACCTGAAGCGTATGTAACCTGAGGTACCACTGTACTGATTTCCCCCAACCACACAGGAGGTCCTATTTTTAAGGATGGGGAAATAAAGTTGCTTTCAATGGCCTTGTAAGAATTGCACTAACAAATATACTGAATCATCTCCATGGAAAAACCACAAAAGCCCTTTAATGGGTAGAAAACAGTAAAAGACTTACTGTGGCAAGCCGCTTCAGAAGCTGGATGGCGAGGCGTGGCAAGGCAGGGTCGTGTTTGTGGTAGATATATTTGGCCAAGATAGCAATCAGGTTGTTCCTGTGGGCACCTGGCAAGAGAAGAGTTTTTTAAAAAAAATCACAAAGAAGATTCATGCATCTCTGAGGAAAATATTTCCTTACGAAGGAAGTGTAAAAAAAAGCAGCTTCCTTCAACAACCCACATCCCTTTCTCAAAATGCAAATTCTGAAAACCACACACAGGTTGTAGGTACCTGTTTCACATATCAATTAATATGTTTAAATTAAAATGGATGTACTGATAGTCACTGGATTTTTTTTCTTAAAAGGTGCTGTTTTTAAAACAAAAATGTGAAGAAGAATACAGTAGATTAGAAATTGTAATTGTTAAATGTTAAAAATTCAAGGGCTATAACAATTGTTAATGTGAGCTGATGAGGTAGTTTTCTTTTTCTTTTCCCTTCCTCTCTCTGGTAAACATGTAATTAAAAGGAAACAAGAAAACTACACACAGGTTGTCTAGGCATAAAACTAGTGTGCCACATTCCTGGCTACAGAACATATAAAAGGAGGTACCTACCATGCTGCGTAAGGGAATGTTCCAGAGGAGACACCACATTGGACGGCGGCTTCAACCGGATAACGTTGTTGGTGACAGAGAACGCCAGTTTCACTGTCTGGATGAGCAGCTGGCCCTGGCCATGAGACTCATCACTGCATTGTCAGCGAGAATTGCATTAGCACCCATCATTTCCACAGCACTTTTTCAGAGCACTCTGATCACATTAGAGGCTAATGGCTAACCTCAAATCAATGCATGAAACTCTCAAGCACACCTCTGTATTAGGGGCCACATAACCACCACCCTCCTTTTAGGGTTGTAAGATCACAGTGCAAGCGGACACACACAACTGGCAGAGTTCCCATCGGGGCCTTTGTTCAAGACCTACACCACCCCATGCATCCTTGGGTTCCTGGTGCCTAACTAAGGTGGTTGAGTCTGCTAGATGAGACCTATGGCCTATCTAGCTCAGCACTCTGTTCACACAGAAGCCAATAATTGGCCTCTTTGGAAGCCATGAGCAGGATCCAAGGGCAACAGCGACTTTCTTCACTTGTGATTTCCACCAACCAGTATTCAGACTCAAACAACCTCTGACAGGGGAGAAAGAGAACATAAGAGGAATCCTGCTGGATCAGGCCAGTGGCCCATTTACTCCAGCATTCTATTCTCACAGTGGCCACCCAGAGGTCTCAATCGGAAGCTTGCAAGCAGAACCTGAGCACAACAGCAACACACTCCCCACTTGTGATTCCCAGCAATTGGTATACCCTACCTCCAACAGGGTACCTATTCACCTAGGATTTTGGTGGTTTATTTACTGTACTGTTTTTAACTTCTACTTCACCATGTTTACTTCCGTTGGCTTACTAGCTGCTGGAATTATTGAACCACTGCATTTTTTCGTATTGTTTTATTTGATACAATGCAACATGTCAATATTTTATCTGCTATTCCTTACAAAAGAATGCCCCTGGGGAGCTGAGAGGGGGGCAGGCAACAAAGTACTCACCTGCTAGACTGTGTGGCCATCACCATATCAATGGTGTCCACACCAATGCCCATGATGTTTATGACGGCCTGTCCTGCTTCCGTGTTGGCCAGGCTGAAGATGCAGAGGGACTGCAGGCTAGGGGCCCCGCTGAAAAAAGGCAAGAACATGGATCTCAACTCAATGTGAAAGTCCTCGCAGTTAACCCCAATACAACCAGCGCTATAAAAAAAAAGTGGACAGAGAGCTGACGTCTCCATAGCCATGAGTACTAGCAGTTCAACTCTTATGCAGGGCTGTCGTGTCCTGGTCTCCTTTGGGAGGAAGAGTGGGGGTATAAATTTAAAAACTCATCCCATTCTGAGGGATAGGGCAGTAGCTCAGTGGTAGAGCATCCGCTTGGCATGCAAAAGGTCCCAGGTTCAATCCCTGGTATCTCCAGGTAGGCCTGGAGAGCTACTGCAGGTCAATGTAGGCAGTACTGAATTAGATGAACCAACTCAGTACAAGGTAGTTTCTTATGTTTCATTTGTTCCACTTTCATCGTAAGTTTAAGATAGATTTATTATAAAAATGATGTAAGGAGCAACAACAACAACTCCCATTCTGAAAATGAAGTGTGCATGGGGCTGTGAATTATTATTATTATTATTATTATTATTATTATTATTAGGGTAGGGGAAACAAAATCTGTAGGGGAAAACACATGCTTTGCATACAGAAGGTCCCAGCCAACAGCCAACATGGGGCCCTCCAGATGTTGCTGGACTACAAATACCACCATCCCTGATCACTGGCCATGCTGGCTGGAGCTGATGGGAGCTGGAGCCTAAGAACAGCTGGAGAATACCACTCTGGCTTCTCTGGAGTTAGCAAATGATGGGAAAGACCCCTCTCTCCACCAGAGACGCTGGAAGGTTGCTGCCAGTCAGAGCAGACAGCACTGGGCTAGAAGGAACAAGTAGTCTGACCTGACAGAAAGGAAGCTTCCTATGACAAAAAAATCATAGGCACAAAACACACACACAAAATGCAGAGTTGGAAGGGACCCCAAGGGTCATCTCAACTAAAGCATCCATGGCAGATGGCCATATAACCTCTGTTTAAAAACCTTAAATTTACCTGCTCTGAGTTTCCATCTCAGGGGACAGATTTAGGATAGCATGAATCAGCTGCAGGATAAGGCAACCTGAAAAACCAAGAGGGAGAGGGAAACCATTGTCAGGACAGGGGTGGGGAGTGGACTTAAACTGCCAGTTCTGCCCCACTTCTCTTCTGCGTCCAAAACGACCTGCACGCCAGATTGCGCGTCATTTGGCTGTGCTTAAAATGGTCCCCACCTGTATCCCGACGCCAACCCTTCACATTTTTTTGTTATTGTAAGGTCCAAGGTAACTTTTTCTGAATGGTTGTTATACTTGTTGGCTCTATGTCTTTCTGTTTCTCTTTATAAAAATGAAAATCCTTTGTGTGCTGTTCTTTAAGATGGCAAGATTGAGGGCAGGTACTGTCTTGTTTCAATCAATTGTAATCCACTTCTGGGAGCCTTTTTGGATGAAAAGCAGGTCACAAATGCTATAGGTTTGGGGTGGGGTGGGAATACCCCAAATCCTTAGCTCCATCCACCCACAGAAGTCGTGCTTACCAATTCTCTCTCTCACTCCATGGGAGTTGTAGCGCCATTTGTGGTAGTTGGGGAGCATCTCCTTCAGGACAAACACGATGCACGGCACCAGACCTTGGCTTTGGGTGTTGCCAAGCTGCCCCTAAGGAAAAGCAGTCAAGAAACCCAAGACCAAAATCAAAGGAACGAAGAGACCACAAGCTTTCTTTGTTATTACCCGATTCCAAACCCTGTTTCTGTATTTCTGAAGTTACTGCAACAATTATGCAACTGTGTTTTTTATTTTAGCAATATATATATATTCTCCTTTTTAGATAAGATGCTTTGGATGCTTTGTAGAAAAACAGGATAAATGTAAAGAATCTCAAGTCAATCAGGAAACCCCCCCCCCCAAAAAAAATAAAAAAGCAGAAAAGCCTGGACATTCCTTGCTGATTTTTTATTTCTTCAAAAACATTCAGAAACAGCTCGCAATTTTTTATTTTTTTTTACAAACACTAAGCAGTATACAATATAAAATAAAATAAAATAAAACAAGAACACCTTAAACCAATAAGACCCCAGTCTAAAAAACTAATAAATGTTCCCCACTGCATGATGCAGGAAGTATTCCTTCTCCCCAAAAGCACTTACCCGTATGAGTGTCATGACTAAATTCAAGAAGGAGGTCGTTACACCATATTCGCCCTGCGGCTGCTCAATACTCATCAGCAGACTGCCATAGCCTCCAGCATTCATTCCTTCTGCACTGTGAGAAAAGAGGACAAACAAGCAACAGGGAAAGAAAGTGAGGGAAGTGTGAGACTGTGCACTCCAATCCATGACTGAGGAAACTGCAAGAGTGTGCAATTGTTGACGACACGCAAGAATATAGGAAGCTGCCTAATACCAAGATGGAGAGGATACTCGATGAAGGTGATGGACTACATGGAATTGGCGGAAATGACTGGCAGAATCCGAGACCAGGGTGAAGAGTCGGTGGAAGAAGATTGGAAGAAATTTAAAGACTACTTACAGAAATATTGTAAAATTAATGAATCTTAGAATGATGTCAGAATGAAGTTAAGTGGTTTTAGCAGCAATGTCATAAAGGTGTATGCAAAAATGGATGGTTAATAGGTGAGAATCTAAAGCTATAATATATTAAGTTAAAGGACTAAGATAAAAACAAAGAGGGAAAGGAATTGCTGAATTAGCCAATGGAATTGGAATACAAAAAAGGGAGGTGAGAGGAGGTCAGGGAAGCAAGGAAATGAAATGTAAGATACGGAAGGATTAATTTGTTTTTAAGTGTTTTTTCTAAAAAAAATTCTATACTTTGTATTTTGTATGTTTTTTCTCCTTTTTTTCTGTATTTTTCCTTGTCTCTTTTATTTTTAACTATGTAATTTTTTGTTTCTGAAATTTTAATAAATATCATTTTTTTTAAAAAAACAAGATGGAGAGGATACTCTCGGTAGCAAAGCACTTTCCTTTGTATGGTGAATGGTAAAAGTGGGCAAAACTTTCTAAAACCCTGAAGGATCACTGCCAGTCAGGAATGTAGGAAACTGCACTCGACAGAATCATACCGCTGATCCATCTAGGTCAGCATTATCAACACTGACTGGCAGCAGCTCTCTTGATGTTTCAGGCAGGGTCTCTCCCCCAGCCTTGCCTGGCGATGTCAGGGATCCAATTAGGGAGCAGAAAGAAAGTAAGATATATTTCAATGACTTAAATGCTTATTACTATACATTCAAACATTGTCAAACCAGAAATCGTATTTGGTAATAAACCACATTACCAACCACAGTCAATAAAATTATTCCGCTTGGCCATATCTGTTTCCATTGGATTAGATGACTCTTGAGTCCCTTCCATTCTATGATTCTACTACTGTTCCACTGGCTTTATGTTGTGTTTTTGTTAAATTGCTATATGTTTATTGTTATAATGCTACAATTTATTATGCTGTACATTGCTTAGAAAACGTTTAAAAATTAATGGTTTGTAAGTGTTTAAGTAACAATAAACACGATGGCCATCCAGTCAGTGGATTCATTGTTCCATGGATGTCAGTCAAATTACCTGATCATGTGGCTCATACTAGAGACCGGATTGGCAACGAATGGTAAAAAGCCTGTGTGGTGAAGATCCATCCAAACCTGAAAAGGGAGAGCAAAAAGTGTATTTATCTGTTCATTACATCTGATCATTACACCTGTTGGAGACAACTCCAATAGAAGCAAAGCCAGAGAGGGCCCCTTTACCTTTGCAGGCATCCGAGAGGCTAGGACGGTCAAACAGTTGACGCAAGAAGCAATAACGTCAACCGGGGGAGAAATAACAGTAGTCAGCCTGGAAGAGAGGCAAAAATAAATACACAGAGCTTTTCCAAAACAGTCAAAAGGATGATACCATCTCGTCGTTCCGGCACCGGCTTAAGTACTTGGGAGTTTTAGAAAAAGGATTTGATGAAAGTGGATCAAAGTTTGAATTAGAGATATTAAGTAATGATTCTAAAATTTTGTCTAGAATGTATAAATTGCTGCTTGAATGGCATTTGAAGGACGAGGAGGTTAAGTTGGTTATGATTCACTGGACCAAATATACAGCTGAGTGATTGGGTAAAATTATGGAAAGAAATTTACTGCATGCAATGCCCTAAAAGAAAATGTGATGGCAATGATGTATAGATGGTATATGTCACCTGTCAAGTTAGTGAAAATGTATAAAGTCAGTAATAAATGTTGGAAATGTAAAGAAAAAGAGGGAACATTTTATCACATGTGGTGGGAATGTAAAAAGGTGAAATGCTTCTGGGAGATGATATATAATGATATGAAAAAAATGTTGAAATACACATTTATAAAGAAACCAGAAGCATTTTTACTGGGCATTGTTGGAAGTGATATAAATAGAAAGGAATATAAGCTCTTTTTATATGCAATAACAGCAGCAAGAATATTACTGGCCCAAAAATGGAAGCAAGAAGAATTACCGACAATTGAAGAATGGAGGATGAAGTTAATGGACTATACAGAACTACATAAACTAACAGGAAGGATTCAAAACCGGCGGGACTAGAAATTCACGGAAGACTGGAGTAAATTTACAGACTATTTGAAAAGTATTTCTGAAGATCAGACGACGTTCGTAGGTTTGCTAGAAGTTTTGTGAGGAGTATTATTGGAAGTATTGCAAAAATGGAGAAGGGGAAGGATGATTTGTTAAGAGATGTAAAGGCAATATAAAGTTAAGAAATGCATAAGAAGTGGTTAAAACGGTGGATCATCAGAGGTGCTGATGGAAGACTAAAAAGATTGTATAAGTGATAAGTTTTGTGGTACATTTTATAATTTATATGTTAAAAGCAATTAGATTTTTTTTTAAAAAAAATAAGTACTTGGGAGTTTTATCTCCATCTCTCTTGGAGAGGCTTAAGCAGAATGACCACACAGGCTGCCTTTACCTTTGTAACAGCATGTAGATCCGTGAAGTAATGGGCAGGAGACAATCGGCGATTGACACATCAGTGCTGATGACTTTGTGAACCAGATCAATGATCGGCTTAACCCTCTGGCAGTGCTGAATGACATCTGGGAAAAACGGAATGCATTTAGTGTGAGACACCCAGACAAGGTAAAAGCAAGGAACATTAAGAAGCAGGGGCTACTAGTGAGCTGATGGGTTTTTGTTTTACTCATCATAGGAACACAGGAAGGTGCCTTATACTGTGTGAGACCAGTGTCCATCTAGCTTACTATTGTTTACATTGACTGGCAGCAGTGGCTCTCAGTGGTGGTTTCAGCCACGCCTACATGGAGACATCAGGGATTGAACTTGGGACCTTCTCCATGCAAATGTCACCGAGCTCTGGTCCTCACAGTTCTGAATAAAGGACTGAATTAAACAGGAGCGTAGGAAGCTGCCTTCTACTGAGTCAGACCATTGGGTTCTATTTTGCTTAGTACTGTAGACACTAACTGGCAGCAACGCTGCGTTCCAGGGTTTCAGGCAGGGAGTGTCTCCCAGCACTACCTGCTCCAGTCCTACCTGGAGATGCCATTGGGGACTGAGCCTGGGACCTTCTGAATGCAAGGCTGCTGCTCTGTCACTGTGTTAGCAGTACACCTCACAACATATTTTACAGAGTCCCCACCCTGCTTTTCCAAATTTCTGGGAGAGACTCACCTGCAGTCGACACTACATGCAACAGCATCTCAATCTCGCAAGTGAACAGCGTCCAGCTGCTGTAGGAGTACTCCCATCGTACCAAATAGGCCTGGTCATCCAGCATCACCTGGCCCACTGTTCCCTGAGGTATCCGTAGGTTTGTCTGGCCTAGCCCTAAAAAGTGGGGAAAGGGGACAAGGAGCAAAACAAAGTCAAGACCTTCGTGCGAGTTGAAATTTCTTAAACTACGGACATTTGTATTTAGGAAAAAAACAAGTAACATTCCAGAATGATTTATTTCATAAGATTCATACACAGCTTGATTGTATAAAAAAACTCTAAAAGCAAAAGTTAAAAAGTTATCAATAAGAAGAATCAACAACAACCATAGAATTGGATAAAGTTGGGGGGACCCTCAGGGTCATTTAGTCCAACCCCCTGAAATGCAGGAATCTCAGCTAAAGCATCCATGGTAAGACGGCCATCCAGCCTCTGCTTAAAAACGTTACCTGCTGTGAGGATCCATCTCAGGGCACATATACAGGATAGTATGAATCAGCTGCAGAATAAGACAACCAATCCACTCTCTCACTTTAGAACTTTCATAAAGTTAAACTAGCAATAGGTTAACAATAGATTAATACTTGCATTGACTTTCTACATATCTGGTCAGGCTTGTCTAAAAAAAAGGGGGGGTTAGCAGGTGCCAAAAAGAACAAAGTGAAGGCACCTGCCTGGTTAATAATTTTACTACCTTGTGGCATTACATAAGAACAAAAGAAGACAAAACCAAGCCAGATACAAGGAAAAATATCACAGGATCATTTGGTTTCACCCAAGCTAAGTGCGGGATGCGGGTGGCACTGTGGGTTGAACCACAGAGCCTAGGACTTGCCGATCAGAAGGTCAGCGGTTCGAATCCCTGCAACGGGGTGAGCTCCCGTTGCTCGGTCCCTGCTCCTGCCAACCTAGCAGTTCGAAAGCACATCAAAGCACCAGTAGATAAATAGGTACCGCTCCGGTGGGAAGGTAAACGACATTTCCGTGCGCTGCTGTGATTCGCCAGAAGCGGCTTAGTCATGCTGGCCACATGACCCAGAAGCTGTACGCTAGCTTCCTCAGCCAATAAAGCGAGATGAGCGCCGCAGCCCCAGAGTCGGCCACAACTGGACCTAATGGTCAGGGGTCCCTTTACCTTTAAGCTAAGTGCAAGTAGTATATACAGAACAACTAACAAACCAACATTTAACTTTCACATTCTTTTGATAGGTGTAAAATAGAAATTACCATACAGTCACCAAACTTATGTGCCAAGGGAATGATGATGGTGATAATATTTATTATGTCCCACCACCATCAACTCAATCAAAACACAATTATCAGAAAATGTCACAGAAGCTTCTTGTTATTGGCTCTATTAAGGAAGCAAAGTTTTGACACACTGATACCATCACCTCTCACGCCTATCATTCATATTCCATCCTCTATCTCAAGCTCACCAGGCCACCCACTCCTGTTCCTGCTTCCCACCCGCCTTGAAGGTTTTCAGCTTCCTGGAACATGCACCTGAACTCTGATGCTGCCTTTGGTTTGTCTGGACAGAAGATGGAGAGGTGTGTCCATGACTCTGTAGAAACTAGCCTACTGGTAAGATGCACATTTGCTGCTCTGCCAGCTTCTGCCTTTGCCCCACCACCACTGGCATGTGGCTCCTGGAAAAGAATGTGGTCCTCAGCCTGAAAAATATTCCCCACTCCTGCCCTGCCTCTTTATTGTCCCATTACTCTCCTAAAGTTTTCACTTTTTGGGCCACACATATGCCTCTCCATTGTTTTGCATCTTTGCAGTATCATTTAGTTATCATGGAAATCTTTTGGACTATTAGATAGTGTCACAGTTCCAAGCTGGCAATTATGGTCCAGAAGGTGGCCCTGGGCATTTGATGCTGGCCGCCTCAGCAGAACATAAAACTGTAGGATCCCAAATGGTCCCAACTTCTGCTTCCCATGCTGCTTGACAGGTATTGGGAGGCAAATGTTCAAATCCCCTTGCTCAGCCATGAAGCTCACTGGGTGACCTTGGGCCAATCATTGCCTCTCAGCCTGACCTAACTCACAGGGCTGTTGTGAGGATTAAATGGAGCGGGAAGAACTACGTACACCACCTTGAGCTCCTTGGAAGAAAGGTGGGATATGAGTGTAATAAAAATAAGAATAATTAGAGAGGACAAACAAGGAGTTGGGACGACCCTGGGGCAAAGAGCCCTGCCTTCTTTCTTACCAAGGGGATACAGCAGCTTCGGCGCCTGCCTTCGCCACAGGGTACCGTCTTCATGAGAAACTACATCTGGAGGCTTGTGCTTGTAGACCTCTATGTAGAAGGACATCTTATCCAAGAAGCTATAGACCTTTAAGCAGAGAGGTGGGGGGACAAAGGCAGAGACTCCTTCATTGTGGGAAGGAGTTGGAAGTCTGATATATCTTTCACATAACCACCCCACTCTTTTATCTAAGGTAGTGTGCATGCCCCATCTTATTTTTATCACCACAACTACCTTTTGAAAGATTGACTTTAAAAGCCCAAGCTCCACCCTGTGACTGAATACAGATTTTTAAACCAGTCTCCCCAGTATAATTTCCACATTCTAGCAACTGCACTGGTTCCAGACAGTGGTAATTAAAAGCACTCTAGGATTTATTAGCCTCCAAATGTACCTTTTTTGCTGTAGATTTATCAGAGACAAGGGCTGTGAGTAACTGCAGAAGAGGAGAGAGGAGGTGGGGGAACATCCCGCAGACACTGTCCAAAATAATGCCCAGACCTGCACTTGGCTCCTGGTGTGAGAAAGACATGCACAGAATGTCCATTACAAACTGGTGCTAATCAAAGGCATTTTCTTGAGCTGCTAACATCAGATCAGCTTGGGCATTGGGAGTTCCTAGCTTTAGAGCACAAGTGTGCTCCACATCCTAGCCACTGGAAGTTTAGAGGTGGACAAGTTTGGAGATGGTGCATGAGCAATAGAAGTTTGAGATAGAAAAGTTTGTAACAGACTATGTAATAAAAATGAAAGTGTGTTGCCATGTGGCAGTTCCCCTGGCCACAGTGCAAACTACAGCATGACAAAAGGCAGTGGATGGGCAGCCCAGGCCATCAAAGGAGGTAAAGACCAAACAGACTGCAGCAGCAGATCCCCAGCTCTGCTGGTTTCTCTGTCTGCCAGCCTCAGAGTCCACATGGATGCAGAGCCCCAGGCTGGCCAGCACTGCAAATGGCCACTTTCCTACTCCCCAGTCAGTCTTGGAATCCACTGCTGCTAATCAGAATGAAGTAAAGAACACAATCTGCCCATCACAACTATAATAATGCCCATCACCAATAGTTTTCCGAAGGCCACAATGCAAAGAAGAGCAACACAATAAGTCTATTGCTCAAAACAGCAAGCAGAGGTCCAAAGCCCGAAAGATGATTTCCCCATAAAGGCTTTGGTCAAAGGAATACAATGTAAGAAAATGCAGGCCAACTGCAGCTAACTTACTGTTTTCCAGAACAGTGGAGGAATGCTGGAAGAAGCCAGAACTTCACACGCTGTATCTATTATGTCCTTTAGAAAGGAGAGAGAAAACCACCCACAACATTACACATCACTTGTTTCTGGTTCTTCCACCGTAAACCTCAAGAATTAAACCAGGTTCAAGACTGTTTAAACCAGACTTCACCAAACTTGTGTGCCCACCCAATGTCGGAACCACCAACTCCCGTCTTAAGCCTTTGGCCTCCTACCTGCTGATTGCCCAATGTGTGCAACTCCAAGGAGGTCAGCACAAAGGAGAGCAGGCCATAAATGCACATGCAGGCTGTGCTGGCGATGCACTGCAGAGCAAAGAGAGTGGGAGGAAAGGATATGGAGTGAACAAAGACTCATTCAGAAACTACAGAAGTTGAGCACAGAATTTAATGAGACATCTATTACGATCACACAACCCAAAGTAACAAGCCCAAACTCTGCAAATGTAAAAATGAATACATTTATTTAGTTATTAAATTTGTTAATTGCTTTTTTGCCACAGCATCTAAAAAAAATTAAAACACATACATTAAAACTGGGGGGAGGTGTGGAGAACAACATTAGTACATCACACCCATATTTTTAAAAGCCATAATTAAAAGCAAAAGGCCTGGTTGAAAAGGAATGTTGTTGCCTGGCACAACAAAGGTCATCTAGTATAACCCCCTGCAATGCAGGAATCTCAACTACAGCATCCAACCATCCAACCTCTGCTTAAAAACCTTCAATGAGGGAGAGTCCACACACTCCTGAGGGAGTTCGTTCCACTGTCAAACAGCTCTTAATGTCAGAAAGTTCTTCCTTAAATTAGGTGGAATCTCCTTTCTTGTAACTTGAATCCATTGGTTGGAATCCTACCCTCTAGAGCATGAGAAAAGAAGCTTGCTCCATCCTCCATGTGATAGCCCTTCATATATTTGAAGATGGCTATGATTTCTCCTCTCAGTCTCTTCTTTTCCAGGCTAAAAATACCCAGCTCCCTCAACCGTTCCTTATAAGGCTTGATTTCCAACCCTTAATCATCTTGGTTGCCCTTCTATGCACAAGTTCCAACTTGTCACCTGTTTGACAGCTGGCATAGTTATGCGGAAAGTGTCTCAGGGGTCAAACTGGACCCTTGGGTGGGCCAAGATAGGCTCGCAGAGGCTGGAGGTTCCACCCGCCTCTGCTCAAGAGCTTCCATGAGATTGCACAAGACATGGGACTCACATTTCCCTCGCCGCTTATTGATCGGAGAAGCTTGGTGAGGTACTGAAATACATTCAGCTGAATAGCTGTGCTGCCCATCCTTCTGATCGCGCTAGGAGACTCTTCGGGGCTCAACATGTGGCGCAGCAAAGCCCAGGCCAAGAGAACTGGGGCATGATGTGTGACATCCCCAAGAGTTAACAGCAAGCAGTCCACCTCCTACTCGGAACAAGAGAATCAAGCTCTTACTCAGGGAATTTGGACATAGAAGCATTCATTTTTAAAATTACATTTATATCCCATCTTTCCTCCAAGGAGCACAAGGTGGTGTACATAGATATCCTTCTCCCCATTTTATCCTCCTGTGAGATGGGTTAGGCTGAGAGAAAGTGACTGGCCCAAGATGACCTTCATAGCCAAGTGGAGATTTGGACTCTGGTTTCCCAGGTCCTAGCCCAATACCCTAAATACTACACCCCACTGGCTTTCCTGATTATTCTTTTGTAGGTTTCACCACTGAACAGGCAGGACTTGAAATGGGCTTACTTGGCGGATCTGCCCGCTGCCAGAGAATTTATGCTCCTCTTTCCTGTCATCCAACACGCGCTCATGCAGAGAGTCGATTTCCATGCCTTCCACTAGAATGAGAGCACTGAAGTACCTGGAAGATAAGGAGTAAGGTGGCAAGAAAAAGATATAGGTGAGGGACGGGGTGGGTCAAGGAAGTTAGAACTGGAATAAGAAATATTCAGGAGATCATGTGCAATTATTTCTTTATTCTTTTCAACCATATTTTTTCTTTGAGAGGTGTGATGTAAAAAAGAAAAAAATCAGAGCAGCTTTGATGGCTGGTGAGCAAAAACAGACAGCAAAGTCATTAACTGCAAAATGAAGGAATGTCTCTCTTCCAGTTTCTGTAATGCTCACGAGCAAACTAGATGTGGCACTGTAATGCCAAGAGCGAAGTGGGCCCTTTTGCCCACAATGGTTTAAAAAAAGACATGTAAAAACACAGAGTATTATATGCTTTGGCTGCAGAATCTCCCTACATATTCTCAACACATCCACCCAGATGTGGCAAAACAGATGCATGGATGTTTTTCACATACATCTGTGTACTACCCCACCACCCTAATAAACCTTTGGACATAAAGCAATGTCGTGGGAGAAGCAGGCTGTGAAGACATTAAGAAAAAGGGAGAGAGGAGTGCAAGGGAGGCAGCCCAGACAACATCAGGGTCTGCTCCAGTTGGCCTGCCCCCACCCAAATAAAACCTTTACATATTATATCATTTGTCTTAGTGCTTTAAAACTGTAAACTGCTTGGGTACCCTGGCAGAAAGGCATTATATAAATGCAATGAATAAATAAGAATAGAAGGTCATGCTGAATCAGGCCATTAGCCCCATCTAGTTCAGGATCCTGTTCTCACAGGAGCCAACCTGTAGGGAAGCCACAAGCAGGATCTGAGCACAAGGGCACTCTTCCCTCCTGTGGCTTCCAGCAACTGATATTCAGAAGCATTGCTGCCTCCAACTGCAAGCATAGCCATCGTGACTAGTAGCCACTGATACCCCCCTCCTCTACGAATTTGTCTAATTCCCTTTTTAAAGCCAGGTTGGTGGCCATTACTGCCTCCTGCGGAAGCAAGTTCCATAGTTAAACAACCTGTTGTGTGAGGAAGGATTTTCTTTTGCCTGCCCTAAATCTTCCAACAATCTGGAACATGCTTGGGGCTGCAACAGCCTTTTTGAGAGGCCCCCCTACTCACCCGATGCGCTCAACGAGATGATCCATGCTCTCATCCACCAGGTGCCTGTTGGTCTGCCGGGAGCCAAACCCCTGATCTTTGAACATTTTGGTGAAAGTCAACAGCTCTTCTGCTGCCATCTCAAAGTAGGCATAGTAGAGGAAAATGACTTCCAGCAGCATTGACTGCTCCCGGAGGCACTGCATGAACCAGCGAGACACCTGCCGCTCGGTCTGAATAAGCAGGATCCGAATTACAATTACATGCAAACACAACATGGGGGTTAGGGCGGGGAGAGAGAGAAAAGATAGCTTTTAAGCAACTCAATCCCATGTGGATTTTGGTCAGGCTGGCTGGGGCTAATTTATTCATTTATTTCTGAAAATGTATATACCGCTTGGTTCTAAAAGCAGAAACAACCCTTTAAAATGAATTACACAATGAATAAAATAATGAAATTACCAGCAAAAAAAGTTATAAACCACTATTTTAAAACATTCAAATAATGAAAGTCAGAAATACAAAAAGCTGGAAGGAACAAAATACCATTAGGCTCCCGTGGGTCTCCCATGTGGGTGCTTCGGATTGGTACAGCTCCTCAAACTGCTTCCGGTAATTAGGAACCAGCTCCTTATCCAGTTTTTCCACACAATGAGAATACTGGGCCTTTTATAAAGCAAAATAATTTGATTAAGAGCATCACCAGGGACAGATTTATTTTAATATTTCTATTGTGCGGAGAACCAGGAAATAAAAGCCCAATACCCACCATGTAAGGGTGTCTCTCATCCTGGAAATATGTGAGAAGCTGGAGGACACAGCGCAGGATACAGATCCGCTCTTCATAGTAATAGTCAGCAAGCTGTGGAAATATATATCACCACCCGTTAACACTAGTAGCTGCATTTTGATTTTAGATGACCTCCCCTACATCCTTCTATTAACTTTCTACTAAATACAGTGGTACCTCGGATTACAGACACCTCAGGTTATAGACACTTCAGGTTACAAACTCCACTAACCTGGAAGTTAACTTAACCTCAGGTTAAGAACTTTACCTCAGGATGAGAACAGAAATTGCACGGTGGCAGCGGGAAGCCCCATTAGCTAAAGTGGTACCTCAGGTTAAGAACGGTTTCAGGTTAAGAACGGACCTCTGGAATGAATTAAGTTTGTAACCAGAGGTACCACTGTAGTCAATTCTTTCCCTTAACCCCTAGACTTTATGGTGTTCTGGGTTATAAAACAGGGCTAAGGAACCTGTGGCTTTCCAGATGCTGTTGGACTCCAGTTCCCATCATACCTGACTGTATGGCCAACCTGCTTGGGTCTGATGGGAGGAGTTGTCACTAAAATATTCCCCAACCTCTCTATTAAAGGTCCCAGAATGTCATCAATTTCTTCAACTCACTCTACTTAAAGGGACCTTCCACTGAAAATCTTAAGGTCTTTCTTCTCATCTTGTCCCTTAAGACTGTGGCATTTTAAAACACACACACACACACACACACACACACACACACACACCCAGCATGTTTATCCATTAAAACATTTACTTAGTGGTGGTGGGGAGATATATATTTTTAGAAGACTCCCTTATTTTAACACCTGTTCTGAAGGGAAATGGCTTTATGACTGCTCCAAGGACAATTACAGTAGTACCTCTGGATGTGAATGGGATCCGTTGCGGAGCCCCATTCGCATCCAGAAGCGAACGCAACCCACATCTGCACAGGTCACGATTCGCTGCTTCTGCGCATGCGGCGAAACCCGGAAGTAACATGCTCCGTTACTTCCGGGTCGCCGCAACGCGCAATCCGAAAATACTTATCCTGAAGTTACTTCAACCCGAGGTATGACTGTAATATGCTACACATCTGGATGATGAGGTGGGAGGGAGGCAGCCTTGCAACTGTCACAAGTGCCAGCAAATCCACGTCCATTGTGGTCATCACCACCACAGCTCCTCAAGTTGCAAGGACCATCAGCAGATTCCACATCTATCTGCAGAAAAGCAGTGTGTAGAAATGACCATCCAAAATAAGATTGCAGCATCAAGTTACTGACCTTCAGTATCAAAGCCTGACTCTGCCTTTCGTCTTCTAGAACAGCCTATGCAGAAACATAATAAAAGTAACATAAAGTAACTGATAACCATTAACAGCATCATAAAATAGCTTGTGGCATGAAACAAAATCTCATGTATACTGGAAGCACTGCAAGGGAATTTGGTTAACATTCCCCACCCCACCATCCTCCGGATTTCAAGCTTCAAACTTGGCTCACTTAAAAATGTTTATTAGTGCATTTAAAAATCTTACCAAGAACTAGCTTACTGTTAAATTCAATGGGACCTATTTTTAGAACACAAAAGAATATAGTAAGAGCCCTGCTGGATCAGGCCTTTGGCCCAACAGCATCCTATTCTCACAGTGGCCAACCAGATGCCCCAATGGGAAGCTCACAAGCAGGACCCAAGTGCAAGAGCACTCTTCCCATGTGCAGTTTTCAGCAACTGGTATTCAGAAGCATTAGTGCCTCTGACCATGGAAGCAAGGGCATAGTCATTAAAGCCATCAATGGCTACTTGCCACTTCTCCTTCATTGCTACGTCTAATCCTTTATTAAAGCTGGTGGCTAAAGCTGGTGGCCATCACTGTTGCCTGAAGGCAGTGTGCACAGCAGACCAGGGCCCTCCAAGGGTTTTGGACTATAACTCCCATCAGCCCCAGACAGCACAGCCATATGATGCAGAGGCTGATGGGAGCTGTAATTCAAAATGTCTGGAGGGCCCTCAAGTTAGGAAAGGACAGCAGACTTAATGAAATTCACTTTAAGGAGATTGCTAGCATGGCTAATGTAGCCAAGAAGTTAGGCCTTACCCAACTTTGCAGCATCACACAGAGAAAGGGATTAGCAGATTCCCAGCTACACAGACCCATCTGTAGCAACATATGTCAACATAAACACTGAAGATAGATCCCCACACAGCTGAAAATTACCAACCTTTAATGAGTCTCTGGTCCCCCTATAATCTTCTTGAAGAAAACACTGTAACAGCTGCACGCTTTGCTCTTCATCCAAACCCTGGAGTAACACACACATTCAGCCAGCTTCCGTTAAGGGGTGGGCGCATTCAATACCCCTCCTTTGGACAATATTTTTTTAAGGAGAGTACAGCAAATTAAATTTGTCCCCGTTAGCTCTCAAGGCTTCTATGAAGTATCGTGCTTCCAAATTATGCTGAGTCAAATCTCAAACCCCACCAGAAACTACTGCCATTCAAATAGGGAATTAGATGGTGATAACTCTCTTTCTTGCATTCCTCCCACCACTTCTGTCCAGAGGAAAGCTTATCAGGAAATAACAAAGGAAGTAACGGAGCTGCCTGTTACACCTACTCACCAAGAACTTGCTGGTTCTCAGACCCAACTCCTTCAGCGGAGCAGCAACATTTTTGTCAGCTTTCACTTTCTCGGCCGAACTTGCACTGCAGATTTTATTATTATTATTATTAAAAAGTTAACTTGTGGTAATGAAAAGTCACAAAAGCTTTTTGTTCATAAAGCAAAACAAGCATGAAATTTAGACATCTTTATAACAGCTGTATTGTGAAAACTATTTCCTCCCCTCTGAAGGACTTACAAGGACTAAGCTCCATCAACTAGGCACTGGAAATGTTACCCAACTAGCTCAAGCCCTTGAAACAAGGTATAGAAACTTCATCTGACTCATTTGAAATTAAGAACATAAGAGAAGTTCTACCAGTTCTAGCCAAGCACACATTTAGTCCGGCATGCCACTTCCAATTGTAGCCAATCAGAAACCCTAATTTCTATGGGTTTTTGGTGGCCACAGCTGAGCTATTCCATGCTGTTGCCTCCCCAGCACCTGAAGTTCTGTGCTAGACTGCCTCTGAACTTGGAAGTTCCATTTAGCTGCCATGGGTGACATTTAATCTATCACATCGCCAATCCTTCACAAGTATTTTTGTAAAATAATCAGCACATTATCTTCCAGCACCACATCTTTCCACACACTGAATGAAATAAAAGCCATAAGGATTCTCAAAAAGCCTCCAGAGTATGTGGTAAAGAACATGGCTCTATTTCATCATTTTGACGCTCCTATTTGGTTTAGCTATTTTCTGTTCCCGCTGAAAATTTTCAATTAAAGATTTATTTTTGAAGAGTCTGGTTCTGCCATCAGCACTGCAGGGGGTTGGACTAGATGACCCTTGTGGTTCCTTCCAACTTTACATTTCTATGATCTGTTCCAATAAAAGATCTTTGACAATATAGCACCTACATAGCCAATTAGTAGGTTTTACTCATTTTTAATAGCTTGTAAATCTCTCAGATATGCTTTTATTTCAGTTTTTATTTCAGTGGACCTACTGAGCTGGATGCAAGCCTTGATAAATAATAATGAATAAATTACTGTACCTGGGGGGCTTGTAGTATGAAAGCCCTTCGAGCAGCCTCCGCCAGTGTTTATTCAACTCTTCCTCAATCTGAGCCTAGAAAAGACCAAAATAATAGCAAATACATCATTCTCCATGCTTGGAACTTAAAAAGGAACATGCTCATTTCCACTATCATGTACAAAGCCTGACAAGATCAACAAAGGAATATCATAATCACCTCTGGTTTAGATTCCAGCATAAGCAGAACAGAATCTTTCCTGATTATCAGCCATGGTGGGTGGGGCTGATGGGAGTTACAGTCCACAATATCTGGAGGGCACCATGGTGGCACCCCCCCCCCCCACAACCTAGAATTCAAATTACTGTATACATAACAGAATCATCCCTGACCATAGGGCTATACCGATGGAATGGATAGGGTTGTAGTCCAGAATTTCTGCAGGGAATCCCTGATTTACAGTTTGGATTCTTCTATTAAAAAAAAGATAAAATTATAATAAAAAGAAAAGAAACTTGTTTTTGTTTTGCCTTGAGGTGGAAGAAGACAGAATCTGGGCATGTTCAGCTCGCAATCAGGGACTCCTTCCTTAGGGGTTGGGGAATAAGGGAAGCAGGCTGCTCTACTAAACAGCCTCAGCCCAGTACACCTGAAGGAGCATCTCTACCCCCATTATTCAGCCCAAACACTGAGGTCCAGCTCTGAGGGCCTTCTGGCGGTTCCCTCACCACGAGATGTGAGGTTACAGGGAACCAGGCAGAGGGCCTTCTCGGTAGTGGCGCCTGCCCTGAGGAACGCCCTCCTATCAGATGTCAAGGAAATAAACAACTATCTGACTTTTAGAAGACATCTGAAGGAAGCCCTGTTTAGGGAAGTTTTTAATGTTTCATATTTTATTGTGCTTTTAATTCTGTTGGGAGCCGCCCAGAGTGGCTGGGGAAACCCAGCCAGATGGGCGGGGTATAAATATTATTATTATTATTATTCCAGGTGAGATAGCCTGTCTACACCAGAAACCATTCTACACAAACGTGCAGCATAAGGAAGAACAAGTATTACATGGGAAGTGAACGATATGGAAAAATCCTCTCTGTATACACGTTTCAGGGATGGAGGCTACACAATGATGATGGCAGACATCCCAGAAAAGCATCCCCAACAAAAAAGAGGTGGCAAACCCATCCTCTACTTACTGGTTCTCTCAGAGCTGATCTGCCCAACAGAATGGTCCACAGTTCTCTGCTGCTTCTAGAAAAAGAATGTATTTTGAAAGAGAAAAAACTGTATCTGTTTTGCTTCTTTTCTGTCTTTTTTATTGTAATGTATCTATTTACTTCTATATACAATATTTATACACTGCCATATCATAAACATATATTACAGCTGTTTACATCATTAAAGCATGAAACCAACAGTAACATCATAAAAAGTAAAAAACAAGTTAAAAGAAAAAGAATTTTTTTAAAAAATCAATAGACCATTGTAGGATCTGCATAGGTTTAGTGGAGTAGAAAAGTTTTCAGAAGGCATTTAAAAGTTGGCACAGAAGGTGTCTGCTAAATCTCTATTGGCAGGGTATTCCACAGGACTGGGCTGATGACACTAAATAAGACTTGATTTCTTACTCTTGTCAAACAAGCGTCACCAAATGACAAAGGACACTGCTGAAGATGACTTCAGTGATCAATCTGGAGTATAAGGGTTCAGGAGATTCCTACAATATCCTAGACCTAAGATGTTCAGGGTTTTGTAAATCAATACAAGAACCTTGAACCTGGTTCAGTAGCAGATGGGCAGCCAATACAGCTTTTGGAACACTAGTGTCACATGGACTTAACCATAAATTTTCATCAGTAATCTGGCTGCAGCATTCTGCAGCAACTTGAGCTTCCAAACCAGACCAAAGGCAGCCCCACATACAACACCCTACAGCAGGCATGTCTAAAGTCCGTTTTGGGGGACTAATCCGGCCCACTGGTCAGTTTAATCCGGCCCCTGTGGCAATTTATTTCCTGGGGTAAAATCCTAAAAAAAAAACTTCAACCCTAAAAAATGGTCAACAATTTTGGTCAGCCCTTTGGTAGGCCCTCACAGTCCTTCACTTAATCAAATCTGGCCCTCTTTGAAAAAAGTTTGGACACCACTGCCCTACAGTAATTCAGCCTCAAAGTTACCAATGCATGAACTATCGTGGCCAAGCTACCCCTGTCCAGGAATGGTTGTGGCTGGCAAACCGGATGAAGCTGATAAAAGGCACTTCTAGCCACAAAGGATACTTGGGCTTCAAGTGGCAAAGATGCAACGAGGAGTACCCCCAAACTATGCACTTGCTCCTTCAGAGGGAGTACAAACCTATCCAGAGCAGGTACCTTGCCAACTTCCCAAACTTGGGAACCAGCCACCCAAAGAGCCTGAGTCTTCCCAGGATTCAAACACAGTTTAACTGGCCCTCATCCAGTCCACCACTGCATCCAGACACAGGTTCAAAGCTTTCACAGTCTTTCCTGATTCAGATGTTAAGGAGAGGTAGAGCTGCGTGTCATCCCTGCCTACTGGTGACACCACACGGCAGTATGTGGAACCCCATAGCACAAGTGCCAGGGGCCAAGGAGCACTAACCCAGTGCTACTTTCTGGTCACCACCTTGAAGTTACAAACAGAACCACTCTAATACAGTGATGCCACAATGCCCATCTCACTAAATCAGTTCAGGAAGATACCATGGTCAATGGTATCAAAAGTTGCTGAGAGATCAAGATGCAACAGGATCACACACTCTCTGTCCCTCTCACAATAAAGGTCATCCATCAGGGCAACCAAGGCTGATTCCATTTCAAAACCAGCTGTGAATCAATGTTAGAAACTCAGATAAGCAAGCTATTTGCCAAATGGCCCCTTAAACCTAGGTTAAAAGTGCAACAACGACATGTTTAGTCACCATTTTCCCCTAAAGACAGTGAAGCAAAAAATGAATTGTGTATATTGTAATATATTTTACAATTCAGTCACACATTTTAGCAATTACAGTAATCCTTTTTCTTAGAATCCATTTTCTTAGAAACACAATTCACATGAGTGACACCATAAGTCATTTGAATAATTAAAATTTATAAATATCAGTATACATGTGTGTGTATTACATAAAATATTGTGTTAGATTTGTATGCAACACTGCTTTAAATGACAATAATATACTATGTATTACTTGTGCTAAATCCATAACCAATTATAAGGTGGCACTATTATCACTACAGTAGTGTGTAACACTAATTTGCTAAGAGTACTGTCCAATTTGTTATGAGTACTGTGACAAGGAGAAAAAAACTGAAGTTTGTTACAAAAGGTGAATGAATAAATAGAACATACATGTGTTATTTTGTTTATACAATAAAAATATTGATACCATACTTTAGTTTTCAAAATACTCTGAAGTTTTTATTTTTTAAATTTGGCCTTCTATTGAGCATTGGAGCTCCAGGGAGGGAAATCATGATATAAATATGCAACAACAAGCAGCAAATAAATGGAGTTTCACAACTCTCAGTAAAACACATACAGGTGAAACTCGAAAAATTAGAATATCGTGGAAAAGTTAATTTATTTCAGTAATTCAACTTAAAAGGTGAAACTAATATATGAGATAGACTCATGACATGCAAAGCTAGATATGTCAAGCCTTTATTTGTTATAATTGTGATGGTTATGGTGTACAGCTGATGAAAACCCCAAATTAACAATCTCAGAAAATTAGAATATTAAATGCAATCAGCAAAACAAGGATTGCAAATAGATCAATATTAGACCTCTGAGAAGTAGAAGCATACATATGTACTCAGTTTGGGCCCCTTTTGCATCAATTACTGCCTCAATGTGGCGTGGCATGGATGCTATCAGCCTGTGGCACTGCTAAGGTAGACCAGGATGCTTCAATAGCAGCCTTCAGCTCTTCTGCATTCTGCAGGTTTTGGTACTTTTGGCAGTGTGGGCAGGTGCCAAGTCCTGCTGGAAAATGAAGTCAGCATCCCCATAAAGCTTGTCTGCGGAAGGAAGCATGAAGTGCTAAAAAATCTCCTGGTAGACGGATGCGTTGACCCTGGACTTAATGAAGCACGGTGGACCAACACCAGCTGATGACATGGCTCCCCAAATCAACACAGACTGTGGAAACTTCACACTGGACTTCAAGCATCTGGCATTGTGTGCCTCCCCATTCTTCCTCCAGACTCTGGGTCCTTGGTTTCCAAATGAGATGCAAAAGTTGCTCTCATCAGAAAAGAGGACTTGGGACCACTGAGCAACAGACGAGTTCTTTTTTTCTTTAGCCCAGATAAGACGCTTCTGACGTTGTTTCTTGTTCAGGAGCGGCTTGGCAAGAGGAATACATTTGAAGCCCATCTCCAGGATACATCTGTGTGTGGTGGCTCTTGATGCACTAACTCCAGCCTCAGTCCACTCCTTGTGAAAGTCCCCAAAAACGTTTGAATGGTCTTTTCCTGACAATCCTCTCCAGGCTGCAGTCATCTCTGCTGCTTGTGCACCTTTTTCTTCCACGCTTTTCCCTTCTGCATAACTTTCCATTAATGTGCTTCGATACAGCACTTTAGGAACATTCAACTTCTTCTGCAATTACCTTCTTCTGCAATTACCAACTGGATTACCTGCTCTATCCACTGGGAAATCCCCCAGAGAAGTCAAGAATCCATCAAATTCCATCAGTCTCTGGGGGGACCATCCCCTAACTGGCTGTCCAGTTTTTGCTTCATACTCTTGCATATACAGTGGTACTTCAGGTTAAGTACTTAATTCTTTCCGGAGGTCCGTTCTTAACCTGAAACTGTTCTTAACCTGAAGCACCACTTTAGCTAATGGGGCCTCCTGCTGCTGCTGCGCCGCTGGAGCACGATTTCTGTTCTCATCCTGAAGCAAAGTTCTTAGCCCGAGGTACTATTTCTGGGTTAGCAGAGTCTGTAACCTGAAGCGTCTGTAACCTGAAGCGTATGTAACCCGAGGTACCACTGTATATATATGTGTGTGTGTGCGTGCGCACTCTTAACCTAGGCTTAAGGGGCCGTTTGGTGAATAGCTTATATATCCGAGTTTCTAACACTGCCCTAAGTACAGTTACTTCTACACACACAGCACACTTATGTACATTGCCAATATGAACTTCCCATTCCTGTGCACCTGAAGAAAATGTAGCCCAGAGTGACCAAGAAACAGCTTCCTAAGATCCTATTTAAATCAGCCTTTAACTCAGTAAAAGACTGAGACATAGCTCAGTGCTTACAGTTTCTGTCTGGTGCACAGAAAGGCAAAGGGTTAATCCCTAGCAGCCTCTCCAGGTAGGGCTGGGAATGTCCCCTGTCTGAAACTCTGGAGAGTGGCTGCCAGTCCGTGTAGGCAATACTGAGTTAGAAGGGCCAATGGTCTGACTTGGTATACGGCAGTTTCCCCTGCCCCCTGTTTAACTGTGCACTTTTTTCAAGACCATGAGGACTAGAACCTTCTTTTACATTTAGGAGAATGCATATAGCTCAGTGGCAGAGCATCTTATTCAATCCCCAGCTGCATCTCCAGGTAAGGTTGGGGAAAAGACCCTGTCCAAAAACCTGGAGAGTGGCTGGTGCCAGCCAGTGTGGGCAACACTGAGCTAGATGGACCAAAGGTGCAACTCAGTAAAAGGAAGGGTGTGTCTTCCAAGGAAGGGCCATTGCCCAGTGACTGAAGCATCTGCTTGGCATGCGTAAGTTTCCCAGGTTCAGTCCCAAACAGCATCTCCATGTACCTCTTTCAACATCCCCTGACAGGAACCCCAAAGAGCCACTACTTCCGGTCGGTGTGGGCAGCACCAAGCTAGACGGGCCAATGGGCTAACTCATAAGAATGCAGCTTCCTATTCATTTATTTAATTTCACAAGATTTATACACTGCTTGGTTCTTTAAAAGAAAAAAACCTCAAAGCAGTTTACAAAAAGATAAAACAAGAAAATCAAGAAAAATCAACAACCCTGCTTTGAAACAAACAAAAGTTAGAAGACTTAAACAGATTAAAATTACGTCAACTTTCTAAGCATGAATCCAACTAACTTCTAATTGCGGGTATGACCCCATTAAAACGACTAAAACCAACCACATGCATTCATTCAAAGGGGCCGACTTTGGAGTAGGGCTAAGCTCTGGCCCAACAATCTCCCTTCTCGGGCTGATTTAGCCACAATTTAAAATAAAATCATTTTATTTCATTTTGAAACTGCACGATCTTTTTCTCCCCTCGCCCTCACCCAATCAGTCAGTCCCTCCTCGCAACGCGCGCCTTCCCTTACCTCGCGCACAGCCCCTCAGTCGCCATCTTGCCTCTTCCCCTGCCCCACCCCCTTTCCCTCCCAAAATCAGCCAATCCACGAGCTAGAAAGGGAGAAAGAAGAAGGTGGAGCGAACGGCTAGAGCGCCTCTTTCCCGCTGTCCGCGAGTCACGTGACACAAGGCCCTTCTCTCTCTTGCCTCTTCTTGCCCCAGTGGTGGGGGGAGGAAGCGTGAGGGGCGCAGGGTGAGGGAAGCGACGTGACGTGTTGTGCGTAGCACGTCGACATGATGGCGGCGCCCAGTAGGGTGAGTTTATTACCGAAGAGGGATCAGCTGGGTGAGGCAATGGAAGGTTTGTGGAGGCCTGTTGAGGTTGCTTTCATTTAAAAAATATATTTTAAAATTTATGGTGGGTGCGGGAGAAAGAGCAGCTGGGTATAAATATTTTTAATGCATTTCTTTATTTGGCTTATTAATATTATTTATATATTTAGATTTGATAAATTAAATGTGTTTGCCAGAGCCAAGGTAGCCCAGTGTAGGGTGCTGAATGCAGAAAGGTAACCGATCGCGCAGTGAGGCAACCTGACGCTACCCTGGAGTTCATGGTCGTTGTGTTATTTGCTATTTGCTTATTACTGTTCTATATTAATATTATTCATTTCATTTCCGCTTTATATTTTTAAGGGGGGAATCTCAAAGTGACTTACAATACATGAAGGCAGCAATCTAGAATAAAACATTACTGAAGGAAGTCAGATATAAAGTATACATTGAAAGAGACATAACTAGCAGGAAACCAAGCTATTATCTTAAAGATTTCAAAATAAAACATTACAAAGGAGGTCAAGTACAGAATCCATCAGATGCGTTACTTACATGCTATGCAAAGGTCTCCAAGCACCTAATGGCATCTTTAGAAACATAAATACAAACACCTTTCATGTATCGTTAAAAGTAGAACAAAGTAGCCTTCCTCCCTCTCAGTAAATGGCAATGGGAAGCGTTGGCAGCACACCAGTAATTAACAATGGTTCTCATGGACTCATTTAAGTGTGCAAAAGTCGTTCTGCCCTCACAGTAACCTTGTGAGATTAGGCTCAGTTGTTTTCTCTGCTGCTATACAGAATGTTGATGCAAATTTTAAAATGGGATAATATTATTAAGCAACTTTGTGGGGAGAGGGGATAGAGAGGTGTATTCTTATTGTTGCTGCTGTTTGTTTTTTTACTGCATATTGAGGAGGCATAGAAAATAAAGGTGACATTTGGGTGTGAAAGTAGAAATGTGAAAATGGGTCAAGGCAGGTATTACCTCTGATTTTTTAATCTCATTCTAAACCACCATCTCAAGGCAATAAGGTAACTAAAAACAGCAAAGAACAAAACTAAATTTCTAACAAGTGGACACTCACAGTAAAGACCCATTTATCCAGCTGGGAAAGCCTGCCAGAACAAAAATGCCTGCAATTGTTTCTGAAAAGTGCAAATAGTGGGTGCCTTTTGTATCTTACTGTGGCCGCTGCTTCATTACGGTTGTAGGAGGGGTAGATATGGGTAGGTCTGTGACTGATTTAAATGGATTGCATAAGACTGTTTTTGAGTGAATTATTGGGAGTGAACACTACTTAATTCTATGGTAGAGAGCAGGGTTTGAGGACTGGTGGGCTAGATCCTCATTCCACCCCACGGATGGGCGACTTTTCAGGTTGGTGGAACTGCCTACCTGTCAACCTTTTGGTGCCACTGTGACATCAGGTGACACAACTTCAAAGGAAAGAACTAGGCATGTGCTCCTGATTCTTCCCTTTCTTACTCTGCAGTCCTGCTTGTTCTTGAAACAGGCCTTCAAAGGAAGATCCAATGGGGATTGTCTGTGCTAAACAGTGGATCATTTAGCACCAAGTCCCGCTTGCCAAGGAGTGAGCAGGAGTGCAATTGTTCCTTTGTAGTTACATGTGAGACATTTGTTGTGGGGCAAATGGCCATGGCTTGGGGTGGGGAAGCTTTAACGGTTAAATTAGAGCTTGTTTGCAGAAAGTTCTGCATGCCTAGTGTAGGGTGGTTGTGTGCTTAGATTTCCCCTCTAAGCCTGTTTCAGGTGCTCAGGATGTGTAACTCTCTAACTTTATCTCATTTTATTGTTAGAATTGCCCTGTGAGGTAGATTAAGCTGTGATTGACCTGTCCAAGTACATGTACCCTGCTTCATGACCTTATGACTGAGCAGGGATTTGAGGCTGGTCCTCCAACACCCAAGCTCAAGAGCTTTCTCCATTATATCACACTGACCGAATGTGATAGGTAAGAAACATAGTATTGGAAAATGCAGCTGATGGATCTAGGGTTGCTAAATGCATGTGCTTAAGCCAGGGTGGTCCAACATGCCGATCAGGGACCACATGTGATGCCTTTTTTGGTGGCCCACAACAACATTTGTTTAGGGAAGCTTATAATGTTTGACGCATTACTGTATTTTAATATTTTGTTGGAAGCCACCCAGAGTGGCTGGGGAAGCCCAGCCAGATGGGCAGGGTATAAATAATAAAAAATTAATAATAATAATAATAATAATAGTAATAATAATTAGACGCCCCACCCCACAGCCCTTGCACTGCCATACCTGGTGCCTCCTTACCCAGCTTTGGGAAGGAGGCATGGGGGCTCTGACAGGGTCCTTGAAGCCTCCTGCCTCCTTCCCCAAAGCCTAGTTTGCACTTTCCCATCATTGGGAAGGAGATGGGAGGGCTTCAGGACCCTGCCAGAGTCTTACATCTCCTTCCCAATCCCTGTGCCTCACCTAGCCTGCTTTGGGAAGGCAACATGAGGGCTAGAGGGTTGTCAGATGTTTGCCTCACTCACTTCCTGCCCCTGTGTGCAACAGGTTCTGTGTCAAAGTACTCTTGCAGCCTACTTGGCATGAAAAGTTGGACCACTCTAGCTTAAGTGTTTGATGGTTTGTGGGTGTGGGTGTAGCCAACACTCCTTGCATGTGTTATGTGGGAAACACAATCATAGCATTTGCTGCAGGGAGTATGGAGCAACCATGCAAAACCAGCTTGGGCAGAAGATTGGACATGACTTGACCTTAATTCCAGTAGGTGTACTCTTAAACAGAACTTAATTGGATGCAACACATATTATTTCTGATGTGGATGTGCCATGGATTCATGTAAGTATATCAATTTATTATTTACACTTTAAATAGCTATACCATCAGAATATAGGTTGTTTGCACATAAATGAAATGAAGCAAGATAAGTGGTCCCCCCCCCCCCAATCAGGGAGATGGATTTCAGTAGAAACAGAAGGAATGATTTACTCCATCCTCACAGTGAGGCAGAATTCTCTCTATCTTAAACAACCAAACCACAGTGGGTTGTATCCAGTGGTATTCCTACTCAGAGCTCAGAGTAGACCCATTGTATAGTGTTCAGATCAAGGGAAGTCCTAGGGCCTCTCTATTCTGCCATAGTCATAGAATCATAGAATCATAGAGTTGGAAGAGACCACAAGGGCCATCGAGTCCAACCCCCTGCCAAGCAGGAAACACCATCAGAGCACTCCTGACATATGGTTGTCAAGCCTCTGCTTAAAGACCTCCAAAGAAGGAGACTCCACCACACTCCTTGGCAGCAAATTCCACTGTCGAACAGCTCTTACTGTCAGGAAGTTCTTCCTAATGTTTAGGTGGAATCTTCTTTCTTGTAGTTTGGATCCATTGCTCCGTGTCCGCTTCTCTGGAGCAGCAGAAAACAACCTTTCTCCCTCCTCTATGTGACATCCTTTTATATATTTGAACATGGCTATCATATCACCCCTTAACCTCCTCTTCTCCAGGCTAAACATGCCCAGCTCCCTTAGCCGTTCCTCATAAGGCATCGTTTCCAGGCCTTTGACCATTTTGGTTGCCCTCCTCTGGACACGTTCCAGTTTGTCAGTGTCCTTCTTGAACTGTGGTGCCCAGAACTGGACACAGTACTCCAGGTGAGGTCTGATCAGAGCAGAATACAGTGGCACTATTACTTCCCTTGATCTAGATGCTATACTCCTATTGATGCAGCCCAGAATTGCATTGGCTTTTTTAGCTGCCGTGTCACACTGTTGGCTCATGTCAAGTTTGTGGTCAACCAAGATTCCTAGATCCTTTTCACATGTACTGCTCTCAAGCCAGGTGTCACCCATCTTGTATTTGTGCCTCTCATTTTTTTTGCCCAAGTGCAATACTTTACATTTCTCCCTGTTAAAATTCATCTTGTTTGTTTTTGCCCAGTTCTCTAATCTGTCAAGGTCGTTTTGAAGTGTGATCCTGTCAAACACCACCTGGAGTACTGTGGCCAGCTCTGGGCACCCTAGTTTAAGAATGATATTGACAAACTGGAGCATGTGCAGAGGAAGGCAACCAAGATGATCAAGGGTCTGTAAACCAAGCTGTCCTGAATCCCCAGCATACATGGCAGCAAGTCCCACTGTCTTATACAGTATATCAAGTCCAAAGTCTAGCAGTCAGGGAAAACAGTCCATTGGAAGTCCTGGAGCATCTAAGCCAAGGTCCAGCAACATGGGCAGCTAAGCAGATGCAGCCCCTCACCTGTTTCCCTTTTATTTCTTGAATCCTGATTGCGGCATCTAGGCTTGACAAGCCATATGATCCTCACCTGTTCTGAGCCTATTTCAGCTGAGGAATCACACATCCCCCCCCCCCCGGGTTGTGGGGCTAATGAGCTTCACCTGGGCTGTGGAGCCTTGCCTGCCTCAGCCTCCCAGAGCATACCTCCCACTGCTCACTATGCTTCAGAGCCTGCCTTGTTCATGGAGACAGAGGCCTCTCTGATTCTGTTGAGGGATCCTGCTCTTCGGTCCCTGCACCTTGACCCCCACCCCCTTGCCATCCCGTCATCCTGTGCAACTCCAATCTCTCCTTTCCCATCCCCAGCTTGCCTTGGTGGGTCCCAGTCACAGCTTGCCAGGATCCTGTTTCTCCTCCCTGTTGTCCTCCCAGTTCATGACACAAGCTTTAAGAGAAACAGTTGAGGGAGTTGGGTATATTTAGGTTGCTTAGGAGAAGACTGAGAGGTGATTTGGTAGCCATATTCAGTTATCCAAAGGGCTGTTATATGGAAGACAGAGCAAACTTCTTTTCTGCTGCTCCAAAGGGTAGGGCCTCAACCAGTTGGATACAAATTATAAGAACTGAACATTAGGAAGAACTTAACAGAAAGGAGCTGTTCAATAGTGGAACAAACTCCCTCAGAAGGTGGTGGGCTCTCCTTCATTGGAGGTTTTTAAACAGAAATTGGATGGCTCTCTGTCAAGGGTTCTTGCACCGTGATTCCTGCATTGCAGGGGGTTGGACTAGATGACCCTTGGGGTCCCTTCCAACTCTTATGATTCTATGACTAACTTACGTCCATTAATTTCAATGAGGCAAATCTGAGTATTTATTTTATTTTATTTCTATACCTGAAGGTCTCAGGGGGTATCATTAGATGAGAAGGGGGTATTATTAGATGCAACCAAGTATTCTATATCAAAGGTATAGCCAACCTGGTGCCTTCCAGGTGTTGTTGGACTATAACTCCCATTCACCTCTCTCTGTTGGCCATGCTAGCTGTGGTTGGGGTCCCTTCCAACTCTACAGTGATTCTATGATGGGTGTTCAACATCCGGAGGGCACCATGTTGGCATCTGTACACTGCATGCAACAGGGAGAGGCAAGAGTGATTTAAACAGAGTATACCAGAAGTCACGTAAACAAAGGAGTGTGCCTAAACCATATTTTATTTATCTGCACTGTGTCTTTCCTCTTATAGTTCGTAACAGCTAAGAAAAACGTAATCACATAGAATGAAACCAACAGTAAAATTACCATAATAACAGCAATAAACAATTTAGAATTTACGCTTTCAGAAGGAAAAGGATTCCCTATCAATTCTAGCAAGGCAAGCAATGAGCTCCAGCCACAAAAGCCCTTCCGGTATAGGAAGGTCTTAACTGTGATGGAAAACTAGCAAGGAGGGGCAGAAATTATCCTCCCTTTGCATGGAGTTCCAGAGCGTGTCAATGTTTTTATTAAACAAGAGAAGCTTTCCTTCAGTACAAGGGAAGAAGCAGATGGTGTATATAATACGCTCTTTTTTTAATGGGATGGTTTTTGCTTTCACTTCTAGGAAGGGCACTAAGATACAAGAGAGCTTTTGACAGTGAGGGAAACAGACAGACAGACACACACACAGAGAGACCGCATTTGAAAATATTGGACCAGAACAAACAGCTGCCAGGGTTCTCTGAGCACAGGGAGCGCAACAGTCTGGCTGTCACCATGCTAAGCAAGCAACCCATCCTTGTGGAATCCCTCATCATGTTCACCATCGTGCTTTGTGTGCACAGCACAGTCTGGGATCGCTTTTCCTGGTGCGCCATTGCGCTTGCAATCCAAGCTTTCTATATCCAGTTTAAATGGGACAACCTCCTCCGCCTGGGCAGTGCTGTCTTCCAGTTTCGGGCAGGAGCAAACAGTGGCCTCTTCCCAGCTTGCATGGCTGTCCCATTGCTGGGCATTGTGATGAAAGAGAGATGCCAAGCAGCTGGTATTGTGTACTTTGAGCGTTTTGGCATCATCGTAGCCTCCACTGGCATGATCATCGCCCTGTTCCTCTCTGTGATAGCACTCGGTGTTACCAAACCTGTGCCGACAAATACCTGCATCCTCTCTGGCATTGCTGGCAGCCTGATCATCTACACCATGAAGCACTCGTTGACGGTCTCTGAAGTGATTGAGGTCCTGGAGGTCCTGCTTATCTTTGTCTACCTCAGTATGATACTGCTATACTTGCTGCCTCGATGCTTCACTCCTGGTGAGGCTCTGCTCGTCCTGACAGGAATAAGCTTCGTCCTCAATCAGCTCATCAAACGTTCTCTGAACGTAACCGAAAGCAGAGGGGACCCGATTGACTTCTTCCTCCTGGTGGTGGTGGTCGGGGTGGTTCTCCTTGGGATATTCTTCACCGCCCTCTTTTTCTTCATGGATTCTGGGACCTGGATCTCCTCCATGTTCTTTCATATGATGACGGCGGTGCTGGGTCTGGGGGTTGTCATGCCGTGGCTCTACCGCTTGATCCGGCAGAACCCCCTCTTTTGGCTCTCCCAGTTCCTCTCTCAAACACAGACCAGAGTTTATCTCCTTGCCTACTGGATCCTCCTGGCTGCTTTGGCATGCACAGTGGTTCTCTATCAAAACGCCAAGAGGTCATCTGGTTCTAAGAAACACCAAGCATCAACCATAACCAGGAAATATTTCCATTTCATTGTGGTGGCAACGTATGTCCCAGGACTCATCTACGACCGCCAGCTCCTCTACGTGGCTGCTGTGGTGTGCTTGGCAGTTTTCATTCTTCTAGAGTACATCAGATACTTCACCATCAAACCCTTGGGGCACACCCTCAGGAACTTGCTATCTCTCTTTTTGGATGAACGGGACAGTGGGCCTTTGATCTTGACTCACATCTATCTTCTGCTGGGGATGTCCCTTCCTGTTTGGCTGTTCCCCAGACCTTGTGCCTCAAAGGCAACTTTGCCTGGGACTGGAGCCCTGGCCCCTTACTCTGGGGTGCTTGCTGTGGGCATTGGGGACTCAGTAGCTTCTATTTTTGGGAGCACAGTGGGGGAGATCAAATGGCCAGGGACCAAGAAGACCTTTGAGGGCACCATGATGGGCATATTTTCCCAGATCATTGCTGTTGCCATCATTCTGATCTTTGACAGTGGTGTGGATCTAAATGCCAGCTACTCCTGGATTCTGGCATCTATTAGCTTGGTTTCCCTTTTGGAAGCCTACACTACCCAAGTGGACAATTTACTTCTGCCTCTCTACCTCCAAATACTACTGATGACTTAGGGGACCTTGGTTGGGAATCTTGGCATGACCGGTGCAGGGATGGAGGCTATAGGTAGGGCAATGGCTTGAATCACTGTAGTGAACTCACAGTATCAGGCTATAAAGTTCAAAAAGAGGGATAACAGTGTTCAGATAATTGCTCTTGGATCAAATGAATATTTAAAAATGGACATGCAAAAGCATCTTTGTCAGCTTGTCATTTTTAATTGTGCTTTCAAAATTAGTTGAGCAACTTTAGTTCTGTTGTATTGCAGTGTTGTAAAGATAAATCAAGGAAAGGCGACGTGTCTAAGCATATTGGACTCTTTACGTGGCTTAATGGTCCTGGTGATTAAAGGTCTTTTCTATGGCTGTCAGTGTGCGGCCCAGAAGCAACCCTGTCAGGAGGCAATTCATAATGGACATCTTGAACAGTAGATTTTGTGTGCTGTTAAGTCTGCAGTTCTACACATGCAGTTTTACCTGGGAGTATGTCCCACTCAATTCAGTGAGAGTTTCTTCCCAGTAGATATGCATAGGTTATTTTTGCAGGACATAGCTGGTGCCTTACTGAAATCCCCCTTGTTCATAAGCAACACTGTAAAACACGGAAAACACAGAATATTCCTACACATTTAAGATTTATTTGGTGCTGCCAGTCTATTTAGTGTAATTATATTCCATCATTTATACAAATCTTATTTACTTATTACATTTGTATCCCAGGCTTCCTCCAAGGAATAAGAGACAGAGAGTTGTCTCTAACAAAGTTCTACTCAGAGAAGAGCCAATGAAATGAATGCCTCTGTTCGTCACTTTCATCCATTTCAATGCCTTCTATAGTCCTGGCCTTTTAAATGAATGAAAATGACTAGCTTAGGTCGATTAAATTCCATGGGCCTACTCTGAGTAGAACTTCATTGGATACAACCCAGTAGATCTAGGCTAGTTGGACTACCATTGGATACAACTCCACAGTATGTGGTTCTCTCCTCCCTGCCACACATACCCATCCTTTTATCTTCACAACATCCCTGTGAGGTTGGCTAAGCTGAGAGTGTATGTGATTGGCCCAAGTGGAGATTAGAACCTGGGTCTTCCCCAATCTAGCACTAAGGACCGCACTGACTCTGATTCTCCCATCCTGCCCGGAAGAGGTATCTTCCACATTAAAGATGAGACGAGACTAGAAACAAGAAATCACAGAGCTAGATTTTGAAAAAGGAAAAGTAGCTGGCAGTGAACTCCGAGGCATGGGCTGGTCAGTCACCACTTTGCACTCCAGTTGTTAGTTTTGTGTGTACAAAGAGGGGAAAGGCAACTCAGGGGTTGGCTGAAGCCTAGAAGACAAAAAAAGGTATGGTATGTTGGAACATAGAATACTAACAGATTAACTAGAGCACAACATGCGTGGAAATTAAATCTCCCTAAGGAAGGTGGGGGTAGGGAACCTTTTTTGACCCAATGAGCACATTTCCTTCTGGGCAACCTTCTAGGAAAAGGGCTGGCTTACATAGGAATATAGGAAGCTTCTTTATACTGAGTCAGACCCTTGGTCCATCTGGCACACGATGGTCTGTACTGACTCTCAACAGCTTTCTAGAGTTTCAGGCTGGGAGGTCTTCCCCCCACCTTACCTGGAGATGCTACTGGGTATTGAACCTCTGAAACTTCTGCATGCAAAGCAGATGCTCTGTCACTGAGCTGCAGCCCTTCTCCTAAGATTTGAAAGCTTTTGTGGAGGGGGCAAGTGCATAGTGCTTAGCAATTGATCACCTCCGAGGTCCCTTTTATATTGCAAAGAGTTCTGTGATCTACAGCCTCCTTCCTACCAGTTCTCTGGGCTCCAAGCCGTGTCCTTCGCCTCCATGATATGGAAAGTGTAGACGTGGCGGGACTTTTCGGAGAGGTTCAGCTCACTTTTGTGGACAACCTCACCATGGATCAGAATGAGGCCACCTATTTTGTGATTTAAAAGCAACACACCGTCATACCAAGCAAGTGCATGAATTTGCAAAGTCAAAGCACCAATCACATTACCATTCCCCCTAGCCTAGTATTGTCTATTGGATCTGAATCAAAACCTGAGGTAACCTTTGTTGTGTAGCAAAGAAAGGAGAGTGAGATGCTGACCTGAACATCCCCCTGTCTTCTCTGCATTGTGTTAGTGGCATGATGCCCAGCAGTTAATATCTATATTCCTCTTAATGTTTACCCTTGTTGTCAAGTTTACCTTTCTCAACAGGCACTGGGATGAATTGCCTGTTATCGTACGTCTGCTCAGAGCCAACAAACTTTGTGCAGGGGATTGTGCCTGGGGGAGTACGAACCATACGCCGAGTGATCCCACCTATAAAACAGCACGTTGGAAACGTGAAGGATGCCACAGAAAGTGACAAGGAGGACATGTTGACAGACTTGTGTCTTGTACACAGATGCCCTGGCAAGATCTCTCCAAGCAAAGCAATACTCTAGGCCAAGGTGGTCCAGCCTCTCAGACCAAGTGGGCTGCAATAGTAGTTGGACTCACAACCTGCCGGCCACACACTGATTTAAATTTCCATGTTGTAAATTAAAGTGTTTATAATATAGTTAATATTATTTAATACAATTAATAAATTTAATATACAGTGGTACCTCTGGATGCGAACGGGATCTGTTCCGGAGCCCCGTTCACATCCTGAAGTGAATGTAATGCGTTTTGCCGCTTCTGCGCATGCGCATGACGTCATTTTGAGCGCCTGTGCATGCGCGAGCGGTGAAACCCAGAAGTAACACGTTCCATTACTTCTGGGTCTCCGCAGAGCGCAACCCGAAAATGCTTAACCTGAAGCGTATTCATCCCGAGGTATGACTGTATATATAATTAAATACACAATCGTTTGATTGTGGGGAGATTGAGTCCCTGTCAATATAAAAAAGCAACATAGAATCATCATCATCATCATTCTAGCCCAATTTGCAATCCATAGCAAATGGCCACAAACAGGGCCATTTGTCAAACAGGGCAGCCAGCAGTACAGCCTCCATGTCCAGGGGCAGTCAACCTGCCCCGCAGAGCTGCAGATAGAGGTCCCACTAAGTGCTCCCCACCCACTGGCTGGTTGGCTGTGCACCCTGTCTCTGTTGGTCCTGGGCTGCATCACAGCCTTTCTCCAACCTGGCAGCTCAGCTCTGCCTCCTCCTTTGCCACATCCCTCAAAAGGGTGCCGCCTCCAAGCCATACTTCCACTTTGTGTCCCTGTGCTGGCCTGCCAATCAAAAGACAGGTCATTGAAACATCCAGTGCCCAGCTCTCCCCTTTGGTGGGTTTTCAAGCATCCCACTCACCCCACTCATGCCTGTACTCTCTCATTAGCAGTGCTCATTTGCTGATGGGAGAGGGGCCAAGCAACCAGCCTGCAAGAGGAGGAAGCTTCTCAGGACAGGATAGGCAGAAGAGTCACTGAAGTACAGTAACAAGGCTGAGGGCACGGGACAAATGTACCACTGTTGTGCCAAATGAAGCTGTAGCAAGGGCAGCCAATGTGGTGCCAACCAGATGTTGTGGGTCTGCAGTTGCTTTCCTATCAAGTCAAATGCCATGCTACTAATTTCTTACTTGTGTGAGAGCCAGGGATGAACCACAAACAGCCATTCTCTAGGGTGGCGTTTTCCAGGGCGATCCAGAGGCCGATCACTCTCCCCAAAGGTTCCGTATGTAGAAAGGTGGCATCCTGGTGTGGCGTCACTGGAAGCAACAGATCGCACAGATGCAAACAGCTGGCTCGAATGTCACACTAAACAAAGGTTTTCTCCAACCCTCATTTAGTCAAGAAAGGAGATTCTGGCTAAACACCAGGAAGAACTTCCTGGTAGTAAGAAATGTTTGACAATGGAACAAACTCCCTCGGGAGGTGGTAGACTCTCCTTCACTGGAGGTTTTCAAGCAGTGGTTGTATGGTCATCTGTAAGGGATGCTGTAGTTGAGATTACTGCACTGCAGGGAGCTGGGCTACATGGCCCCGAGGGTCCTTCCCAACCCTGCTGTTCCATGATTCTGTAATTCTCTAAGTCATATAATTGGTCCATCTATCTCAGTATTAATCAAACTTACTGGCAGCAATGGTTCTCCAGGATTCCAGGCAGGGAGCTTTTCCCAGCCTTAACGGGGGAAACTTCTGCATGCAATCAAAATGGGCTTTCCTGCAAAGTAAACAACTTCTCGTCCTTCCTCTTCCATGGACTTGCCCTTCCCTTGACTGTAACATTATCATTGACAGTAATACTGCAGAGGGACGCTGCTGACTTGAATTGCAGCCTCAAAGCAGTGCAAGAGTTCAGCACTCACGATTAACCATGCCACTGGTCTATTATATCCTTGGCTTGTTAGTGACAGCAGGTAACAAGAGATGTGCTCGCATTTATTTATTTATTTATTTATTTATTTATTTATTGCATTTATACCTCACCTTTTTCTCCAAGGTGAAGTACACAGTTCTCCTCCTCACTTCATCCCCACAACAACCCTGCGAGGTAGGTTGGCTGTGAGGCCGTGACTGCCCCAAGGTCACACCCAGTGAGCTACATGGCTGAGTGGGGGAATTGAAAGCTGGTCTCTCCCAGGCCCTAGTCTGACACTCTAGCCACTACACCACACTGGCTCTCTCTCTCTTAATATAGATCAGGGTTTCACAAACTTGTGTCTCCAGCTGTTTTTGGACTACAGTTCTCATCATCCCTGACCACTGGTCTTGCTAGTTACGGATGATGGTAGTTGTAGTCCAAAAACAGCTGGAGAGACAAGTTTGGGAAACACTGACTTATACTGAAACCAGATTATCAGGAGCCGTGTACGTGCCCCTCACCAGAATCAATCTTTGGCCAAACAACAGCCTATATATAAGAAGAGCCTTCCTACATCAGATCAAAAGTCCCATCTACTCCCAAGAGAAGGGAGCACTATGTTCTCTTCTGGACAAACCTTTTGGGCGCCATATGCAAGGAGTGGTCAGGGCCAGATGCAAAAGTCGGTGGAGTAAATTTTAGCTTTGCACAGTAAGCTAGTTTGTACATAAACATACAAAAGCAAAATACATAATCAAAGTCCTGTGTGCCCTCCAAAAGCATTCAAGGAGGGCACTCAGCTTGGCCAGAGAGTGATGCAACACAGGAAGGAGTGTTCAGTCCCCAGCATCTCCACATAGGACTGAGAATGACCCCAGTCTGAAATCCTTATGGTGGTGGTGCCAGCCAGTGTACTGTACTGAGCCAGGTGGCTCAGTGGTCGAACTCTGTATAAAACAGCTTATTTCCTTTATTTAGAACCATGAGGTCTGGAACTTTAATTTGGAGGGAAGGGCCAGGGAAGAAGGTTGCAGGTTCAATCCCTGATGGAAACTCCATGTAGGGCTGGGAATGTTCCCTTCCAGAAACCTTGGAGAGCTACCTCCAGTCAGTGCAGACAATGCTGTGCTAGACGGACCAATCGTCTGACTTTCTTCTGTTCCTGTTTAATCCAGCCCTTTATTCAGAACTACTTTCATTGTAGAAATAGGCCGAGTATGAACCTCACCTTCACCGCCGATGCCAGGTTGCTAGAAAACGAAGGGGGAAACACCATTTTATTGAGGAGGAAAGTACAAAAAGATTGTCCTATTAATGCATTTAATTAATTAATTCAGTTAATAAGCAGAGTTAAAGGTTACCATACCTTGAATATGTACATGCTTTGCACCACCACTGGGTTTTCAAAGCCCAGTTTTCTTGCCAGGACCTGAAAAATATCCCAAAATTTGCACGAGATTAGATAAAAATAGTAGTTAACACATCATGGTGAAATATGGTTTGTCATGACATGTGCAAGCTATAACTAGCCTCAGGTTCGTGCCTACACACCACTTAGTTCCACATAGCCAGGAAGAGATTTTTGGGAACTTACTTTCAGTTTCTGTTAAACTCTGCTTGCAGTTGTGGCTTTTTTACAAACTATGGTCAGGTTCAAAATATGCCACCTTCAAACCATAGTTTATGAAGCAGGCTTGTTAAGCTAGCTAACTACAAAGAAGCAGGTAACAAAATATAGGGACTCTCAGTGTATACCCATTGAAATCAATGGGCATGACTAACTGAGGTCCATTCATTGTAATGGCTCCAACTTCATTGGCTCCAACTCCATTATACATTCACACAAACAGTGGCTTTTGAAATGAGAGCATTAACAATCAGAAATAGTTTTTAAAATGTGATTTGGTTTTAATGGCTGTAACGTGTAAATATTCTTCAACTCTTCATATTTAATTTATTGGCCAGAAATATAATCAATCAATCAAACAAAGGCACATCTCTCCCTTTGGGGCTTGAAAACTTCATTCCTCCTCATATAGTTATTTATGAAGTTTTGCATATTGCAAAAGGGAAATAAAGTATACAGAAAAAGGATAGTAGGACAGGTAAGTGAAATGTCCTTACCAAAAACAACCCTCCGTGCCTGATGGAAAGAAACAGGATCCATACCTTATTATTACTATTAAAATTTGTATACTGCCCTTCATCCAAAGATCCCAAGGCGGTTCGCAACAGAAAAATACAAAATGAGAATACGAAAAGAAAAACCAATACCCTCTCAAAAAAACAACATTACACTTAAAAAGCCAAAGGATGTTAATCAGCTGAACACCTGTTTGGAAAAAAATGTTTTTGCCTAGCACCTAAAGATATGTAATGATGATGCCAGGTGCGTCTCCCTTTGGGAAGCATTCCACAAACACGGAGCCACCACAGAAAAGGCCTGTTCTCGTGTTGCCACTCTCCAGACCTCATGGAGGAGGCACCCAAAGAAGGGCCTCAGATGTACGAGCGCAGGGTCCAGGCAGTGGCAGAGCTTCATGCTCCGGCACCAGGGGGCGGAGAGCAGGTGGGGTGGGGCTGGCACGAATCCCGGGGGCGGGGCTGGTGCGCCACCCACAGGGGCGGGGCACGCATCCTGGGGGCAGCTGCGATGGCACCCCACCGGGATCGCGCTGCTGGGGGCGGTGCACTCCCCCCGCACTCCTCTTCCTCCGCCAGTGTGTCCAGGCCCAGACTTTGCACAGTGTGATTCCAGGTGCAGTGTGGACTAGACCAGTGTTCCCAAATTTTGGGGGGCCACTGCCCCCTTGGTTCCATAAACTCATCCCTGGTGTTCCCTACACTATCCCCCAAAAAGCATGTTTCAGATTAGCAGTCTGCAAAACCCACTAAGGAAGATAATAGCACAATAAAATTCAAAACAGTAACAATTAATTGCACATTTATTTGAAACCCAATTAAAGCTATTTAGTTTCATTAATTCAACAAAATCGAAGGACTTGATGCAGTGGTGCCAGCTCTTTGAAGTTGTTTACACCTCCAGCGCCCCCCTACTACCCCCTTATCGCTTTGTGCTCCACCAGGTGGCTCCACTGCCCACTTTGGGAACCACTGGACTATGACAATGAAAGTCATGTAAAAGAAGCTGTCAGAGGCAGTAATTAAATTATTTAAATGCTCTCTTCCCCTTCTGTTACAATTTTTCAGAATAGGAGATTCCTTACAGTCAAATGCAAAGAGGATAAAGTTTTCCATTGAAGGTTTGGAGCAGTCACACCTATTTCTACATCATTGGGACCTTTAGTCATTTTCCAGTGCATTAGCATATTCAACCAATGGAAACCAGATGGCTGAAAACTGGTCACTTTCCCATTGTCCTCTCATCACCTGTCATTGGTGGGAAAGTTTATCCAGCAAAGCTACATGCCAGATTTTGTCATACCAGTAGCTCAGTTCCTTTCAAAATAAGGCTATTGTGAACCTGGGAACAGAAAGAGTATGAACCAATAGTTCCCCATACAGTGGTACCTCAGGTTTGTTCCGGAGGTCCGTACTTAACCTGAAACTGTTCTTAACCTGAAGCACCACTTTAGCTAATGGGGCCTCCTGCTGCCGCCGCGCCACCGGAGCTCAATTTCTGTTCTTATCCTGAAGCAAAGTTCTTAACCTGAAGCACTATTTCTGGGTTAGCAGAGTCTGTAACCTGAAGCATATGTAACCTGAATCGTATGTAACCTGAGGTACCACTGTATTGTTTTTTCCAAAGTCACATTCACACCATACTGTGCCCCTTTAAACAGTCATGACTCAATGTAAAGATTCCTGGGAGCTGTAGTTAGTTAAGGGTGCTGAGAGTTGTTAGGAGACCCCCTGTCTCCCCCACCCCCAGCATCAAATCCCAGAGTTCCCTGGGAAGAGGAATGGATCTGCTCTGAGAATTGTAGCTCTCTGTGCAAAATAGGGGTCTCCTAACAACTCTCACCACCCTTGTAACTGCTGTTGCCATGGTTTTTGGTGCAGTTTGTTCAGCATGCTGAGAGTTGCTAGAAAACTCCCTTGTTCTACACACACAGCTGCAGTTCCCAGAGTGCCTGGACCATCCACCCCTCTTCGCAAGGAACTATAGCTTTGGGAAAGGAATGGGGGATGATCTAATGAATCTCAGAACCCTGAACACAGCTACCAGGATTTGCTGGAGGAAGCCAGGGGTATGAGGGGGGCTTTGAATGCATGGTGGAAATGTGGTCTAAATGGACTTGGGGCTTTCGGTTGGCACTCAAACTCACCTGCACGTCTGAGGAGTGAGTGATCTGCTTGAAGGTCGAATTGTATGCATGCAACGCTGCAAAAGAGCGGGGGAGAGATGAAGCAAGTAGAAATTGTCCCTGCTTTTTTGCTGTTGCAACTTACTGTATCTCATCCAATCACCTTCCTGATCAAGGGAAAGGGACATCCCTATACCCTTTTTAAAAACATCAATGAAAGCGCAATCCTATGCATCTTGACTTAGAGGTAAATCACACTTATTTCAATGGAATGCGTTACCAGGTAAGTGTGCTGATGAGTTTTCGGGCCTCACATCCAGATGATTCAGTTTGAAATGCACACATTTGCAGAACATAGGAAGCTGTCTTATAGTGAAGGAGGCCATTTGGGTTCATTTAGCTCAGTATTGTCTACACCAGTGGCTCCCAATTAGGGGTCCGGGGGCCCCTGGGGGTCCGCAGAACACACCCAGGGAGTCTGCGGCACCATCTCCTGCCAGGGGCTCACTTAATTTCTACAGTGAAAGCCTTCCATGGATCCTTCCAGCCTCTGCTCATGACCAGTGCCTGCTTGCCAGCAGGGGGAAAACTTGTGGAAAAGTTGCTGGATGGCAGGTGAGCTGGGATTGGGCACAAACCTTTGACACAGTTCCCATGGGCTCTTGCGATTGGGGGGGGGGGGAGTGCAAACAGCTCAAATGCTTATTATCATTTTTTAAAATGTAAGGGATTCCTTCCCCTTGTTATCTACTTCTAAACTGAAAATGATTTCTAATTGCTTTCAACAACTATCAAGTTTAGAGGACTCTCCCACTGCTTGTAGGTAGGGTTTTCAGTGAATCTTCCCTTACGAGTTTGGGATTCATGTCTTGTCTTGGAAGTCCCACAGGGGAAATAGCTAAGCAAATTGCCACTATGATTAGCACAACAGCTCATCCTCTGATGATTTAGGGCTGGGCAATACTTTCTTTTCAACATTGTGATATAATGGTAAAGGTAAAGGGACCCCTGACCATTAGGTCCAATTGCGGATGACTCTGGGGTTGCGGCGCTCATCTCGTTTTATTGGCCGAGGGAGCTGGCATACAGCTTCCAGGTCATGTGGCCAGCATGACTAAGTAGCATCCGGCGAACCAGAGCAGCACACGGAAACGCTGTTTACCTTCCTGCCGGAATGGTACCTATTAATCTACGTGCACTTCATGCTTTCGAACTGCTAGGTTAGCAGGAGCTGGGACTGAACAACGGGAGCTCACCCCGTCGTGGGGATTCGAACCGCCGACTTTCTGATGGGCAAGCCCTAGGCTCTGTGGTTTAACCCACAGCGCCACCTGCATCCCATTCACATTGTGATATATCAGCAACTAAATACCGGTATACGCTGATACATCACAGTGACTGGAATTTATCTCGGCTGCTTCTTGCGGGCCCAGGAGCAAACCCAGCTCCCCGGGAGCCAGGCCCCAAATCAATAAAGGCACAAGACAGTGTAGATATGGGATTAAATTGGCTACAACTTTATTAATTTCAGATGTAGTAAAGCCTTGGCTTAAGCATTGGGCACGTATCTCTCTCAGCCTCCTAGTGGGGTCTGTGGCTAGGCAGGGTCAGTCAGGAATATGAGGGACACTGCAAAACGTGCGTTAACACAGCTGCCCTCCCCTTTTCCTGTTGCTGAGGGGAGTTTGACCCTCCAATGAGTGCTTATGGTCAGTGACTCCCCTCTAACAGGGCCCTGCAACACTGCCATGGGAAGGGTGCATTACCCCTCCATTCCATTGATGGACTAAAGGATTCCACCCAAGGCCTAAAACCACCAAAGTTGTGACAATTCCTAAGGGGAAGGCAAAACCTGCAGAGCAGGGGAATTCCTTCCCGGCTCTGAAAGACAACAACCATTGACCTTGAAGAGAAACAATTAGCATGCACGGTCATTCCTGCCTTAGGGAACCCTACACAGTGAACGAGTCGAGTCCTGATCCCTTTCAGGCTCACCTGCGCTGAACTGTTCAGCTGGAGGATGGAAGAGGTTTCCTGCCCCCCAGTGAAGGAGCAAGTAGTGGGCTGGTGGCTTTGCTCAGCTGAGGAGAGGGGCAACCGTGCACCCCTTAGTGGAGCATTTTCATGGAAAACCACCCCGCCACTGGCTCATGTGAGCAGGTGGCAGGTCAGGGGTTCTGTAAAATTGCTTGGCTGAGGCAAGTACAGCCGTGCACTCATCAGCTGAGCAGTTTAAAGAAGCAGAGGGAGAAACAAGTTCTATCAGCGCCTCACCAACGTACCTTGTTTCTCCCTCTGCCAGTATGAGAGCAGAGTGGGATGGTGGCTTCACTCAGCAGTATATCGCTGGTGAAACCTCCCCCCTGCTCCTGTGTCCCTCTGCTATCAGCTCCAGCTGGAGGCAGCCAAGAGCAGTGGTGATCTCACTTGCAATACTGTACCACTGAGTGAAGTAGCCATTGCAGTCTGCCCTTCATACCAGTCCTGGGAGATGTATCAGTACATCACCCAGGCCTATGTAGTGCAAAAGGCAGCCTGCGTGGATGTTGTTTTTTTGTTTTCTTTGGGAAGCTATATGGCTACAATGGGGGGGAGGGGAGGAAACGGATGTACAGCTGAATCTTAATAAATTAAAAAGTTGGTTGTTCCTATTGGGTAATCAGCAAAAATAAAAACCTCACTCCAAAAAAGTATTGTATTTAATTAAGCTCTTTAAGCCAAGGATGAAACTTGGGCACAGGAAGACTAAATAAATTATTTTTAAAAAATTAAAAAATTGTCCAGTAGCACCTTAGAGACCAACTAAGTTTGCTCTGGGTATAAGCTTTTGTGTGCATGCACACTTCTTCAGATACCTGCATTCTTCAGATACCTGCATGCACTATTACTACTACTACTACTACTACTACTACTAGTATTACCAACATTACAAAATCCCAGTTGTTTTCTACTCAGTCTTCACCAATGTGTTATCAAGCCCTGACCAAGCCTTCACCTATGTCTTGAAGGTGCAAGATCCCACACTTAGCAGAACCCTATGTTGCAAAGTTTTGCTAAAATATACCGTCTCAGATTACAAGTAAGGAATAGCATGTGTGAATACTCATATAAAAAGCTTTCTGCGTATAGAGCACTTGCAAGTTAGGGACACAATTGCTTTTTAAAAAATTCAGTTGTAATGAAACAATGGCAACAAGTTGTTTCTACTTTCTGCGGATAGACAAGTTGTGGTAATATCACAAATTTTATGGTCTTTTTTTTAGTACACCTAAAATCCTTTTCTTATTAGGGGCTACCCCACATTTTCTTCAAAAAATTGCTTTGGACAGGTAACTACCATAGAGTTATAAAAATTTTCAAAAGTAGGGGGTCCGTGGCTTGGCTTTTGCAAAATGCTTTTTGCAAAATGCTTTATGGAGAAATGGACTGCCAAGTGTGTATCATTTTCATACACTGCTGTCTTTAATACTTACCATGGCCAATTTTATTAACAGCTTTTTCCTTTGGAACAAGAAAATCTCCTAGGAAAGAAAAATGTTGAATGCAACATAAATCACATAGCACATATGTTATATCCAGTGCTTTTTTTCTAAAAAATAAAGAAAATAAAAGAAATATTTAGGGGTACTTACATTTTACTACTCATATTGAAATTCTGCCCCTTAATGAGGCCAAACTTAAATTCACAAAATGTTTAGGAGTATGCATACCCCTGCGTACCCCCAGAAAAAAAGCACTGGTTATATCAGTTTAGATCAATTTAGGAAAAGTTCCCAAACTTTTTCAGCAACTGCCGCCTTTGGTTCCATCAACTCATCCTCACTCCCCCCATCCTACAAAAAGCAACATTAATTATATTGGTTTGCACAACCCTCTAAGGAAGAAATGTATGTAACTGACAGATGGAAAATCAGAAGCCCTTTTAATTTCTTTTTTCTCTCCCCCCCCTTCCTTTTATCTTCCTTATTCTGCCTTTATTTTTTGTTTTCCTTGGTGTCCTCTCCTCTAGGATTATGTTATGTACTGAGTTGAATAGGATCCAAAATGCAGCAGTCTGATTGGTCCTAGAACAATAGGATTCAGAATGCAGCAGTCTGATTGTCCTAGAACAATGCAGCAGTCTGATTGGTCTGCAGGAGCCACCCAATCCAGCTCCAGATGGAAGTGAATCCACAACCTGATTGGCCTACAGGAGAATTACGGAATTAGCCAATCACGTGCAGCCCATTGTGTAAATATTGTATAAAGCAGATACTTTGGGGGAACATCCATTCCTCCTCACTATGAGCTGCATAAAGAGCATGAAATCCACTCTCGACTCCAAGTATATTTCAGATTATACATACATGAAGGTGATGACTGGGCTGGTAAAGGACCCTGTGTGTGTGAGGCAGGCAAGGGAGGATCTCCCAAGGTGAGAGGTTGGGAGAAGAAAGGGGAGCTCCCAGGTGAGAGATGGGAGGGTCCACCCCTTTCTGTGGGTGACAAGGGTTCAGAGCTACCTTTGAGCATAGCTGTCAACTTTTCCCTTTTCTTGCGAGGAATCCTATTCAGAATAAGGGAATTTCCCTTTTAAAAAAGGGAAACGTTGACAGCTATGCCTTCGAGAGAGGACTCTGCATTTTCCTTTCCTTTTTCAGTTTCTGTTTTTGCTTAGATTAGTTTGTTTTTTATTGTACTGTATTATGAAAAAACCATCATAAAATTTTATGGGGGGGGGGAGGGAAAGCTGACCCCATCTCCACTCCCAAAATAGTTTGGCCATATCACAGGACTGAAAGGAGTCCTCTGGTTTTTCATTAAACATTTGCTTCCACAGAGTAATGTTTATTCACATTTCTGAGAAACTGTCATATATTAATGTACCTGTGATTTCACATTCATTTTGGAGTCATTTGCTACTTATATGATAGGCCAATCATGGGGGTGGCAAGTCCCAATGAAATGTGGCTTTATTTGGTATTTATCATAACATTTGCTTTCTCCTCTTCCTGTATCAGGCTGCTTTATTTTGTAACATCTAATTAAATGTGGAGTATATTGAGGGGTTTGTACTTTTTTCTTCATCTTTTCTACTGGATTATTATTTTAATTTCTTTTTTTTTTAATCTAGATTTCTTTTTTTAAAAAATTAGAAAATGCTTACCTTTTCCGTCAAAAACACCTTTTTCAAAAAAGAATCTGATTTTGTCTCCGCTGGTTAGAAAATATTCCGCGCTGCCCTATTGGAGGCCAAAATAAAAATATTATCATCTCACAATGAATACTGAGGCTGTTTATTTTAATATTTTGTGCAGTTTGTAAGGTGCTCCTCTCTTAAATCAAATACAAATTATAAAATTGGTAAGAAGTTCAATATGGAAATGATGATAAGCTATTAAAAATGTTGTTTGCGATGAAGTCATGTGGCCCCTTTAACTGCAGAGCTATAACCCATTCTTTAAGACTTAGGAAACTGTCATTAAACAACGTCAAACCATTCATCCATCTAGCTCAGTATGGTCTACACAGACCGGCAGGATTCTCTCCCAGCCCTACCTAGAGATGCCATTGGGGATTGAACCTGGGACCTTCTACATGCAAGGCAGGTGTTCTGCTGCTGAGCTATAGCCCTTCCTCTTTCTTTGAGATTGTACAAACGTAACATGTCATAGTTTAATCCTATGTGTGTTCACTCAGAAGTAAGCCCTGTGTACTAAACTGTAGCTTCCAAATTAATGAGAAATTGAATATGCCCATAATATCCTGTTATTTGGATAACTCCTGTCAGTTACAACACACTGGAATTGGCACTGGAATTTTATTCAGTTAGATAAAGGCATGCTTCTATAATATATATCTGGTTGTCTCCAATGCAGCGCTAACTCTTTCCACCAGTGCAAGGATTTATGCTTGTGCAATGGAACTTCCACACCTCTCCCCACCTCATGCACCCCCTAAATATGTTATGGGGTTCCCTCAACCCTACAGAACTGACTGGGGAAGCTGCTGAGGGGAGAAGAAGGGGAGGGGAGTGTACATCCATGCACAGAAGTGAGTGCATTGTTTTTACTTCAATAATATAATATTTTTATCCCATATTCCTCCTAAGAGATCAGGGGAGCACACAATGATACTGTCTCAAACCATTTATCGTATTTTTCGCTCTATAAGACGCACATTTTCCCCTCCAAAAATTAAAGGGAAATGTGTGTGAGTCTTATGGAGCGAATGCAGGCTCTTTGGCTTCAGCGATAGCAACGCGAAGCCTTCGAAGCGCAGTGGGAGCGCTCCTGCCGCGCTCCGGAAGCTTTGGGTTGCCTTCACCGAAGCCTGCAGACCCCTCTCGCTCTTCAGGCTTCAAAGATAGCGCCTGAAGCCTCTGGAGCGCAGCGGGAGCTCCCGCTGCGCTCCAGAGACTTCGGGTTTCTTTCGCTGAAGGGTAGGTACCCCTTCAGCTAAGGCACAGCGCCCCTTCAGCTAAGCGGGAGGAGAAATGGAAGGGGTTCCATTTCTCCTGCCGCTTCGCTGAAGGGGCACTGCACAGAGAGGGGAATAATTTCCCCCCCTTGTTCTCCCCCTCTAAAACAAGGTGCGTCCTATGGTCGGGTGCATCCTATAGAGCGAAAAATACGGTAACTTTCACAGCAACCCATAGCAAGTAAGGTAGGTTAAGGCTGAGAGATTGCAACAGGCCCATAGTTGTCTAGCAAGCTGTGAGGCTGAGAAAGGATTTGAACTCTCCCCCTGGTTCCTATCCAACAGAGCAACTGCTCTGCCACCCTGGCTCTTAATAGTTCAAAAAGCTGGGGCTGAGGGGTAGGCTGCTCTTCTGAGTTACTCTGCAGCAACAGACCATTATCCTGTCTGCATGGCAAAAAAGAGGTTTACCTGCATCTGTCCCCAAAAAGAGGTTGGCATAGTGAAAAAGGAAAGACAGAAAAAAGTGTAAGTTGTTGGAAGCAAATCATCATTATTATTACTGTCATCAACAATATATTGTCCTCAAAAATGCAAATAGCAAAATAGAGGTGCCATGTTACTTCATGTTACTTATTCCTTTATTAAATATATATCCCATCCTTCTTCTCAAAGGAGCCCAGGGCTGCAAACAGCAAGCAATAAAACAAATAAAAAAATCTTATTATTTTCTTTTCTTTTTTAAAGCTGGTTGTCATACAGATACAGCTCACACTGCCTAAGGATTAGAAACAAATAAATTAAACTGAATCTAGCTACAAGGAAGTGGGGATTTGAACCCTGGGGTCTCCCTGGTACTAGCCTGCACTTTTAACCATGCTTCAGTGGTTTTTGTGGTGGGAGATGTGACAGAAGCTAGTTTCTGCACCTGTGCCTGGAGCTGTTCATCTTCCCGGGTTGAAAACTCTGTACGGCAGTGAGGAGGCACGTCCATGTCAGCAATGATCTTTTGGATCTGGGCCCTCATGGCCTCACACACTTCAGAGCTGAAAAACTGGTCAAGAACAAGGAAGCCATCTTGGCGGAACTGGGGGGTAGGAGGGAGGACATTTTGATATCATCACCATCACCACAACAACTAGAATCAAGAGATAGGCAAATCTGGCATTTTCACTTTTGCTCAGTTTCTCTCCCCACCCCACCCCCCACCCCGCTTTTCTCCACATTTCCATATCAGTTTGTGATTTATTTACTTTTTCAAAAAGTCCTCCCAGAAATTCATCAGCGTTTCAGTGTGACTCTCTCCCCAACATGCACATTTTTGTATGCAATTTATACACGTTTTGGCGAAGAATGCCATTTCCCCTAACAGAATGCATTTTGGGGTGGGGTATTTTATTTTTACTTGGGTGTTTATTTTTCTGCATGCTATACCCTAGTATGTGCATTATTATTTTTACACATAACTTGGCTGAAAAGCAGCATTGCAACATTCAGAGAAGTACAAATTTCAAAAGATGACTGCATTTCAGTTCACAGATAGTTTCTGAAAGTGCAAATTAGGGTAAGTTTTCCTTTAAATGTGAACCAAATCAAATTTCTGCCCTATTCCCTGCTGGACGGTACTACAAATCATAGTGCTCCATAGAGTTATGTTGGAGTCTTTTTCAATGAATCATGTGATACAGCTGGTGATGGCCCTAGGTCTTTGAGCAATAAGTCTTAACTCTTTCCAATGACTCATTTGTTGCCCAAAAGCATCTGCTGTTCTCCCTTGCTCTAAGCCATGGGTCAGCAAAGTTTTTGGGGCTTGGGCCGGTTCACGGTCCCACAGATGCCACGGTGGGCCGGAGTGTGTGCGAGCGTGCGCATGTGCAAATACTATTTCCAGCGCTCCTTCCGGCGCGGAGGAGACATGTGCAGCTTCCCATTGGCTGCAGGAGGTTCCAGCAGCCAATGGGAAGCTGACTAGCATCGCAGAAGGCCGTCCCCACTCTGCTCCGTGCTGGTTTAGTACGGCACATGGGAGCCAGCCAACCGAGCGGGTGGTGGTGTCCCCAAGCGGGCAGCGGGGGTCCATGGGCCGGGTAAATGACCCCCATGGGCTGCTTGTGGCCCATAGGTCTTAGGTTGCCGACCCCTGCTCTAAGCCCTGGGAGGGATGTGGGGCCTCTGAAACTGAAATAAAATAAAATAAAATAAATAAAACCATAAAACCCCTAAATCTGTGGTTTCAGTGGCACTGTATAGGGCTCTCTCAACCAAAGAATTGAGTTCCTAGCATACTTAGAGGTGGTCCTTCTCACAATAATGTTAGGCTCTGACTTTTAGGAGATACGTAATGTCCTGATAAACGTTCCCACTGAAGTAGCAAGAAATCAAGAGAGATTTCTGCTTTATTGACTCAAATTTGCCATTGTTTCTTATCTATCAAATCAAACCACAACACATTTATGGTGGGAATGTACGTTGGTTCAAGATTCTTAGAATTCTTTAATTGTTTAATTTTGACAGAAATGATCAGTACTGCCAGAGGAACTATTGTTTGCTGTTCAAAATTAATGTCATTGAATTGTTGAGGATACCAATGTAGATTTATTTTCGTAAGGTTTTGTCTTGTATATGGTATTTGCATCTCAAATAGTAATTGCAACGCAATGGAAAACAGCCCCAAATCTTACACTGGCTACTTGGTACCACTCAGGAATGCAGGTATAGTGAAGGAAATTGCACATAATTTGAGATTTTGACAGGATCTAGAACCTTTTTATATGATTTGGCATTCCTTTACTGCTGAACCCTCATTTTCAGTGCAACCTTCGTTACAAGCCTGGGAAATTGGGAACTCTACTTGAAAATCAAGTAACAGTTATATATTCTTCCTTCATGTGAAGACAACTTTCATTCTTTTTTCTTTCTTGACCTGGACTTTGTTACTGAACTGTTCGGTAACTGTATTTATTCTGTGTGCCTATTTTACGGTTTTGATTTTCATCTGTTATAATCGTTCTGTACATTATAAAATAAATTTCAAAACAACATTGAAAAGAAAAGAAAATTAACTTGCAATACCATTGCAGCAACAACCCCCTGGAATGAAGGGCCTGCTTACTTTGGAGAACACATTGCCCAAGGAGATTATGGATAAAGAGCGGCGGATTTTCAGAGTTTAAGAGAGGCAACGGATAAAGAGAAAGATCAGGGGATGAATGAGAAGGATCAAAAGAAAGGGTATGCAAAAGGCCAACAATATATTTCAAGTCATGGCAGGATGTTTCTCTCTCCATATGGGTGCACAAAAAACAGAGATAAATTCATTGAGTTAATCATTGCTAAATCCAATTTCAGAGGGTGGCTGGCGGGGGTGGGGGTGGGGGGAATCAGCGGAAAGCTTTGTTAATTCAAAGCAACTCACCAGGGCACACACATTTTTATCCACCTTTTCTTGTTGGCATTTCCCTCCTTACCTTATGGATCTGTTCCTCGGTTATGGATGCCATCGAAGGCAAAGCAAAGAAGTTCAGCCAGGAGGTAAGGGAAGCGTGGTCAATGTGCAATCTTGTTGAGGCTCCACAGTTAATGTTCCACGGCTTGTATCTGTGATCCCTTCCAGGACCATGTGATATTGCCAATGAGGACACAGGCGTGTGTGTGTGTATATATATATATATATATATATATATATATATATATGCGTACAGTATGATTTCAGGGGCCTCTTGGGCGGACTTTGAGTTCTTTTCTTTGGACTCTAGAGTCCAGATGGAATCAGCATATTATCCTTTTGCTACTTCTTTTTTTTTTAAGCTGGAAAGCAAACGTTTATAAAAAGATTTAAGTGATGCTGCCAAATTCTGGCTAATTTGCAAGCTCATCAAAGGCAGCAGCTTCTATAATGCAAAAAATAATATAAAATATAGACTTAGGGTTGTACCCAATATTAGTCCTACTCAGAGGAGGCCTACTGGGTTGCACCCAAATGTGTTCAACTCAAGGGTAGAACCCCTTTAAATGAAATGGATCTAATTTCGTCATGTCAATTATTTCCAGTGGACCTGCTCTGAGTATGGCTAGCAGTGGCTACAACACATTTAAATGAGTGGATATAACTAATTTACTATTTTCAGTTGGTCTGCTCTTAATAGAACTTTATGAAATGCAACCCATAGGTTTCAATACAAACCCCACTTCCCTGGGAAGTCAGCCCCAGTAAATTCAATGGGATTTATTTTGAAGTAGAAATAGGCCACATAATGAATTTATAAAGCACCTTTATAATACTTTAAACAGTTATGGCTTCTTGCAAATAATCCTAGGACCTGTAGATGATCCCTAGAATCGGCCATCCTTTAAAATGTACCCTTCTCTGAATTTTGCAGCGAAGTTATCCACCTAAGTAATGTGTCACAAAAATGCATTACATTAGGCTAAAGTGCACATATCAATGCTTATAATAGTGAAAATGATGTAACAAAATGCAATATATTAGGGGAAATCACTTTCTGAAGGTGTATTAGGATAAATTTGCACTAAAATGCTGATGAATTTTCATGACTTTTTTTAAAATCACAAACTGATATGGGAATGTAGAGAACTGAATTTAAAATGGGAAAAAAATTAGAAATTGACAGAGCATGAAATTGGCATATTTGCATGTCACTGCTCCCGAGTCCCTCATGTTTGGGGGACAGGGTACTCTTTCCTAATGGTTCACTTTTACACTCTTTTGTTTTGATCTTCTGTGTCCAATATGCCAATGATTCCTTCTCCAGACCTGGTCTCCTTCATTCCTTTCCTTTGCTGTTGTGTATTATAATCTTGCTGATGGTTGTTTACAATATTTAAAATATATATAAATAAATGTGGCAAGCCAGGAACCCTGAGCCAGAAAAGTGCTGGTTGGAATCTTACCTGTCAGTTCTCAGGACACCAGAGACCATTCCGAAAGAGCTGAGGATGTATTTTTCCTCTTTTTTTCTGTTCTTTTTTTGCTGTTAGGAGTTCTGATGGCATTTACTCTCAGGGGAATGGGGAGAACAGTGAGTCACGCCAATGCCTCTTGTCCTCAAAAGACGAACAAAGGGCGAAGAAACCAAGGACGGGGGAACATGCAGTGCTCTGCAAACAGCACAGCCCAAATCCTGCCAATTTTCTTGGAACATTCCCCTTAATAAATCTCCAAAAGAGAGGCTTCTTTGGGTAAAACTATTATATTACTTCCCAGAACGAGAAGAAGAATTCATAGTATTTTGCCAAAGAATTGCAAGCAGGAAAGGGTGCAGAATGACAACCAGATTACTAGGATCTGATTGCTAGAACTTGTTTTCCTGCATTCTGTGACCCCGTAATGTAAGAAGAGCCAGTGTAAAAAGTCCTCCCACCCCCAACCAATGCCTACTTGTTTACTGCTCCTTCTTTCTGCACTTGTAACAGAGGTTTGCTATTCTGTGATTTCAGGTATTGAGCCTTCAACTCACCTGTTTTGTGCTCCCAGTTCAATCCCCAATGGCATCTCCAGGAAGGGCTAAGAAAGCCCCCTGCCTGAAACCCTGCAGAGCTGTTATCAGCCAGTGCTGACAATACTGACTTAGATGGACTCGGATGGTCTGACTCTGTATAAGGCAGCTTCCTGTTTAATTCAGCCTTTTATTCAGAACTAGGATGGCTAGAAAAGGGACGTGGGTGGCGCTGTGGGTTAAACCACAGAGCCTAAGACTTGCCAATCAGAAGGTCGGCGGTTCGAATCCCCGTTACGGGGTAAGCTCCCGTTGCTCGGTCCCAGCTCCTGCCCACCTAGCAGTTCGAAAGCATGTCAAAGTGCAAGTAGATAAATAGGTACCACTCCGGCAGGAAGGTAAATGGTGTTTCCGTGTGCTGCTCTGGTTCGCCAGAAGCGGCTTAGTCATGCTGACCACATAACCTGGAAGCTGTCTGCGGACAAACGCCGGCTCCCTCGGCCTATAGAGCGAGATGAGCGCGCAACCCGAGTCGGTCACGACTGGACCTAATGGTCAGGGGTCCCTTTACCTTTACCTTTAGGATGGCTAGAATCTTACTTTGCATTTAATGAGAGGACCACAGCTTGGTTGTAAAGCTTCTGTCTTGCACGCCGAAGGTCCAGGTTCAACCACCCCTGACATCTCCAGGACAGTGCTGACAGTGTCACCCAGGACCAGCCAATGTGATGCCCTTTAGATCTTTTTGGACTCCCAACTCCTGTCAGTCCCAGCCAGGGCCCTATGTTGGCTTCTCTCTGCCATAGCCAATACTGAGATTGTTGGGCCCCTGATCTTAAGGCTACTCTCACAGCATACATTTAGTGCACTGGGGGTGGCGCTGTGGGTTAAACCACAGAGCCTAGGACTTGCAGATCAGAAGGTCGGCGGTTCAAATCCCCGCAACTGCTCCTGCCAACCTAGCAGTTCGAAAGCACGTCAAAGTGCAAGTAGATAAATAGGTACCATTCCGGCGGGAAGGTAAACGGCATTTCCATGTGCTGCTCTGGTTCGCCAGAAGCGGCTTAGTCATGCTGGCCACATGACACGGAAGCTGTACGCCAGCTCCCTCGGCCAGTAAAGCGAGATGAGCGCCGCAACCCCAGAGTCTGTCACGACTGGACCTAATGTTCAGGGGTCCCTTTACCTTTAATATCCCTTTAAACAGTCATGGCTTCCCCAGAGGGAGCTAAAATTACCAGAGCAGTCTAACAATCGTTCTTCCCAGGGAACTCTAGGAATTGTAGCTCTGGCTGGAGACTAGGAGATCTCTTAATAATTTTCAGCACCTTAATGAGCTATAGCTCCCAGAATCCCTTGGGGGAAGCCACAATTGTGTATGGTGGAACAGTAGCTGCTGGGGCCCAACTTTGAATGCAGCAGTAAAATGCTGCCGTAGCATCATCCTGAAGGCTTAGCTTTCACAGCCTAGATACTTTTAAAGGTTACGCCGAACGAGAGGCAATAATAGCCTTGGCCAGCAGAGTGCAAAGAAACCTCATTTAACTCTATAGGATCTGGCTTTCACATGTGGTAGAGGGCTGTGCTTATCTGCATTTTTGGGAAATCGTATTGATAAAATGGAGGAAACAACCCAGTGCAGGGATTCTTTGTCAGTTGATTCTCCTTAAAGTGGATTGACAGGCCAGCAAACGGGTCTCCTTTTTAACACAGGGATACGCAAAGCAGAACGAACACAAAGTGGAGTTTGGAAAGTTCCATCTACCTGTAAAGGTAATGAAGTATTAAATATTGTTAACTGCATTTGCCAGTCGCCTCAGGCAAATCTATCTATAATTCAAATTGTAGGTATTCTTCATAGACACAGCATAGGCCACCTGAATGAAGCTCACAGGCAAGTTTGGGAACCCTTGTTCTAACCAACCATGTTCGTGGCAGCAGTGACTAAGCTCATACCATGGCCTGCCCCTGCTTGAACACTGATAGCACACTGCAATATAGATATGCATTCCTTGACAGATACCTTTTGTGCAGAGAGCTAGAAACTACCTTAATCCCCTTTAATAACAATAATAAAATAATAACACTGCAGGTGTTTCTGTAGCCAGAAAGTCGTTCTTGAAAAGTCCACACATTAGTCACTGGGGATGTTGATAGGATAAGGCTGTCAGTGCCACCATCAGAGGCAGCATTGCCCCTGAATACCAGTTCCTGGGAATCACAAGTGGGGAGAGTGTTGCTGCCAGGGCTCAGGTCATGCTTGGAGCATCTGGTTGGCCACTGTGAGAACATGATGCTGGACTGGATGGGCTCCTCTTGGCCTGATTCAGTAGGATTCTTCCAGCTGGTGTGCGTGTGTATTAAACAAACATATAAAAAGAGAGTCTTCCATAAGGTTTCCATGTAGCTTTATTTAGACATTGACAATACCTGGTTAACATTGGTTGGGTTTGGTTATTTGATTTTGATTTTTCTGTGTGTGTCCTCAGCATTGCTAAATTGTGTGCAGGTCTTTTTCCTATGACTTCAGACGCAGACAGGAAGCTAGCAGTATATTTTATTCTTTCTCTTCACTGCCAGAAACATCCAAGGAGGGGAGATTTTCGAACGTGCATACACACGAACATTTGTCTGAAACCAACACCATCCTGGCATCTCAGTAAAAAGCAAAACAACTGTCTGAAATAAATGACGGTACGTTAAGATTTGCAGTACCTGTTTTGCAATAGATCACTAGCTGTTAAATGGTTTACTTTTCCAATAGATAGGTATATTAAACCAGCTTAGATGCTTGTATTAGACCCCAAGAATTAAAATTTAAGTATCGTTGGAGATGTTTGAACAGAGGTTGGATGGCTAGCTGTTGGAGATTCTTTACCTGTGACTCCTGCATTGCAGGGGGTTGGACTAGATGACCCTTGGGTCCCTTTCCAACCCTACAACTATATGATTCTGTGAAAGCCTTGGCCAACCTGGTGAGCTCCAGATGTTGCTGAACTACAACTACAACTGATAGCCTTAACAAAACACCTGGAGGTTATAATCTTGGCAAAGCCTGTATTAAACAGTAGTGCAAATTTTACTTTTCTTCTATACGTGTTCCTTGCTCCCCAGAGCAAGACTTCTGCAATAAAAATGAGGGTGGAGGGAAGAGTCCACCCTGGGAGGCATTTTATGCTCTTCCTTTTAACACTGAAGAGGGAAGTAGAAAAACGGGGGGGGGGGAGAGAGAGAGACTCCGCTACATTTGCAGAGAAGGGGAACCAGGCCTCTTGCCCCATGGAATGACAACTCGGATAAAAGAGGCAAGTATCAATGCTATCTCCATGGGAGCTAGCAAAATAATATAAAAAATTAAAACACAGACCAGCTGCTATAAAAATAGTAAGGAGAGAGGGGAGAAGAAATTGGTTTTTTATATCTCATGGAAGTTGTTTTTTATATCTCATGGAAGATGTTGGCAGCACCTAAGGGAGGGAGGGGAGAACAAGGACCTACATCAGCCTTCCCCAACTTGGGGGCTTCCAGATGTTTGGAGTGCAATTCCCATTAGTTCATGCTAGCTGTGGCTGATGGGAACTATAGCTCAAAACATCTGGAAGGCACTAGGCAAGGGGGAGGCTGAAGAGTATAGAGGATAGCTGGCTTGTTCCTTTTTATCAAGGATGGAGAACCTGTGACGTTCCAGATGTTCATTGACTACAACTCGCATCATCCCTGATTACTGGTCATTCTGGCGGGGAGGGGAAGTGATGGGAGCTCAGTAAAGTTGTGGGGGGGGGGGAGCACAGGTTCCCCACTCCTGCTTTTTAGTGTTTTAATGCCCACTGCCCATGCTTTGTGATCAAAAAGGGATGCTTTGAATTGACATGTTTTGAATTCCAGTGTTTTGAGTGAAAAGGAACATCCGAATGTATGCCTTCCCTACGTAGTCAAAAACAGCAGTACTGTGGTTTTGCCAACTGAAAATAATTTTGCAGATTGTCTCCTTAGCTTTTGGGCATGAGATTCCAATAATACATTCTCATATATATATCTCCCCACTTAAGCCATACTTGCCACTCTTGAAACACAACCCCACCCGGAGGCAGATGTAACGCCGGATTCAAGCAGGAAGAGATTCAGATGTGGGAACATCCTACTATCAGGCCACCACATGGCGGCAGTAGGGGGATTTTTAATTGAAGGTTTTAAAAGGAAAGTAAAATTCCGCATGTAGTGATCAAGAGGTAAAATGACCGAAGACAGAAACGACCAACAACGTCAGCATGAAACAGAGAAATTAAGAAGTCATTTCCTATTAGCTCCTCTGAAATCATCCAGACTGATGAGTCAACAGTTAATAAATCAGTGTGTGCAATAAAAAGCTAGTGTCACAATGTGTGGCCAAAGGCCAAACACAGTTCCTATCCTTGATTGTACAACGGTAAAACACCCGGTTCCTGGACAGCCCTCACAGAGATACCATAGCAGCAGGCGGTTTGGACAGGATCAATAGGTCCCACTCATTCACTCCCCCACCCCACCCCACCCCACCAGCTTGGATGCCAGCCAGCTCCTCCCGACACTCGCAGCAACTCAGTGCAAGAGTTCTAGAGTTCCGTTTCCTGGTCGGTCACAGCGGCTGCATCCAACTTCCTATGCCGTACAAACCACAAACTCTCGTTTGTAGCCACAGTCCTCACCTTGGACCACCACCACCTCCGCAATTCCGAAGGAAAATAGCAACCTCCTCTCCCACCTCCTCAAGACGGTCCTTGGGCAGGGTGTCCTTGGCTAGTCTGTTTTGGCTCGGGTTTTCTTGGGTAACAGAACATGGGGACAAGGTTGCCTGAGGGGCTCCCCATACCCGCGCCCCCTGGCTGTTTTGGCCTGAGGTGTTGGGTTTCCTTCCTCCTCTCCCCACCTCCTCTTCTGTGGAGACTCTCAGGCTTGCTCCTTGTCAGCCCTCCATAGCCGTTCCTTGACTTCCAGTGGCAAAGTGTTAAGGAGGTCCTCCTCCACCACCAGCCCGCTGCGCTTCAGCAAGGGGCAATCGCCCAGCTCCACCGGCAGGCACTCCAGGCGGTTCCCCCGCAGTTCAATCTGAGACAGCTTCGTCAGCTCACCCACTCGGGAAGGCAGCGACTGCAGGACGTTGTTGCCCAGGTTCAAAGTCCGAAGCTTCCTGCACTGGAAGAGCTCCGCTGGGAGGTTCTCAATCTGGGAGAGGAAAAAGGAGAAAAGTTGTTATCATCATCATCATCATAATCATCAATTTATATAAAGCATTCTTCCCTGAGATCTTATGATGAAGGGCGTTATATAAAATCTAGTAAATAAACAAAATAAATAAATGCCTAAGTGGCTTCTAAATCCGTTTACAACTACAGTCATACCTCGGGTTAAATACGCTTCAGGTTGAGAGCTTTTGGGTTGCGTTCCGCAGCGACCCGGATGTAACGGAGCGCGTTACTTCCGGGTTTTGCCGTTCGCGCATGCGCAGACAGTCAAAATGATGTCACACACATGCGCGGAAGTGGTGAATCGCAGGTTGCGTTCACTTCAGGATGCGAACAGGGATCCAGAATGGATCCCATTCGTATCCAGAGGTACCACTGTACTGTAACTGGGAGAAGGGCTGAGCGATTGACATTTAGAATGTAAAGCCTGTGTTTGCAAGACAACCCTGAGAGAAGGGTGGAATGGCATGTATACTGGAGTTATTGCTATAGCTGTTGAGGAAGCAGGAGGGAAAGAAGGAAAAGGAAATTGCTATGCCTCATGATTAAACCAGTATAAGCCAGCAGAATAAATATGGACCTAACAACCCCTTTGCCATATATGAAAGATTGTCATATATGGACATAACTGCCCATTGGCTTATTCTTCGCTTGAATAAGTGTATAAATACTGCTGTTTGAAAGACTTGGGCAAAAGATTCCTGCACTTCAGGGGGTTGGACTAGATGATCCCTTGGGATCCTTTCCAACTCTACAACTGGTTCTATGGGTCACAACACATAGCAATGCTTTTAATAAAGATGTCCTGTTTGGGGGCCTGGATCATTTTGGCCATCCAAACTGAACCCATGGGATTTTTTGTGGGGGGGCAGGGGACTTCCAATGCTTTCCCTGGACTACTTCACAGGGTTGTTGGGAATATAAAATGGGGAGAACTACGCTTGCCACCTCAAGATCCCGAGAGAAAGAAATGTGAGATATAAATGCAATGAATAAGTAAATATCAGGAAGGCGCAAGACACTTTAGAGCCCATAATCTAGTGGCAGACACATGCTTGGTACAGATGTCTCCTAACACTCTGTCGCTATGCTCCCCATATGTGAGTTGTTTCAGTTTATCCAGGTGCACTGTAGGGCTAAGAATTGCCATGCTTCTGCAGAAGCATTTCCCAAACGGGGAGCTGCAAAGCCGGCACAAGCAGTCATGGGATTTATAAGAAAACCCCAAACAATGGGTGCTTTTAATCCTTAACTTGTATAATGAACAAACTCTGTACAGCTTTTTGTTTTGTTGGGCATATTGTGATGCTGCATTGTGACTTGTAACTGGACTTCAGAAAGGCTTGAGCCTTATGCTCCAACACTCAGTTACCACTTTCTGGAGGCAGACCTGGCAGTTCGTCAGAAGGTGACCATGCAAGCAGTTGTTCTGAGTGACTAGGACAGCTTCTCTCTGATGGGCAGGCGCTGAATACATAATACCTTTGCCCTATGCATCAGTAATGATCTGAGGTTCCATCTCCTGCCAGTCAGTCCCTACAGTGACCTCCCCGTTGGCAAAATGCCAGCTTAGCCATTCGACTGACACTTGCAAAAGTTGACTTTATTGTGATTAAAACTACTATCAATGGCCATAGTTCGTTCTATCCAAAAACTGGCATGTTTTTAGGGTAAGCATTTACAGCTTACGAAGTAATATCCTGCAATCGGATGGTTGGCATTCTTACATTCCCATAAACAAAACATACCCGGGTAGCTAGAATGCTGTTGCATGATTTACCCATTTTTAGTTTATTGCTGTTTTTAATTTATTGAAGGTGTTAACAAATTTTGGTGGGGGGTTGTGTGTTTTTCACCAACAATTTTATTGTTTTATCTTTTTTTGTAAATTGCTTTTCTTTACAATCTTTGGTTTCTTTACAATCAAGCAGTGTATAGGCTTTTTAAAAAAAATTAAGTGTGAATAACTTTGTCACAACTGCAGAGATTTCACCAGATCCCACATTAAGCAAGGCATTAAGTGAATTTTTGCTCGGATGCTTCGAGTAACCATTATTAAACAGCAATGGAGCAGTTATAATGCATGAAAACGATGACTGCTGAAAACGAAGGTCTAAAATTCACTTGAGATCTGGTTAGCCATGGGGGAGAGGAAGGGGCAGCTGTACTGATCCAGAAAAGCTCTGATGTTCAGCCAAGCAAGTCTTCCTCTGCAGGCAAATATGCTCTTGATTCAAACAGTTCTTTAACTCTTGGACCACAGAAATATCTTCTGGGAGATCCTGCCATGACACTGCTGCGGCTAACTAAGATCTGCCCTCGAGAAATCACTCTCTAGTGTTCCTAAGAAAACAAAACCACACTAGAAAACAGGAAGCATCTTGTTCAGGGTGGAGAAGCAGGGGAACTTGTTAATTTATCCACCGTAGCCATGGCTCTCCAACTTGCATCCTTTGTTGTCATAGAGCTAATGAGATCAACACATTATTTCCAAGAAAACAAAAACCAAGAAGCCATAACAGGTGATGGGACCCAGCCCTGCTTCTTGGCTTCTTATAAGCTAGCTACTGAGGATGAGGGATGTTTCCAGACCGTCAGTATTTCACAGGAGGGAATCAACGACATACATTGAAACATAGGTTTTTGTGCTATTAAGGAGAGGGAAGGAGCTCAATGGTAGACCATTTGCTTTGCATGTAGAAGGTCCTAGTTATGAAGTAGCTTCCTATGTAATTCAAGTGTTTATTCAGAGTATGAGGACTTTTAAGGGAAAAGGCACTTGTAGTAGAGCACTTGCTTTTCAGGAAAAAACTCCTAGGTCCAGTCCCTGGCAGCACCCCCAGGTAGGCTTGGGGAAAATACCACTTTAAATGTATAGTGCAGATGAGGCTTTAGGGAGGAGCCAGCTTAAAGAGAGGTGGGCAAGCGAACTGCTTCTAGACTTCCTTCTACACTAGTACAACAGACTAAGAACATAAGAAGAGCCAGGTGGATCAGGCCAATGGTCCATCTCGTCCAACATCCTGTTCTCATAGTGGCCAGCCATATTTCTCTTCAAGGCAACCTTCAGAGCAAAGGTTTGGGAGGCAAGGAAGGGAGAGAAATCAATACTTAATTAAGCATGCAGCCAGCCATGTTGACCCATTTGGTGAGGAGGGGGCTCAACACAGCAGTAATACCAATGCCTTTGTTCAAACCTACTATATGCAGAAACAAAACAGAACAGAACAAAAAGCCCACCAACGAGCTGGCTTTGTCTTCAGAGAGTGGATGCTTAAAAAATTAGAAAAAATAGCAGCTTGGGGAGGGAGAGAAAGAAAAAAGGTTGCAGATGCAGATGGTAACAGTCCTGCCTGCATGATGGAAGTCTTAATTTAGTGATTCAGGAAGCTCTTTGCAGACTAAATAAGTGAGTTTATGCCAAGTGCAGAAAGCTCTCAGGTTGCACCAAAAGTATACTGGAATGAAAGGAGTAATTGATGCTCTCCAACTCTGAAAATAGAACGAAAGGAAAAAGCCCAGCAGTTATTGGGATCCGTCTTGGAACGCCTAGATCCTTTGCAAGGCAAAGATGCAAAAGAAAAAATGCGGCAGACCTTTACACATTACTGAAACTGGAAACTGTTTGCCACCAAATGGTATGTGCAGCATTAAGGGAAGCCAAATTGCTAAGTATTACCAAGTGGTGGAAAGGTTGGGTTGGTTCTCTGTCCCTTAAGAGATGCAGTGAGAGATCCTTGGAGCATGGAATCTGTCTTCTTGTGCTGTAGCTCAGTGGCAGAACACCTGTTTTACACGTAGAATGGTCCCAGGTTCAATCCCCAAAGGCATGTCTAGGTAAGGCTGGGAAGGTTCCCTGCCTGAAACCCTGAACTGCTGCTACCGATCACTATTGACAATACTGAGCTAGATGGACCAAAGATGTGACTCAGGCAACTTCTGGCATTCCTATTTAATTCAGCCCTTTATACAGTGGTGCCTCGCAAGACGAAATTAATTCGTTCTGCGAGTTTTTTCGTCTTGCGATTTTTTCGTCTTGCAAAGCACGGTTTCCCATAGGGTATTAACGGTTTTAAGAAAAAGGAAACAAACTTGCAAGACGTTTTCGTTTTTCGTCTTGCGAAGCAAGCCCATAGGGCAATTCGTCTTGCGAAGCAACTCAAAAAACGAAAAACTCTTTCGTCTTGCGAGTTTTTCGTCTTGCGAGGCATTCGTCTTGCGAGGTACCACTGTATTCAGAACTATGAGAACTAGAATCTTACCTATTTTTTTAGGGAAAGGGTCATGCTGGTAAAAACAACAACACCCTTTTCTGAAAAGCTTAGAGAGCTTCTACATGATAGTATAGACAATACGGTAGTAGTGGTAGTAGTGGTAGTAGTAGTAATAATACCTTGCCCATCTAGCTGGGTTTCCCCAGCCACTCTGGGCGGCTTACAATACATCTAAAAACACAGTAAAACATCAAACATATAAAACTTCCTGATACAGGGCTTCCTTCTAAAAGTTGTGTAATCTCCTTGACATCTGATGGGAGGGCGCCACTGCCGATAAGGCCCTCAGTGTCCAGTTTGAGCAATGAGAGTGGAGGCAGTCCTTCAGGTATGTTGGACCAAGGCCAAAGTACCAACACTTTGAAATGCGCTCAGAAACATACTGGAAGCCACATTCTGGAACTGGTATAGTTTCTGGGTCACCTTCAAAGGTAGCCCCCACGTAGAGTGCATTGCAGTAGTCCAAGTGGGAGATAACCAGGGCATGCACCACTCTGGCGAGACAGTTTGCGGACAGGTAGGGCCTCAGTGGGCGTACCAAATGGAGCTGTACCTCTATGGACAGCTGTGACAAATGACTCCCAGGCTGCGCACCTGGTCCTTCAGGGGCACAGTTACCCCGTTCAGGACCAAGGAGTCCCCCATGTCTAGCCAGCCCATGTCCCCCCAAAACAGTACATCTGCCTTGTCATGATTCAACCCCAATCTGTTAAACGCCATCCATCCTCCAATCGTTAGCTGAACCAGGGGTCTGAGTCAATATAAGGTAACATCCTGTGTGCCTTTTGGGAGGGGGGAAGCACAGCAGTCTAGCGGCAGAGCTGCTCTGATAAATCATACACTATTTAGGGTAAGCCCCCGGGGCCCAGTAGGTTCATCAAAGCACAGCATTTGGCTTCTGCAGTGATAGGCAAATACTGTGAAAACAATGGTTGAGTGCTGGGCAAATACTGATAATAATGGCTCAGTGATAGGCAAATACTCCAAGAATGAATGGTCATGTTGCACCCCCCTGTAAGTAGCATTCCTCCGCTTTGTATTTTAAGCTCCACAAGCAAGTCCACACCCAAAGGGTACACAGTGCCTGTGTGCGGAACAGTCAATCAGAAGAACAAAAAACAGGTCTTTGCTACTGCAACAATTACGGAAGAAATCAAGCCGTCAACAGCCGATTCAGTCAGGAAAGTTTCATGTCGACATGGTTGGGGTGATGGTGCAGAAGATGACAGAGGAGACAGGACCAAAAAACGTGCCCTGTCCATTGATGTTGATGTAGAAATTTGATTAGACATTAGATACAGATTTTGCTTTTGTTTCAATGTTAATTGCATTTAACTTTTAGACAGAATGCATCAAATGAATAATTCCTGCGTGCCTGCATTTTGCAACCCTCATGCTTTCCTTTCCAAGATATAAACATGTAATCTTTTCTGATCCTAAAAGTGGCACAAATGGCCAGCCAGGATGTTTTCTTAATGTTAACACTAGGGTGTAAATTCAGCATCTCCTTGAAGCTCCTGGAGAGGTCTGGAGAGTGGCACCACAAGAATGGGCCTTTTCTGTAGTTGCTCTCCATTTGTGGAATGCTCTCCCCAGGGAGGTTCGCTGGCGCTTTCATTTAGGCACCAGACAAAAAAGGTTCTTTAACCTCTTTGGCTGATTGTCATCGGATGCCCATTTAAATGTGCTGTGGAAGGGGGAGCGTATTGGTTTGTTTCTGTTATTTTTATTGTGTGTTTTGTGATTTTTATACTGTAATTTTATGTTGTGAACCGCCCTGAGATCTACAGGTATAGGGTGGTATTGTGATAGGAATTTTGAGGTCTTAGATATATGTTAAATGTTCATAAGTGTACCAACCAAGCACATACATAGATCAGCACAGGAAGACCGACCTGGAACCATTTTGATTCCCAAACTGTCTCAAAGTGACCAAATGTTTTCTCTGCAAGGTCAAAAGAAAATGGAAAAGCTTCCCCATTGTCTTTTCCTTCACAAATCCTGTCTTAAGGGTATGTCTGTGTTTGAATAGGGTGTGAGCCTGTGACATGGCCCAGGAACTAAGTATTTATCATTACAAAAGACTGGCCAGGCTACCCAGGCAATCCAATCAAGTAACCTGCCAGACAGGAGATAAACAACGACAGGAGAAAAACAACATTCAAATTTCTGTTTAGACCGCCTTTTCTGTGATGTAGTTATGGTGTATCCGGGGGGTGGTCTTAGGTTGCACCCCTTCTGTGAAGTATGTATGATGTTTCTGGGGTTGGTCTTGATCTACAGGGTGGGAATTTCAAAAGTCTTTTTAAGCCTTGCGTGCCATTTTTTGGGGTTCCTCCTCTCTCCTGCGGGTGAGGGGAGCACCCTGTTGCAACAGATCAATAAAGATCACGCTTACTAGCTGCTTTGCTTCTCAATATTCTCTGGTTGGCCTCTGTTATTCTCTCCTACCAATAGGGAACCTATGTAAGGACTCTATATGGGCTCTTGAATACCCCATAAGGGAAATGGGCAATTTTTGTTTACAACAGTATACAAATTTAATAAATCAAGGAAGCAAACAAACAAGTAAAATTTTAAAAGTATGATAGTTGAGGCCAAATGGCTTGGGAAACTTGGGAAGTTGCTATCAGTATGGAGCAATGCATGCTTACGTCCCATAATAACCGGTAACCTTTCTTGATGTATGTAGAATGTAGAATGTAGATGTTTTGAAGTTTTTTGACCCTTGGTGTGGTGTGTTTGAAATCCCTATGTAAGTTCAAGGCAGTCCTCCCTAATTGGCAGCTTGTTCAGAACAACCATCAGAAGAATGCGCCCTAGCCCAATCCATGCATGCAGAGCTCCTTTGGTCTAGTCAATCTTAACTAGAATCTAACATGGCAGAAATGACTCTGCCATAACCCACCTGTTGTAGCCTAGTTGTAGCCTAGAGAAGCAAACTTACGCCATGTAGCTAACACAGCTCTGCCCTTCAGTAGGGAGGAACAGCCAGGAGGCTGCCACTGCCACTGCCACCGCCCAACATCATCTGCCACCTGAGGCAGTCGCCTCACCTTGCCTATGGTAGGGCCTGCCCTGTACAAAAGATATTGGGAGACCACTCCCAGCCCAAATATCTTCTGTGCCCCCCGCACCACATTCAATCCCCTTCTCTTACCCTGTTAGCTGTGACAGCCAGGTTCTGCAGATTTTGCAACAGCCTGATGTCTGCTGGTATCGAAGTCAAGAGGTTGTGGCTGAGATCTAAATACCGAAGCTTCCGGCAGTAGAAGAGCTGGGTGGGGATCTTCTCAATCTTGTTGCGGTTCAGGTAAAGGCGCTCCAGGTTGGTGAGGTTGCCGATCTGCATGGGGATGTAGGCAATGTGGTTGTACCACAGCTTAAGGCAAGTGAGGCGGTGCAAGTGCTGGAAGCTAATGATTTCCTCAACGGTTTTGAGGTTGTTGTCCTTGAGGTCAATCTCCTGGAGGTTCTGGAGGCTGAAGATGGAGTGGGGGATGCGCTCCAAGTCGCAGCGGATCAGCTCCAGCTCTGTTAGGTTAACCATCTTCTTGAGGCTATTGAGGACGATGAGCTTGGTGCCCTCATTGTTGATGGAGAGCTTCTGGAGGTGCACCCCGACATCTGTCACCACCTGGGGAAGCTTTGTCAGGTTGCTCTTCAGCCTCAGGACCTTGAGCCTCTTCAACTCCCTCAAGCCATCAATTACAATGTACCGGTTGTTCTCAGCACTTAAGTTCCCAGTCAGGTGGAGTTCTTCAAGAGTCTTCAAGCTGTAAATCCAAAGAGGGATCTCCTTGATGTCCGTGAACTTGATGTGCAAGGACTTCAAGTTCTCCCTCAAGAAGGCAAGGGCCGGGGCCTCTATCTTGGCCGCTGTATGGTACAGCCACAGTTCCTTGAGGCTGGTGAGCTGAGCGATGCTTGGTGGGATGGTGACATCAGGGATGAGCTCTAGCTTCAGGACCTCCAGTTCAAGGAGGTCAAAGACGGTGTCTGGGATGCCACTAAGCATGAAGAGGTGCAACTCCAGCTTCTCCTGAGAGTTTTTGGTGATCCTCTGGCGCAGCTTCTCCAAGGTCCATTCATTGTTGAGGTTCAGTTGCCGGAGTTTGTTCTCACTCACTTCGGAGAGGAAAACAGCAAAGCGTTTGGAGTAGAGGGGGTCATACTGGTCGATGAGGTGTAGCATGAAGGCAAAGTCATTTTTCACATCAGGGATGTCACTGTAGCTGCTCTCCTCCCGGATGGACTCAAAGGAGTACTTCTTGAGGGACCGCCGGAGCATCCACCAGAGGGTGTACATGCAGATCAAGCCATAGAAGATCACCAAGCTGATGTAGAAAGACGCCAAGATTTTGAAGAGGGTGGCAAGAGGATGAGCACAACGGTACATACGGTAGCCTGTCAGGCTCTCAATGTCCACCTTACAGTCCACATCAAAGGCGATGTTGCTGACATAATAGACGGTGTAGCAAATTATGAGGATGAACTTGATCACCTTGATGATGGTTTGCCTCATGTAGAGGCGGTAGACAATGTCTCCTTCCTCCACATGTGTCCGGAACTTCTTGACTTTCTCAAAGAGTGCCTTGGCTTGCTCGCCTTCCTTCTTGTCCAGGACACCGTTCTCTGTCCGGTCCACAATTCCTTGCTCAATCCGAGATTTTGTCCGCTGTAGCATCGGGGCCGTGGCTTCCACATCCTCACTAACTGTGGAAGACTTCTTGTCCATGGAGCCATTCATCTTCCCGAAGGTGGGCTTGGGGTCACTCTCCTCCACCACGGTCTCAGAGAGGGCCCTTGTGGTCCATGGGGAGTCAAAACACTTGAGTAGGATGGAGACAAAATGCTCCAGCTTAGAGCTGGTCCGTGGGAACTTGAACCAGAAGTTACTGCAAGCCAAGAAGATCAGTGTATGCATTAGCACCAAGTAAGGGAAATACTTGGCAAACCAATGAAGGCAGTTTTCATAGCACACAGCATCCACGTAATTGTACTGGTGCCTGTCAAGTTCATATTTGATCCCCGTTGGCCCTGGCTCCATGGCTGCCACCAAAGAGGAGTTAAAATAACTTGTGTCCAGGCTTGCAGTTGGCCAGTCCCTGGAGGAATCGTTGCAAGCGTCTTTGGTGACCCATTTGCAAGGCAAGCAAATCATTTTGTCCTGGGTGACTTGCAGCGTCCCACCAAATACCGCAATCATCAGCATCACAATGGAGATATAGTCTGTAAAAACGTCCCACCACGGCTTTAGGATGCGGTACGCTGGCTGGGTATCGGCAAAGTAGCGCAATTCTGTGACCGGAATCATGGTTCACCTGGAAAGGGGGAAGGAGGACACAAAAACACAGAGGCAGGATGTTACCAACAAAGAACAGCACATTTCCAAACTGACTATGAGGTGGCAAGGGATACATTACAACAAAAGGATAGGTTTGAAATCACCGTACATTTAGTTCCAACAAAGATACATGCAGTCAATGGAACTGTACAAAAGAAGGAGATGGAGAGGCAGATTTTTCAGTCCAAGGGCAGCATTCCCTTTATATCAACTTTTGGGGGGGCCACATGCCAGAGGTGGGTGGGATAGAGGCAAAAGTGGCTAGAGAAACTAGCACTTTAAATATATAGTATAGAGGGGGCCTTCACTGTAAGGTTCTAGGGCAGGTTACAACATCATCATCATCATCATTAAATTTTTATTCATTTTTCTTTTTCATTCATTGCATACATCTCAAATTCTTAACATTTACTATATATGCCTCCCTCCCTCCCCTCCAAGGCTTCCCTCAACTTCCGTTTCTGGTTTGTTTCTATTTTCACCCACTTTGTTATCTCTTAACAGAAAGTTATTAATAACATAACATCAAGCCTAAAAACATAAAAGTAACAGTAATTGCACCATCATATTTCACTATCTTCTAAACATTTTCTAATGCTAATAATGTGAATGTTTATTTAAATCCTGCCATCAAGTCTATTGACTTTCTTTGTTTCTGCAAATATAATATGAATGGTTCCCAATCTTTTTCGAAGTCTCTGTTGTCTTTTTCTCTTAGTCTATCTGTCATTTTTGCCAGTTCCACATAGTTCATCAACATCTCTTCCCATTGTTCTTTAGTTGGTATTTCTCCAGTCTTCCAATTTTGTGCAGTCAACATTCTTGCTGCTGTAGTGGCATACATAAATAAAGTCCTCATTTCCTTTGGTATGTCTTGACCTAAAATACCTAACAGAAAGGCTTCTGGGTTTTTTTTACAAAAGTTATTTTCAACATTTTCTTCAATTCATTATATATCATTTCCCAGTAGGGTTTTACCTTTTTACAATCCCATCACATATGATAGAACGTACCTTCTGTTTCACATCTCCAACACCCTTTCTTTTCATTTTTATACATTTCTGCCAATTTAACCGGTGATACATATCATCTGTACATCATTTTCATATAGTTCTCTCTCAATAATATGCAATCTGTAAATTTCAAATTTACTTTCCACAATTTTATCCAGTCCTGAAATTGTATATTATGTCCTACATCTTGCGCCCATTTAATCATTACTGATTTTACTTCTTCATCTTTGGTCTCCCACTCCAAAAGAATATTATATGCCTTTTTAAATAATTTTGTATTTTCTTCTATCACCTCCCTTTGGAAGTTGAACACGGAATAGGAGAAGCCTTTTTTGTTATCCTCCTTAAAAATATCCTGTAATTGTCTATGAGGGTTACAACATTAAACCATAGTATCAAAAACAATTTAAAACAACTTGAAGTCATAAAAACAAGGTGGATCCTAAAAACAGACACAACAGGTATCAAAGGCCAGGGTACAGAGGAAGTTGTATAAAGGAGGTCCTAGGCACACCTCTGGGGGGAGAGAGTTTCATATCTTAGGTACCACCGCAGAAAGTTCCCTCTGCCAAGATGGCACCCACAGAGCCTCTGCGGGTGGAGGAACTACCAAGAAGGCCCTCTTTGCTGATCTCATCACCCAGGAGGATCTTGCAGGGAAGGAGGCAGTCTTTCAGATATTTGGGGCCGGAATTAACTTCGGCACATTCATTTTAACAGGTCTACTGCAAGTGTAGTCTTGTGGGATTCAACCCAAAGAATCAGAGGTTGTGGTTTTGGTTTTTTTATGTCCTCCTCCAAGAAGCAGGAAAACTGGTTGTTCCCAATGCAGAGAAATGTTGCGGAACACATTAACCAGCCGATTTTGTTCCAAGCATAGAGCCACTGAGATATGGTAACCTGCCTTGTGACTCTATGCAAAACTTTCACCTGGTATCTGCAAAACCACATTGAGAAGCAGAAGCAGAAGACAGAGTGCAGTGCACATGTATAAATCACAAAGTTTTATGGTGGGGGCTTTGTGTGTGTGGACGCGAAAGTGTGCAAAGGAATAGGCACTAAGGATAAAGTCACTTGGGCCTCTGTGCAAGAAGCACTGTTCGTTTTCTTTCTAATTTCCGTGAGCTCAGCAAGCGGAAGGAAACACAAAGGAGATGGGAATCAAAAGATTATTTCCTGGCTGTGGCCACTCCCACCTGGCAGTAGGCTCCTCTGCTAGGACTCAAGAGACAAAGGTTCACATGAGGGTAACCAGAAGCAGTCCACTCTGGAGTCACCAACCTTCCTGGGGCCCACAGCCACATCTGGATAAACTGGTGTGGGCATCGCACAGACACACTGCAAATGTCAAGACTCTGTTCCTGCATTGCAGGGGGTTGGCCTAGATGACCCGTGGGGTTCCTTCCAACTCTTCAATTCTGTGATTCTATCCTATTGTCTACAATATAATGCTTTATTTAAAAAAAAAAAATCTTTGGAGATATTTGCAACCCCCTCTTCAGTCAAAAAGGTTCCTGGACAGGTTTGCATACAATTGATTGAAACAAAACTGTCCCTCTTCACAAGATTACAATTGGCGGGGGTGGGGGATCATCCCTAAAATAGTTGGATGGCGTCTTGTACACACGTGTTCTGCAGTCAAGCTAGTGCCAAACATATTGCTCTGCTTTCCTTTGGGCCAAATCGGTGAAGCCAAGTGTCTTGTCTTTTGAGCAGCCCAGGACCTTCATACACACACAGGGGAGGCCACTTCAGTGCTGCTAATGCAGCAGTTCAACTTCACCTCCAGAGGTGCACTCCATTGTCCCTTGAGACAGAAGGATGCCAACAAGTACTCCTGCTAAGGACACCCATTAAAATTTATGGGCATGGCAAACTTAGGCCCAATGATTTCAATGGGCCCACTCAGAGAAGGACTATGGTTGGATATAAGCATAACTTTTTGTATACCACTTATGTATTTATATATTAAAGTATTTTGGAAATGCTTTTAATGAAAATGAATAAATAACCCACTCAATGGGTTCTCTCTCTCTCTCTCTTCCTAAGCAGATATGATGGTCCCATTATATTGATTGAAGCAATAAATCCCATATCCTGATCAAACATCCCCTATATACTACTGAAAAATGGCTGGGTTGGTCGTTTGCTCTGATGTTTGCTCTATCCTTACCCACATTCTGTTTGATGTCAGCTCTGCTTAACAACCTACCCACTTGAGACACTCAACAAATATCCCTTTGTAGCACAACTTGCTCACATTCACACACAATACTTCAAGGTCTGATCCACCAACGGAACCAATTAATTGAGCTTTGAGAAGCAATGCCAATTTTTCTAACAAAAACAAAATCTGCACAAGGTAATTTACGTCATAAATTTTTTTTTCTCATGCCCCAGAGGGGCAGAGAGGCTATGGCCCTCCAGATGTTGTTGGATGACAACTCCCATCATCCTTGACCTTTAGCCATGCTGATGGGGGCTGATGGGAGTTGAACATCTGGAGGGCCACAGATTTCCCTATTCTGGTCCTAAAGAGTGATCTAATTTAGCATGTTTATTTGACTTGTTTTTGATAAACAAAGCTAAAAAAAAATCACTCTTGTTGATTTTTCTCTCCACCCCCCCATATATAAGTATGTGATCTGAAATGTTTTGAGAGGAAATACCGTAGTATACAGCACATATTTAAACTGTAGAAGTCGCTCCCACAGTAATGGCCACCAAACTGGATGGCTTTAAAAGAAGATTAGACAAATTCATGATGATGGAGGAGGAGGAGGAGGCTACCAACAGTGGCTAGCAGTGCTTGCCTCCATGGTCAGTAATGCTTCTCAACACTAGTTGCTGGAAACCATAGGAAGGAAGAGAGCTTGTGCTCAGGTCCCGCTTTCTGGTTTCGCATTGGGGCATCTAGCTGGCCACTGTGAGAACAGAATGTTGGACTAGATAGAGCTCTGGTCCAATCCAGCACATCTCTCCATATGGAAGTCTTCTGTGACAGCAGAACCTCCATGTCCAGGGGCAGCGTATCTATGAATACCACATGATGGGAAACACAACTTGAGGTTTGCTGCTGGGACATCTGGTTGGCTACCGTGAGAACAGGATGCTAAGCTAGATGGGCCCCCTTTGGCCTGATCCAGGAGGACCCTTCTCAGGTTCTTAAGTAAACAATGCTTAATGTTACACGATGAATATTGTTTTTATTGGAACACTTGTAAAAATTAGAAGATATTACTTAAATGATGCAAAGGTGTTAAGAAAAGAAGATGTAATACAGAGTTTTATCAGACTAATAAATTTTAATTTTCCCAAGAACTGCACATTGTGTGCTGAGTCATATACTCGCCAGGAATAATCAACCTGGGGGGAAAAATACAGTTTTGATACTGCCAAGCTGGTCTTACATCGTATCTGCAATTGGCCTCCATCCATTGTTATTGATGAGCTTATGAAACCGGGGGGGTCCATTGCAAAAATGAAACAGTGGAAATTTTTCAAGCTGAAAAACTTTCCAAACCACATCCCAGGCTCTGAATGACAAGAGCTAGAACTATTAATTCTCTAATCATAAAAAGAGCCAATTTTGTGACGGTTCTCCATCAAGCTTTTGCCTTCTGGATTTTTTTATATGTTTTATAATATATTCCTTAACCACCCCTTCACCAAAAGATTCCAGGTTCATCGCACAAAAGTGTCAGTAAAAACCAATTCACTTTTTGCAAAGAGTTATTGCATTACACCCAACCCTTCTACTCCAATCAGCTCACATCAACAAGAAGAAACTTTGTTTTTCTAGTAGCACTGAACAAGACAATTTAAGAACAAACATAGTGTTATAAGAAAAAAAACCTGCTCCTTTTCCCTTATGGGGTACCCAAGAGCCCATATAGAGTTATTTTGTAGGTTCTCTATCGGTAGGATAAAATAACAGAGACCAACCAGAGAATACTG